GACACAGTAATTGGGGTGCGATGGCAATCTAACAGTGCCATTATTATGGAAAAGCCAGTTTTACAATTCGACGATGTAGGTTGATAAATGTTATTATAGAGCATACCTTTCGTTTCATATGATCAGAAATGTTTCAAGGAAATGATAGTTTACTTAGTTCCTAAGTTCGTTAATAAAAACATACTACTTTTGACAATAAAGAGATGATGATTGTGAACTTGAAAGGTCCAATAGTAATCGACAGGTACGGAAAAACGTACAGAAGAACTTCACTAAACGATATACATATATCACTAATATCTACCATGTAGACTTTATAATTGGTTAGGAATGGTTTTTGGTAATCTAAGTTTCAGTAGAAGGTGGTCTTAACATGTTGCTTTAAGGTGTGTAAGTAAAAAAACAAGATTAATGAATTAGAAGAAATCCGTAATTTGATCCTGTGACTTTCGCATAGTTACTTTCATATCTTATCTCACTAACATAATTTTATTGCTGTTGATAGGGAAAGAGACAAGTACGTGAAGGCCAATAAAATATGTCTTAGTTAAAAGGATTACAATATATTGCTTCTCAACTTAGAATGTTGTATTTACTTGTAGTGAGCTAATGCTTTTAATGCTATGAAGAAGATTTTAGTTTGCAGAAGTGTTTTTGAACAGGCACTAGCTTGTCATCCATGGTTTATGTCGTAGATTAATTAATTACATGACATAGATTAGTCAGTTAATACGTCAGAATGTATGCTAACGTTTGATGGTCTGTCAGGGTTTTCTAGCTAGTACAAAAAGTAGCGATGGTCATCATATGTTATTAATGGGATATGTAGCCCAGAAGCCCCATTTTGGTTAAGGTTTGATTTGAAATAAGTAATGTTATATGTATTTGAGTCATGAAGAAGCACATTCTGAGTATATACATCTCTGACTTCGTCCAGAGATAAACATTGACAGGTATACTGTGTAGTGATGAAGGCTTATGGAGTTGAAGTTTATGGGGAAGGGTTTGTCTTTCGGATAAATACTGACGAATACCTTATTGTCACACTTTTTCTGTATGATCTTAGTTCAGCGTATTACTTTAGGCAAGTATACTTCAGCAATAGCAATACGAAATACTCGAAAAAACATAGAGAATCACTGTTGCAAAGGTTCTTGTATTATTTGACACTATTTTCATATTGGAATGTCCAACGACGGACGATCTTCATCTCAAAAGTATATCAAAACACAAAATGGAATAAAAAGATGTGCAACTCTGTGTTGTTATGAGCACATTGACAACCTAGCTGATATTATTCAACTCACAGTTCGTGAAAAATATTATTTAGTACCTAAACTATCGAATTACCAACAGTAAGTTTTAAACACATGATCCGTCGTCACAAGTACATATTACATATGATCGTTACATTTCGTTAAATTATAATCAAAGAGCAGATTTACGGCCAGAGTCGAGTAGGCTAATAAGGTCTGATGTTAAGAAATCAGATGGCCATTTGGAGTTAACTTGGTTTGAAAGGTATTCAATTGATTTGTTGACATTTGTTTCACTTGCGCCCTTAATGTGTTTGCCCTCTTCTTTAAGAACTTGATCAACAAAAGCTGCGCTCACAACTTTACCCGAATTTGTCTTAGCTGAATATTTAGCCCAAGACCAGAGTTGGACTCTAGCAATTTCGGCAGTTGCTGCATCCTCCATCAGATTGTTGATTGGTACGCAACCATTACCTGAGATCCAAGCTGAGCAATAAGCTAAGGCAGCTGATGCGTTTTCATGTACACCAGCGTCGGTTATTTCGCCTGGAACGTTTGTATTTAATAAATCAGCAGCTGACACTTGAACTTCTTCGCGGCGTATGTGATATTGGTTAGGGCCCAACATCTTGTCGTTGAAGATATCCAATGCGATTTTGACTAAAGCTGGATGAGCAACCCAAGTGCCATCGTGACCAGCGGTAACTTCTCTTAGTTTATCATTCTTAACCTTTGACATTGCGGCATCATTAGCTTTAGTGTCATTCTTGATTGGAATTTGAGCCGACATACCACCCATTGCAGCAACTTGACGTCCATGACATGTTTGGATGAGTAATCTGACGTAGGCATCCATGAACGGTACTGACATCGTAACATCTGATCTGTTGGGCAATACCGATGACTTGTTTGCACGTTGGGCTTTAATGAAAGAGAAAATATAATCCCATCTACCACAGTTTAAACCGGAGGAGTGGTTTCTTAACTCGTAGAGAATCTCATCCATTTCAAAGACAGCGAAGATTGTTTCGATAAGGACAGTACCTCTTATAGTACCTCTAGGAATGTCAAGGCTGTCTTGTGCGAAGTTGAAAACGTCATTCCAGAGACGAGCTTCAAGATACGATTCCATTTTTGGTAGATAGAAGTAAGGACCGAAGCCTCTGTTAATATACTCCTTTGCGTTGTGGTAGAAGTATAAAGCAAAGTCGAACAAACCACCAGAGACAGGCTCACCGTCGATTAAAACTCTAGTCTCGTCGAGGTGCCACCCGCGAGGTCTGACAATCAAAACAGCTGGATTTGGCGACAATTTGTAGGACTTTCCAGACTTTTCGTCGGTGAAATCGATTTGCCTACGAATTGCGTCATGGAGGTTGAGTTGACCGTCGACCATATTGTGCCAGGTTGGTGAGTTTGAGTCTTCAAAATCAGCCATGAAAGTCTTGGAACCAGAGTTAAGTGCATTTATGACCATTTTACGCTCTGTAGGACCAGTAATCTCAACTCTACGATCTCTCAAACCAGGTGCTGGTGGTGCACAGATCCAAGATTTATTCTGACGGATGTGCTGGGTTTCTGGACGGAAATTCAAGCGAATTCTTCCTTCATCGAGGTCCTATTAGATTGTGAGAAATGTCGTCATGGAGGTAAAATGCAAACCTTCTGACGTTGTTGACGTTCTTGAAGGAGGTGCTTTCTGGTTTTGTTAAAAGTACGATGTATCTTTGCGACGAATTCTAATGCGTCGTCGCTGAGAATAGCTTTATGTTGAGCTAAAAGGTGCGTGAGAAGCTGTATGTTTCAATGATTCTGAACTAACGAGCTACGTTATCTGAAGGCGGTTAGAAATTATAAAGATATCCTAGAAACATACTCAATATTTCAATGCCTGCAGTCATCGTCGTATGAGTTGAAGAACTGAAACCGGCTGATCCTTAAGTTATCGCTCACGGAAGTGCGGCATCCGAGAGTTCCCACATGGCGAAGGTGCTCCGTTGACACCCTAAAGATATTTTATGATATATCGGATAATAAAAGTAAAATTATTTTATTTTATTTATTCTTTGATATAATAGACTCTATCGTCATAATATACGTCCATAAATATGGTTCGCAGTGATACAAATGCGCCAGGGAGATTACGGCAATTAGCCAGGAGATCTACGCTTAACTTTGATGACACATTGTCCGGTTTGCCCTCTGCTCCATTGGGGCCAGGATGGCGATCAGCAGCGGCTGATTTACTGGCGACCGGTGAAGCAGCCGTACAGAGAAGGCGCTCTATTAGGCATCTACGTAGATCTGCTACAGTTGATAATCCACCCAGTGAACAGCATAGTGAACAGGACTTGGAAAAGCTACCGTTGCACGTACACGATAACAACGAAGGCGTTTTTGTAGATGGAGAAGGTCCTATGTTCCCAGATATACGAATACGCTTCCATGTGGATCCACCAAATTCTATCATTATGACCCTTAATAATAGTCTATACGATGATCAGAAATCACCGGATAGCTTTTTGCTAACGAGGCTGGAGCTAGTAGTACCATATAAGTCTGATGGCTTAGTATTTGCCAGTCTCGATAAAATTACCGTAGAGGATTTGTCTGTATATGATAGCCAATGTTTGCCGGTGCTGGAACGATATAGCTCACAGCTTAAACAACCATTGGGTCCAGGAATAGATAGGAAAATATACCCCGACCCAATACCATCAACTTCATCTTTCGCACCTATACATTACCATTCAAGCCAAAGTCAAACACTAACAAGACGGTTAGAAGACCCAGTGACTTCTCCGCGACCACATAAGAAAGCGAAAAAGAACACACCAGAGTCTCCGCCACCATTGCTACCATTCCCAACTACTGTGACGCCTTGTGCGTACTTTAATAGCTATACAGAGTCAATTGAATCTGTGCCATTCGCACCTCCTCAAAGACTCACTATAGATTTACAACCAGGACGAGCAACTAGATATTTAGCTATTAGATTCTTGAACTCTCATGGATCTAGATTTGATGCCAGTCGAGTAAAAGCTTTTGGTAAGTGAACACTCTATTATTAGACACTGCTAACAATAACACAGGATATAGAGCGAGTAAGGTATACAACAGTAGCGAATATCACTAGATTAGTTTTCAGTTATTGTAACAGTAGCAAGTTTCATCGAGATTGTATATCGATATGTACATTATTATTACATCAGTTTGACGATACCATTGACTATTTGAGACTCTATAGATTGTTATATAATAATAATGTCCAAAAATAATAGTCTAAATTATCTTAATTTTTGATATTTGATTTTTTTTCTAGACTATTTATTACAGAATTTCACCTTCTTACTTCTTTCATCAAGACGAAGTGTGAGTTGAAATTTAAAGCAATGAAAGTAGCAAGAATAGCAGCAATAATATGATGATCATCGTTGTCGCCCCAGTCTGATCTATAGATGACTGATTGACCACGCTTATGCCAAACTCACGCACCACTGATCTTTGCTGCTTTCCTACTATTATTATTGCTTATTTATAGTAGCTCATTTACTAACATTTTCTAGTAATCTGTAAGTTTTTCAAAACATACCGCCAGCAATGATGCAACAGGTTTTTTGTTGATGATACCAATACATTTATATTCCATGCTAAATCTTAATCATTTGTTGAGGAAAACGATGTATTCAATTTGCTTGTCTGAACATCAACGTATCTTGCTGGTGGTCTCAAATTCTTTATCTGACATCATCAACACAGTTCTGTACAAAAACAACTATATATATTATTACAATTATCTATTCATTAGTATGCTTTACATATCTCTTTCACTATCTATATTGCTTCCCCGTCGATGTCTTCGTCTTCGAGTGGCTGGGCACCTATATCGTCCTGCATGGGCTCTCCATCAATGTCGTCCTGCATTGGCTCTCCGTCAATATCGTCCTGCATTGGTGCACCATCCAGATCTTCCAAAAGTGCACCATCGATGCTTTCTTCTGGTTCTTTGCCAATAGGTCTAAAACCAGTTGGCTTCAATGTCTCATCAGAAACAGGTGTGATTGGATTACTGGATATACTCTCATTGTCCTGTTGACTTATTAGCGTACTGTTGCTTTTCAATTCTGATACTGCTTTTTTTCCATTATCCTCTAATTTCAACATATAGCTGTCAAGTATGTTCTCAGGGAATATAAACAATTCACTCCAGACCCTCAACACCACTTCAACACGCTCTTTGAAGAAATTTTGGCTGAGCTTGCTTGGGAATACGGACCTTACTAGACCCAGATGTTCAAAAACTTTATCTAGATGCTTCTGTATTTCGTCTCTATACCTCCAGGCACCTGATACACCAACCGCACTGTTCGCCAATATATCTGAAACGAGGTGCAACCTCGCGATCTTTCGTGGGACTGGTGTTGAAACGTTCAATAACGATTTGATTAAGATATCGACAATCTCCCTGTAGCTCTCTGAATGGTCTATTGCGAAAACCATCAATTTCGCAATTGAATACCGTTTAGGTGAAATTTGTCTCAACATAATCTCAAATTGTTTCCTAGCTATTGGTCCTAAATCATTTTGCTTCTGTTTTTGAAGCTTCTCATGTTCAGATCGTTCTTCATCAGTTAATTCCGCATCAGAATCATTCGTTGGCTGATCATCATCGAATGGTATAAGGTCCTGCAGTCGATTGTGTACGAAAGTAGTCTTTGGATCCTTAAACCCTTGTCAGAACGGACCGTTTAAATTCATTATTACTCACATGCTCATCATTCAGGAAAGTGTATTGAACGCCGGTCATTTTAAGTTCATTGAAACCTGCTATTGGACCATACTTATGAGATTTCGCATTATAGACGACACTCATCAAGAAATTGAGAGTTTCTGTATCAAATGTGACAGTACTATGACCTTCATTGATTGTCTCTTCTGTCCGCGTTCGCTTAGAATCGCGTTCATCGTAATAACTGGCTGGCATCGCAGGTCGTTTGACAGGACCTTCAAATATAGCTCTTGAAGGTAACCTGACGCGTTTACCCCAATCAAGCTGAGAATAGTTTAGTAATTAAGAGAGAATCGACTGAGACATACCTTTAAAGCATGTCCCTGCCAATCTGAACCATCAAGTTCTTTGACAGCTAACTCAGCATCTTTGCACGACATATAACTAACGAATCCCGCATATCCTGGTTGCTTGAACCTCGATTGATCTTCTTGACGTGGCCACATAATTTTAACCTGAAAAGGTCAATATGAGTAATATGAGGAATTTTTGAGACATACAGAGGCAATGGGACCATAGCGGGAGAAGTATTCACCGAACATCTGCTCATCAATGTTTATTGGAAGGTTCGCGACGTATATGTTGGTCGAATGAGGATCTATCTCGCTCTGACTACCCATGTCTGGTTTGTTTGGGCCTCTACCGGCTTGCTCACGCTTCAGCTCTTGTAAAAAGCTGTCCATTTGTGTCTTGCCCTTAACTTTGCCTTGTGAATTGAGTTCTACCGGCTGAGATTTCTGTGAATAGCTAGAAGAATTATGTTGTGCTAATAGACCTCTTAACTAGTGATAATATAGTGTATATCATCACCCACGCTGTCTTCTTCCATCACTTCTAACAAAAGCGGACTGCTTAACGTCATCAAAAGCATCCAGGTATTCTTTATAAGCCTCTTTTGTATACTCTTCCTCTTCACGCCTACGCTGTTCGTCGAGCTCCTTCTGCCTATCCTTTGCTGATTTGAAGTTTGAACCTGATTGAAATTGATTCAGTCTTTCTTGTGGAACGCTCTGTATTTTAGACTAATAGATCATTTAGCTAGTGTAATTTTCGAAGGCAATAAATTTACTGGATCTATTTTACCAGATTTTAACAATTCCTGCTTTATAGGATCCATTAATTACTTCGAAGTAGAGAAACAAGCGAGTATGCAAGTATTTGATCAGATAAGCTTCAATAATACAGCATGTTCAGTAGAATATAATAGTTTATTAGATCTATACGCCGTTGGAACGTACGAATTGGTTGAAACAAAAACTAATGAGCAAGGTCTAATCAGTCATCAAGAGAGGCAAGGAGATTGTATTTTATACGATTGTAAGGAAAGAAAGTTTAACGTAATAGATAGCAAATCCACACCCGGTACTTTAGATATAAAGTGGATGAAAGACTTTATAGCCGTAGTCGATGCCAAAGGTTACTTGTCTGTTGATAAATATGAAAATAAGAAGCTCAAACAACTAAGCTTGGTTGATTGCAAATCAGACAATCAGTCGCTAGCTTTATCACTCGATTGGTCTAATTCACGGAAAGAAGTTGAGCCAATCGTGGCAGTTTCAATGTCAGACGGCAGAGCACTCACCGTCAACAGTGCTACTGAACAGGTGCTAGTTGATTGGCAGGCTCATGATTATGAGACATGGATTGCCGCTTGGGATCATTACAAGCCGAATGATATTATCTATACAGGTGCAGATGATTGCATACTCAAGTGCTGGGATCTCCGATCAGGTGTAGACACTCCAATCGCATCCAACAAGAGGTGTGTTTTATCTCCTTAGATACAATCATACTAACAAAGAAACAGATTCGAAGGTGGTGTAACAACCATAGCGAATTCACCACATGATCAAAACATCATCGCTGTCGGCTCATACGACGAGAATTTGAGAATATTTGACAAGCGAAACATCAATAAGCCAATCAATAGCATAAAGACAAGTGGCGGTATATGGAGAATTAAATTCAGTGAAGTCGAGAACATGAGAATGGTAATGGCCAACATGTATGGGGGATTTGATGTTGTAAATTATCAAACAAATGTCATAGAATACACCAACAGTGATCACAATCTGGCGTACGGTGTTGATTGGAATAGAGATGGTCTCATAATGTCCGCAAGTTTCTATGATAAAAAGGGAATGCTTTGGGTTGTCTGACACTGACGTATTTATTAGTCATGCAAATAGAATATACCTTATATAGAAAGTTATACATTCCTCGGTCCATATGCAATGCGACGCATGATGTAAAGTCTGGGTCAATTGTTTATATAGAAATTTTCTATGCACACAAGAACTTAATTTAATCATATATGAGGTTAAGAAAGATATAAATTGATTTATAGCCCAACCTCCACAATGTAATGTTCGCTCCTCCACGTGTCCATGTGATTACAAAGCAGAATTTTAGATCGACCTTCAGAATCCGGACGCGTGCTTGGCCGAGGGGTAAAATCTTGATCAAAAATAAAGGGCGGCGGACCACGCGTCTTGCCTTTCTGATTAACTATGACTATCCAAATGATACCTGTGAGTTTATCGAATTAAGGTGCTATGGCAGAAGTTAAAACACTATCAAGACAGAGGCATTCACTCAAATTGATGAGTTCTCCGAGCAGCATGTCATCAAGCCAGATCCAGGACTTGAGGAATGTATGGAGCAAGCACGCGAAAATGGCTTACCAGATATTAGCGTCAGTGCTATCCAGGGTAAGTTCCTGATGCTGCAAGCCAAGATGATGAAAGCCAAGAGGATCCTCGAAATCGGCACGTTAGCTGGCTACTCTAGTATCTGGTATGTAATCCACTAACCACTGCGTATATGTTTCTGACTTGTTACAGGCTCGCCAAGGCTTTGCCGGAGGACGGTGAACTCATCACGCTGGAATCAAACGAGAAATTCGCGGAGGTAAATAAAAACAATTTATTTAACACAATCTAACTATTGTAGTTATCACGTAAGAACATCGCGAATGCCAAACCGCACGCCAAATTCGAAGTTATTCAAGGTAAAGCACTCGAGACATTGGAAAAACTCGAGGGCACATTCGACATGGTGTTTATTGACGCTGATAAGCCAAACTCCGCAAATTATCTCAAGAAAGCCGTCGAACTCACTAAGACAGGTAGTGTTATTTATGTTGATAATACAGTCAGGAACTATGCTATACTCCTTGATGAACACACGAAAGATCCATATGGTGTCGGAATCAGAGCTGTTTATCCTGCTCTTCAAACCTTGCAGGATGAAGGCAAGATTGAGGCTACAAACATCCAGATTGCATCAAGCAAGGGCCACGACGGACTTGCTATAGCACTTCGCCTTTAAAGTGCGATATTTGACTGCATTTTTTGTATTTAACTTATTTATTTATAGCATTTCTGGACCACTTCTGACGTCCGCAGTGTGGAACAACTAATGAACGACGTGCTTCATTGGAACTACGCTCGATATAACTAATATGTGTTGACCATTTCGAGATTGTGTACTAGAAATTCTGACGAAAAGCAAATGGTGACCCTAGCATTGATACTTACATACATATACATACTTTGAAAGACGTTATGTACATATAGCTACGCAGTCCGTACCTAATTGATCTTTATCATTCGGACTGATGTAATCGAAATCCCGATGTAAATGGGACTCATGCCATAAATAGCAACAATCAATTTCAAACTCTACAATCATGTTAACAGAAACCGCTATATTCCAACAAGTAGATGAATTCGCTGAGGGCAAGCTCATAGGTAATGATCCAGCCTTGTCTTATGCACTCAAAAACAGCGCAAAGAATGGTCTACCACCTATCAGTGTCAGTGCAACACAAGGGAAGTTCCTCATGATGCAGGCTAAACTTATCGGTGCCAAAAGGATCCTCGAAGTGGGCACACTTGGGGGGTGAGTCAGAGCCGAGTGTCAACTTGATATAGCTGACCTTCAAGCAGTTATAGTAGCATATGGCTTGCAAGGTCTCTCCCAGCAGATGGAAAACTCATAAGTTGCGAGTTTAACCCGGCTTTTGCAGATGTCGCACGCGATAACATTCGCAACGCCAACGTCTCGGCGCAAGTAGATATTCGCACAGGACCTGCACTTGACACTATAGTTACTTTAGACGATAACTTTGACTTTGTTTTCATTGACGCTGATAAAAACAATTCACCTGTGTACCTCACTGAAGCCATTAAGCGCACACGTAAAGGTGCGTGACAGAATGTTAACAACCTAGGCTAATTCCCTCAGGTGCAATCATTGTTGTCGACAATACTGTTCAGAATGCACAACGTTTCCTCGATCCGACTGAGGACTCTCCAAATGTTATTGGTAATCGTCAAGTATATGATCTTCTACAGAAGCATGAGGCGGCTGGGGATCTCATTGCGACGCACCAGCAATGTGCAACAGGTAAGGGGTCTGACGCATTTGTCTACGCAATCCGAACATGATGACTATGTAAATCTAAAGTTGTATATCAAATGAAATCACAGCAAGGACTTAACGTCGATACTACCATTCTTGCTCTCAGCTACACCAGTCTCGAGAACAACAGCAGAGATGAGTTGTGATGGCGTAATATCGAATCCAGGGTTGTATACGGTATGTAACCCAGTCGCACCGACTTCTTTAGGTGCGATACGTACAGATGTTTGCTTCCCACTATCTAATTCAATACCGCGGACAGTTACAGCTTCGCTAGCTGCACGCAATTCAATAGGAATCGACCGACCATCGTTCAAGTTGGAGTCCACACTGGCGCGTGGAGCAACAACTGTGAACGGAATATTGAACGTTTTAGCAAACATTGCTGATTGCATTGTACCAATTTTGTTAGCTGTATCACCATTAAGTGCGATTCTGTCAGCACCGACAGTGACTGCTTGGACGATACCGGATGAAATGAGTGATCCGACAGCCGTATCACATACTAAACAACTTGGTATGCCCAACTGAGTGAATTCAAAAGCGGTTAGTCTGGTACCTTGATGGTAAGGCGTTGTTTGAGCATAGTATGCTCTTTCAAGTCTACCTAACTCATGCAAACGAGTGATCATACCAAATGCAGTACCATAACCCTTAAAGATCGTCAGAAGTGCTATTGTTTCAAATGGATTGACCCACTGAAGTTGCCAATGAACCAGTATTACAGACAGTCAGGATTGATATTTTGCCGCCTTTTTCGATCTTCCCGGATGATTCTAAATTGTTGATAAGCCATTGTGCGCCATTATCAGACATCTGCTTATTTCTCTCGACGTCCTCTGACCAAACTAGAATGGCTTGGTAAATTACAGCCTTCTTTATGTTGTCAACGCTGTCACTGTCTATCTCTGCAGCCTGTCTAAGCTGGTCAAGAGCAATACCAAGGTTTACAGCTGTTGGTCTGGATTGATAGAGGTAATCGCAAACTTGCTTTACTTCTTTCTTAAGCTCTTGAGAGTTGTTGTAGCTGCTATTGTGCAATCTCTGTGCGACAGAAAGAGTAGCTAAGGATGCCAATGCTGGTGCACCTCGTATGTTCATATTCCTGATAGCGGAATATGCTTCTTCTACTGAAGTAATATCCATCCAAACGAGTTCATGTGGTAGCTTTAATTGGTCAATTATTTTAATAGAAAAGTCCTCGAATGAAATTGAAGTAAATTTCATAGCGACTTGGTTGTTGAATTATAACTTTCATCACAAAATGGCCAGATTGCCAGTCCCTGTGGAAACTTACCCAATTATTGCGATTATTGGTGGTGCAGTGGGTATATAATCTAGCAAATAACTTTTTTACAACCAAGTATTAGATTGGCGGTGCTGGATGGTACCTCGCTAGACTTGCACAAGGACCAGAAGTTGTGAGTAAACTAACTTTAAGCTATTTATACTTTACTAATGAAAAAAATAAGGTCTGGGACCGTAAGAACAACGTGAGTAAATACCCGACTAATAGAACTCAGCCCTAAGAAGATATTCAGCCACATCCATGGCAAGACATTAAGGAAGGCCAAACTAGTGAGTTTTTAATAGCATCGTACTCCATTACTAACTCTATATCAGCCAAAATGCTCACTATCAACGATCAAATCGCCAAAGAGGGCAAATGGTCACGCTCTCGTCTTTAAGACGCTTTAGAGCTTTATTTGTACTTTAACATTCACTTGATATACACAATCACTTGATATTTTTAGTTAACGTTTTCTTCTTTTATTTATCTATCACGCAATAGCTTCTTGACTTTATACTTTGATGTACACAGTCAGAAGAGCAGCAAATACAGCTAGATTAGCTACCAGAAGCCTCACTAGCAAGGCTTTACCTGCTAGTTACTACAACAACGTACAGCACGCCCCAACGGATGGCTTCCTTGGTGCAATCGGAAATACACCACTTATACGCTTGAACCGTTTATCAGAAGAAGTAGACGCTGACATCTATGGTAAAGCTGAGTTCATGAACCCGGGTGGTAGTGTAAAGGACAGAGCTGCACTCGGTCTTGTTCTAGATGCAGAAGAGAAGGGTCAACTCAAGTCAGGCGGTACCGTTGTAGAAGGCACAGCTGGAAATACCGGTATCGGTTTAGCCCATGTTTGTAGAGCACGCGGTTATAAGTGTGTCATTTACATGCCTAACACTCAATCAAGCGAGAAGATCGACCTTCTCCGTATGCTTGGTGCAGAAGTACACCCAGTTCCTGCCGTCGCTTTCGACAATCCACAAAACTACAACCATCAAGCAAAGAGACACGCAGACAGCATTCCAAACGCCGTATGGACCAACCAGTTCGACAACCCAGATGGCAATAGAGATGTACATATACATACGACAGGTCCTGAAATCTGGAATCAGACTGAAGGAAAGGTAGATGCATTCACCTGTAGTACAGGTACAGGTGGAACATTCGCCGGTGTTACTAACTACTTGAAATCAATGAACAAGGACGTCAGCTGTTACATTGCTGATCCACCGGGATCAGTTCTCGCAAGTTACGTACAAACTAAAGGCGAAAAGATGGACAGATCAGGTGGTTCCATCACAGAGGGTATTGGTCAGGGTAGAATAACTGCAAATATGACCGTCGATGTCAAGTCAGCTGATGGTGGTTTCACAGTACCAGATTCAGATTCTATAGCTATGTTATACAGATTATTAGATGAGGAAGGTATCTACCTTGGTGCTTCATCTGCTCTCAACGTCGCTGCTGCATACAAACTCGGAAAAGATCTTGGTAGAAAGAGCGACGGTAGTAGACGTCAAATAGTCACAATCCTCTGCGATGGTGCTTACAGATACCAATCACGTTTATTCTCACGCAAGTGGCTCGAATCAAAGAACCTTGTTGATGCTATTCCAGCACACCTCCAAAAGTACATCATCTTGGAATAATTGCACATGTTAAATAAAAGATTTAAGAATAGACTGTTAGATAAAAGATTTGAGAATAATTTAGTAAACGCAAAAACGAAGTATATGTATAATAAAAATATAAATAAGTACCCAATTTTATTGAATTAGTCTAGATGTTTTTACTTTACTTCTACTAACTTAATCTCGAAGTACAAGTCAGCATTCTTACCAATACCTGGTAAGCTTTGGTTGCCGTATGCTTGCTTGGCTGGGATGTAGAGGGTTCTTTCACCACCAACGCGCATTGGCTGACCACCTTTGAGACCCAAAACACCTGAGTCCCAACCACCGATGACTTCACCAGTACCAACTCTGAAGCTGAATGGTTTTCCACTGGTGATATCAGTAAAAAGTTTTAGCTTAAAAGTAGTACACACCTAACATTTTGGTCAAAGACCTTCTTGATTGGTTGACCGTTCTTCAAAACACGACCAATGTATCTCATACCGACACGCTTGCCTGATTTTGCGACAGGACCGTCACCAACCTTCCCATCAACGTATGAAACGCCATTTTGGAGGGTAACGCGGGTGTCTTTCTTTGGCTCTGGCTTCTTTTCAGCCTTCTTTGGTTCTTCCTTCTTGGCGGCGGCAGCAGCAGTTTCCTTCTTGTCCTTCTTTGATGGCTTGGCTGGTGCTTCTTCCTCTGCAGCGCGCTTCTTTGAAGGTTTGGCAATTGGTTGATCTGGGAGTTCCTCAATCTTTGGACCATCCTCTTCGTCAGATTCTTCCTCGTCATCTAAATCCATATCTGGACCATAGAGTGCTCTCATTTCATCCTCATCCATATCAGATTCATCTTCTTCGTCTGATTCATTGTCTTCAGGGTAAGGAAGGTTTGGAGTGACGATGTTACCCAACAAATGAACTTCATTGTTACCTGTGACTGAGATAGATACCAAGTCGTTTGCTGTGAGTGTTAAATCGACAGAGACTTGTTCAACTTGACCTGGAATGAGTGAGCATAAGACAGCCTCTTGAGTAGGCTTGTCAGCTTCTTTCTCTTCGTCATCACTTTCGCTTCCACTGTCTTGTGGTTCGTAGAGAAGTTTTACAACAGATCTCGTCTTTGACTTTGGGTTCTCAGACAAAGCGACGTTTGTAATTCTGATATCCTCGTCAATCTCCAATACTGAAGGTGAGTTTGGAAGTAACTTTTGTGACCAAATACCCAATGTTGTTGACATAGTGGTAGTTTATAGACAAGAAAGAAGATGAGAATTTTTGTGTGATGAAAGTGAGAATTGTTGAGAGATGCTAATTGAATAAAATGATTATCTAATAATTTAATTAGTTATTCTTAATATAAGTCTATTATTTAAACTATTTCACCCAGTCTGCAACGTCATCTTTTACGACCATCATAAGAAATGGTAAATATAAATTAGATAAAGAGATATTTCGTTGTTAATTAAAAATTACAGTCAAATACCTTAAGACCATACCTTGGAACAGTTAGAGCCTCTCTCACTGCAGCGCTAAACCTCGAAAACTTCAGTTCACAGGTTGGTCCTTATAGCATATCTAATATGTAGCTTACCTATAGAGCTTAGATAGTTGAAAGACACAATAAGCCTGAAATTGAATCAAAGAAATCAAGGGAACTGATCCTCCAGCCACTTTTGATCACAAGAACTGCGTTAGAGAAGGTATTAATTGAACCATCAGTAAACTCAGTTAGATTATCAATAAAGATCAAGCAAGCTGATGAAATTGAACGGATTTTAGCTCATAAGTTTACACGTTTCATGATGATGAGAGCTGAGGGTTTCGTCGTACTTCGAAGGAAAGCGATTGAAGTGGGTCGTACTATCATATATGATTAAGAAATCTAACTTATATTCGCTAGGGATATGATATTTCATTCTTGATCACAAATCAACAAACTGAAAAGCTACTTAAGCACAAAATAGTTGATTTCATTATTCAGTACGTGCGATCTATATTAGAATTCATAGACCTAACTCAACCCTTAGATTCATGGAAGATGTAGACAAAGAAATATCAGAAATGAAGCTTAGCTTGAACGCTAGAGCGAGAATCGTAGCAGAGACCTACTTGACAAGCTTTGGTAATTAATTATATGAATATACCTCTTTTATGCATTTTTATATTTTCTTTTGTCTTTCTGGCCGCAATGACCTCTTTCCTATAGAACGACCAAGGATATGTCCGTCAGCTTGGTTGATCCAAATATAAGGCACGCTCATAACGATCAAATTGATCAAGGAAATGGCTCATGGATTGAGTTAGGATACCCACAAGATTCAAAAGATCAACTTATACTCATCGGCAAAGGTGCTAACGGTTTAGAAGGTTTATCAGATAATTTACCGGAAGACCAAGTCGTTTTTGCTATTTTATTAGAAAATTCTTCTCTAGTGCAGCTTTTGTGGTGTCCAGACGCGATTTCGGGTGTAAAGAAAGCTAGAGCTATGGTACACGCTAGAGCAGTAGCTAGTCAGTTTGATGTGAGTAAATCTTTACCAATTGGTTTTTTCTAAACCGATCATTAGATTTCTTCGACAATCTCAGCTTCAACAAAGCAAGATCTGAGCGTCAGCCAACTTACCGCACAGAGTAAGGTAGAGAAGAAAGAGGATAGCGAAAAACATACGAATGGTGCACTACCATCAGCTGAGGAATCCGCGACAACCGTCCAAAATCTAGATGATGACGATGATAGTGATGATGATACCGACTCAATTGTTAATGGATACCAAGACGTGAACGAGCCAGATCAGCAAGAGCAACAAAGGCAACTTGAAATCGCTAAACAAAAGGCACTTCAGGAAGAAGAGCAAAGAGTTGAAATTGAGCGTAAGAGAAGACTCGAACATGAGCAAAGATTACTTCAAGAGGCTGAGCAAAAACGTCGTCTTGAAGCTGAACAACAAAAGAGACGTGAACTGGAAGAAAAGCGTAGAAAAGAGATTGAAGAAAGAAGGAAAGCTGAACAGGAAGCTAAATTACGTCTTGAAATGGAAGAAAAGAGACGCAGGGAAGCGGAAGAAAAGAGAAAGCAAGATATAATCCGTCAGAAATCATTAGAACAGGACAGATTAAACAAATTAATCAGTTCTGGACAGGTCGCAATAAATGGTAAATTGTCAGCCTTGACCAAATCAGGTGTGAGTTGTACATAAAGGTATATACTACTGTTAACCTAAGTAATAGACCTGGCGTCGTCGTTACTTTGAATTGAGCAGCAAAGCACTCGCTATATACAAAGAAGACTTGAGCTCCAAAACACCTATAGAAGCTATACCATTAAGCAAAACGACGCAAATAGTCGACAGCTATGATGAACTACTTATCAAGCACTCAATCAGATTAACTAGCCAATCAGATGAGCTCTTCATTTACCTCGATAACCAAGAAGCGAAATCTAAGCTGATGAGCGCATTGCAATCTGCCATAAAGAATTAAAAGCTTACATTCGTTACATTCATTATTGGAATTTGTGTATATTTTCCCATTTATTTTCTAAATTTTATTCTAAATGTGACGTATAACGATCTTAGACTCAAGCTATCATCCAAGATGGACGATATCATATCAATTGGTGAGAAATAAACGCGTTTGTTTTATATTCATTAATTAAATACAATAGTCAATCGTTTGCAGTAAGTTTACGCGTTAATTACTACATAAACTGACCAGTAAACTGATAGAGATACTTTCAATACGATTGGTAGGTCATTTAACAGTCTATACGAATTATTTTAATCTATCTATCAAGGCGGTAATGCTATAGACCTTCCGCAGATAGCTGTTGTCAGTATCACGACAAGAGTACCCGAGCTTCTCTAACAGACATACAGGTTGGTAGCCAATCATCTGGAAAATCTAGTGTATTAGAAACGTAGGTTCCAGTCTATTCTTTGTTCTATTTACTCAAAACTACCCAGGATCGTAGGACGTGAGGGAATATTGATATTATATTAAACACTATTAACAATTTACAGGTGACTTCTTACCACGTGGTTCGGGTATTGTCACCAGAAGACCACTCGTATTGCAGCTCATACACACTACGAAACAAGAAGAATACGGTGAATTCTTACATATCGACAAAAGATATACATCATTTGAAGAAATAAGAAATGAAATACAATCAGAGACTTTTAGAGTGGCTGGTCAGAACAAGGGTATCAGTAAATTGCCTATAAATCTCAAGATTTACTCCCACAATGTCGTCAACCTTACTTTAGTCGATTTACCGGGATTAACAAAAATCCCAGTGGGTGATCAACCATCTGATATTGAAAAGCAAATCAGACAGTTGGTTTTAGATTACATTCAGAAGCCAAATTGGTATGCTACCTACCTTTGTGTGTCCCAATCTAACTCTTTTCAGTGTCGTTTTGGCGGTATCACCAGCTAATGTCGATTTAGCAAACTCTGACAGTCTTAAACTCGCTCGTTCCGTTGACCCTCAAGGTAGAAGAACTATTGGTGTGCTTACAAAACTCGACCTCATGGACGCTGGCACACATGCTCTTGATGTTCTCAACGGTCGAGTATATCCACTCAAGTTAGGCTTCATTGGTGTCGTCAACCGTAGTCAACAAGATATTAACTCTAATTTGGACATAAATGAAGCTCGTAGACGTGAAGATGAATTCTTCCAAGAGTCTCCATCTTATCGTAACATTGCTCATAGATGTGGTACTAAGTACCTTGCAAAAACCCTCAACAACGTGCTCATGAACCACATCAGGGAGAAGCTTCCAGATATGAAAGCAAAGTTAAACACTCTTATGGGTCAAACACAACAAGAATTGAATTCATTCGGAGACGCAACCTTTTTTGGCAAGCCACACAGAGCGTCATTAATTTTGAAACTTATGACGCAATTCGGTCGTGATTTTGTCTCTTCAATTGACGGTACATCATCTGAAATCTCGACGAAGGAACTTGGTGGTGGTGCTAGGGTATATTACATCTTCAACGATGTGTTCGGTAGAGCACTCGAATCCATAAATCCTAATCAAAACCTCAGTAATCATGACATCAGAACTGCTATTAGAAATAGCACTGGTCCAAGACCATCTTTATTCGTACCAGAAGTAGCATTTGAGTTATTAGTGAAACCACAAATCAAGTTGCTCGAACCACCTTCACTTCGTTGCGTTGAATTAGTCTATGAAGAATTAATGAAGATTTGTCACAACTGCACAAGCCCAGAATTGTCGAGGTTTCCACGTTTGCATGCGCAATTGATCGAAGTAGTTTCAGATCTCCTTAGAGAGAGACTCGGTCCAACATCTGAATACGTGCAGTCGTTGATAGCTATCCAATCAGCATATATTAACACGAACCACCCATCATTCGCACCTGGAACAGCAGCATATGCCGCTGAAGCTCAAAAAGAGAAACAAAAGCAGACACCATCACTTAGATTCAAAGATGTTCAAAATGTGATCGAGGATGGTGAAGAGAAAGACAACGAATTGGCAATTGAACATAGGTCAATATCGCAACCATCAGGAACACAGGAAGATCCACGTCGTCATTCAATAACTAATCAATTGTTGAATGGAACGTCAACGCCTGAGTCTGACAGTGCATTAATGAATCATCATAGGAATAGACGAGGACATCAAGCTCAACAATCGCAAAGTCAGACTGCGAGAGATACATTCCTTAACTATTTCTTCGGTGGAGCAGATGCAGCTAGCAGTGCACCAGCTAATACTAGCAATAGTACAAGAACGCCTGTTAGGGATGTTGACGAGGAGGCTAGACACTACGCTTCAACTGCAAACCCTCTCAATGGTAGATCAGGGCTTGAAGGTTCCGCAGCTGCTTACGACATGAAAAGCTTAGGCAAGCATCTCGAGCCTGTACCTATGATTGATGAAGGTGGTAGCGCAGTATCTGAACGTGAAGACATGGAAACTACTCTTATTAGATCTCTGATCGCAAGTTACTTTTCAATCGTCAGACAAACTATTGAAGACCTCGTTCCAAAGGTTAGTAGCATATTTGCTTTTTTCTGTTGATTTTAACATTATTCAGGCTATTATGCACCTCTTGGTCAATTTCTCAAGAGAAGTGATACAAGACAAGTTGGTAGCATCATTGTACAACCCTGATGTGAGTAATTCACAATCTTATAAACTAAATTTAACACACACTACAGATGTTTGATGAACTACTTTATGAAGATGAAAACATCGTTAATGAACGCACCAGAGTGAAGAACTTAATGGATGCATACAAGCAAGCCTTCCAAGTTTTGGCCGAGGTGAATATGCCAAAGCAATCAAACATGGTTCCACCAACTCAATCAACGGCTTAAAAGTTAGGATTATTTTTTGTTCATATGCATTATTCCTTTTTTCACAACTCATAATCAAATGCAGAGTATGGTGAGTAATGTTATGTACATGCTTACAATATTCAATTATCCTTGCATTTCACCTTCTTCAACCTCCTCTTTACGGGGTTTCTACGGTTGTGTTAGTCGAGTGATAGGGAGGACAACTCATACCTACCTTAGCCTCTCTCTGTTCTTCATGTGGACTCTTAGAGCGGCGACGCTCAGCACGTCTCTCATCTCTTTCTCTTTCTCTCTCTCTCTGTGAGACAGATTCGCGTCTATCACGACGACGTCTAGAATGATCAGAATCACCATGGTCGCGTGAACGATCTTTGAGTCTCTTTACGAACCTCTCAAACGCGATTTTGCAAGCTTCGTCATCATCCTTCAACCACTTGCCTTCTGGTAAGTCCTTCAATCTTGGTAAAACGTCTTCAAATTTATCTTCGACAGTTAAGCTTGGTTCTAGATATCTCATTGCGCTGCGCAAATCGTCAATCATTATTCTACGCTTTCTCTCACTTTGATGTTTTTCTTCTCTCTTCTGGGATAAATACTTTTGCGTTATCTTAATACTTTATTAGATTGTAAATGACGTTCAATGGAAGAAACTCACAACGTTATGTATATCCTCAATTGACCAACCCTCCCAATCAATCTCTACATTATTACTTTCAACCATTCGCTTAAACTCATTGAGAGATACTTCCTCACTAAGCTTAGTGTTAGACATCGAAAAAGCATCTTCGACTCTTTGTCCGACTATTTCAGCATGAATTTGGAACTCATCGACTGTATCCCAAAACAACTCTAATGCTGTGGATCCTGAGTTACCTGCAATTTGGAATAAACGAGGATCATCTTTGATATCGACGATTATATCATTCCATTTGGTATTATGTTTAATTTTACCATCCTTAACGAGATCTTTGAGAAGTCCCTTGCATGGTGTTAGTCGTATTATTAAATAAAATGAATAGGCTCACAGTAAATGCCTCTCTCTTCCTCCTTTGGTCACGTTTTCTCTCGGTTTTCATCTTCTTCTTACGAGCTTCCCAAGCTTTCTCAGCCATAACGAGGTTATCTTCATAGATGTTAAGTACATCAAGCATGTCAACACGTTGAAGATCAGGATCATCTCTCCATTCGCGGGATGATTTTAAATCACGCTTAAATTCTGGCCATTTGGTGTCCATAGCAACCTTATTCGTTTCAATATATTTCATAATTTTGTCTATATTATTCTTTCTCAATTCGCGTTCATCATCTTCTTCTTTCTTTTGAATGTGTTTCAAATATTCATCGAAGAGCATCTTACGTTCATTGTCATCTCTGCAATTCTGCCAACTTCTTTCTTTAAGTAACTTTGGATCCGTCATAATGACTGCCCTCAATGTTGACCATTTGGTATATGGATGAACGCGACCTGTTCTCGCTAACATATCTCTAAATTGTGGACGTAACTTATCCATCCTACGAGCCTTCTCTGCTCGTTCATCTTCGACAACTTTGCGGATGTATTCACTAAAATAATCTTTCTTTAAGGACAACGATGGTTCTAATTTCCAAACTGGACTTGTAATTAATTCTCTGATGGTAGCTTCCCATGTCCAATCAGGTGCAACTCCTTTTTGTTTGAATAGATCCATCAGGGCTAATTTAGCTTCATATGGTGTTACTTCTGCTGCGAGACCGGGTGCAGCAGCTGGACCACCGATCGCGAGGGGTGTACCAGTACCTTCTAGCATTGGCGTACCAGATTGTGAACCGTTGTAGCCAATTTGAAGCATTGGTGATTGAGCACTCGCTTTAAGTTCCTCCTTCTTACGTTGTTCTTCTGCGATTCTATTCTCCTCCTCTATGCGCTTTTCCTCTGCTATCCTCTCCGCTTCTTTACGTTCAGCTTCTGCCTTACTATGGTGGGGTTAGAATTGCTAATGATAATAACATCAAACAGACTCTTCTGCATCAAATGTAGCCTTCAATTGAGCTAAATCTTCAGGCATATCCCATCTAGATTGTTTCGTGGTCTTATTATACCAATATATTTTATCATTGACTGTATTTAAACCCCATTCAGATGCGTCGACAGCGTGCTAATAGGAAGAGTGTAAGGTTGAGTAGACTAGAGGGTAAATAGAGAAACCTACATCAAACCTTGTCTTTATCTCATTCGGTTTAACCCAACTAGAAGCTTTTGTTACTCTATTATGCCAATATATCTTCCCATTCGTAGCTTTATGCTCTGTCTGTGGTGTGTTAAGAAGGTATATCAAGTATATTAAGAAATTAAATACCCAATGTGAGGCTGCAGGTGAGTCTGACTGTATTTTATTGTCAATTACCTATTATTACAATACATTCGTCATCCTACCATGAATGTTATAAGTAAAGATATATGAGAAAGAGAAGAAAGACTAATTAATTTAAAAATACGTGTATTTGTTCACAGAACTGTTTTATTTAAACGACATCTGATTAAATTGTCCTTGAAAGAGAAAGCAATAAGAAGATTCTTAATGAGTGTGATAATGAATGAAATCGTGATTGTTAATGCTTCAAGTGTGAAAATGAGTGTGTAGTTCACCAAAGTGAGTGTTTAACCTTGCAGGCGTACGCAATGCAAAAATTTGGGTATACTAATGTTGGTATCAATTGTTTTCTTTTCAACTTCCAAAATCTACAACTATTCCATCTTTGGACGTTGTGAGATATCAGCACCTCTGACTGTTGATTTCATAAATTGAATAAAACGTTCTCCATATTGTTGAGCAGGAATTGCTGATATCATTTGTGTGTCATGTGTTAATGATTTCCAGCGATGCTCGATACGTTTGACTAGATTATAAGGTGTGCAAATATCAATAACACCAAGCTTTAATTGAGTTAGTCACGTCGCCTAAAAGTAAGGTAATGAACTCACATAATAAATTATATCTAAATCATCATTTTGATCATCGGTCGCTCGATAACCACCTTCATCCTGGTAGAACCAGAAGTGACGTCTTTCTGCAATATCCGCATTATTGAGAGCACGACTTGGATCTTTATCAAGGTTCTTAGGCTCTGTGCGCCTAATTGACATACGTACGTTTCGACTTTCACCACGATGGATCGCGCTAGAAACACGTCTTTGGATGGACGTGCTACCAGTATTCAATGGTTGATCTTCAGGTACACTTCCTTCAAGTTGAGGCTGGTAGACTTTCAATGTATCTTTCCGACGACCTTCTGAATTCCCTCTTGTCATATCATGAATACCTAAAAGTAGAGAATAATCCATGATACCAAGCCTTTGAAGTAGTTGTGTATCCCTATTTAATTGTGTAAGAAATAGTGCCCTCTTCTCTGGACCTAATTCTAATCTGCGATGTCGATGAACCCAATTCAAGTCTTTCAAAACAGCACCAGGTTTCTCTTTAATCATTTCTTCAGGGTATTCACGACCAATTGCTGAACCTTTAAGGTCATAAGTTTCGTGAATATCGCGATGTGGAGGGAAAAGATTATTCATGATGACGAAATGGATTTTTCGACCACGTGGTAATTTGACGCGATGTAAGCCATAAAAGCGGGAAAGTAAGGTATGAGGATTACTTTTAACGTGCTCGTAATAATCCTTTAATATAGAAAGTAAGAACTTGTGCTCTGTATGTGAAACAGTTTTGATAATATATTTGAAATCCCTTGAGAAGTAAAAGAAAGAGCCAGATTTCCCTGGACTACCAAGTTCTGTTAAAATGTATTTTGCGGTAAGTGAGAGTAGATAATCAGCCGGGTCTAGATGGAAGTAATCATCGCGAAGACTCCTAAAAACCCATGGTGCGTAATCTTTAAACTTGAAATCATATTTTGCGGAAGGAGTTAATTCATTTCCAACGCTGTAGAGTTTATGTTAGAAATAAAGTCATAAAGACCAAACTGCGGACGTACATATCAAAAGAAAACTTATGCTTGGCTTTAAAGTCAGCATCTGTGAGAGGTCTCCTGAGTTTGGCTTGACAACGGGAGACACCGATTCGAATACCGGTGAGCATATTGTACATCAAAACGTAGTTTGCGTGATCTTCACCGATGAGATTACCAACTAAAGGCTGATCAGAGGATTGACGCTTTCTAATAGCTTGAGATTCTTGCTGCTCATGCGCTTGCTGTACAGCTCTCGCTTTTTCAGCGCGTTCTTGCTTTAATTGAGCCTGCCTGAAAGCTATATCGTCGTCGACGTTTGGAGTAGCTGAAATGGCTGGTTGAGATGATTGCGGTTGGGTAGAAACGAGTGAATTCAAAGACTTTTGTTTTATATTGCTAGACTTTGCTGCAGACGAGGGGTGTAAGTAATCTGAGCTCGATTTCTTAGAAATCTGTTCATTCAAAGAAACTGGTGGACTTGGAGGCGGTTCAAAGGATCTCATTTCAGCGTCCTTCCATTGGGTGTCTATTTGCATTTCCTTCAATTTGACCGTAAAGATGGTCGTTCTGGAGTACCACCATATAAATAAATAAAATAAAATATAAATTATGGTAAATATATCAAATAACTTTTAAACCTTGCTTCTAATTTATTTAACAGGGTCTCTTATCACTTGGTACTCCTTTAGATTGGACTGACGCTAAAGCTTTCGCTGATTTTATAAGAACTAACGGCGTAGAGCAATTTCTTAACATTTATTACAGCCTCAAGGATCGTAAAGGTGAACCTCTTCTATGGGGTGATGAAGTCGGTGAAAATTGCGTTATCAGTAAGCTTACTAATACCTTTTTAGGTTGAATATATGGTCATTTTACTTGATAACTCAACTAAAACTGCTAAATTAAGCTTAAGACAATCAGAAATTCTAGACAATCTGAACAATGTTACAGATGATATCGTAAATGACTCAAATTCTTCAATTGTTTCATCACAAGTTCCAACTTTTCACCCAGAATTCGGTAGATATATGATAGAGTCAACCCCCGGTGTACCATACTCCGCAGGTTTGAAGGAATTACTCACAGTCGAAGTAAATATGCGTCTTCGTCGGAACATTACAAAGCATCACTTACCACCGAATCATATACCAATCACTTTAACTTCCTTTCCTACGCTTGGTGTAAACTATCCATTTTTGGATCCACACTATGAACCAAATGGCGAAGCATCACAATCATTATTCCTTCCGGATGAGTTGATTAATCCACATGTGAGGTTTCCAACACTTGCTGCTAATATAAGGAAGAGACGGGGCGCAAAAGTTGCAATCAATGTTCCAATCTTCTTCGATGAGAACACTCCTAGACCATTCATTGATAAGACCATTCCATATGATAGAGACCTCTTCCCTGGTGATAAGGAAGCTAAGGAGGGTGCTGCAAAACCTGATCATATTTATATGGACGCTATGGGTTTCGGTATGGGTTGCTCCTGTCTCCAATTGACATTCCAAGCATGCAATGTAAATGAAGCTTTTAACGTCTACGATGCTTTAGCTCCTGTTGCCCCAATTATGCTCGCTTTAACAGCAGCTGCACCTATCTATAGAGGTTACCTTTCAGATGTCGATGCTCGCTGGAATGTTATATCTGCAGCAGTTGATGACAGAACAAAGGAAGAGAGAGGAGAAGAACCACTCAAGAATGATAAATATAGAATTCCGAAAAGTCGTTACGATAGTATAGACTCATATCTTTCAACGTCACCACGCAACAGACCAGAATATAATGATAATCCACTCCCAATGAATAAAGAAGTTCACAAAGCACTAATTGAAGCAGGAATCGAATTACCATTAGCAAATCATATAGCACATCTCTTCATACGCGATCCAATTGTCATTTTCAACGAACTGCTTAAACAAGATAACACCAAGTCATCAGATCATTTCGAAAACATTCAGTCAACAAACTGGCAAACATTAAGGTTTAAACCGCCACCACCACAATCAAAGATTGGTTGGAGAGTCGAATTCAGATCAATGGAAGTACAACTGACGGATTTTGAAAATGCTGCTTTCTCAGTATTCATCGTTTTACTCACAAGGGCAATACTTAGCTTCGATCTTAACTTTTACATGCCAATATCAAAGGTAGATGTCAATATGCAAAGATCTCAGAAGAGGGATGCGTCAAGACAAGAAAAATTCTTCTTCCGCAAGAATTTATTCCCAAAACGTGATCGCGATATCGAAAAGTATAGATTTGATAGTCCAAGAATGGAACCAATGAAGAAATCATTCGATAATTTCAAAGAAGAATCAAATATGAACGGTAAACGAACGACCTCATCTGAAAGTTTAGCGTCAAATTACAATATAAACGTTGAAGAAGAGATTGATGAGATGTCAATGGATGAAATCATCAATGGAAAAGATACATTCCCTGGATTGATGGGATTGGTTTACGCATATCTACACTCATTAAACGTTGACATTGAAACTAAATGCCAGATAAAGAAATATTTACAATTCATAAAAGATAGAGCATCTGGTAAATATATTACCTTTGCAACATGGACTAGAAATTTTATGAGATCGCATCCTGATTACAAGCAAGATTCAGTTATAACATCAAAGATGAATTATGATTTCATTATTGCGGCAGATGAGATTGAAAGGGGTATTAGAACTGAGCCAAGTTTGTTACCGCCAAGTTACATTGGTTCAGACAAACTCAAAGAACCTTCAGTAATGGATCTTTCTCAAGGCGTCTCATCTGGCGCTGAACCAGATAAAAGACCGACACCAACTGATGGTTTATCTAGGTTAAAAGGAAGCAATTTGTATACCGTTTAAAGAATTTCTTTATTTGGTTTTGTTTTTATGTATAATATTGTCATTAGTCTACATAAATGTCATATCTCCTTATCTTCTGTAACTTCATAGTAAAGTTATCTTTGCATCCAAAATGTGTAACTTGTCCATTAGGTGAGTGCACTGATATGACACTATTTCCTAATCTCTTCTTGCATTCGGGACAACTGTGACAGTTAGTAAAAAAGAATACTTCAAATGAAAGACACTTTACATTCTGTTATCATCTATGACGACATATCGACTCTCAAGGTCAACAAGCTTCATCGCCAGCCTCTCATTCTCCGATTTACGAATATTACTAACGACACTGCCCCATCGCTGGTTACTACTGGTGGCTTTATAGTTTCTAAGTAGAAACCGCTGAAGTTCTTGTAAGGGGACGTCTCCTGGTAAGGACTGCAAGACTTGTTGTATGTCAAACTTGGTCGGAAAGTTGCACAACAAGGATATAATTTCATTCATATTATCACCTTCATCCGACATCGTACTGTATGATGGTGATATTGCCGTTGCTTTAAAATAACTTGATTGAGAACCGGGCGACGTCGATTTATCCCCCTTAAGATAAAATTTGAGCAATTTACTGAAGATTTCCTTATCTTCTTTCTCAACTTTAACGCAATACCGGGTTGCGCTGTCGAAATCGTTTAGATTCTTGACATATATCCTCAAAGCATCTTCATATTTGCCCAGTCTGTCTACCAAGATTGCCCGAGCACGGTATAAATCTAAAAGACGTCAGCAAACAATGATTATAGAAGCATATCCGCACCATCTATTGGTATGGCTTTGAGTCTAGCCTTAGGAGCGTATTGATGGCTAGACCGGAGAAAGTCTAAATAAGCGTCATAAATTGTCTGGAACTCTTCAGTCTTTCTATTCCGCAAAACAGCTTGGAGCAGAGTATCTGCAAAGTAATTGTGTAGGCTGGGATCCTGATCGTTTAACTCTTTGATTGCATACCGAAGATACTGCAACCCAAGTCCAATGTCGAAAGAATTCAAATACTCTGCCACCCGCAATTTAGGTAAGCTTTCGACTCTTTCATCGTCTGCTATGAATATCTTATTAGATCGTTAGCAGGTATGATCATCAAACGCTTAACCATTTAATCACCCACTTGTATAGCTGTTTGTTTATCTACATCGAACATCCATCTCGATTTTTGCAATATCAGATCAATGTACTCGCTTCCTAACTGCTGTATATAGCTGACAGATGAATCGATGTCCTTGCCTTCCTCTTCATCAAGAGTTAACCTTAAGTATGTCAGATTAATTGAATGGAGTTAGAAAACACTTACCCCTTGAGTAGATCGAGAGCCTTTTCATGCATGTTTTTACTCTTATATAAGGAAACAAGTTCATCAAATTTCTTGAAATCACTTTCAGCAAGAGAAACTTATCAAGGCTATCAGAACTCACTTTGCGATCAAGCAGCGACTGTTCAACTTCTTCAGGTTGGCAATAATTTTCTAAACGGCATAGCGAACCGACGAGTGCGGGTCTCGTTTCAATATAAGCCTTAAAAAGAGCGGTGTCAACAACACCCGCAAGAACAGCGAGCTGGTCCACATTGAGCGTATCGGCACTCCTACTTGGCAATTCCAATAGCTGCTCTTTCGTATAATCAGTCAACTTAACATTAATAAATGATTCTGAGGGATGTTGATGTATAGCTCCTTTTACTTTCTGCCTCCTATCCGTCAAATATCGTAACAATGCTTCGATTTTGCTATTCCGGGAGACTTTATTGCTCTTCAATGAAGCTGTATCACTTCCACTTCGCAGAGATGACATCGAAGTTGAGTTTATGATCTCATTATTGTCAATAGTCCCCTTATAGAGCTTGGCGAAATCCCCAAAGATGCTGTTCCAATTCTCTTGTGGAATATATAGCCTTCCTGATATATTCTCTGGAAAGAGGGCTATGACTTTCGCTGGATTAGTTTCTAATTCAATAAAGACATCTATTGCGTCATCTATTTCGTCCGCGTCTACCAAACTGATGGAATATAATTGAAGGATTTTGAGACGAAATTCTTGAAATTCTTGGTTGTTGTCACTCGATTGATCTTGTGTAAAGCCGACGGACTCTAATAATCCGAGTGCCTCTTCGAATTTACCCTCTTTTGTACTACGATCGACGAGATCTTTCCATGAAACAAGCTGGGTGTTTGATATACCCTCATCAGTATCTAAATACAGCGTTGAATTGACAGCTTGGAGTAGTTTACATTCTTTGATGGACACTTCCTGAACCAAATCAAGAGTATAGCTCGAATAGAGGTTAAGAACAGAGCTATAATCATTTCCTGATGGTTGTAAGTGAACGTACAGATAGGGTTTAGCAAACATGATTTCGTCTATAGCTGTAGCTGTTGATATTGTCTTTTGAATCTGACCATCCTGATCAACCACAATGATAAGTGAACCATTAACGATAGCAATTGACTCTGAATCAAGCGGCTCCATGAGTGGTTTTGATCGATTGCCTAAAAATCCTGTAAGACCAGCTGTAAAACTTGTCTTATAGCTAGTTTGAGCATTAAAACTTGGTAAGACAACCTCTTGGATGCTATACAATGAAGGTGATTTCATATCAAAGTGTACTACAGCATATTCGGCTTGAGAATAGCCTAAAAATATGGTGTAAGGATTGAGTATTTTAACCACTTTGGGTGTATTTGCTAAAATGACGTCTACGTGCTCTTCTTCGAGACCGTCTGTCCAGGTGTAAATGCATAGCTTTTTCTTTGTAACTACTGCAAGCTTTGAAGTCATTCTCGTTATACTTTTGCGCTCTTTTGACTGATTACTTATTCTAGATGATAAAGTCCTATGTTTACGCTCATTCATGGCTGCTTCTGCGGTGATAGTATCCAAATTAGTGTTCATTATATCAATGCAGGTTACATTCTTGATTGTCCGTGTGCAGCTAGTTATATCATTGAGAGGATGAAGTGTGAGTGTGTAATCAGCGAGTAGGGCTATCAACCGAGACTGATGTATTATCGATAAGCTTTCTATGGCTTTCTTTTCAATAGGATGCTCTTCTATGAGGGTATCGTTATGGTACTTGTATATTTTGGATGTATGAGCGATGTATAACTCCTGATCTGAGAGATGCTTAGAGATGGATAAGGTGTGGGTAATAAATCACTGACTATAAACTGATAACTTTCCATGCAGGTCTCTGAATTTAGTTTTTAACTCAATTGCAGCCATCAACGTCTTTAATCAAGACCGTGATGGCGTATTCGAGCGATAAATACAGCGTTATTCTCCCAACGTACAACGAAAGGAAGAATTTACCCGTTATTGTTTGGTTATTAGCAAAAACATTCATACAAGCGTGAGTATTCACTCTTATATAGCCATCAGCTTAAATATACAGCCATCTCGACTGGGAGGTAGTTATTGTAGACGATAATAGCCCAGACGGTACACAGGAAATAGCCAAACAACTGCAAGCCGTTTACGGAAATGATAGAATCGTTAGTAGATCTAATAACACTCTCTTTCATCATTGATAGCTATCTAGTTACTCAAACCACGAGCAGGGAAACTAGGATTAGGGTGAGTACACTGCACTGCTATATACATTCTACAACTATTTTAGAACTGCTTATATCCACGGTCTACGCTTCTGCACCGGCAACTTCGTCGTCATTATGGACGCTGACTTCTCACATCATGTGCGTTTTAATGGTAGTTTTAACAAGGTTTTTGACACAACAATCAGCCTAAATTTATACCAGAATTTATCAAGTGAGAATACCGCTTCAGATGATATCATTTAACATTTTTCAGACGTCAACGCGAGAACGATTATGATATTGTAACAGGTACGCGCTATTCTACCACTCAATCAGGCGGCGGTGTATATGGCTGGGACCTTACGCGAAAACTTATATCCCGAGGAGCTAACTTCCTCGCGCTCACCGTCTTGCAGCCGGGTGTATCAGATGTCACAGGTTCATTCAGGTGTGTTTCTCTTTCCCCTTAGCTTTCTCATTGACCTTTTCAGACTTTACAAGAAGGAAGTTCTCCAGGAACTCATAAACGCTTGCCAATCGAAAGGTTATGTCTTCCAAATGGAAATGATAGTCAGAGCGAAAGCTTCAAAACTCAAAGTGGGTGAAGTACCAATCACATTCGTAGACAGACTCTATGGTGACTCCAAACTCGGTGGATCAGAGATAATATCTTATGCTAAGGGTATTTGGTCATTGTTCAGTTCTATCTAAGGTAATAAATAACGTTAAAAGTTTATAAAACACCGCCTATCTTCCTTCTATCTAGGTCTTCGTTGATAGCGGTGTGTAATTGTTTTGAAATAACAGCAGCCCTCTCGGTTGCGTGACCGAGACAATCCAATACCGTCTGTGGTGCGAAAGTCGTTCCGCCATTCTTCGTAATTGTGAGAACCTCCTTTTGTGGTGTAGTAGTAATAGTGAACGTCGCGCTACTGAGCTGTGACTCGAGTGCAGTTGGGTCAAGTACTGCATTATCAAAATCGTCGAAGAAGACGTAACTGAAACTGATTGGAGTGTGGTTGATGGCCAATGGGACAGGAACGCGCTCGTCTTCTGAGTGATACGTCACTTCATTACCTATTACCGTTGCATCAGGCCTTCTGAAATGCAATAAAGCCGCTGCAGCTGCGATAACACCTGCATCGATCAAATTACCATCATCTGATATGTAATGTAGCGTCAAATTCAATGACCAAACTTTCTCTCCTCCGATTATACACAATGCTTCTCTGTCGACCATCCCGGACCTTCTTATTGCCTTGTCTAGCTGCCTATTCAGCGTAGCTTCTTCTTCGGCTGTGTTACCTCTCATCCCTGGTTCATAGAATGGTGTAGTCATTGCTGATAATTCGCTCGATATGTTAAGTTGGCCTTCATATGGTCTTTCTGGTGTTGGCTGGGTGACGGTGCAGCTGACTGATGACATTACACTACGGATGTTTAGATATAGCAGCATTTATTTAATAATTACTCACGAACACTCTCCAAGTTTGATAGTAACAGAACCCAGTGGCTTGCCAAACTGAATTTCAATAGGACGACCTTCAAGGAGAGATCTACCGTCTAATCTTTTATTCTCTTTTAAAGCATTAACTATAAATTCCTTATTATTCAAGTTTACATCCAATTTACGGACCATGATGCTATTTAGAAGTAATAGTATAAGACAAACGAGTGATTAAATAAACAAAATACTATATTCATGAGCAGAGATAAATTATCCAATTACATTTTAAAGTCAATTTAGCGACGTCTGTTTCCACCTTGTTGGTTCATAAGGATAGTCAATATTCTAATAAAGAGGTTGATAAAGTTGAGTTCCAATGAAATTGACTCGTTGAGAGGATCGTAAGGGATAGGTGCACCACCTTCGATCATTCTAGCTTTCTGGAGTATTCTTTGTGTATCGTAGAGTGTGAAACCACCGAAGACTGCCAAACCACCGTAAAGACTGACATTTGAAGCTGCGTTTGCAACACCAGCACCTAAATTATATCAGTAATAACTCCGTAACAAAAGACCATACTCACCAACTCTAAACATTGGAATCAAACTTGAGATAGCAATAACAACACATCCAGCAAGGAGAGGGCCACCGAGGTAGAGATAAGTGTCATTCTTGCTGGTAGCACCAACGTATGATAAACTACCAATTACACCAGCCGTGTATAAACCAGCTCTAACCATGAGTGCAGGTGGGGCAATATAGAGCAATGGTGAGAGAGTGGCAGCTTGTGCGGCGTTAAAGAGGAACCAGAAAGCAGTTTTACCGCCTTTGTTATCTGGTGCGACAGATCTTAAACCCATAAGTGAACCAATTGAACCAACGAGAGAAATACCTGCAAATGCCCACGGATTCATGCTCATAAGTCTAGCGGTGACGTTTGATCTGAACAAACCAACGGAGAAGGCAGTGACGGTAGCTAAACCACCACCTAACCAAGTGAATGTCTCGTTCAAGTATTTAGCTTCAAATGGCGACAAACCGCCCTCTCTAGTCTCACGATTGAGTACGAAGTGGGTACCAAGGATGGTGCCACCGACGGCTAATGCAGCGGTGACGTACTTTGACTTAGCGTCAGGAGACGTGTTAAATCCTGACTTAGCTTCCTCGAAGGTGTATCTAGCGGATGGGTTGTTGTTGAAGCCGCCACCACCAATACGTGGTAATAGACGCTTTGAGGAGCTGCTAATGAAACGCTGTTGTATAGCGGCAGGCTGTAACTTTAAACAGCCTGTCCGTTGTACAGATTTGCTGATAGATTGTATTCCAACTTTAAACATAAGATGATGGTTACGTAAAAACGCTCATTATCGAAATATGTCGAATATTCCTGGAAAAGACGGTGAGCGAATAAAATAAAATGTTTTTTTAGTCATTTATTAACAATATTTAAGTTGATCGTAACCAGGTGTGTAGTTATTCTCTTATAATATCTAATTTACAGTATTTAGGAAGCCACAATCTATATAGTCGGTATATTGTCTTATTTAATAATATATCTAACGAATTACACAGGGAAATATCCCGGAAGCCGTCTCCGACGCCATCATATGGGAACTCATGTTACAAGCTGGCCCAGTCGCAAGTGTGCACCTACCAAAGGATCGTGTATCAATGTCCCATCAGGGCTTTGGTTTCTGCGAGTTTGTAAATGACGAGGACGCTGAATACGCCTGTAAAATCATGAACCAGATCAAGTTATACGGTAAACCAATCAGAGTAAATAAGGTCAGTATCTCCTCATGTACAATATCAGCGCCTATTAACAATCCGCAGGCATCAACAGACAGGAAACAAATCGATGTCGGTGCTAACTTATTCATTGGTAACCTCGATCCAGGTGTTGATGAGCGTTTGCTCTTCGACACATTCTCTACATTCGGTTTAATGATGGATGTAGCCAAAGTGAGTGTCTGCAATACTATATGCATTCCTCTTACGCCATTCAGATTGCTCGTGACGACACTGGCTACTCAAAGGGATACGGCTTCATCCAATATAACGACTTTGATAGCTCAGACCAAGCTATTTCGGCTATGAATGGACAATACCTCATGAACAAGCCATTAACAGTAGACTATGCATTCAAGAAAGACGGTAAAGGTGAAAGACACGGTACAGAAGCAGAAAGGATGCTTGCTGCAGAAGCTAAGCGCAATAACGCTCTACCAATGCCAGGAGCTATTCCTGGACAACCATTTATGCAATATCAGGGTATGTTCGCAGGTGCCCTATCTGGAAATGCACCTGTCATGCCTGGCCAACCAGCAGCCACCCCTACCCCTTATGGTTTTACTCCTGTTCCTCCACCAGCACCTTATGGATTTAGTTAATGATGTGTACTATAAATATTTATTGTCTTGCTTAGGATTGTATTGATTAGATTGTGGCGATTGTCTAAGGAAAACAAATTGCGTCGAAATCGATTGTCAAGACGGATATAGACTTTACTAATGAATATATACACAGCCTTAACCATTAAGTCATACACTGGCAGCTTCTTGCGTATCTCGGTGACGTAGTCCAAGCATATGCCCGAGATCTCCCCAACGAAAGTTAAACGGACTGTGGCAAATGCCGAGAATAAGTGACATAACCGAGAAATGTAGTAGTGATTCTAGATCATGGCGCGGGTGTCTCAATATGTTAACTTTAATTTGTGGCAAAGATAACGCAAATAGCAAGTTGTTGCATTGTAGATTATATAAATTACTATACGTTTTCTATATACTGTGATTTGAACACTTCGTAGTTTTTCGTAACAGTTGTATGTCTGCGTTCTCGTGCCTTTATTTGGGGTATTGCATGTGAAAGAATACAGACGAGTTTAAAATATCAATGTATACAATTAAACTACTTGTTTCTTTGTATAGCGCCAATCGATTACACTGTTCGGTCTAGCCAAACAGAGAAATCACCGTGACCGAGGAAGATTATAAGAGTATGCGATAAATGAGCAATATTGTAATAAAATACAGCAAAACTAATATATGTTTACCTATTATTGGCTTAATCGGGAGAAAAAAAAATGTGCCCTATATAAACAGATTGGGGATGAGGCTATCTTGATCAGTCACTCTCAACTCAGGACAAGAAAGCAAAGCAGGACAACATTAGATATGGAGTCAGCAAATGCTTATATAATTACGCCTCCATCGAGCGTTGCAGAGCTCTCTCCACCGCTCACGCCAAAGCAGCAAGCGGAATCGGAAGCCTACATTTCTGACGCAGATCTCCCACCAGCCTTGAACCCAGACACAGACCGTAAGTTGAATCCTTTATCACCATTAAATACACGTCTAATATCCAAAACAGGTCCAGTCGATGCTGATATCGAAGATAACTATGTACAAAGAACACTAGCAAATGCTAAACCAAAGCCACCAATTACTTGGTCAACACTCCTTGGAGAGGTGAGCATATATTTACTTACTTTCGCTCAACTAACGATCTAATCAGATAAACTATATCTCCACAGCACTCATTGCTGGCGTACCATTGATAACGATTTACGGTGCAATGACGACAGAATTGAAGTGGCAAACAGCCATTTTCAGTGTACTTTACTACTTCTTCACTGGTTTAGGTATTACTGCGGGATATCACAGATTATGGGCTCACAGAGCATACAACGCATCAACACCACTTCAATATTTCCTTTGTCTCGCTGGATCGGGAGCTTGTGAAGGTTCAATTAAGTGGTGGTCCAGAGGTCACAGAGCTCATCACAGATACACAGACACTGAACTTGACCCTTACAACGCCCACCGCGGTTTCTGGTACTCGCACGTCGGATGGATGTTAGTCAAGCCACGTATCAAGCCAGGTGTAGCTGATATTTCAGATTTGATTAAGAACCCAGTTGTTAGATTCCAACAGAAGCATTACGTCAAGTTGCTCTTAACAATGGGCTTCATTGTTCCAACTGTCTTACCTGGTTTATTGTGGGGCGATTACCGCGGTGGTTACTTCTACGCTGGTGCTGCTCGCTTATTGTTCGTCCATCACTCTACATTCTGCGTTAACAGTTTGGCTCATTGGTTGGGTGAACAGCCATTCGATGACAAGAACACACCAAGAAATCACTTCATTACTGCTTTATGTACTGTTGGTGAAGGTTACCACAACTTCCACCATCAATTCCCAATGGATTTCAGAAACGCTATCAGATGGTACCAATATGATCCAACCAAGTGGTTCATCAGCGTTTGTTACGCATTGGGATTAGCCAGTCACTTGAAGATGTTCCCATCAAACGAGATTAAGAAGGGTGAATACACTATGGAATTGAAGAGATTGGAGAGAGTCGGAGAAGAGATTAAGTGGCCAATTGATTCAAATGAGTTGCCAGTCATCTCCTGGACATCATTCCAAGAACAAGCTAAGGAGAGACCATTGATCTTGATTCATGGTTTCATTCACGACGTTTCATCATTCATGGATGAGCATCCAGGTGGAAAGCACTTACTTTCAAAGCAAATTGGTAAAGATGCAACGACTGCTTTCTTTGGTGGTGTTTACGACCACTCAAACGCAGCCCACAATTTACTTGCAATGATGAGAGTTGGTGTTCTCGATGGTGGTATGGAAGTTGAAGTACTCAAAATCGAGGAAGCACAAGCAAAGAAGAAAGAACAAGCGCTTGCGATTGTCAAGGATATTGAGAATGAAGATGAGCGTAGAGTCGCACACGAGAAAGCAATGCAAGATGTCAAAAGGATCGAAGAGGAAATGCAAAGTGCCTTGCTAAGATCACCACCAGAGCATATCAGAAATAAGAAAGCACAGGATTACTTCCCACCTTCACAACAACTTCACATAAGGAAAGCAAAGTGAGGGTTTGTTTCAAAACATTTACGATTTTTTCTTTTTGGTTATCGAGCAACGTGTATTTTGCTTTTTGCTTTTATTGATTATATAAGTACATTCATTATAGTAAAAAAATATTATTCTTCAATTAAATCCTCCTCATCGAACTGATCTTGGTCGTTCTTTTGTGATTGATGTTGACGTAATTTAGCTAGGTATATCTTCAAAACTTGGCTGTAATTTTCGAATCCGAGAGCAGACATTGAGTGTATAAGGTCTTCTCCATTGATAGTCTTTCTCTTCTCTAATAAACACCTGTCTTGTGCCTCAGAAGTGATGAAAGAGATAAACTCCGAAACGCATTCTTGCACGGATTCTTTAGCTTCTTTAGCAATTTTAACGTTATCAGGTAGAGATCTCTTCATTATCCTCGCCACATTCGCTATCTATAAGTATAAAATGAGTGTGAGTAGATGAAAAAGGTGATAACTAACAGGTAAAAACCTATCTTGCTCTTTAAATTGACCTAATTCAGTCTCTGTAAAGTTTGGCGTCTGACTTAGTGGCTCTATTGGACCTATAGGAACAGACATCTCTTGATAGTCAACAGTCAAGAGATGTCGAATAGGATAGTGAGCGATGTCTACAATGGAGTTATAGACGATGTAAGCAAGAATGTCAAGTACGATTTTGAAGAAATGGGTATTGAGGACGTCGTATTACAAGAATTAATAAAGGTCAGTATAGCAATTATCGTATCTTAGAAAGCTGAACTAGTCACAGATTTGGCACGATAAATTAGAAGCTAGCAACCAACAGCCAGATAATAAGGATGATTTGTTTGATAGTCTACTCTCACAGCAGCAGCAACTTCAACAGCAATCTAGCAAATCAAACAACAACAATAACAATAACAACGATGACGACGACGATGACAACCCATTAGGCTCCTCAGACGATGATAAAAAGAAAGGCAAAGACGCGGATGAGGACGCTATTAACTCAGATTTGGATGATGACGACGATGAGGAAGATAATGATTTGGATACGAACAACGATATCGTACTCTGTTTGTACGATAAAGTGCAGAGAGTAAAGAACAAGTGGAGAATGCAGCTAAAGGATGGTATTATCTCGATAAACAACAAGGACTACTTGTTCTCAAAGTGTTCGGGTGAATTCGAGTGGTGATCAGATTATTTATTGTATTATATTCTATTATAAATTAGTACGCCAAGTACTCCCGTCTAAATTTACCCCCACACTCCTCTTAGCCTCCACCATAAGGGTAATAGATGTCAAATAATTTGATAGCCCTCTCAGCGAATAAATTAGTCTTAATAGATGATTTAGATCAGTTTAGCGCTATAAACTTACAAAAATCGCTTCAATTGTTAGTACAATATGACAACAAGTTGCTATTAGCTGGTACAGACGGCGCTTTCTCATTTGATAACGCGCTGAACACCTTAAATCAGTTAGTTTTACCCGTAACTTCTATCTCTTCTACCAATTTAGAACCAATTACCGCTGTAGATGCATCATCCAACATTCTTTACTTTGCACGCGAAAATAACTTATATTCGAGCGATATACCAACAAAGCGGATACAACTAATCTATCAGGGCCATACAGGTGTTATTGTCGGTCTTTCCTTATCTAGAGATCAGACGCATTTGGCCAGCTGCTCAAAAGCTGGCGCTTTGATATTACATAGTATACACCAACAAACTTACAACATACTCAATTATCACCCACGCGAAGCTTTGTCTTATCTTTCATTTTCACCTCATTCTAATAATATCCTATGCACCGGTACATATTCAGGTAGTTTACTCATACACAATACGTCATTTATTGACGACTTCCCTTACTTAATATTTCCAAAATTACACCCATCGCCTATAACGGCGATCGACTTCTCCCAGGCTTCCAAGAGTCTTGTTGCGAGTGTGTCTCGGGATGGATGGATAGCTGTTGTCGACCTAGATAACAAATCAGTAATTAGAGTTATAAGTACTGGATACACACTTAATTGTTTGGCATTCGAGGGTGCTCTATTAGTCGCAGGAACGTCAGACGGTCGAATCTTGGTGTATAACTTGCGATCGGGAAACGCACCGCAGAATATCCAATGTTCGACAGAAGCAATCACTGGAGTAGTCTTTCAGAAAGACAAGCGGAAGTCTTCTGGACTAAGATCACGCGACTATGCTGTCCATTTCGCTGAACCCCTAGTAAAAGATGACAGAGGCGAGCAGCTCACAAGGGTAAAGAAGAGCAGTTCAAGTGGAAACCTCAGTCTGTTAGGACATAACAGACATTCAACGCACTCAACGAGCTCGCTCTTGAGTCAGGTCCAACCCCCAGCTCCACCACCTAAAGACCTCCCAGTGTACATGCCTTCCAGTGCGGGTGCGCTGCGCCCACAGGCAACACTCTCTGAGAAAGTCCACAGTGACGAATTATTACACAGTCGTCCGCGGAGGACGTCAACCAATCAACCACGGCCCGTGAGTATGGCAACGAGTAATGACAGTAACCTGGCAACCGTGAACGGTAACCTCAATGCAACTGTTCCACGCAGACGTCGGCATAGTAGCCGCTCGGAACGTCCGCGAGTTGAAGATCTTGACTGGCTCAAAGAGGCACGCGAAGTACGTGAGAAGCACAAATACACGACGTCCGCTCCAGTTAGCTACCATAATACCACAAATCTCAAGCGGTCTGGCAGTAGCGCATCTTTGCACCACTCAAGGACGAACTCATTGGATAAGGTTGATAAAGTGCAGAATCAGGAAGATGCCCTTAAGAAGTTGGTTGATAGTGCGCAGGCTCTCAATCTGAGTAGCGAAATACAAAGAGCACGGGATGTTCTCGAGGTAAGTAGTCTACTTCCCTTGTAAACAAAATTGACAATTCAGATGGATTACAAGTCGAAATTAGAAGCTTGCACTCAGGAGATACGCAAGCTACGCTCAGAGAATGCCCTATTAAGAAGAGAGAACGACAGACTGCGGCGGCAGTCGTAAATTATGTCATTAGCTGTACTATATATGATATCTATACACGCGATTCGTTTGCTAGCCGTCACCTGTCGAGGTTGATAGAATCCTAAATGATATTAGTGGAATTATTATTAAGACAATAGGACGTACTTTGAACTTGCTCTTGAGATGTACTTTCAATTCAGACATGTTCTTCTCACAATCGTCTGCCGCACTCTTGAGCTCCTCAATCGCTGAGTCAAGGGATTCACCATCAGCCTCAATTTGCTCCTGTGCTTTCTCTAGCGAGATGCTCACGAAAGCGTCTCCAAGCTTGTACCTACACGCATGTCAGTGTCTTCTCACAAGCGTATAAGCGCGTACAGCACCGGCGCATCCTCATCAGCGAGTTCCAACTCCATAGAAAGATCATCAAGCTGCTCGCGCTCAGTCTGGAACGTGTCAGTAGTGCATGTGGTCCTAGAATAACCGTACAGACCTTTCTATCAGTAAGGAGTTCCTCTATATCTTCCAGGCGTTTATTGTATTTCGAGAATGCATTTATCCTCGACTGGTCCTCTGTAGCTTGTTAGTTTTCTCAGTCTACATTCTAATGAGACAAAACACACCCCAAGTGACCTCCTCTGTGGCATCTGCCTGTTCATTTCCGAGCTAATATATAAGTATAGACAATATACTGATAATATACCCACCATAGATAACGAGCTCATGACTGTCAACCTTGAACAGCATCAACGAGGGCGAAAATGATAAGAATAGAGGACAGTATATCCGGGATTAACATACAGAAAACATGGCTAATGACGCAGCCAATAAAATACCTCTACATCTTTGGAGTATGCTTATCAATCGTATTGTTAGCCCCACTATGGGCCATACTCGATTATCCGCTCTCGAATCGACCTTCACCGGATTGGCCATTAAGCAGATGTATACGCATACGCGCCTTTAGGATGATCGAACCCACTATACCCCTCTGCGCATTCGACAGAGATCTGGGACGTTTGCCGACCCATATGCCTATCGTAGCTTTACTTAGGAGGTCTAAATTCAATTGGATACCACCTTTATCTGGAAAATGGCTCAATGAGTGGCTCTCGAACTTGATAGATAGTGTTGAGAAACTGCGTATCACAAATGAGGAGGAAGTTGGCGTACTTAATGCACGCTGGCTAATGGATTATACTCCTAAACTCGAGAGCTGTCGCCCTACTCAAATACCGGGATATATGTACTTCGATGAGCGGGTGCTGCCTCTCACAGCCCGTGATGCAGGCTACCCGGTCGGAAATGACGAACGAGTTATGCTACAATTCCATGGTGGTGGTTATGTTGTCGGCAGTGCACACGAAACGGACTCAACCGCGCCTCTTTGCAAGGATTTCATAAAGTACAATGCCGTGCAAAGGATATATAGTGTCGACTATCGTTTAGCTTGGTATGCACCATTTCCAGCAGCGCTGGTAGATGCTCTCAGCGCATGGGCGCACCTCGTCGAGGATCTTGATATACCAGCTTCACAAATCATCGTCAGTGGGGACAGTGCGGGAGCAAACCTGGCACTTGCTTTGACGACATACCTCCGTGATAATGGCTTTGCGCTCCCTGCAGGCCTTGCCTTACATTCTCCCTGGACGGACATGACATTCTCCCGTCGATCTGAACAGTCGTTTAACGAAAACAGCAAGACAGATATTCTCGAAAAGACGCTAGCACCCTACGCTGTGAAGATGCTCACTCGTTATGTGGGTGTGGATATGATACACTCGCCCTATCTTTCCCCTCTCTCACGGGAAAACTGCAAACGTAGTGAGACATTCAAAGGGTTCCCACCATGCTTCGTTATCGCAGGCGAGTGCGAAATGCTGCTTGACGAGTGTCGCGATCTCCATTTGTCTCTCGTGAAGGCAGGTGTGAGGTCATCTTTCCATATCGTCAAAAGGGGCGTACATGACCCTGCGATGTTTGATAGTTGGCAGGAGCCTGAGAGGAGTGAGATGTTTCTCTCTTTAGCAAGGTATGTATGTTGTTAATACAAGAACGATTTGTTGATATACTATATAGCTGGATCGACGGATTATTCAGAACGACGAAAGACTATGGATTAGATGAAGAGGTGTAAAATGTAAAATGTAAATGTAGATTAAATTCCCAATCTTTCTTCTAAAGTTTGCTGCTGCCTGCGTCTCTCGTTTGCCTCAATCGCGTTGTAAGGAGTGTCAATAGATTGTCTGGTCGTATCTTGCGGTTTACTTGATTTATTCTGTAAGTCTTTACTAAATTCTAATAAATCCTGCTGAGTGAGCGTTATCTCGGTTGGATTCCGTCGGAGCATTCTGATTGGTCGGCGAAAGAAGACGAATTTTGCGCTGGCCGCGTCACTTCTTTTTCCTCAACAGCCAAGTGCATGCTTCTTACTGGCACAACTTCTGAAGAGTTCGTCATATTTTTATATTATCTATCTTTCTAATAAACTATTAGCTACATTTCCGACGCAGTTTACAAATCACTCAACTACTAAGATGCTTTTCAAACAATTCAACAAGCTTACTACATTCAACCATATTAGAAAATTCGCCACGCAAGTTTCGCAGTTCACCCCTGCAACTTTGCACCTCAAGTCTGGACAGTCCTTCACTGGTAAAGCTTTCGGCGCTGACAAGTCTTCCTTCGGTGAAACCGTCTTCACGACCTCTGTAACCTCATACACAGAGTCAATGACAGACCCTTCATACAAGGGACAGCTTCTTGTTTTCACTACCCCTCTCATTGGTAACTATGGTGTGCCACTCAACCCATCAGGCAAGGATGGTAGATACACACCAGAAATGTTCCTCGAGAGCTCCGGTATTCAATGCTCTGGTGTTATTGTCGCAGACGTCGCTGAGAAGTTCTCCCACTACGAAGCCGTTGAAAGTCTTCACGACTGGTGCAAGAGACACAATATCCCAGGTATCACTGGTGTAGACACACGTGCTATCACTACCATTTTGAGAGATCAAGGTACTACTCTTGGTCAAATCGCTGTTGGTGAATCTCACAAACAGTCACCAGAAGAATACTTTGATCCATCACCAATTAACTTGATAGCCGAAGCTTCAACTAAGGAAGCCTACACACTTAATGAACAAGGTGATGTTCATGTCGCAGTTATGGACTTTGGTTCAAAGGCTAATATTATTCGTGCTTTATTGAAGAGAAACGCAAAGGTTACTGTTTTGCCATGGGATTACGATTTCTATAGCGCTAGAGACAACTACGATGCATTATTCTTGTCAAATGGTCCAGGTGATCCACGTCACGCATCAGTTGCAGTTGAAAATCTTGCTCAAACTGTAAAAGAATGGAAGAAACCTATCTTCGGTATTTGTATGGGTCACCAATTGTTGGGTTTGGCAGCTGGTTTGGAAGCATACAGAATGACCTTCGGTAATAGAGGACACAATCAACCAGTTTTGGCATTGTCAGAATCAGGTTCAATTAAAGCTGGTAGAGTTTACGTCACATCACAAAACCATCAATATGCATTGAAATTAGAAGAACAATTCCCAGATGGTTGGGAGCCATTCTTCATCAACTGCAATGACTCATCTGTTGAAGGTATCAAATCAACCGATAAGTCAGGTAAACAAATCTGGGGTGTTCAATTCCATCCTGAAGCATTCGGCGGTCCTTTAGATACAATAGATATGTTCACAGACTTTGTTGATGCTGCTAAGAAAGGTAAATCTATTTAAATGATTCCATAACGGAGTCTGTACATTCATATAGAGATTTTAAGTGAGAAATGCATTCTTTTTCTAATGTTTCATCTGAGCTGTTTTTGTGTTGTTGTAAGCATTGGTCGTAGTTGTTGATGATTGAGCCACATTTCTCTTTGACAGCCTTGAGTTGTGGTACACTGGAATGAATATTAGTAAAGTAAGACTATCGAGTGTCGCCATTACCTGTTGTCTGCACATTTTGTAAGTTCATCTCTCTGTGGCTTACAAATAGCATTCCAATCTTGCTGTTGATTTGATAGTATACAGGATTGGTATTTCTCCAATTGTTCTGAACATTTTTGTGAAATGGTAGACAAACTACTGTCCATTTTGCTGTTAAATAATGACTTTTTGGAACTCAAGCCAAATAAAAGAGTGTAGGAGTCTAGAGGAGTACAATAAAATAAAAAAATTGGATAAATCTAAATTAAAGGATGATTATTATAAATTAGAAGTTTATTCAATCAATATCTTGAATAAGTTTGGCAAGAAAGTTACAAATAGGCAGCGGGTTTTGAGTACAGCCAGTGTATACTTGAAGAGGTTCTATTTATTTAACAACTATCTAGAAACTGATTTATATCTTATTATAATTACTTGCTTATACTTATCCTCGAAAGTCGAGGAATTACCCTTATCGATAAAGTATATAACAAATGAGTTTAATAAGCAATTTAAAACGACCTACAAGATACAGGATATTTCTAAAATGGAGTTCAACCTTATAAATGATTTGGATTATAATTTAGTGGTTTACCATCCAGATTTCAGGCAGTTTCATCTCGAAGACAAAATAAACAATCTTTGTTATTACATCTTGAACGATATCTACAAAACTAATCTTCTATTACTGTTCCAACCATATACCATATCAATAGCAATTATAGTATTCGCTTATTCCATACAAAACAATACCGAACAATCATCTCAGCTGCTATCACAACTAAACGCAGATTTGGATATTATACAATACATTATACAAGAGATATTGAAATTATATAAATTATTACCAACCATAGTTGATAATGATATCTATGATTTGTATTTGAATTCACATTTTTAATTTTATTCTTTTTTATTACACACCGAATTCTGCTCTTTTCGGTGAATTCTATGTTGAAAAATTCTATAAACCTACTATCAAAATCTATTAGAAGAATGTCTACAGTACCATTACCACAAGATTATAACTCAGTCTTATACAAATCATTAGCTCAAGCTGATCCTGAGATTGATCAAATCATCAAGGATGAAACTCATAGACAATTCACTGGTTTAGAGTTAATCGCTTCAGAGAACTTGACCTCTTTAGCTGTCTTAGAAGCTAACGGTTCTATCCTTTCAAACAAGTACTCTGAGGGTTTGCCAGGTGCAAGATACTACGGTGGTAACCAACACATTGACAGATTAGAAAGATTGTGTCAACAAAGAGCTTTAGAGGCTTTCGATTTAGATCCAAAAGTTTGGGGTGTTAACGTACAACCATACTCGTACGTCGTTCCTTACTAGACTCATGACTCAGATTAACAACTAATACAGCGGTTCAACAGCTAACTTTGCTGCTTTCACTGCCTTGATCCAACCACAAGATAGAATCATGGGTTTGGGATTACCAGACGGTGGTCACTTGACTCACGGTTACTACACAGCCAAGAAGAAGATTACCGCATCCTCAATCTACTTCCAATCATTCCCATACCAAGTTGACAGATCAACCGGTTTGATCGATTACGAAACTCTCGAAACCAACGCCAACCTCTTCAAGCCACGTCTTCTCGTTTGTGGTGGTTCCGCTTACCCAAGAGACTGGGATTACGCAAAATTGCGTAAGGTTGCTGACCAACACGGTTCATACTTGATGATGGACATGGCTCACATTTCTGGTCTCGTTTCCGGTAAAGTTCAAAACTCACCATTCGAATTGTGTGATGTCGTCACCACCACAACCCACAAGACTCTCAGAGGTCCAAGAGCAGGTTTGATCTTCTTCCGTAAGGATAAGGAACCAGAATTAGAACAAAGAGTAAACTCATCTGTTTTCCCTGCTTGTCAAGGTGGTCCACACAACAACACAATCGCAGGTATTGCCGTCGCATTAAAGCAAGCTGCTTCACCTGAATTTAAAGAATACGCAAAGGCTGTCATTGACAACTCAAAGGTTCTCGCTGAGGAATTAGTTAACTACGGTTACAAATTACAAACCTCAGGCTCAGATAACCACCTCGTACTTTGGGATTTACGTCCATTAGGTATTGCTGGTTCTAAGATTGAAACTATTTGCGACTTATTGCATATCACACTTAACAAGAACGCTGTTGCAGGTGATACCTCTGCTGTCGTTCCAGGTGGTGTTAGAATTGGTACTGCTGCATTAACATCAAGATCAATGAAGGCACCTGAAATGAAGAAGGTTGCTGAATTCCTTCACCGTTCAGTTCAAATCGCTTTAGAAGCTCAAAAGGCAGCAGGTAACAAACTTCTTAAGGACTTCGTTAGAGTTGCAAACAACGACGAAAAGATTAGTCAAGATGTTAAGGCACTTAACAAGGAAGTTCACGATTTCTCAACTCAATTCCCTCTTCCAGGTGTACCAGACTCATCTGTAATTCAACCAGCAAGCGTCTAAGAAGTCTTACATCTTGTTTAGTTTTCATTTATCATTTTATGGGATCATCTTTCTATGTAAAAAAATATAGTTTTTGGAATATATACATTTCAACATGTTGAATAAATTATTGCTTTTATATTATACACCTTCAAGTAACATTCTTTCACTTGCTGCCTTCCTATTATGTTTACAACTAGGTAATTGGTCAAATATAATTGTCTCTTTTTGTAGCTTTTGAGCAAGTGGTGGTGATAACACTACTGATTGAGATTTAAATTGCGAATGTTCAAATACATCTTCTAAAATTTGTCTATTTTGATGTTTATACTGTGATGGAGTTGGGTACGATACACTATTATTGCTATTATTACTCTTATTACTATTACTGTTGGTGTTACTGCGACTATTAATAACTTCTTGTGAATCTGGTACATGACTTATATCTGCAACTTCTTGTGTCGCTTTGAAGAAAGCAGTGTCGTTACCATCATCACCTGCTATAGGTGGGAATTGACTTTGTGATAATCTGAAACTAACCTCCTGAGATACAATTGGAGGGTCAATTTGAGACACATTTGGTGGCTCCATCTGAGATCCATCCCGAACTACATTCGGTATACTTGATCCTATACTAACCACAGAATATGACGATGGTGGTATATCTCCCTGACTATGTATTCTATTTGAAGTTTGATTATCTCCCGATATTGGTATTGATGAATAAGGCGAGCTGATATGACCTGACATCGGTAAATTAGTTATATTACTACTCTGTGTATTGTCTAATGCGAACGCCTCATCGTGTTCAAGCTCATCGTCGAAATCATCACTGAATTTTAGAGGTGCCTTGCGTATATTCTTATATTGCTCACTTTTATGACGCATCCTCACACCCTTACCAGGCTTGCGTATCTCCATGTCCTCATCTTCTTCTATTACTACACTACTGCTTGTATGTAGAGGTATAGGTGTTGGAAGTGGTTGTTCAGATGATACTAGTGATAACTGAGATGGCTGAGATGGTTGAGAATTAATTTGCGATCCTGGCTGTGACTTTGAATACGAATCTGATTGTGGCACTACTTCTGCTTCTGGCTGTTGCGCTCGCTGTGATACTATCTTCAGTTCTGATTGAGAACGCGTGCGCACCTGCGCTTGCCTTCGCATTTTCAGTTGCGATTCTTTCCAATGCGCATACATGGTCGTAGAGGATACTGGCTCAGGCTGTTGCTCTTCCATTTCCTGATTTTGTTTGGTTAGATTCCTGGTCACCTCAGCTTGAGAATGTTCTTCTGTAACCATTGATGTATCCGAACCATTGAACTGTTTTGATTGCTGATTCGCAGTATCAACCCTTTGAAGGCTCTCCCTTGATTTATCTCCGGCGCTCGGTAGGAAGAACCCAGGACTAACACTTTGGAGTACTGGTGCTGGTGTTTTATCAAGATTACTTCTGTTATCGCTAGATGGAAGAATGTCCCTCCTACTGTGTTCTTCTTTGTTATTTCTGATGGTAGCTATTTGTGGCCGAGTGAAAACCTCTTCAGGTATCTTTGGTGGCTGTTTCTCAGATATTTGCGGCTCGTTAGAAAGCAGTAAGGATGATACAGGTACAGATTGGGAAGTATGGACAACCTCTGGCTTAGCAACCTCAGATGTTGATCCTGTGGAATCTATGTCCATCTTTTCTTCTCGCGCCTGTGCGTCATGTGAGCTTTTAGCATGGGTGCGTGAAATTGACTGTGAAGTGAAGTAAGCTTCATATCCCATAGGTTTCACCTTAGACTGGTTGACTTCTCTAACTGCGTCTGGGTCAAATACTAAACTATGTTAATCACACAAAAAATCAGATGATTGAGTGGTCTACATACCTCCTTTCCGTGCCAACTCCTGTTGTTGATCTTCTGACATCCAGCAGCGCTCTTCATCGAGTGTGAAGTCCTAAATCGTGTCAACGGAGACATCACCAGAGCGGCACACATACCAAAGGCCATTGAGAGTGACGGAAGAGTGTTTTGTTCGGATTATGCACAATTCTTTCCTCCTTGCTTGTTTTATTCTCTTCCAGTTTTACTTTCTCCTCCAGGGCTGGCTTCTCATCAGATTTTGAACCTTCAATCTCGTCTTGCGTTGCATTTCTTGATAGCTGCTATCATTTTACTCAGAAAATAACCCATAAATCATTATACACTAACCGCTGTCTCGGATCGTGATCGCATAATGCTCGATTTCCTAAGCAGGCTCGCAGCCGAAAGACTGGAGCTACCTGATCGTCTTGTTTTATTGAGCTACAAAAATAATCTAGCCAAAAGTACCTACAATTGATTCCTCACAAAGTCAACAATGAGTTGCTCGGCCATAACGTCTTTGGGATCGCCAAAGACAGGTTCACCAAGGCAGCCTTCGTACGTAAAAGAGTCTACGATTAGATATAAATGTGGTTTCCTCTTGATGCCGCCTTCGACTTGCTGCTCGATGATAGCTATCTCTGCATGCCATTTACGCAAGAATACAATAGAACCGCTTAATTGTGTGAAACGTAATTCAGCTTCTGTTTCGAAATTCTCCAAAGCAGATTTTGTAAAGTAACAGGGGATTTTGTCGCGTTTATCACTCGCTATTGCCCACCAAAATTCTGATGAATCAGTGTTATCTTCAATTGGTTTACCAGCCCTCGATAATTTCCTGTACTATCGTACACTCTACGTGAGATGAATGTTAAGGGAATACAACGAAACGCACCTCAACAAGCTGCAATTTCTTTGGTTTCGTTGGGTAGTTCTCAATTTGGAGTCCAGTCCATGTGTACTCCTTATAATACTTTTTGAACCAATCTACGATCCAAGACGATAAGCTATCCATCTTGAGTGTTGCATAACAAGGATGATTATACTCTAAATTACGTCAAGCAAAGGTTTTATGAATAATTCAGGGTATACTATGGTATTAAGTTACAATAGACGCGTTGTAAAAGTAACCAACTGTAGTTCTGGGTCTGTACACCGTTTACGAGAATATCAGGTGCTTCAAAGATATTGTAATGATCCATAAGAATATTTATATTAGTATTAATATAACATACCACCTTGAAGATTCAATTTCCAACGCCGACATTTATGACAAACGATTTGCAACTTTTGTCATTAATCAAGCAATTTGAATATCTCAGTAAATTTGGAGACGAATAATGAGATGAGAAGAACTTATCTATGCTAGATACATTAAGGTAAATACATGAAGGCGTAGTTACTGAATGCTATACACTCTGTCACTTCTGCGTTGACTCGTCAACATATGTTGTCATTAAGAAAAATCCCGACATTGCATAATTTTGTATGCGAAGGTACAAAACAAAGTTTCCTATATAAACCAGAGAAACCTATAAGTTTATTTTTGGATTTATGTGTTGATAGACATATATTCCTAGAAATTTTCGAAGCTAATTTATCTGTATTCTTTACCTAATTATAGCCAACGATAAATATTCCGCACGCGGTTCGCGAAAAAAAAAGGAATAAGGTCATACTAGGAACATAAGTAAATTTGTTAAGAGGAGAAAAGATCCATTCTTAAGAGAAGGTTAAAGGAAAGTACAAATTAAATAATTTTAAAGAGCGTTATTGATAAGAATTAAATTAGAAGTAAGAAGTAAGTTGCAGTGTAATAATGATTAATTGTTATGCACAGTTAGTTGAGATATAACAGATCTTGTTCTTCTAACGGTCTTCTTGAACGGGTTAACAGGAGGTTGCAGTTCATCAGATAAATGTTCGACGGGTGCCATATCCGCTTTGCTTTTTACTTTATCATTTGATGATACGAATGTAGACTTCAGAGGTGACGCGGTTTTTGGTTGGAATAAACCTCCAAACCACTTCGGAGTTTTCAGATTATTATCGAATGCTTCAGGATCGCTATAATCTTTTGGTGTTGCAGGGTTCACTATACTTGAGGAACGCGTTCTGGATAACTTAAACAAGTTACCTAAACTTGATTTGCGTTTGGTTTGTTGATTGGTAACGAATGGTAAAGTATCTCGGCGTATATTCAGATCATCTTGAACATCTGGAATATTGGTGTCATTAAATTCTTGTTTATTAGGTGGTGCACTGTGTACTGGTATAAAGGTTGATTGATTGGTAGGTGAAATACCAAATTGATCATCTTCCTTCGAATGTTTATGTGTATTTAACAACGATGGACTGAAAATGTTTAATTTGAATGATTTATTATCATCCTCACTGTTGACTGGCTGTTGATTTTTAGGTCCACCAAATCGTAAGCCGAATAAACTAGGTTTACGATTTGGTTGTTGGTTATGCTTAGAAGAATGATCAAATGATTTTACAGTTCGAAGAATCTGTTTTGTCTTACTTGTGTTACCATTTGAATTAGTCTCTAATGCGCTTTTTGGTGGAAGTGGTGGTGGTAAAGGTAAATTATCGCTAAGGGGTGTCCGTTGACCTGATACAGATTTACTTATTGGACGAGGAGGTAAGTGATTACTGTTTCCGCTGTCATCTGATTCAACACCTGAGTCATCATCAAGAACGATTTGAAATGGTTTTTGGAATTCAAATAAATCAACTTTAAGCGATGCTGGAGCTGGCTTTTTGCGTAATGTTCTATTTCCAAGCGGAACATTAGAATTTCGTAGCGGTGACTCAATTGATTGTAGAACAGGAGAGTCATCAATGTTTTGTTGTTCTCGCTGATGTTTACTATCAATCGACCTCTTCCTATTGAAACTAATGGAACTTGCACCACTAAACCTGGATCTGCCCATACGATCTGATGATATAGAAGGTGGATTGAAATTCTCATTGGCCACTGGAATTAATCCACCTGCTGCAATATCAACATGTCCTATACTAGCAGCAATACTTGCCGCAAAGGAAGAAGATGGAGTGTCCATAGGAAAGTTAAAATGAGGGGACTCTTCGATTTGAGTGTTTGGTTTCTTGAAAATTTTAGTATCTAAAGTATCGGTGCTACTTTCTAATGGTAAACGTTTTGATGCAGTGCGTACTGAATTTGCACGTAAAACTTGATCCTCTTTCATTGGAGATTCTATACTTGAGTGTTTTAAATTATATTCCGGAATATTTTCATTTTCTTCAAATTTATTTTCATTGGTTACTTCACCAAGTGCAGGTTTACGAGCTTTATGTGGAGTAGGTGCTTTTGGACGATTCTTATCACTGAATGCGACATCATTAGGATTATAATTTTCATTATTTTCCGACAATGGCTGACGTTTGACCGGTTCTAATGGAGTGTTCATTGATCTTTCACCAAGTGCTGCCGGCTTTGACACTTGTAATTGAGCTGGTTGACGATGATTCTTCGTTGAATCCTGATTACGTTCCCATGCTCTACTTTCGTCAGATGCGCCGGCTTCCATTTGTGCCAATTCTTCCAAGGATCTTCTATCTCTGAAACGTTCAAGTAACAAGTACAACCGCTTTTCTATCGTATAACTATATAGTATGATTAATTGCTGTAATTTAAGGTTAATTGAACTCACCCTTTTGTTGTTAAACGAGAACGAATGGTTTCTTCACTCTCACTTTGACAAAGTACCCTTATACTACTAAAAATTTCATCATCAATATCTGTTATTTCTTCGGAAAATCGTTGTAAAGATTCATTATATTCAGATAATTGATCAGACTGAAAACTCATGCGTGACTTCTGTGATGAGGTAGAGGGTAATAAAGCTGCGGGTATACTGTCTGTTGACATTGGAATAGGTGGTGGTAATCTGGTGAAATAAGGATGTTTCAAAATTTCTGGCATTGTTATTCTTTCCGACGGATCTGAAGTTAACATCCTCAATAAAAGATCTCTAGCGTTTGCATGTGTTGGACCATCTAACTCATGCGGCATCTCAAATTTACCTAATTTTACTTTGCTCAGAAGTACGTGTAAACTATAATGAAGTTAATCCAAGTGAAAATTTTAAGTATCACACTAACTTCTCGTCATGAAATGGTAATCTACCAGTTAATAAAGCGAAAAGAATGACACCGCAAGACCAAACATCTGCCATATGACCAACATATGGTTTACCTTGAACTACCTCTGGACTTGCATAATGAGGACTACCGCAACTAGTTTTTAATAATTTACGGCCTTTCTTTGTTTTACGTTTAGATATAACGATATCTTCTCCCGCTAGAGTAGCCATACCAAAATCAGCTAATTTGATAGTTTGACGATCTTTCGCTAATAAAATATTTTCAGGTTTGAGATCGCGATGACATAGTGCAAGATTATGAACGTGATTAACAGCATACATCAATTGTTGAAAAAGCCTGAGAGCTTCATCTGGAGGTAAGGCGCGTGAAGGTGGAGGTTGACCAGGTTTAGCTCTTGCGGCATTCTTTTTTGCTCTCTCAACTAAGTGAGAAAACAGTTCACCACCTGAGGCATATTCCATGATCATATAAATATAGTCTGTAGTTTCCCAAACATCATATAAACTTGTAATATTTGGATGATCGATCTAAAAATCAAGGTTAAGGATAAAATACTTGTGAAAAAGAAAAAACAAACAATTTTCATGACAGCAATTTCGCGTTCAATTGCTCGTAAAGCTCTCCAAGGATCATCATGATTTGAACTTTGTTTTGGTGCTAAAGAAGATTTGGCAACAATTTTAATTGCAGCTAATTGGTGAGACTTTCTATGTTTCGCGAGCTTAACTCTGCCTAAAAAGAATGGAATATGAGTGAATTGATAATAGTTAATGTGATAAACCTACAAGCCGAACTACCTTTGCCAATAGTTTTCAATAGCTGCCAAGGACCTATAGTTTCAGGATGATGCTGAGATGTTTGCGAGGATTTTTTTGGGGATTTATTTGACATTATGGTTCTATAGTAATAATCTAACTAATTAAAATTAAATTTCTGAATTAGGTCGAGTTATGAATATCACATCTTCAAAGATTCCAAACAGTCTATTATGTCATGAAGGATGAAAATCGCATAAAGGGCAATAAATTGATTCCTTTCGTTTAATTTTTTTTATTTATATTTTAAGAGAATGAATAGAGAAGGGATATAATCGTTCAATGAAAATAAAAAATTAAATCATCGTCATTGTCAATTGTTGAAACTCAGGTAACTAGATGATAAACGACAATGAATACCAATAAAAAAGTCAAACAAGCGAGAGTTTATTTGAATGATTTAAATAGTAAACCTTTATTAGTTGAAGTAACCAAAAGTTATATCGGCCTCGATTTGATAAAGTATGCACTCTCCACTAGAAACTTAATAATAGAAAATCCTAAAAACAAAATCAATTTAATTGAATTTAACAATAATTGTTTTAGATTTATTAGGAATTTTGAGAACTTATTTGATCAAATTACTAACTGGTATGACGATAATAACTACTTTTTAGTAAACTCAAAGAAAAACTATTTAAAAGATTCTTTATCAGTTAGTAAATCAATAAATGTCTCAATATTTCATCATAAAGAGGTACTATTTCAGTTAGATTCACGTAAATGGGTTAAACGATTTCTGATTCTAGAGAATAACAATTTATTTATCTCTAAATCTGATAAACATAAAGATAAGCAATTCTTATGTAATTTGTTATCTTATGACGTATACTCATTCAAAGAATTATACCCCAATTGCCCTAAACCAGCTAGGATCCTCGACGATACTTTGTATGGTCACTTATTCTTAATAAAAAGTCAAGATAACCACTCATTATTTGAAAAATCCGAAGATATCCAACATCTTTTCGCTGCCAATGATTCAAATGAATCTAAAGAATGGATTAAAGCCATTACTCAAGCCAGAGTTAGTTCAATACTTTGATTATAACTCCGTCCAGCTGACTTACATCGTAGACCAATGCTATAATTAATGAAAAGCCCTGGTTATTCAAGAATCCAATTAAAAACCAAGACAGTAGCCCAGAATTCAAAACGAAACTTACACCAACTAAGTCAATTTCGCGTTCAAACTCTCAAGGTAAAACTATGTCACGGTCAAATTCACTGTTTAAGCCAAGAGATAATCAACAAACATTAATCAATTTGAAAGATGAATCAATTTTCACTCAAGGTAGTTTGTTAGCTAGACGTGAATCAGAAAGAGCACCATCATTTTTAAAACACGATCCATCGTTAAAAGCAAGTAAATCAAATGTTACTCGTAAACGTTCAGGTACTTTGAACTTGACGCATTCAAGTAAATCGAGATAATTTCCGAGCTTATCTATATACAATTAATAATGAAAGTAATAAAGTGATGAAATAATACAGTTAAAAATTACATTAATACGCCAGAGCCAACGGCTGAAGCCATATTTGAAATCGAATCAGATGAATTAGTGAAATATTTAGATTCCTCAATCTGTATATGCTTTAATGCACAATCTTTGCCAAGATCACTCTTATCTTTGATGAAATTGTTAGTGAATTTTCTTAATAATAGATATACTTACGATGCCGAGCAAGTCCGTCAATACGAGCAAACTTTTTACTACAACCTAAACACTTGTATGGTTTATTGTTATCCTGATGTAAGGCCTCATGCCTTTTCTTATCATGTTGTCTCGCAAATGCTTTGCCACATCCATCAAACGAACAAACAAATGGTCTTTCATTTGTATGTGACCTCATATGTCCTTTAACTTTGTATAATAACATTAGTTTGAGATTAAAAAAGAAATACATATTACTCACGATTAAATTGCCTGGTAAAACTAGATCCACAACCAGGTACTTCACATACAAATATTTTTGGCGCTTTCCCATCTGCATTATGTTTCCTACGTGAATTTGATGCAATCCTAGTACGATCCGTGGTAGGTTTTGCGGTAAGTATAGGTTTTTCACTGAAATTAGTTGAAACACCTCTAGCTGCGCTCATATTTGAGTTCATGGTGGCTGCAACAGGTGTTGGATCATCAATAGAGTTATCATTATCATTATTAGTTGGTAATAATAAGGTGGGTAACATGGTTGAAGAATTACTTGAATCATTCTTTAACTGGGTGGATTGAGCCGCAGGTGAAGAATGAATTGAATCAACATGTACTATTGGTGGGGGTATAATATTAACGCTATGATTATAAATATTCATATAATCATTGTTAAGTTCATTTGGGTAATCAAGTGAATTTAGATCTGGCTGTGAATCAACGTATAAAGATTGTGTAGGTGGACTATTAAAATTGTTATCAGGTGGCGAACTTGTGAAATTATTTGGTGGACTACTATATAAACTTGAAGATGAAGTGTTATAAGGACTATTTGATTGCATATAAGTGAAAGTTGTATGCGCTACGTTATCAAATATATTCGTACTACTGTCAAATGGAGATTGATCATGTAAATTATTTGGTGAAACTGATTGTTGAGTATTTTGATTAGATTCTATCCAAGGAAATTCTAAATCATTTAAAGGATTTGATTGAGATTGTTTATCCTGTTGGTCAACTTTATAATCAGGTTTTAAACGTAAACCATAATTTGGAGTACCTGCGCCTTCTCTACCACCGGACCTACAACGTCTATGACCGAAAGATCTACCAAGCGAGTATTGTTTGGGAGATTGTTGTTGTGGCTGTTGTTGTTGTTGCTGTGGCTGCTGTGGTAGTTGTTCTTGTTGTTGATAATCAAGAAAATTTTGTGGAGGTAAAGGTGGAATTGAGTCAGAACTAGACCTAGGTCTATTCTGAGTAGGGAAAGAGAATGGCTGACCTTTTAATTCGTACTCAACTTGAGTTGGAGTCTTAGCAATAGGAGTTGCTTCAATAAAGTTCAAATCGGGGATATGATCCGGTATTTGCAAAGTGGCAGGTTGTTGATTATGCTGGTTGTTAAAATTCAAGTTGCTAAAGCCATAGTCATCGTTATCATTGATGTTTGAGTCGTAACTCGAGATTGAGGGAGACCTTGATCTAGAAAAAGATGAAGCAGCACTAGAAGCAGGGCTCTGGGGGAATTGAGAGTTTAAGAAATCGTTATCTTGATAGCTACCAGCGTAGGAAGGTGTGTGAATTTCGTCAGCTGAATATATACCGTTTAAGTAAATTAAATTGATTAAAAAAAGAAAAAGACGTACGATAATTTATACTATCCCTATCTTGACTAATTAAATCACTCAATAAATTCTCAAATTCTAATGTTTCTTGTCTAATCGGTCTTGGTGGAAGTGCCATAAGCCTTGAATTAGTTCATTGATGGTTAATAACAAGAAGAAGAAAGCGACGAGAGCGTGCTTTAGTTGTCAGAAAGCACACTTAACTTGCGATGATGGTACTCTTTATTTATTTATTTACCTTTTACTTATCAACTAATAGATAGACCATGTAATAGATGCGTGAAGCGTGGTTTGGCTGATCAGTGTAAGGATGGCCATAGAAAGAAACCTAAGTACATTATGGACGATCAGTTCCAATCAAATTCAGCTAATTCTGAATATAACGTCTTAAATGAATTACTAGGTTCAATGGAACCAGCCAATACTCGAAGAGATCAATTAGCTAGTATTAATTTACAGCCTATCAATCAATCCATTGAAAATCTAGACGTATACAATCAAGTAAATCAAAGGTACCCCTATGAGCTCGGTTATAAACATTTATTGAATTACTTGAAGTTCAACAATCAATTCAGTCAATTAGAAAAGTTAAATGTATTCAAAGCATTAGCAGAGTTTAGACCCTCTCTATTGTCTTTACAACTTAATTTAAACGAGCAAGATGAAATTTTTGCCGAAAAGTCCTTTAAAAGGTCAATTTTGGACATTGATAACTTAATTAAATCTATAAGTGCACCAACAGTGTAAGTTTACTTTATCTTGTTTTGAAAATTTCTAATAAACACCAGTGTTTGGAGAAGAACAGGTGAAATTAGTTTAGTTGGTGATGAATTTCACTATATCACCGGTTATGATAAAAACCTTCTACTGAATAAACCAACGTATATCTATGAAATAATGGAACCTACTTCCGCAGTTGAATAGTTGAGTTAAATGTCTTTTGTTTCGTTCCATACTAACTAAACTAAAATTAAAAGTTGGCAACAATTCTCAAAGCACGCTTTTGATTCAACTAGTCCAACAGTAAACTCTCATTGCATTCTAAAGCATGCAAATGGTAGTCCAGTACCTTGTACCTTCTCATTCACGATAAGGAAAGAGTAAGTAGTACGATCTAAATAAAGTATATTACTGAGCCATAATTCAGCATATTCGATATTCCATCTTATGTTATTGGTACGTGGTTACCAATTTTACCTCATGAACCCGATGAAAGCGATGACATCAAGTTTGAGAGTGATGAATATGAAATTGATCAAGATATCGAGGATAAATTTATTGATCAGCAAAGTTTCATTGAGCCCAATGCGATTTATCAGAATGACCCAGTATAGTAAGACAAAAGCAATTAAACTTATTGTTGTTGTAATAAAAGATAAAAATGATCATGTATTTTGAAAATATTTCTATTAGTCAAATTAAACCTCCTCAACTGGTGCATACTCTGATTCAACTCCAGGTTCTATAAGTGCAGCGTGACCAAGGATGAGAATAGTACTACTACCAACAAGCCAAAATAACTAACAAGGTAATTAGTAAATGGTAAATCATTAAAGTATGAACTAACGATTGAGAGTGGTGCTGCAATCCAAAAGAGTACTAAACCAAGGACGACGAGTACACCGTACAAGCCTTTTTGTGTAATAACGTGCTCTCCAACTTGTAATGGATCAGCGGCGAACCGTTGAATAGCTGTGAAACCTCCAACAATAACACCGATGGCAATAAGTAAGAATGGGTTAGTGAGTAGTGCGCTATTAATGATATCAGGATATAAGATAATACGTTAAAGTTAACTTACTAAACACTCAGAACCGCTCTAGAATGGGTTTAGTGTTATGATATTTGTCGGATAAAAGTCAAAACTCACACTACAACCTAAGAGTTATTAGTGAGAAGTGATAGTGAATTGAATATGACATACACCATAGTTACCTGAAAAGTGACGAGTGTTGTATGTAATTCTCTATATATTCAACTAAGTCGTGTTCCCAAATGAAGTGATCACTCACAGATGTAGCTTCATTCATATCTGAAGGGCGACTAAGCCTGTGATGATCAAAGAACTCATTCACTGGTCTGAGTCTAGATAATCTTGTTTCCTATTGATATTTTATAAGAAACGCAATTATCTCATTGAATGATCAGAGACTCACTCTTATGTGCTTGACTAATGATATAGGTTTAAGCAATTTAAATTATATTTACTCTATTACTACTAACCTGTTTCAATTACTTTACCCGCGTATTCCATTAAAACGAACTTGCTGACCGTTAAGGTTGAAGCAGTGTCTGAATCAGCGTTTAAGTTTATAAGCAAACTAAAGTCAATCAAAAATGAAGTTACATTAATCTAGCGCTTCTCAGGTAGCTATTTTACTATTATTTATATGGTAAAATTTTTATTATCATACATGTTTTCTTCTGAGTAAACACATACGGAACATGATATTTGCCCATAATACAACATAAAAATGATTGAATGACCAACGATCTTCATATGTTCATTATTCAAAATGACTTCACAAAGCGCAGTCAAAGCAACAAAATTATTTGAATCATGCAAAAATGATAATAAATTATATTTAATTTGACTTTTTAATTTAAAATACAATAGGTCTAGCATGCTTTGATGAGGATTTAAAAGCTGATTCAAAGATGAGCTTCCGTGTTGGTGGTAAATTTGGTTTAGGAAGAATAAGTGAAGGCCTATATAGACTATTAGCTTTATATCATTGTCAACTTATGCACTTACATAGATGTACCACAGTTTTCTGCAGGGTTACCCATGATAATCGATTCAGAAACACCTTCAATTGCATCACGTTTAGCGTGGAATGCAGCATTGAATAAATGATCAGTTGTCTTTTCGAATGATGCTAACATCAATACAGAATCTTTCATTTTAGCAACACCGAATCTTGTAATACCAAGTACTTCACCCTTGAATGTCATACTGTCTGACAATAACTGAATGTGACGATTATCGATACCCATACCGTGAGAAGACATGACATTATCAATTTCATTGATAATTGAACTTCTAGCTGCTTCTATACCTAATACATTTTGTACTTCCATAACGTGATTAGAACTTGTACGTGTACCAATGATACCTTCGGTTGTCATAACATCTAATAAACCATATCCTTCAACAAGTAATTCTTTACGTTTATTTTCCTTTTCATTAATGTTGATAATAGCTCTTGTTATACCAGGTATACCTGCAACAACAACATGTTCAAGATTACGTCTAAGATGCCTAGTAATGTGGAAAGCATCTGGTCCTAATTTAACTGAAATTCTAATTCTATTCTTAGTATAGTTCTCTTTAATATCCTCTTTCTTTACTTTCAGTTTCTTATCTTTAGCAATAGCTGTTGCAATATCTGATAACTTAAGCTCTAATTGCAACTTCTGTACAGCATCCATATCAACAAATACTGATACTGCATTGCAATCACCTCTGTAAGATTCTTCAATATGAGAAGCAATATCTCCTAAGTACGTCTTTTCAAGTCTACCTTTTACGATACGTGCAGCTGATTCAGATTGATCATCATATAATTTTGATGAAATAATTGGTGTACTAATAGCTTTAGCCGCATTAATAATTTCTTTAATACGTGGTACACCAAGCGTTACGTTCATGGATGCAACACCAGCAAAGTGGAATGTTTTCAATGTCATTTGTGTACCAGGTTCACCAATAGATTGTGCACCAATTGGTCCAACTGTGGTACCAGGTTCGACCTTTGATTTTACATACTTTTGCCAACAAATATTCAAAAATTCCTGTAATTGTGGTAAGGTAACTTTTGCCTTATTATCAACAATTGCTTTTTCAAAGTCTGCTGCACCCATATTGAGATCCGTTTCTTCATCCCATTCATCAGATTTAGTGAGAGCATCAAACATACCATGAGCATCTCTCAAATCAGCTAATTTCTTTGTTATGCTTGAGAATATAAAGTTACGAATAGTTGAAAGATAATGAGGTGTACACTCTTTCATCCATCTTTTAGTTCTCAGTTCTTTATCAACGTGTTCTGTAATTTCAAATGGAAGCATTCCACGCTCATGTTTACTAGAATCAAGTATAGCTTTAGTATGTTTCCAACTACGAAGGAATTCAACTGGTTGACCATCACCTTCGAGTGAAACTGGATCAAGACCATCCGAACCATATAAGAATTGTACAACAATTCCACTTGAAGTTCTGACAGATCTATCATAATGGGCTGAAAGATCTTCAAGCGCTTTCATCAATCTTCTTTGCATGTAACCTGTTTCAGCTGTTTTAACGGCTGTATCAACCAAACCCTCACGACCTGAGATAGCGTGGAATAAAAATTCTGGTGGTGAAAGACCCGAAAAGAAACTATTACGAACGAAACCTTTTGAAGGTGGATCTTTAGCTTTCTTTGGGAAGTGTGGTAATGATCTATCTTGGAAACCATTTGGAACACGTTTACCGGAAATAATTTGTTGACCGACACAAGCAACCATTTGAGAAACGTTAATAACAGAACCTAAGAAACCATTCGTTAGTTCTTTCTTAAACTTTATAACCAACAAACCTTTTGAACCACATGTTGCCATAATTAAAGGAGCATTATATCTACTTAATTCCTCCATACAACTTGCACCGACGACATCACGAACTTTCGAAAGAATACCAGAGATCAGTGATTCCAATGTCTGTTCTTGATCACAACCCGGTTGATTTTCGAGTTTACCATATTTTGCTTTTTCGATCAAATCATTACAATGAGCATAGGCTTCCTCTACAAGGACTTCCTTACGTTTACGAAGGTCCATACTTGGCATAACATCACTTATACCCAAAGAGAAACCAACAGATGCTAACCAACGTGCACAAACACGTGCTAGCCTATTCATAGCATTAACCGCTTCATCAGGACCATAATCACGTAAGATAACACCGAATACTGAATTCTTTTTACCATCACCAACTGTAGCTTTATCAAAATGACCACACATGATTTGTGAATTACGAATAACCAAGTAACCATCATTTGATGACATATCAGGTAACATACCCTTTGGTGGTGGATGATTTGTACGGTTTTTAGCTTCCAAATTAACAAGAACCGGACTTGATTTATTTGGACGCATAAGTATACTTAGAATTTGTTTTCCAGTCCACATTCTCTTGGGTTTGAGAATAGCAGGTGGTGGTAAATCAATGTGCATATTTGCATGATCAAGGTATGAAACAACTTGTGAGAATTCTTGTCTATCTAGTAAGTAATCTTTCTTTGATAGTAAATAAGCAGCAGTAATGAAATCTTGAATAGCTGCAATAATTGGTTCACCATTACGTGGTGTTACCATGTTATGCTTTACACCCATTAATTCTTGAGCTTCTGTTCTTGCTTCTTCTGTTTGTGGAACGTGCATATTCATTTCATCACCATCGAAATCTGCGTTGTAGGGGTTACAAGCACATTCGTTCAACCTTAAAGTTCTCCATGGTCTAACCTTAACATAGTGACACATGATAGATAATCTGTGTAAACTTGGTTGACGATTGAAGAGTATTAAATCTCTATCACGTAAATGCCTTTCAACGATATCACCAATACGAAGTCTATTGGCAATTTCTTCTCTATTACCAAATTTCAAGAAACGTTTGAAACCATTAACACCACCATTTTGTACGTAGTTCGCACCTGGATGAACATCAGGACCATTTCTTACTGCTTGTCTTAGAGATTCAATGTTATGCTCAAATACACGTTCCGGGTATGTTAAAACTTTAGCGATACGTTGTGGAACAGCAACTTCATTAACACTTAAGTTTGGATCAGGCCCAATAACTGTACGACCGGAGAAATCAACACGTTTACCAGATAAATTACCTCTAAAACGACCTTGTTTACCCTTTAAACGTTGAACGAAACCTCTGATCGGTTTTGTGGCTTTATCACTTGGTACACCGGGCATTTCAGCATTAATATACATTGCACAAGCTAATTGAAGTAATTCCCATTGCTCCATAAGTTGTGAAGTTGTTGATTTACCTGAGCTCATACCCATTTTAATAATTTGAGAAGTTTGGACGATTTCACCTAATTTAACGGTAATATCATCTTCATTTGTGGCACCATCTTGTGCAACCGAAGGTCTTATACATACGGGTGGAACATGCATATATTGCCAAACATACTGTTCTGGTCTAGCTTCTTTTGGATTCATACCAAGTAATTCACAATCTTCATTGGAGATACGAGTGAATAAGTCAAGAACACGAAGTGGATTAAGATCGTCTTGAGCTTTGTTAAGATGAGGAGCGATTTCTTTACTCATATTGATGGCAGTATTGAAAGTGTTGACGAATTCTTGTTGTTCACCTTGTGTTTTCTTTGCTCTAAACTTTTCGTGAACGATTTTAAGTAAACCAGTCTTTTTAACGACACCGTTTGTTGATTGACAGTATGGACAATAGAGATTCTTACGACATGCAGTGTTTACAGCTTTACAAGCCGTTTGACGTTGTAGGTTTTCAAGGTTAGGCCTTCTGAACCTTTTAAGATAAGACCTACGTTGTTCTTCAGTTAAGAGAACTCTAGCGCAATTCTAAGTTACCGTAAGATAAAACATATGGATAATAAATAGATACGAACCTTGCAAATATCTTGTAAAATTGCAATAATATCTCTAAAATAACCAATATGGAAAACTGGTAAAGCCAATTTTATGTAACCATAGTGACCAACACACTCAGCCATGGATTCTCCACAGGTATCACAGCTACCAGATTTATCTGAAGTACCAAAACGCCTATCAAGTACACCATTCCTCTGAGGAGCTCTATCTGGAGTTGGATTGTATAAACCATTGTGTGTAACTTCAGTTTCAGATATTTTAACAAGTTCTTGAGGGGATAAAGTAGAGAATTGAACATGCTTTATCCTTTTAGGAGCATCTTGCGTGACGATATCCTTCATCTCGCTCACACTCAGGCTGATGGATGTTCGAGTTCAAGAAAGAATAAAGGAAGTAGAAATAAAATTTATGAAACATCTATTTGAACAAGCGCATTGGATAGTATGCACCCTCTTTAGATGGTGCACCTACTGTTTCTCTCATAGGATTTGGGCGGAAAGGTGGTGTTGGTGGGAGACCAGTGTAAGGTGATTGAGCAGCTGGAAGTACGTCTAAAACTTGGGCTAAATCGAGTGTCTCTGGCGAGTCTTTTACTTGAGCGAGAGCTTTTGTTTGTGCTTCAGCTGGGTTAGGAAGACTGCAAGAAGTTAGTAAAGTAATAAAGTAATTAAAAATACCTACGCTTTAAAGTCTGGGTTTGAGATCAACAATTGTGCAAGCTCATTTTGTGAGACGTGTGAGGTCTTTGGGAAACTTGGGTTATATTAGCTCATATAGTTGTAATAATAAATAAACTAACGCTCTTCTAACGTCACGCTTGAAGTATGGGTTTTCAGCGATATCAGATGCTGTTTATACTGTAAATATAAGGCTGGTAACTCATCCACAAACTCACATTTACTGATTGGCTGGACGTACTTCTCTGGTCTTGATCCAGGTGGGATTTTACTAAGGAGATATTAATTGATAATTGCTAAGCTATATCCAGCATACCGGAATTGATGGTGGTTAATCAATCCTGAACTAATTTCTGGGTTTACTGCAAGCCATTGCTTAGCTTTCATCCAGATACCCTTTGGTTCCTAATATAAAGTAAATATTTGTTTTAAAAATACGTTCTTCTGCTTACTTGGTGATATTTTGCGTGATCTGCTACCTTTTCTGCAAGTCTGAGAGTTGAACGCATATCGTGGTCGTTTTGAAAGAGAAGCAAAGCAAGTTATAAATAAATATGGAGATTTATGTTAACAATTAGAGCTATTATTTTATTTATTTATTACAACGTCAAGCTTATTAGAGACACAAAAACCAAACACTTCTGACGTGACCAAGAGATGGTATATCGATATTATACTTATAATAATCAAAGAATTTCTTTCATAAATTTATTATCACGCTTCTTCAGTTTCACTTAGTAATACCCATTATATGCATTTGTAAGAAAAGTTTAATAATTTGTTATAAATCCACTTTCTTTTAGTATGAATTTCCTGGTCTAATAGCCAAGACTAATTCTTTAGCAACATCAATCTCGAATTTGGTACCTAACCTCGTTAATATGACTAACTTTAAATCGTTTGAATATACTTACCAATGAATGTGATTAATGGTATGTCAGATTTTGACACAGTAAGTGACTGTACTCCACTTTCATTCTTAATACGCTCAATTCCACTTCCCTTGCTTCCAACGATACGTGGGAATGTTGACCTGTTTTGCAAAAGTAGGTATCCGACGCATTCTGCTTTCTTGACTTTTTCTACTGCGTTATTAATAGCCTTAACAGCTTTGTCGAGTGATCCTTCATCCTTTCCATGAACTGAATTCAAGTTAGACAAAATCCTTGTTAAATTGAAAATTTTTACTCACTCTTCCATTCAGAATCATTGTCGTCTTCACTAGTATTCAATTCATAGGTCTCCCATCTGTGGGCAATAGTATCTTCACCGTCAACATCTACTCTTGATACTGCCTCTGGTGGAGTCAAATTTGATGGAGATGGTATTTTACTATCCTCTTTTGTTGGTATGTTTGAAACTTCAATTGTGACGCCATATGATCTAAGATTACGGAAGAATCTACCATTGTCACTAATACCATGGTAGTACTTAGATGGTACTGTGACGACCTTGGTAAGAACAGTTGATCTCTTCTTTAACTCTTCAATAGCACTGTTGACATCTGAGGATTTCCCTGTAACTTTAACGATTGTTGAAGCATCAGCGCCATTCAACTCTTCAATATTTAAAGGTTTGTCCATGTTGTTGTAATCACGAGAGCCAGGGAAATGAATGTTAACGTTAAACTCCTTTTGTGTTGCAATTAACTTTGATCCACCTCTACCAATCATATCACCGTGAAGATTGGTTGGTATAACAACACCGAAGGTCTTTCTGTCACTTAATTCAGCAACAAATGATCTAATTTCTTTCTCAATTGATTGGGCAAGAGATTTTTCTGCTTTAATAACTATTCCAGTATTATCTGAATTAATGTTCAGCTTTGGGAATTGAACAATGCCAGATTGAGTTTGTGTATCAACTGGTCCACCAGCCTTTTCAATAATTTCACGTAATTTATTACCACCTTGTCCAATAATTGACTTGTGATATTTAGTTTCAATATCATCTATATTAATTATTTGTTGCGAATTAATTTGTTCTATAATAGTCAAAATCTCAGTTTTAGCGAGTTGAATTGCTTTCTTAGTTCCCCTTAAATTAATCGTTACTTTTTGTTGCATTTCCGTTGATCTATCAAAGTCTACTTGAGCACCGCTGTTCTCTTTAATTTCATTGATCTGTTGTCCACCTTTACCAACAATTCTTGCAATTGAAGATGATGGTATTGAAATTTTCAAAGTGTTATTATTTTCCTTTTCAAACTCTAAAGCTTCAAGCAATTCCGCTTTAGCTGCTGCAACACCTTTTCTTCCACCCTTAACAGTGACAGAATCTGAAGATTCATCCTCACTTGATGATTTTGGGAATAGAATCTTAACGGCATGCTTCTCTTCTAATCTAATAGCATATTTACCACCTGTACCAATCAATGATGCATGATATTGGCGTGCAATATTAAGTTTTTCAGTAGTCTGATCAGCTAACTGTTCAACTAATCCATTCAATCTACGTTTAGCTTCTTCGACATTTTCTTTGCGTCCAGTTATTTTTACTGTTGCTTTCTGTGGTGACTTCTTCAAATTATCGTTTGATTGTTTTTGTGTAATATCAATTTGTACACCAAGTGATTCTCTCAATTTGCTAATTGATGATCCATTCTTACCAACAATGTGAGGTACATATTGGTTATTAATAGAAATTTCAGCTTCATGACCATAAACAATATGATGATTTTCTGCCTCATTTGCAATTCTTTGAAGTTCACCAACGACTCTTTCAACTTCTTCTTTTTGACCACGGACTGATATTTCATCTTCATTTATTTCCTTCTTATTACTATAATTAGGTGATTTACTTGTGCCAAGTTGAACATCAACTAAATTATCTTGACCGATAATCGCATTAAGAGTTGTACCACCTGGACCGACAATCGATTTATGGAACTTTGGATCGACATTTACGATCTGAATTGTAATGTTTGATGCTGCCTTGGCTAAATTCATCAATGAATTAACACCATCTTGAATAATTTCATCAATTTTGTTGGTGAGCGCTTTACCTTCTAATCCTAAATCAGAAGAGCCAGTATAGATTAAACCAATATCATCACGCTGTTCGGATTCATGTGGGAATAATAAAGTAATCTTCTTATTTTCTTCAAATTGACGTGATTGTTTACCAGCCAAATGACGATGAAGGAGGTGATCAATCTCTACTGATTTAACAGCTGATGGTGGAATTGATAATACAAGCTTCTCTACTTGTTCTCTTGCACTAATTGCTATTGAAACGTCTGAGCTAACGATATCAATGATAACTGATTGTGATTTCTCTATATATGCATATCTAGGCGGATAAATTTTTGCGCCTGGGTGATTGTCCGCAATCTTGTTTAATTTTCCACCACGCAAGAGGTATCTTAAAACGTTGACACCATACGATAAGTCAGTTTTGACTCTATGAATTGAAAGTAAATCAACAACTTCAACAGCTAAAGCACTAGCTTTCTCCATTACTAATTGTAATGCAGCAGGTAATTTAATTTGTGGACCACGTATTGTGCAGGTTTCAGAAATGTCATCTGCCGCAGGTAACTCGACAATACACTGTGTTTTCTCTAAAATTTCATCACCGATTGCACCAACTAAAGTACGATGTTGACGTTTTGGTATTGGAATGGAGATAGTTTTAGTAGTGCGTTGACAATCATTGAAAATTCTATCAATTGATTGAATTGCCGCTTTCACTGAAGACTTTTCACCTTTTAGGAGAATTGCAGATTGCTTTGTACGCTCTTGTTCAGAAATTTCTGATTCCTCACCAACAGCTTGGTGAGCAATAGCGCGCAATCTCGCTTGTGAAGGAATTGATATAGTAATTTGGAGTTGTTGTTCTAATTGAGAAGATTTTAATGCTATTAAAGGATAAAATGATGTTGGAATAGTTGTTATACGTTTTGTGTATGACCTGATAACTTGTGAAATGATATCGTAAACTTGCTGTTGTGCTTGCTTAATAGATCCTTCATGACCTTCAATAGTGATTGGAATTGAATAGTCATTATCGCTATCGTCATCTGAATCGTCCTGATTAGAAGGTTTGATTTCTTGATCAACAGCTGGCTTTGGTGGTACTTGAATACGAGTCTTTGTAGAATCAGTAATGGATTTTAAAGTACTACCTAAAGAAATGTGATGAGACTCTCTTTTCAAAAGATAAAAAAGTCAACTAACCTTTTGGACCAATAAGCAGAGCTCTGGATGAGTTTGGAATATTAATAGTGATGGTGATTCTAGCTGATAAAATGGTCGTTAAATAAGCAATCGCTTCATTCACAGCTTTTTGTGACTGTCCCTTCACTAAAAATGTTGTTTGCTTAGTTTGTGAGGTCGTTGAACTGTCCACGTTTACGTTGTAAGTGCTGGAAACTTTCTTGAACAACTCAGACGTAGATTTTGGTGCCTGCCTTGATTTTTGATTGCTCAACGCAGCCAAAACTTGTGACTGTGGAATAGTATATGTTGATTGGAAGAGCGTCCTCTGTATTACAGGTTTGGCCCAGGCGCCTAAAGATTGCTTTGGCGTTGCTGCTGGTAGACTAGGAAATGCAGATTCTGAGCTCATATCAACATTTTCCTTCTGATTCGCTTTCGCTGTGGGCTTCGATGCGCTGTCATCCCCGAGGCTGGGAAATGGGTCTGGTGAGTCGTGCAGTGATTGTATTTGGGCTGCAGTCAGTGGCATTTTTTATTTTATTACTTGGTGGCAGCTAAAGAAGGCTGGAATAGACGTTCTGTTTCTGCCAACAAAGCGATAGTTGATAATATATAAATAAATTAAAATCTAATATTTGCGTACAATTGGTTTTATTATTTGTCCTGCTTTAGTTTGTATCTTAGGAGCTATCTGTCGCTTGTGTGAGGACGTCGTATTGAACTCTTGCCCGATTGGGTTAGACATAGCGGCCTCAAATTGTGATCTGCTAGTGAATGGATACGGAAGGTCCTTCAGTGAATACTTGTCGAGTGATCTCTTCTCTGTCTTCTCGCTTATAATGACATGTCCCTTGTCGGCATCCTTCCTCTTATCAGCTTCCACGCCCGCCGTTTTCTTTAAGAACTTGGCACGCTTCTTCTCTTCTGCCGCTTTATTTTTCTTTACTCCCTTGCCCGACCAGTTACCCCATCCAGGTAGAGACGTATCAACCTCTTGTGGTCCTTCGGCTTCTATTTCTTGCTTTTTTTCTTCGGCAAAGTTCTATTTTTTGTTAGTTTTGTTTTCTTCCTAATAATTTACTCACTTGTACAACATCATCTGCTGCAAACGCTTCAGCTACCAAATCACGTTGCTTGAAAGCTTGAACACCACCGCCTACTATATCTTCGTCACTATCAGACTCAGATGCAAATCCATCTTGTGCATTTTGTCCAGATTTTCTTTTTTGCTTTTTTGCGGCATTCTTAGATGCTTTGTTTATTGTCGCATCAAGATCAAGGTCAATAGCTTCCTCTTCGTTAGCTCCTTGATTGGCTCTCTTACGCTTTTTGAAGTCAGCTTGACTTTTATCCACCTTCTTAGAGGCTTTAGAAACTGTAGCAATATTCTTTTTCTTGGCTCTCTTGATACCACCTTCGTTGTCAGCCGTTAACCAAGGATTGCTTTCATCGTCATTATCATCGTCATTGTCTCGCTCATATTGTTCTTTGAATTTGTCAAATGAGATTGCCTTGTTGTCTGCACGAGTATCCTCAAGCTCACGACCCAAGGTACGTGATGAAGTAGCTGATCCAGGCTCTTCATCGTCATCATCATTTGTAGCTTCAGTGGTTGGTTTTGATTTCTTACCAGCGCCAACGACAAATCTACCAGGATTACCACCGACTGTCATTCTTTCACTGTCATCATCGCCTTCTCCACGCATCTCTTTAGCAAATTCTTCGGCTTCATCTTCCATAGCCTTGTTCTCACGAGCAGAGGCATCTCTCATAAATTTCATTCCTGCAATACCTTTGAATTTCTCGTCTGCAGTACTTTCGTCCTTCTGTTGTAGACTTCTCATTTTGTTGAGGGCCGCAAGTTTAACAGCGTCCTCATCGTCATTGTCACCAACACTATAATCACTATCATCGTCATCTTCGTTGTCAGCTTTCTCTCCTCTAATCCTTTGACCAAGTTCTTCCATTCTATGTAACTCATTGAGCACATCCCTATCACCTTCACTACGATCTTTCATCTCTCTTGCCCATTTGCTATTACCGCCTTTATGCCTGAGAGTTGCTCTCTCTAATGCGCGTTGTCTTTCAACATTCATTCTTTCTTCATCTGAGTCAATAACACCAGCCTCTAGAGCTTTTTGCTTATTGGCTTCCCTTTCCTTTCTTTTTAGTCTTCTATAAGTTTTGCTCTTAATTTTATTCATTCTGGCGGCCTTCTTCTCAGACTCATACATCAATTGCCTCTGTTGACGCAATGCCTGATACTTTGCGCGTATTTGATCTTTCGATAACTTTGATTCATCTTGTTCAGGTAGTGAATCCGAAGGTGCTACCTTTCTAGTTAAATTGTTTGACTTCAAGAGTTCATCTACGGATGATTCGAGTGGATTTGAAGGTTGAAATCTACCGACCAAGTCACCACCTGCTTTTGAACCGTCTTCAAGACCGCCTTGACCGGGTCCTTGTAGTGGAAATGACAATGTGTTTGAGTTTTCGAGTGCCCTCATTGTTGAATCCCATTGTTTCACGTCGTCTTTCACAACTTTTTGACCAGCTTCTCTGTCTGCACGTTCTTTAAAGAAAGTAGCTAAAGGTGCTGAAAGTGCTCCACGTTTGGCAGTCTTCGATTCTGATGGCTTTAGAGGTTTGACTTGCTGATCAATAGTTGCTGCAATACCCGTTGGAAGAGGTGCGAGAAGTGAGTCTAAAGACACCGGACCTGTTAAATTTGTTAGTAGGTATATCTTTAAAGAAGAAATATATGCGATTACCATCTGCTGGAACTCTGAACTCGGAGTTTTGACCTGCAACGAAGCCATCGTCATCCATAGAAGCATCTGGTTTGTAGGATTTCCTTGCAGAAGGGTCCAACGAATTGACTAAATCTGTAAGTTTCGTAGAATCGCCCTGATCGTCGTCTTCCTCGTACTCGATATCACTGTCATCGACGTCGTCCTTTGTGATCTGCTCATCGATAGGTTGGTCGTCATCTAACATTGTATCGAGATCAACCATGCCTTCTTCTTCATCCTCATCTTCCTCGTCGACATTATCAAATTTGGTATTCTTCTTCTTATTAGATTGCTAGTATTAAAAGTTAACAGAGAGCAAAAAAAAATAAAGTGGAACTAACTTTTGAGCCTGTGAAAGTCCAGTCTGCGTACTTCTCTTCATCAGATTCTTCGAAAGCGTCGTCAGAGTCGATTTCTTCGTCGTCGCTTTCATTGACTATGCCCTCTTTGAGATGATCAATCTTAATATTTCTCATCCTCTCATCATCACTGTCATCTTCACCGCCACGCTGATCGTAGTCTTCATCTTTATCAAGTTTTGTTGTGAGGTTTGATCTTCTCTTATTATCGTCATCCTGGACTAACTCGAATACGTTTAATTCGTCACCCTTCTTATACCTCTGTTGCTTCTCTGCTTTCTGCGTCTGTCTCTTTTGATTGGTTTTTGGTTTTGCCATTTGACTGTCGCTTATCAAGCCTCGCATCGACATAACGAGCGAGAGTGATTGAAATTTGAAACAACTCATTTATTATCAATCGAATAGTTTATAGCATTCATGCACTTGGTTCCCTTCTATACGTCGTACTCTTCTACTAATAGCTTTATCATAAATTCATCATGTTTAACAATTTTATAAGCCTGACAATATAATCTGCGTCCTTAACAGTATGTAGATTGGAAAACAATTCGACGCTTTCAACGTTTGTAACCATACAGTGACTACCGTGCATTATTACGTCTTTAACAATGTTGACCTTTTCCAAAGCCTATCCTTCCCTAGTAAGAAGCTAAACTTCCTGAAGAACATACCACTGTGCACTCAACCTGTTTACTCATACTATCATCTACCTTCATAGTCCTGCGTATTTCACACGTTTGAAACAAAGCAAACAACCAAAACACAACTACACCCTGGTAATTTCTAAAGTCATCTAGCAAACCCATTGCTGAAAAGCTATACTCTGTTTGTCAACTTTCTACGAGTTAACGTATCTCCCCTGAGAACCTTTGTATGTCAAAGACAACAGAATATCTTGCTTTAGAAGGCTGTGTAGAAGAATTCTTTTAAAATTAACCGTCGAATATTTGAATAAGTGCATCTTCACCTCGGGTTAATAAGTTACTGGAGACGTGCACCACAAGCATGGTCCATTCTCAAAGGAAGATTAGATGAAGTGTCGTTCAAAAATCGCAGTTCAACAAATCCCACAGTACTAATGTTTCTAGCGTTTCTAAAACTCTCGTCTGAAGTCTGTCATGAATCTCATTAGCATGGTAGTTGATTCAGTATGTCTGACCGGATAAATGCGAAAGTAACACTCGCTGAGCTCATCCCTGAACCATCGCTTAAAATTATGTGCTAGATTAGATAGAATATTTTTGGCTACATGAGTATTAAGTTGTACATCTCCCTGTTGGTCTAACGAGCGAAGTTAACTGAGACAAAAGATAAAATTAACTGATAAAAGTGTGGTCTTAATTTGAGAACAAGGGTAATTCAGAGAGCACTCAGGTAGATCTTCGCAGATACCAATGGGTGTGTTAATACTACATGACGGCATTCGGCATCATTTGATTAGATAAATGGCGTTTCTTTCACAGAATCTATGGGGTTTGTAAATGAAGATTAACTAACCTGAGGGGGAAGACAAATTTGTTATTGTCTAATGCTGGTTTCTACAATTCTTTGTGTTGTTCTCAACAGCTATTCGACGATGCTTTCGCTTGCAAATGGATGCGGAAACAAACTGTACCAACCAGAAGCTTTAAAATATCTACAAGCTTTAAAATCCAGATCATGATTAATAAAGCTACGAATGTGGATTGAATATATGATGTGAACAAAGAAAAGCTTACACGACTTGTTGTAACCTAATAGCTGCGCCATCTGCTTACTGTAGAGTATAGGTTGCTTTTGTTAAGGATAGATAGTTATGCTTACCTCAACTTGAAGATTGATTTGGTATGTGAAAAAGTCAAACAACCTTGGGAAATCACATTAGGAAGCAATACGTATATCAATAGAGTTAAATAAAGTGCTTAGTGCCCAACGAAATTGAGAAGTTGACTTGAGGGATGAGTTATTTGATATCACCATTTGATTGCTTGGACTGAGAAGACCTAAGTATTGTAATGTATAAACGATAATCTATCATGAGTCTCAAGAACTGGAAAGGCTAGATACATATAAAATACAACAATGCTAAAATCATACAATCTAATACAAGCAGAAGCGTTTTGGGAATAAAGTCAGATCATTAGTCCAACAATTTCTCAACATCGATAGTAAACATTTTGGTAGTATCCAAATAACTGCATTTCAGCTTCTCTAGTGTTTCTCTACATCGAGTAAATGCTCTCACTTTTGCTGGCTTTTGATACGAAGCTACAAGTCCAGAAGTGGAGGGTAAGGTAAAAAAGAGCGACTGCGAGCCATCATCATGTACAATTTTGTAATTCTGTAGAAGAAAACCAGCGCTCTCGTCGCAATCACCTGTCTTTTCTTTTGATGTCTTAGTTCTTTTTATTGCTTTGCTGTCGAATCCTTTAATAGCATCTTTAAAAACCCACTCGCAGTCTTCCCATATAGCTTTTCCTATAAAAGCTACCAACTTTGGCTTGCATCGTAATATCTTTTTCACAAGTTCGGGAACACTCGCTCTTGATTCAGCTTTCGATAGTTGGGACTGCATTACAGTTGGCCGTGAGTTCAAATTCGTAATGCTATATCCGAACTCTGGTAGAGTATAATCTTCATCTGGACGAAGTTTACGTGACGTCAGACCTGTTATTGTCAACGAGCGATACAATCGACTAAAGAAATCCTACCAGATTCGTAAAGACACGCGTAGAATGAGTTACTTGGGTGCGCAAAATGATGGCCCCGTATTGAGGATGTACGACCAGGGTTTATGCCGACTATCATTAGATCTGAGCCTTCGAGTATATAGTCAGGTACGCCTTCCAAATGAGCAAATGACTCAGGTGGTTCATATCCATGTTTTCTTTTCTTGACCGTCGAGGTATCCTCCATAGTGGACGATCTACTAAGTGTTGATTTTCTAGTGGTAGGGAGTGAAATTTCAGTAGCACTACGCTTGCTGATATATGTGCTACTATTGCCACTTTTATATGCAAATCTAGATAGATCGAATTCTTTCGACATGAACGTACTGTAGACGGAAGTGAGTGATATTGTATTAAGAACATAGCTTTCTTGAACTGAGATTTATCTTTGGCAACAAACAAGAAAAAGAAAGGCAGAAAGAGAGTGCATTGTGTTGCACTCTGAACATTTGGTTTGAAACATGCACACAAGACTGAAATGTTTCTAAAAAGTAATAGTAGGTAATGGAGAATTAATTGAAATCCACATTATCAGCTATATACGAAGATATTTGCATGCAATCAAGAAGTACAAAGTACGCCGACTAGATCTCTTCGACGAGCTGACAAAGTCTCTCAAAGTCAAACTGTGATTGATTGTAATGGAAGTCACTTAGTAATTTCGCTCTATCTTTGTTGCTCTGATCAGCATGCTTGTGAGCGTTATAGAAACGCTGCATGGTGAGCAACAACAATTGAGCATCTTTACTATCAAGTACAGTCAAGTTGCTATCCCCAGATCCGACTGACGTGATTTCACCGCGCATAAGTACAAGATTGTGTGTATGAGCGAAGTCACTGTAATGGGTGCAGCTCACGAATGGGGTAGCAAAAGCCTGACGCTGCTTGTACTCGTTCAGACTAGTGAATATCAATGTTGTAGGTCTAACGCCAGTGCCATTTACATCCGGAAGGAAACCCCATTCAAGGTAAAAGACCTCATATCCCATCTTCTTTGCCATATCCTCACCCTCAACTTCACGTGGGATCGGTAAAACAAATGCAGGGAATTTACGCGCTTGTTGGTATATTGACTCGTACGTACTCCTCTCTATGCTAGCGCTAAGGTGGTTGTCTTTCGTTGCATGATGTGCATTCCACAATTTGCTAATATGATCATCTGGGAGTTCGCGCATCTTCTCGACGTTGAGGATAGTGTCGAGAGGCTTAACGCCCGTACCATCACCTTCTTTTCTGCCCTCTATTTTATCAACTGAACCGACAAAGTACTCATCTCTGCCAGTATCGACTTTTAATTGATCTGGCTGTGGTGTAGTTGCCTGCTTTTGCTCTATAGATTCTAAGTTTGCTGGTTTCTCACTCTCTTGTTTTGGTGCTGGTGCTGGTGCTGGTGCGAGCTTCTTCCTTAACTCATCGAGATTTTCTACGCCTTCTCTGGATATGTATTAGAATACTATACACTAGCATATGAAGACTTACTCTTTCACCTTATCTGCTAATCTATCGGCATATTTGAGATCAAACTTGACTTTACTTTGTTGAAGTGATTGTGGTGTCTCTAAATGCTCACTATCAAACTCTTCTTTTAAATTTCTAAGTGAATATCTGAAAGACCTGCTTTGTATAGCAGGTAGATGCCTAAATCGATGCAGATGCTGTAATCTCGTAAACATTGAGATGATAGTACAGAGTAAAGAACAAAGCAATGCATAAATGATATATAAATATGTCCATACAAGTATTGATTATCGTTTCGTTAGAACAAAGCTGCCCTTTTGTTCGTTAGAAGATATAACTATAAGTGAAAAAACTTACTTCATATCCAGACATGACTTCAGCTGGGGTCGTTGTCAACGAATGATATTTAAAAATCTCAACAAAAAACTTACGTGTATAAGTGTCTCTCCAGCGACCAACGAGTACACCTCCAGGTAGTGCATAACCTCTGTAAAACCACTTGCCCCTCCTATCCGGAGTGTATTCCTTACAGAGCATAAACATACCATCCCAAGGTCTGACTTTACCGCGAAGGGTGAATCTACCCCAGGCAGAGTGGCCTATGCCATCTAAGTCAATGGTATCAAGAGACGGAGACGGTTTATTAACGAATTCATTCGTCTGTGTAATAGAAACAGACTGATCATTAGCTGAATTATCAAAGTAGAAGTCATCCCGGTAGTTACATATTTCTTTTAATGTCGACTGACTGGTTTGCTGGGTTTGTTTGGAGTTTATAGATTCATTCAACTTCCAAACTTGAGGCTGTATCACGTAATTACCATTGTAGAGGCTATCTAAGCTGCCTGATAGCATATCCCTGTAATGATCGAACTCATAATAACAGAAGAAACCCTCCCAAGGTCCTTTAAATTGGTCTTTGTAAAGTGTAGCTGAACAGCCAGGGTTGGTTGAGGGATCGATACAGCTAGTCAGTCTGACAAATTCCAAATCAAAGTCTTTACTGTTGAGTGAAGGTTGTGGTAGCTGTTTCTGGTATTTAAGCAAAGATAAAAATGCAGCATGAGAGGACAGAGGCGGCTGTAGTTTCAGTTGATTGTTGAAATAAATAAGAGTGACGCTATTGTCTGTCAACTCGAGGTTGGTTAGGAAGCTGTTGTTGATATCGAAATTGAAGTTATTGTTGGGTAGGACGGAGTATACCCAGGGTGCATAGAATGAGTCGTACTTGTGTGCACCAAAGATGAATGGCTTGTAAGGTGTGATGTTATCTGGCGCGCTATTGAGTAAATAATCAATCCAAAGGACTATAGCGTTGATGATATCATTGTCATGTGGGAAGGAACTCGACCGGATAAAAGCGTCTGCGTAATTACTGAGGGTGCTAAAGTAGTCTCTATTCTTGCCATCATTCTCGATGATGATGAGGTAGACGCGTATTAAGTCTAGCATGGTGTCGTCATCGAGGAGCACGCGGGTTGATATCCTAGTAGTAAATCTATTAAGGCATTTAAACCTCTCTACGAATTCGAAAGATATGCCCTTATTATTCAAACTAGCGAGTCTCCTGTTGATTGCTAGCGAATCGAAATAGCCGGTATATATAAGATGATACTGATTGTTAAAGCGTTTAAAAATATTTTTATCGACTAGAATAAAATTATTAAATGACTGCAAGTCCAAATTCTGCAATATACGCTCTATTAGTTCGACTGGCAGTCTCGTTAATTTCATACGGTCTCTTCATTAGATGAGCAAATTACAAGAAGCTAGAAAATTTTACTTTAAAGCTGCCTCTAATTCTGAGTAAACGTCTAATTCAATCTCTGCCTCTGCCTTCTCCACCTCTGAGCCTGACGCCTTCAACTTTTGTGCGTCTTGGATACCTTGTTTGATAGCCTGTACGGGGTGAGTATACTATAGCTATATATCTAGCAGCACCCACTGATTTGTCAAATGCACTCAACTCGAATGCTTCAACGGCATTGATAGTCAATGTGTTGTTAGGGTGAACACTAGCGAATCCAGAAGAGACTATATACGCTGTAAGTATATCTCTCTTATATTCTTATACACTACACCTACTGAAGTACTTCTTTGATTGTCCTGCTGCCTCAATAACCTCAACGACACCGCTCTTGAGTGCTTCTACGGAAGGTACGTGATGTGATAAGATACCCATTTCACCAGTTTCTGCTGGTACGCTAACTTGGATAACTTCCTTATCTTGATAAAGCGTCTCATGAGGGAGCGCAAACTTCAACTTTAACTTATCAGCTGCGCCGGCCTCACTAGCGTACGCACGGCTGGCGATACGTGGTACCTGTACTGCTCCTCTGAATGCTCTGCTTAACATTTCCGATTTACTTCACGACGGTTTCAACCAACCAACTAGGGCCTCAAGTGTGCACTATAAAATCAAAAATCTGAAAAATTATTTTATTATTTTTACATTCCGAACAACGATGCAATCATATAAGTAGCACAACCTAAGAATTTTATTGCCTATTCTTTTATTAGTCGCGTTTCTTATTCCGATTTCACTTACGCTCGTTATAGCGACAAAGGCTAAAATAATCAACATATACGCTTGTACTTTTTTATTTCCATTGTCTCCGAATGCTCCATCCCCGCCTGTACCTACTAAAACGGCGATTATCAGAGCTCCGTTGCACAATATCCAACATAACAACACATTTGATCTGAAGCTAGCAAGATAATCAGCTGCAGCGCGTTCACGGTCAGCTGCACTAGGTGGCGCTTGTGGGATTGGCATCTTCGTTCTCAATTTATGCAGCGCGTCTGCATATTGACCGTCCAAATCCGGTTTGTTGTCGTACATCTCAACTTCAACCAATCCATCTTTAGACGTCTTGAATTTTCCTGTATTCTGCTCTGGAACATTATCTCCTTTAGTACCCCAAGTCAGATCGTGAAGATTAGAGAATGCGAAGGTCGTCAGTACATTGATATAACTGGCGGCGAGAAGGAGATATTGCGGGAAACTAGTAAACAAATGCCATGGGTCGAGTGAGATCAAGCTAGCCGCTACCCATAGACCATAAGTTGCGATAAGCGAAATGAGCATTTGAGCGTACATTGCGTTATGTTCCGATTGCTGAGCTACGTGTACAGTACATATAATGGCCGCGACAACCATATATATAGACAAAACCGCAAAGACGCACATAACTGCTGTATATTTAAAGCTAGCACCTGCAGGTCTATTACCCATACTGAAAGTGAAACAAGCAATAATCATAGCACCATATACAGCTTGTGCAACAAGATTGAAGAATTTAATACCTGGTATACCAAATGATGGGTCTTCGAGAGCCCTTGTAAGGACAACAAAGAAACAATAGAAGTTACCCAAAGCGAACCAACTGAAGAATAAATTAATAGCGGCGTAAAATGTTTCAATGAGCAACCACGATTTGCGCATTTTTGAGTGTCCACTGTTTAATATCTGACCTGTATGCGTAAGAGCATATATAGCAGCGAAGAATGATCCATTAAGCCATCTACGTCTCTGACTGATGAGCTCCGGAACTCTATCTGGAACATCTGTAACACCGACAGCTGATTTAACGTATTTCAACGTCCAGGCTTCTTTACGTTTTGCGCAAAGCTCGAAACAAAGAATACGATCCTCCGCAAGCATCATATTACGCGTGAAAACACTCTCATTCTCTGACATGTGTATTGTCTCGCCTTTGAAATACGAATGAAGTGGTCCTAAGCCGAAATTATCATCGTTCTTGAGAGCAACGTATCTATAGGCTGAAAATGCACCCGGTAGGACTGATATATATCCGAATATGGATTCCGTCGGTTTATCAAGGATGTTTGACATCTTGTACTCGAAATTTTGAGATGCAACTATTGGATTAAGTAATGCACGACCATGTTTACCAGTATCTGCTCTTATTTCACCACATGCACCACCTACATTCGAATTCTTATCAAATGCTTTCCAAAGATGGTAAATAGATTTTGGATGTGGACGTGTACCAACATCAAGCAAAACACAGATGTTTGGTTGGAGAACTGGGCAGATACCATTGAAGAACCATCTATGAGAGTTGATTTTCTTGGCGTTTTTCTCTTTAAGACAGAAGATGATCTATAAACATAAGCCAGAAACCTTGCGAGAAGATTATAGACTCACCTGGGTTGGAACAATGCGCTTTTCAGGACCTTTGAACTTGAGATCTGGACCAAGTGCTAATGAAGTGGTATATTCGAAGAGATGTGCTTCGACGTTCCTTAGGATACATTGAGTAAACTGATTAGCACTATTAATACACTCACTTATCATTAACGGCACCTTTAGCGACACCTTCTTGGTAAACACCTAAACTGGCGAGACAATCTAATACGCGCGGGTGAACTTTTGTTCTACCATCTGCGACGATAACAACAACTACCTATGGAATAAACGTTAGAAGGAATTTTAAGAAACTGAAAAGATCGCACCTTGGTCCATGCGTCTATACCCCACGTAGAGCTGTTCTTTCTTGAGCACAAATGACTGATATTCTTCATGACACCGTAAAGCGTACGGCAGAAAAGTACTTCGTCTTCATTGTACATTGTAATACAAATGGCCAACTCCGTACGTCTATTTCCCAAACTTTGTCTGAGTGTAAACTGCTCTTTCTCAAAGTGATCTGGGTCGCAAGTAACAGCGGTATAGCGAACTTTAGACATATCCTCGAGATCACGCCTCATTATGACCTTATCAAGCGTCGATGGAATCGGTAGATCAACAACTAGATTACCATCGGTAAGCGCTACCTTCTTCTTTGTCTTACCACGTCGACGAATGCGTTCTTCTGGTGGTGCACCATAATGGGATGTATCCAAATCAGGCGTATAGCCCGCTATTGGAGCTGGAGAAGTGAGTGCTTCATTGTTGTACATTCCCTCATAACTGTCGTCATCAGGTGATGGTGAGCGTGACTGATAGCTGAAATCTTCCTTAATATCACCCTTCTCTATGTCATCATTGTAATTGTAGTTGTAATTATTTTGTAGAGGGTGTGCTGGTAATTGTACTGGTACTGGTGTGATGCTCTGCTGCTCTGCTGGTTGACTATAAGTAAATGAGCCTGGTTGGTAGGGTTGATAAGGTGGTGTCTGTCTAAATATTGGTGTATTCTCGTCTGATATGCTCTGGTAATGTTGATGACCAATGTTGTGTATCGCTGGCGTTTGCTGAAATGATAATGGTGTATCGCGAGTTTCACGTTCCGTAACGTAACTATTCACTTCCTCTTCATCTGCGAATGGATCAGCCATTGAGTTACGCCTCTCCACTCTCTCGACTTCCTCTTCCAAGCGCTGAGCTACCGCGCTATCATCTTCTGCATCCTCATCAACGCGTCTATGTGCATGAATGGGCACCGGTTTGATTTTAAACGGGTTGAAAGGCATTTGTTTGTGGTTTGATATCAAACGCGAATGTCTTCATCTACGCGATATTCCATATAAAGAAAATAAAAGAAAATGTAAAAAAATTTATATAATAATAATTTAACGATTCTTTAGAGCTCTTAAACGGGCTATTTCGGCATCAGAAGGTCTGGTTGCCTTCGGTCGTGTCTTGGCTTTGTGAGCTTTCGACCTGAGATGGTTCTCATACTCGAGACCTTCGCCTAGCATTACAGGATTGTGTGGATCAGTTGTGCACACTTCACATATTACTTTGCGGTACCCTCTCTCGGCATTTGAGACAGCCTGCAAAGACTGCTTCGCGAAAAGTTTGTTGGCAGTTTCCGAATAGCTTCGCGGGTCTGGAAGGGTATCATCCTTGAGAAATTCTTGCATTGTTGGTTAGAATTACATCATTAGACATCGTTGACTCACTTTCTAATATCTCTGAAGCAGGTTTCGTAACGCGTTCATCCCATTGAGAAATATCCGACGAGTCAACCATATAAACATAGACGCTACTAGGGTTCCCAACTTTCTGAGCACTCTCCTGATGTGCAAGTATCTCAGGGATAAGCTTGTTCTGTATCCACTTGAGCTGCTTCGTTGCATACTGTCGTGTCGCTATCTTCATAAGTTCAAGTCCATTCTTGAAAGCTACATCACGATCCTGCGAGTTGGTAGCTTTGAAGTATGCGTCAAACTCTTTGTATCCTAGAACACTTGTTAGAAACATTCAACATTACTAGATTCACATTGACCTATTGCTTGAAAGATTCCTCGGGTGTAGTCTTGTTCCCCACCTACTCTGAACTCGTTTTCAAGCGCACGCATCTCCTCTATCTCGTTCAAAAGCCCTTGCTTGGGTTTCTCGTTAGATAAGAATTCTAATAGTCATGGCGTACCTCCGTCATCTTCTCTACACGTCGTTCAAGCCTCTTCGACAGTACTTCAGGGTCTGTGTAGACCCAGAAAACCAGGTTTTTGTATCTTGGAATGGTTAGGACAGGATATTATATTAGCCATTCAGTTACACTCACCTGGTCTGCAAGAGAGAATCATCCTGCTGAGCTTTCTGCTCGTTCTCGATATCGGATCTCCTTTTTCCGTGCTCCCAGATAATCTCAAGACTACGCTTAACCTTGCGAAAATCTCTAATGTGCCAACGGCTCGCGGCAGGCGGGTCTATCTGACTGAGTATGCTATGTAATCTTGCATAAAGAGGTACACCACGTTCATCTGATGCATCATAATCCGCTTCGTTGATCTCTGGCAATTTCATGGCCAACTTTTGGTCATTTTCGCTGAGTACGCTGATGATATCAACGTAAGATGGCGAAGGAACATCCGGAAGAGAGCGACTAGCTGGTGACTCATTCTTGATGAGTTTGTTGGCGAAAAGGAGATGGTGTATGTAGTAGTGTGTCCCTCCTGCGACGACAGGCAAAATATCGTTCTCGGCCATTGAGTTAATGAGGGAGGTAGAGTCCGCCATGAAATGTGGTATCGCGTATTCCTTATCGCGGTCTAAAAATGACATAAGATGGTGGTTTACACCACGCTTATCGCTTTCTGATATCTTGTTTGTGATGACATCCAAGCCTTTGTAAACCTGCATAGAATCTGCATTTATGACTTCACCTTTAAATAACTTTGCAAGATGGACTGCCAAATCTGATTTCCCCGTCGCTGTTGAGCCAATTACCGAAATGACGCTTTTCTTCATCGACGTTGAGCATGAAAGGATTGAGCAATCTCGAGGCGGGGGAAAACAGAAATATCACCAGGAAGCGTAATTCATCCTTCATTCTGGCTGCTATCGCACTATCGTTTCTTTGCTTTGGTTACACTACCGTACGGACGCTTACTAAGAGAGACTGGCCTGAACACAGATACACGCCTGTCTTAGTAAAAGGGAAACACGGGGCCGTGGCCACGGAAACTGAGACGTGTAGTCAAATGGGTGTCGACGTCCTCAAGGTGTGCACCCTCTACTTGTCTTATCGTAGCTAAACGCGTACAGAATGGCGGAAATGCTGCAGATGCTGCCGTAACCAGCACACTTTGTATAGGAGTAATGAACATGTTCTCCTCTGGCATCGGCGGCGGTGGTTTTCTCCTCCACCGCACCCCCGAGGGTGATATTTCATCCATTGATTTTCGCGAAACTGCGCCTGGATTAGCAGATCCGTACATGTTTTACGAACATCCACATTCGGCGCAGATTGGCGGGCTTGCAGTTGGTACACCTGGTGAACTCGCGGGTTTACATGCCCTCCACGAGCAATATGGAAGTCTTGAATGGAAAGACCTCGTACTCCCTGCCGCTGAGCTTGCTAAAGGATGGCCCGTTCCTAAGGAACTCGCGAGAAGGATCGAAGTGAGTAGTATTACGCGTCTTTCTGTTTGTTAACGCGTTTCAGATTAGCAGAGATTGGATTCTCAAAGATCCTATTTGGAAAGAATGGCTCGCTCCACATGGCACAACCCTCAAAGAGGGTGACTGGATAGCAAGACCAGCCTACGCATCCACATTGGAGACTATAGCCGAGCAGGGTGTCAGTGCCTTCTATGAAGTATGTGTAAATACCATTTTGTGGATTCTTTTGACGTGATAGGGCGAAATAGGCGAATCATTTGTCAGGACAGCGAGAGACGCGGGTGGTATACTCACAGTCGACGACCTCCATCACTACAAAGTTGTTTATGGTAAGGGGTATAATACAAGTGTAAACGGACTCGATGTTCATACCTGTGGATTCCCTACATCTGGACCTGTGATGCTTTTCATGCTCAACGCATTGGAAAGCCTTGATATGGTACCGCCGCGTAAAACTGCAGACGATCTGCACAAATTCATCGAAACTATGAAATGTGGGTGACAAACTGTATGTGATTTACCGCTGACGTATCACCCAAGTTGGTTTCGCGGAGAGGACACGGATTGGTGATGTGCCATTCATGAATGATACAACCGCAATGCTTAATATGCTCAACAAGTCGTATGCACAGGAGACTGTAGATAAGATAACGGATAGAACTCACACATGGGAGTACTACGGACCAGACTTTGAAGGGAAGGATACGCACGGCACGACACACCTCACCCTTGTAGATGATGATGATGGCGTTGTGACGCTGACATCGACAGTTAACGGCTTGTTCGGCTCACACGTACTCGACGAACATACAGGTATTATACTCAACAACGAGATGGACGATTTCAGTATACCGGGTCACCCTAATATGTTCGGCTTATGGCCTTCACCTTATAATCTCCCTGAGCCATACAAGCGTCCATTATCGTCTACAGCGCCTACTATCGTCGAGCGTGAAGGTAACCTCGTAGCTGCACTGGGCGGTAGCGGGGGTAGCAGGATATTCGGAAGTGTTTTACAGACTCTCTTGCATATTCTTCAAGGTTACAATCCGTCAGCTGCTATAGAAGCGCCTCGCGTACACGATCAACTCTTCCCACCTGTTGTTACCTTTGAGAGCGGTTTCAGCAGGCATTTAATCAGGGAGATGAGATTGAGAGGCCATAACACCACCGTCTTTGACTTCAATTTGGGCGCTGCTGACGTACAGGCCGTCACTATCGAGGATAATTTCAAATATGCCGCTTCGGATTCACGTAAAGGCGGTGTAGCTGCCGCATATTAAGATATTAACAAAGAACAATCATGTTGTATATATAACTACATAGATTCTATGAAATCAACACTATTTATCTAATCAAATAATGCAGTGTGTCGGTATGTAACATTAACACCGGTTTCGGTGTCCAGGAAAGACCTAAGTGAGTGATCTTAGGGATGAGCTTATATTACAATCCATATACGTGGTTAACGATTTTATTTCTCTTTTGCCTCAGCTAATTTGTTCGTTCGTTCGACCAGTAGGAACATATGCAATGATAGGTATACACATTATGAACTGACTCACTTGCAAGCTTCTTTATTTGAACTTTTAACAATAGTTTATTTAACATATGCTAATTGTGGTCATGTATCTGAATTACCTACCATCCAGCAATAATCGCCTCATCAAGTATACCAAAGAAAATAGGCATCTAAAATTGCACAACTATAGTACATCCTTTTAGGTAAACTTAGATTGTTTCATGGATTCAGATCCTATTACAAACCAGCCGCGATAACCGATGTCTTAGTTTCGAAGTGCTGTTATTATGCATTGGTAGATGCTCATTCAGAGAATGATTCTATTGAAGGTTATGCAGACTGTTACGGAATACTAAAGCACCATTGTAGCTCAAATAGCTTAATAGTATACGTCCAAAATAATGATATCTTCCTAGTAATGGTTATAAGATTAAACGACGAACACAGCTGCGAGCCACAAATTATTGCGTGGAAAACTAAAATGTCATAGATATTACGTATGAACCTATTTAATCTCTAACACGCTACAAATCTTAATTCATTATTATGTATACCATGATTACCCAAATCGCCCATTTTATCTGTCTTCAACGCCAAAATGCATATATGGTTATGTTTGCAAATGAAAAGCAATGTGAAACCTTTTCTAATGATTTGAAAGTTGATCATTTTCTGTTCTCTTTCATGATATATTAGGAATGCTAGAATGTAATGCTTTTATGTTCCTCATGCAAATTTTGAGCATCATTTGTTCGACTTCTAAAATGCAAACATGTCGTTCATTTAAATACATTGAGGTCAATCTAATTACATTTGATCTTGGATGATGACCAAGCTTTTATTTTTCGTATAGTTCTAATACTCTCTGAATAATATCATCAGTTGTAATAAAAATCAGCTGTGGACAACCTACAGGATATGCCGAGGGATCTAATATCTTGATATTTTCAAGAAATACTCTGCCGACATTACGCCTTGCAGATTCATTTGATATTCTTCTATAACTTTCCGATCCATATAACATATATGTGGACCAATCCTATGAATCCCAGATTAGAAGGAAGTCTATTTGAAAATAAAAAAAAGATCTTACTGTTAAGTCGTGCTGGACAAGTACGTGCGCACAACCAGCCCAACAATTAATCAATTTCTCAACATAAAACGGTCGTTCATCTGATGGGCAAGTACCATCTTCGTTAGGAATATGTATATTCGAGAGTAATTTGTGAATAGCTGGGGATATATGCGCTTTGATGATCTAAAAGAGTAAGACACGATCTTATCAATCTTCAGAACCTACCTGAGCAAATTCTTCGTCCTTTAATTGCAGTGGATCTACATCGACTTCTTCACCTAGTAACTCATTTAAGTGAGGATCATTGATGTCAAGGTCAAACATCTCAAATTCATCATCATCGTTATCATCTTCAGCAGTTTCTTCATAGGTTTTTCTAGTTGAAACAGGCATAGCGTGTCGACGCATATCGAGGAAAGTTTCAACACATTTTATTACCTCTATTCCAATATCCGAAGTCAAAGCTAAAGGTGATTCTAGAATGTTTTTCGTCCAACCTAAAAACCATGTCAGTTAAATTTGAGATAAAACTTAATCCTACAAGTATGTAGAAGTTTGGTATCTGGATATGCATTTACACCTTTATCAAGTGATGGTGTAACAATAATATGTTGAAAAGAACGTAATATCATCCTCAACGTGACAACAATTTCTTTTTTATTTCTTAGACTTTTATTCATGTTGTACTGTTCAATGTCGGTTGAAGAAATAATTTTTTCAACAACATTAAGCTCATTTAATAGTACATCTATCAATTCAGCGAACCAGTCCATTAAAGCCGTTATATCTAACGAGTGATGCCTGTAAATAATGACCATGTACATCATCGCTCTAATAATGACCTTCCTACTACTCCAATCTACTTCACTGAACGTACAGAAACTTTTGGCTTGAGCGAGACGTGGTTTAGCTGATGAAGGCTGTACATGCAAAAGAATCAACACAAGGCTGTAATGATTGATCAATATTGATAATTCGCCAATTGATGCCTGTACTGATTTTGATAATGCAACCACCCGAGTTGGTGATACTCTCGAGATAAATCTATTCACAAACTTTATTTGCTTCTTTTCATTCAACTGGATGTTTTCTCTAATACCAATAACTGATTTCCGAATTAATTTTAGGAGTAAATGAAAAGAAGTGTCTTGCTTTTCGTAAACGTTATTGAGATCATCGTTATATTCCCTCACAAATGATGGAAAATCATGAATTTTTTCAATAAGAAAATCTTGTAGTTTTCGAGTATTGAGTATATCAAATAATTTTATCGTGATACTGGCGTCGTCGTCGAATTTCCAGTTCCAGTCACTCACTAAGAGGAAACATCTTATGTAAATAGTCTTTATGTAGTGATCACGAGATGTCGATGCTCTGTTCATTATTGTATTTTCTGTTTGACAATTAAAGTCAAGTTTGTTAATAGCAGCGTGTACTAATGACCAATTCGAATTAACTATTGAAGTACTACTTGCTGATAAACCTGTTATAGACAATTGGGAAATAACTGATATTCCTATACACGCATACCAAATTATTTCACATTCTACAATAGCATGATAGTTGCTATCGCCCAACAACTTTTTGACAGTTGGTTCGACAACATCCCATAATGTAGAACCTTCAAAAATAATAGGTGCAAGATGTAATGAGACAACTAATAATTCAAGTGTACGATCTTGCAGTATTCTTACGTTGTTTAAGTCTTTCAATTCTCGTAAAGAGCGTCCAGTAAGTAATCCAATATCTAATAATTGCTCAACCAATCTCATATACGCAGTCTCCAAAGCATCATTACTTTCATCTTTGTTCATTGTCCTAAAAAGGAATTCTACTGCAAAGAAATTAATTTCTAGGATCATGTTATCACTCGGTTGTGAATCATCACTAATACTAGTTATCCGATTATTCAATTGATCTACCTGGTCTAGTATTGTGTTCCTAAAATCATGAAAACTCTCAGGTTCGCTTTTTAAGATTAAAGCGGCATATAAACATAAAAATTGAAATGCTTCTTTGAAATCTTTCAAATGTAGATCATTCGAAATATTTTTGAAAGCCTCGTCGAATATTGTACTCGATCTTCGTATGACATCGCCAGTACTTGTATCATGTGTAAGACTTATGTTAAAGCCATAGAATGGAATTATAGATTGACCTCGTATACTTGCGGCTGAGTTGAGCATTTGGTGAAAGTATCCAGTAGCTATATCACGAGTCTCACTAAACCTTGCAAAAGAAGGAAGTGGTTTTATACCAAAATCTATTGATGATTTACTCAACTTATTCCATCCTTCAGGCGCGCTAGTTGGCATTTCAGTTCCATTGATAGCCTTATCAGTATATGTGTTTTTATTAGGTAATATATTATCAGCTGAATCATCATGGTTGTTTAATTGCACCACAACTTTAGGTTTTGACTGATGTTTACGTGTTGAAGAATTTCTCGCGATTTGACCTAGTTGCTTTGATCGACTAGTCTTACTTATTTTTCTGGGTTTGTAAATGGTATTAATGTTGCCTTTAGGTGGTATATCCAAACTATTCCGCTTTGTAGTTTTAGGATGGTTATCTTTTTCGACTGTCGGTAGAAACGGAATCTTTTGTTGTTTTTGTACACGACGACGCTTTCTAGGTACTTGAGATGAATCCTTCCCTTTCTTGTAGCTTTTTCTCGAAGGGTGAGACTTAGTAGCTCGTGTAAGCATGGTATCAATTAAATCACCTCCAACACCCTGTATAGTATCAAGGTCGTCATCAGATACAAGCCAGTGACCTATATCTTCGTTACGATCTTGTAACTGTGAAAGTTTGTCATCTTCATCATTGCTGCTAATGTCAATAACTTTGCTGTTATCATTCACATCACTGTCACTCTCTTCATCACCAAGTAATAGAGGATCCAAAATATTTGCACCATTAGACATTCTGGTTCTGGAAAACCCTGGTATTGCCTTTCGTTCATCATCATTATTTTCCACCTCAGGGGATGGTATTGATGAGTGAGTAGATTTTGGCTTTCGTTTCGCCATTTGCTTTTCCTTCTGCATTAATCTCAGATCTGCAATTGCTCTTTTAGCAAAAACAGCAGGCATTGATTTGAACAAAAAAGCTTTGCGTTGAGCATCGAGGATATCGTCATCGCTTTCATCACCAGATTGTTTTGCATCTGACCGATTTATGTTAGGAGATTTCATTTTTTCATCATTGTCGCTTGCTTTATCAGAGCCTTCCTATAGTTATATCAGATAGATGAATAAAAGTAGTCAGGTGAGGACATACGGAAGAGCTACTGAAAGCTAAATTTCTTTTCTTGATGTAATCATTCGATTTTCGAGAAGTATTTCGCTTTTTGGAAGATATGGGTATGGCTATATCATCGTCTGAGGAAGATAAAGTTCCGCCGTACGTTTCAACAATGCGTTTTTGATGCTCTCTCTTTTCCGCACGATGACGCCTACGCGCTAGAACCTTTTCCTTTTCTCCTGGGGACATTTGAAGCCAACCATCGATTTCAAACTCGTCTTCTTCAACTTTTCTCTCATAAGCGCCTTTGTTGGCAGCAATAGAGTTCTTTACGAGAGCATCTTCCCAACCATTTTTTGTGAGGATTCTTTGATAACGGGCACTTTCATATGAGTAAGGATTCTGTTGCTTTGGATTGCGCTGACGAAGGGTTCTACGGCCAGGCTGCTGAAAAGATGATGGATTTACTTCAGTGGATGGTTGATAAGATGACTGATTAGATATTTTGTTAAGCGAAGAATACGCGTCAGTATCGCGTCTAGGTGATGGTTGTTTTGGCTTATGATGACTGACTGGCATCTGAGTTGAAATATCTTCGGTCTCTACCTGTTCAGGTATTCTAATGTCATCATCGTGCTCACTTCTTGACGGCTGATCTGATAAGGTAGCTGAAGGGTAGGCTACAGATGACGATCTTTGAAATGTTTGAGATCGCAGTACTGAGATGTCTTGTATTAATGGTTGAGATAGTGATCTAGTTAATCTTTGAGGAAGGCTAGAAGGTGGCGGTGAGCTAAATGATCTAACATGCTTCTTCAAATTAACGTCTTCTTCATTTGAATTCTCTGATATTGTCGTTGCATCTGAATTTGTTCTATATAAATTTACTATGTCATTCGTCATGGACTTTGGCTATCAAGACGCGTCTATAATTTTAGGATACAGAGAGAAAAAAGAGAAGAAAATAAATTTCGAACTCAATCACATCGTAGAGATAGTAGAATAACGTTTATATAATAAGATAACAACTCAGAAGACTGATATAGCCAAAATTACAATAATCTACATATCTTCCCTAGACCATTTACCGTGCTCGTATACGGCACCTGTGATGTGATTAGATTGCTACTCTTACATGTTGGCTTTTCACACTTACGCTTCCTTGAATTGATCGATTGGAAAAGCTTTTGTTCAAAGCCATTAGATCTATCTACACCATCCCATCTATAGCCCGGGGATATACCAAACCTATTAGGTGGTGGCGGTGGTCCTGTATACTTGGGTTTCTTTGGACCAGAAGAAGTTTTTTTCTTTTAATGTCAAAGTGTGTTACTATGGTGTAATATAGCAACTTACAGTTATAAAGGCGGCTGCAGGATCATTCCACCGTTCGACATCCATAAGTTCAGCGTTATGTTCAGCATCGTCACTATATTTCGACAAAGATTTGTGTTTCATAGCTTCCTCTTGTTTTCTCAACTTATCGCGGTCTTCCCTTTGTACTAAACCCTTACCCCATTCCATTCGCTTAGCTTCAGCTTCGTCTCTCTCTTGTTTCAAACGCTTGGCTTCAATCTCTTGAGCTTTAACATCGATTTTGCGGCCAGATTGATCTCTGTAGATAGTCTGTTGATTAGAATTTTGTAGCGATTGCTCTTCCAATCTTCTTTTCTCCTCCTCCTTTGCCCTTAATTGAGCATTCTCTTGTCTTATCTGCTTGGCCGACTTGAGACCACCTTTGAAATCGTTGTCATTGTTGTCTTCTACGACTGTGGGGTTATCTTCAGTTGATGTAGAAGCTTGAGTAGGTGGCGCGATAGATTTGAACTTTGAAGAATGTGATACAAGTTGTACAGCGGGGTCATCGTTATCGTTATCGTCGAGTTTACTAGTGAGGAGGTCGTTGTCCTCGTTTATTGTTACAGAGCCGTCCTTTGTAGAGGACTTAGATTTCTTCTTCTTCTTACCCTTAGCACGCTCTAGGATAGCGTCTGCTTTAGGGCCTGAGAGGTAACTTATTTATTTAGTTGAGTAGTTTAAATGTTAATAGACTCACTGTTCAGCTAAATACAAGTCCTTTGCTGACATTTCCTTTTCAACTTTAACGGTCAACTCAAGGGTTAGATATGTCATCTAACAGCATATACAACGTAATTAAAATTATATTACTATGAAATAAAATATGTATTAATCGTCACTTAGCATCGTCATCTCCAACCCGCGAATGCAGCTCCTGCTCCAGCCCAGCCCCAGTCCGTATCCACGAGCAGACTGGGTGAACTCCTTGATATCGTAAAGCAAGAATTTGATTCTATCTCGTCAAACGGCGTTATGATAAAGGAGCAAAGGGATGAGTATGAGCATAAGCGTGAGTACTCACCCGCTCTGCTGATTTTCTAACCTCTCCAAGTTGCCGCACAAATAAATGAAATACACACACTTAGGCAGTCTTTTCATGATTTGAAGAATCTGCACACAGAACTAGTTACTAGGTCTGTCATTCATCCCTCCTCCCCATATGAAGCTAATATTTCTCAGGTACGAAGAAGAAATAACAAGATTGAGGAGAGAACTCGAGAGTCGGCAAGGCCAATCTCCTATCACCGTACAGCCTAATTCTGCTCAAGCAACCCGCGCCGGAACACCGACCGTTGTAGCACCAACAAACAAACGTAAGCTATCTTGTAATTAAGTGATCGCTCTCACTCATCAACTACTAGCTACAACCCTTCCTCCTCCAAGCCTCAATCAAAACGCCCAGCCGTTCTCTGCTATCAATCCTCCAAAGTCATACCCTCATTCTCCACTTCCTTCAGGAACGGCACCATACGCTGCACAACCAACCGTTCCTCCTCAGTTGCAGTCTGCTACTCGTCCACAGTCTCCTTACCCTATTCCACCTGTTCAACAAAGCCAACAAGCTCAACCGCAGCCACCATCGAGCGAGCAACAACAATCAAGCGCTCTTCAACCTATTACTCCTAATCAATCAATAGACTTTGGCGACCCAGAGGCTTTCCCTAGAGACTTTAAAAAGGAGGGAAGTGATTGGATCGCAATGTATAATCCTTCCATCAAACGCAACATCGATGTTTCTTTGGTCCATAACCTCGTTCACGAATCTGTCGTATGCTGCGTTAGATTTAGTGCAGATGGTAGATTCCTTGCAACAGGTTGTAACAAAACTGCTCAAATTTACGACACCAAGACTGGTGCTAAAACTTGCGTTTTAGCTGATGATAACGTTCCAATTAAGGGTGATTTATACATTCGTAGCGTTTGCTTTAGTCCAGATGCAAAATATCTCGCTACAGGTGCAGAAGACAAGCAAATTAGAGTTTGGGACATCGCCAAGCGTAAAATAAAATCTCTTTTCACTGGTCATAAGCAAGAAATTTATTCACTTGATTTCTCATCTGATGGTAAATTCATCGCATCAGGTTCAGGTGATAAAACTGCCCGTTTATGGGATGTTGAAACTAACACTTGTTTACATACTTTCAACATTGAGGATATTATTATGTGTGATACTGGTCCAATCGACTCAGGTGTCACTTCAGTAGCTATATCACCTGATGGTAGAATGGTTGCTGCAGGTAGTTTAGATACAAAAGTTAGAGTTTGGGATGTTAAGACTGGTCAGCAATTAGAAAGATTAACCGGACATAAAGATAGCGTCTACTCTGTTGCTTTTGCACCTGATGGTCAATCTTTAGTTAGCGGTTCACTTGATCGCACATTAAAAATTTGGGACCTGAGTGGCACGATAAAAGCAATCAACGGTGGAAACCCTCCTCAAGTTCAAAATGAAATTAATGGTGAAAAGACTGGCTATGCAGTCTGTATTAACACTTTAGTTGGTCACAAAGATTATGTATTGTCTGTTGCTGTTTCTCCTGACGGCCAATGGATTGTTTCAGGATCAAAAGATAGGGGCGTTCAATTCTGGGATCCTAACACTGCGCAAACTCAATTGATGCTTCAAGGACACAAAAATTCAGTCATTTCTATTGACTTATCACCTCGTGGACTATTCTTAGCAACCGGTAGTGGTGATTATCACGCTAGGATCTGTAAGTCATGATTTATATATACTACTAATATTTACAATAAACTTTAGGGAGTTGTACAGCTGAACAGTCTTAGTTTCGAATCTTGTATCCATATAGTAAATCGACTTTTACAGTTTATCACACTAAAAATCTGTATAAATAATTTACCACTAAGCTGCTTATCGTTTATTAAATGCTTATTCGTGATTGATTTGGTTTATCTTATAACCAATTTGTTGATTAAGAACTTTGTTCTGGTTGTATTTTCTGAAAATCTTGCCATTTTTCTTATCTCTGATAACCTTCAAGATCTTCCTAGAAATTGCTTTATGGCCTGCGTTGACAGATTTGTCTGTCATGAAGTTGATGAACGACTTCTCAAAAGCTTTTAAACCCAGCCAATAAATTAAGTAAGATGATAAACTACAACTTGCATTTTCTTTTGTTGAGACTTTGAATAGTGTGTATTTGACACCAAATTCTACAATTTTCTCTATAGATGCTGTGAAAATTTAGTCAAATGGGAAAAGTTCAAACAATAAACCCACACTGAAGATGAGAAACTCGAAGCATTTTGATGTCAAGTACACTTGATAGATAAGTGATCATTTTTATAGCACATACGAAGTAATTCTCATAAATGTTTCTCCTCACTGTTGTATTCGAGTTGAAGTTGCTGTCAGTATATAGAGCGTGTGCGTGTTGTTTAAACGATCTAAAGTAACGTCAACTTGGGTATCAATGGGGATTTATAACTAACTGAATCAATTTCTGCGAAAGAGATTGGCCAATTTTGTTACCGGAACCGATTGAAAACGAGTTCCTAATATCTGGTTTGTCTTGTCAACTATTTGCTTACAAGAGTGCTGATAAACTCACCATCTTGCAAAACCCTACCATAATCCGCCTTAACATCAAGTGTTTTTGTGTTAATTAGAAGACCACACCAAGGAAAATCTTTGAGGTGATTAATTCAATCTTTCTATTAGAAGCTCAACATACAATCATCAGATCTGTGACACCTATTGATAGTATTGCAACCATCGAATGATATATCAAAGTTAACGAGTGTCTTATGCTCGCTAATCTTGGCCCCGTATTGTGGAAAACCCTCCCTAAGCCTCTGCAGGAACGTTCTTGCCTCTTGGCGAGAAGTAGTTATCAAGATAAAGTCATCAATAAAGCGTAGAAGTAACTACATAGATGGTCAATCGCAATATGCCAACTTCAACAAGTTTACTCACTGAATTGTTGGAATCCTTGACAAATTTCAACTCATTCGACTCTAAGTTCCCATAGAAAAAACTGCAGAGTATAGTTGACAGTATACTTCCTTGTGGTATGCCTTTTGCTTGTCGAAATACATCAGTTCCAATCTAACTACCGTTAGACGGTCATCTTTTCTACTAAAAACCCACCTTGACCAAGTTTTCTGTTATGTGCTCATTTAGTAGCTCCAATAGGTCGTCTTTTTCTACTTGGGGATGTACCACCTGTCATCTTATTAGAGGTATTATGTGAAACATTTCACTTACTTGGTCAGCAAGAATGACATTTCTCAATGACATTGATAAAGTCGAAGCAAGTTTGATGAAAATATTCTGTTCATCTATTGATGTTAGCTTTTTAGAATTGTGATTCCAAACTTACATTCTGGCAAAGCTTGTCGCTTAAATTTGCATTGCGATTGGCCGTCAGACGTAGACATCATACTGTACTTTTGTATAAGATAATCATCCTTTAAATTATGTCAACAAGTTTTATAAATAGTGCAATCTGTACCTACCTCGCGGATAACATCTTGCAATAATTCCATCAGTAATTTTTGGTCAATTGTATCGAAACAACATTGAATATCGGCCTTGACAAAGTAAAATCTTTGATTTCTGTTTGGAAAATGTCAGATCGTATGTTATGTTCATACTTAAGACACCCACTTTCGTTCATTTGGATGACCAATTAAACGCAGTTTGTATTCTTTCAACTTTTCAAATGCCTCATGTGAACCCAATAGACTTGCACCCATCGCGTTTGGTTGGCGAAGACGTTCGTAAGTCAAAACATCAAAAGCTGATCGTAGAATATTATTGATCGATCTACCACGCTTATATCCAACGATCTGACCAAATCTTTCTTCTGGTATCCAGCATTGATTACGAAGATTGACGATCGGTCGTACACCTGTTTCCTTGGGCATAAGCCTCACGAATGATGGCTGTAAAGTTTTATCCGTAATAATCTGTATATATGATTAAACTAACCCCTAATCACGTAGAAGTACCCACTAAATCATCATCAGCCTTCTCGAAAATGCTATCTGATAGCTGATCCAACAATGGTTCAGTCGTGAGAAGCCAATCATCGTGTCTGAAATAATACGTGCGTTTCCTATTTGCAGACGAATCTGATATATAAAATGTAGTCTGTCATAATTAGTTTGTGAAATCATATATATAGACCACACAAGTGACTTACTTTCAGTAAAGGTATGATAAACTCTTCAAAAATCCAGTATATCCACTCCAAAACAACTTCATTTACCTTCTTCTGTTCACTGTAGGGTATACGATGTGTATTATCATTGTATGGCTTGGCATAAAAGCATTTGAAGTCTTTAATATGTAAACCTTGGATGAGGGTATGTAGGGTCACTGTTTCGTATTTTCTCATACTTATGAAAGTGTCAATTGCTATTATATATAAGTTACGTGGAGCTAGCTGCGGTGATACATACCATCGAAAATTTTCAATTTATTGTATGTTGATCCAAATAGATCTTTTGGTATAACATCAGCAACAATAGATTTCACAAATCGTTGTACCTAAGCTGGATTAAATTAGGTGCAATTTGTCAATCACAACCTACTTCCGAGTGTGAACACTCCAAATCTTGGAAACAAGGAGGGGCTTGTGTGCTGTCTCGAAAAATATCTGCGGCTTTTCTAGGTGTGAAGTCTTTTCTTGACATTTGAGTGAACAAATTTGGACTGCTTGGTTGGTTTTGGTTTAAAGATACGGACATATTGATGAAATCGTTATCCATCAATTGAGTCAAATCCATGTCCTTTCCATTAGTTCTACTCCTGCAGTGTCGTTTCAACTGCCCTGTATAGTCAAATTTAATATGCCTATTTATTAATCTCTCCATCGTAGGAACTAGTTTTTCAAATCTTTTGGGTGTTTTAGGTTGACGTTGCTAGAGACATTTTTTGAGTAGAGTATCAAATCAGATGATATACTTACCAGAATCTCTGAATCACGTGTTAATCTATTTACAGGTATGAAATTGCTATCGGTGACATCCTCAAAGACATTCTTCAAACCATGTTGACGCGGGAATATATGAGCGAGGAGATAGGTAGACGGTGTGGCAGCAAAGTCATTTGACTTCTGTTCAAGTCTATTGAGGATATCTATATTTCTCACCATAAGTACTCATAGAAGGAGTGAATATCTCAAACCTACGCGTTGAAGGCAAGCCAATCGCATAGACCTTCTTCGTGGTTGAGTAGAATAGAGGTCGACCGTAGAATATCCGATGCCTTGATATAGAAATTTCAGAAGGCTTCTTTACCTTGCCTTTGTTCGTCTTATCTGGGATGTACTTGAGAGTTTCAGCAACGGGAATACCAGCAAGCTGAACCAGACAGCTGTTCTCCAACATAAGAAACAAACTAGTATTGCTAAGCAAGTCTATCATTCTATCATCGCCAATTCTTGATGTGATGAGTTAATGTCAGTTGAAGAGAAGATTATACAACTCACTGTGAATGTAGATCTTTCCAAACAGCAGTAAGAAACCATCTAACGTTTGTATTAATGTAATAATTGGATATACCAACCCTTAGACTATCTAACTTTACGCGATCGTAGTTTACATTTGCCATACGATAACCCAGTGTTAATATATTAGATGGCTTTCCGGAGCTCTCAGTAAAAAGTCTATAGTGTACGTGATCGATTAACTCATTTATTGTCATATTAACATTAAGATTATTATATCGAGATACCATAGGAACGCGAGAATCATTGACTAGTACGTTATCTAGAATAGAAGGATCCCTTATATTTAATATACTATCCAAATTAAGCCACTGCCGTAAAGATTTCGTATTGATATCGTTTAGAATGACGTTTGACATCGTTGAAGAGAAACAACCATCAAGGGTGGAGCTTATAGATATCAATAAAGCTAAAACTATTGTATACTAACGACTATGAGTTCTTTTAGAAAAGATTACGACGTTGAACATTACAGAGATAAAGCGAAGGAAGAAGAACAGAGAGCCAGAGCATTTGCGAAAGAAAACGAAGAGCGTATATCGAAAGGTCAAAAGCCACTGTCTAGATCTGCATTTGAGCAACGTAAAGGACCAAAACCAACTCAAAAGCTACAACAGCGTGATGATCCATTAGAATTAGATAAGAATACAAATAAAACGGTTGTAGTTGCACAAGGTACACGTCAGAATCAACCTGGGTTTTATTGTGAAGCTTGCTCTCGTACTTATAAAGATAGTGCATCGTACCTCGATCACATTAACTCAAGAGCCCGTGAGTAGAAGTATGATCATATTGTTTAGACTAACAGCTCTCAAGATCTTCGTAAATTGGGTCAAACTGTTGATACAGAGCGTAGTACACTACAACAGGTACAGGCGAGGATAGCTTTGCTAAGGGAGCGGACTAGGGAAGCTTCACAGAAGAAAGAATATGACTTCAGGCAGCGCGTTGCAGATATTAGACAAGCGGAGATAGATAAAAAGACAAACAAGCGTAAAAATAAAAAAGCTAAGACTGCTATCGAGAATACTGAAAGTGGGGACGTCGATGAAGAAAGTGTTGAAATGGCACGTATGATGGGATTTACTGGTGAGTATATAATTCGTCCTTCAATTTTGGCTGATTTAGGTAGGTTTTGGTAAATGATGTAATAAATAAGTTGTAAATTATGAATTTTGATTAAATTTGCATAGAGAAAGCGATGTAATCGTCTTTGATACCCCAGCCTGTCGATTTGAGATCAACGAGAGCACCACCGACATACATGAAGGAGTGAATTAACTCGGTCAGACCTTGTATGAATTTAGGCATGACAACAACCAAATTGTTAACGTTCAACGTCTCACCAAGTTCAAGTAAGGCGACGATATCTTCTCTAAGGAATTGAACAGAATCCCATTCAACTTTCTCAATTGCGAGTGTTTCACTGGAAGGTAAGAAACCGCACCATTGATCACCATTAGAGAATTCAATAGAGAGATTATCATCGTATTTTTTAGACTCTAAGAAGTTTGGACTTGGGTTGAAATTTCCGGAATTGATAGTGCTGAGTGGCGAGAGCGACTCTTCTGGCGTATTCGGGGGCGAGGGAATAGAGCATAGTAGATTCCCAACATCTTCAGCAGCTGTATTCAGCTGAGAGGCATTGGATGGGCGCCTGCGGACGTCAAAAACGATACTTTGGCCCTGCGTCCCAGCCGGATGAAGAAGAGTATGCGTAGCTGACGAGACCATCAATAGAGCAGATAGCGTCAGCGAATTCAGATGATTGAGCGTTCTTTGGTCCCCCCATCAAGACAGCCGAGCTCAAGTGGCAGTCGCTAGATAGGAGATAAGGGGAATTAACTAGAGTAAGAATAAAAACTCACTTGGGGGTAGTATTTGAAGGTTTTTTACTATTCATATTTCCTGAAATCATCATATTGTGAATTTATATTGTAGAACGTGTAGACAGTAGTGGAATGAGGTGATAGACGAAATTCTGAGGTGATTTTAAAAGCAATCAAGTAAGTTTTCTATGAAATATATTCTAAATTATATCATTCATACCAGCCGTTCTTCTCATCACGACAATCATGAACGCTGGCAACGATATCGACCCAGAGGAAGAACAAACAAAGACGATAAATGAAGAGGTGATTATAATATTTATCTCATTTTACGCGTTAATAAGCTTTTAGTACAAAACTTGGAAGAAGCACGCACCTTTGCTATACGATCTCGTAGTCTCACACACTCTCGAGTGGCCTACATTAACAACCCAGTGGTTTCCTGATGCTGAAACGTTGGTATCTTAGTCTATAACGCCATTAGAGATTCTGACATGAACTAGTTCACCAGATAAAGACTACACGACCCATAGACTTTTAATGGGTACAAATACATCAAATTTAGAACAAAATATGTTACATATCGCTCAAATAAAGCTACCAAAGCAGTCAGACGACGTTGATCCAGCAAAGTATGAAGACGAGAAGGGTGAAATTGGCAGTCATAGCGCGACTAACAAAGTAGAAATAATACAATCTATCAATCACGATGGTGAGGTTAACAGGGCGCGCTATAATCCATACAACCCAGACTTGATCGCTACACGTACAGTTATGGGTCCAATTTACATCTTTGATCGCACAAGACATGAGTTAAAGCCAAAAGCTGATGGTACTTGTAACCCTCAGATAGTTCTACGCGGTCATGAAGGTGAAGGGTGAGATAATCTTAAAGTTGCTACTTGAATACGCTAACTTATCTCTTAGATACGGTATGGAATGGTCACCTCTTAAAGAGAATCACATCATTTCCGCATCTACTGATACCACCGTCCGTCATTGGTGAGTAACGTCTAATGTACGCTACTTCTTGCTGAGATCTTTAGGGATATATCAAACTACCAATCAACAAACAATATCTTAGATCCTATCAATACATACCGCGGCCACACTGCTGCTGTTGAAGTGAGTTGCTTCAACTTCCGCTTATACTAAGAAAAGAATACTGATAAGGGTAGGATATCTCTTGGCACGCATCACACGAGAACATATTTGCATCCGTATCCGATGATCAACATCTCTTCACGTGGGTAAGGTTTAAAATCACGTAGAAATCTAACAGCAACCTAGATGGGACACTCGTGATGCTACCCAGCCACACCAGAGAGTAAAAGCACACGACGCAGACGTCAACTGTGTTGCGTTCTCGCCATCCCAACCATTCCTTTGCATTACTGGATCAGCAGATAAGGTGAGACCTTTACGTTCTCTCATACCCAACTAACAACTCCAGACTATTGGTTTATGGGATCTCAGAAATCTTAAAAAGCGTCTTCATTCTATTGAAGGTCACAGTGAGGATGTAATGAACTTGGAGTGGTCGCCGCACGCAGAGACTGTCTTTGCATCTGCCAGTAACGATAAAAGGGTTTGTTTGTGGGATATCAGCCGTATTGGTGAAGAACAAACACCTGAAGATGCTGAAGATGGTCCACCTGAGCTTATGTTCATGCACGGTGAGTACAACCTGAACAATGTAAGAAAATCTAATGAGACACCCTTCAGGCGGTCACACGAATGCGATTACTGATATCAGCTGGTCCAAGACCCTACCATTCACAATGATGAGCGCTAGTGAAGACAACGTCGTCCAACTCTGGTCGCCATCCTCACATCTATACGCTGCAGAAGAAGCGCCAATCGATGTCGATGAATTGGAGTAAAAGATTTTATTAAAAGAACAACCTGAGTAATTCGAATAAAACTATTTATCTTATCAGTCTGACGTGTCTCGATTTTGAAACTACTCACGACCGCCACCTAGTAAGAAAACAAAGAAGAGAACTAAGAATGTTGATGTTGATGACTGCTGCCTTAATTTAGACAGGGCATACTCTATAGATGTATTCTTACCTTCTGCTTTTCTGGTTTGACAGCGTTCAAACCGTGCTTATTCTTATGCTCAAATTGAGCGTTTCTCCGCCGTATATCAGCAGGTGTTGGCTAGATATAAAATAAGTTATTTGCTAATAGTCGATAAAATAAGATTACCATTTCAACTTGATGACGCGAGAGAGAGCTTCTAAAGACGGGACTATCAAGTTAATAGAAAAATAGAAAAATATTCTATGGGTAGACAGCTATTAGATAAGAAGTTTCAAGTAGAGAGACAGACGCCGTCTATAATGCGACGGAATAGGGAATACACGTTCAGCTATATAGAGAAAACCCAGTCTAACTACCTCGATGGCGTTATAAATAAGGAAATAAACTCTCCAATTTCTCAAGCAAGCCAGAATTGTGAACATGTTCAAGTGAATGGACCAATAACGCGATCGTCGATAATATATTTGTAATAATCTATCCTTTATATACACTAGTTACCTTGCAAAAGCTGTACAATCTTACCAGAAGCATGTGCAGCTTGGAAGTCGTCGTTACCTGTAAAATTTGAGTGAATCTTCAACCTATTGAGGTGGGTGACTTACCACCAATGTCTATGGATATATGAGACGCGTCAAATGAGATATATCAGATACTTACGTTGTTGCTTGACGAATACGTTTGGAACTGATCTCTGAAAACAATGTGTCAGCTAAAGTTGCTATTCAGTCGATACTAACTTGGCCAGTCTTGTCCAAGAGGTAGGCTTGGATGTCTGCACCGTCTGGTCTCTCGTCGAGTCTGAACTGTTAGCTTTGCAGATGATATAAAGCTGCTACATACTCCAAGATAGCTACATTGTCTGGCTTAACTGGAAGTTGCTTGATCAAGTTCTTTGTACGAGTACAGAATGGCTATCGAGTGGTAAACGACTAGTCAATCTGCTAAATAACTAGCTTACGCAATATGACTTTGAGAATACGGCGATGACATTATCGGCGATGGTTTTCTACAGGTGGTCATATTAGAACTATAAGGAATATAGTAAAGTATATATATCATACTTCAACTAATTGCGCAATTGCTGACATGATAGTAGGAATTAAAGAAGTTCCGATGACGAAATACGACGAAATACGACGAAACTATCTGATTAAATTTACAAACAAGAAAAAGACTGACTATATAAAATTATTATTATTTCCTATTAAACACTACTTCACATCTTCTCCTGATATCTTTACGAGTGAGTTCTGCTGTAGCGAAAGAGAATAACTCCTGATCGTACAGAATTGGTAAAATCTCTTCTGGTACCTAATGAAATAGTCAGCTTATAGTATAACCACACTTCAATCAAACTTACACAGTAGAATTCATCTTGATCTTCAAGATACTCGGCTATTGACCTATTGCATATTATTGTATCTTCTCTATTGTATGGACTATGTGGCGGGTATAATACAGATGGTGCTATCGTTATTGCCAAATTTTGGATATCCATCTTTGAACCGGTCTCTTCATCAACATGACTGAATGACGCAACCCATCTTAAAAAGACGAATAAAACTTCTAACAAGTCTCGATGGGATTTTGGTAAAAGTGTGATAAGTAAGTGTAATATACGTTTACGAGTAGCTTCATCAACGATCTCTAATTGGAGGTTCGTGTATAGTTTATATAACTTATGAGGGAAAATTGGATCACCCAAGCCAGCCAAAAACTTCTTTAAAAGTGCTGCTAACTGCACTGGTGATTCTTCAGTTAAGTTACCATTATAAACTTCTTTGTCGATAGCCTCAACTAGTTCTCTTAACTTCCTTATATTACCATTTTTTCTAAATACACCTTCAACTGACATATCAACTTGTCTCATTGCCATGAGTAAATCATCAAATAAGCTTGGAATCGTCAACTTATATTGACCGTTCGTCATTGTAGTTTCAACGCCAGCTCTTTCAACTAACTGATCTAAAGTACACCCAAGGATACCTGTCTTCTTTTGTTCTTTTTTAGGTTTGAAGAATTTACCCCAGAATGTATTAGCTTTCTTTTGTTCAACTAAATCTAAAAGATCATCCAAGTTTTCAATATGCTTTGACATTTCAGATCTCTCTAATAAATATAAAGCTGCATGCTTAACGACCAAAGATTCAAGTGAAGACAATTCAGTCATTAAAATGTTCTTATTAGATCTTGATAATGATTTTCTTTGCTCACGTGCTTGTGAAGCTTCCATGATTTGTGGCATATCAACTAACGATACTACATCACTATCAAGTGATTTATCAGTTTGTGAAGTATAAATAATTTCATTATTATCACTATTAGAGAATTGTGGTTTCAATTCAGAAATTACGTTTGGCGCATTCTCATGAACTATTCGAACACCCGAATCAGGTTTGATAGTTAAGGCAGGTTGAGCAGCTTGAACCTCAGGTTGCTTAATTGGTGGATGATCATCAATTGGTGATGGGAATAATTCTGATGGTACTGCACTTCTACCAATTGGACTTTCAACGACCGTAGATCTTCTAGGTAATCTAGCTGTTGCTGATAACTTCCTATCCAGTTCTAATTCTTGTGGTCTAATTCTCTTTAATTCACTTGAATCACGCCAGCTATCATAAACTTCTTTACTAGCATTTTGAGCTTCTCTATCTCTCTTCTTTTGATCATCAAGTAAATCTGGAGAAGCTTCGCCTTGGTTCGATTTGCTGTTCTCCAAACCAATAGGTTTTTGTTTAGGTGGTGGTACTGCACCTCTTGTTTTAAGTACCATGTAAAGACGAGTTAATGCAACATTAAGTAAGTAAGAGTATTGTTCAAGTTTAGTTGAGAAAGTGAAACCTTTTTCAGCATGTGAAACGGTATGTTTACATTGTGTACAGACAACTTTAGTAGCAGCCTTCTCTGCAGCCATTACGGCTTTATGACTGACATTTGGTGGTATAGCTAAAGTTGCAGGGTTTGGTCTTGAAAGATAATAATCTTCAATAGGTAAGCGACGGCCACCATCTGATGTACTTGCTCTTTCTAATTTAGCAATTTCTGCATCATAATCAGTTGAGCTATCATAAGCTATTCCTGATTCTGCCGCTTGATCCCTGCGTTTATCTCTTTGACGTTCACGATCACGTTGACGATCACGTACTGATCTGACTGGTAAAATTGGACGACGGTGACATTCGTCACATCTGAAGCAATCAAGTGTCCATCTTAATGATAAACCAAAGCGAACGCAGTCATCCTCGATAGTCGCATTACAGGCGAAACAAAGATCTGTTGGGTTATCACTAGATATTCCTCTACCAATGACGCTAGACTTCTTTGAAGATGTTGACATGGATTTATAACCATAACTGACTTGCTTTAGTTGACGTTCGTCATCAGCGTTATCATGTTGAGCTGATGAGATTGGATCTTGTAATAATAAGGAGAGTTTATCAAGGAAGGCAGGTAACGCTTCAATATCAGCGTAATCGCGATCAAGTTTGAGTGAAGCAGTGAGGGCTATTCTAATTAAAATCTTTAAATAATGAGCTAAACCTGTAACTAATGAGAGTAATTCCTTTGTTATACCCATTCTGCGTGATCCAGCTTCGTGTGTATGTGATAAGATTGAAAGGAAAGATACTGTTTTACGACACAACATACGAGCCTCACGATTATGAGAAGGACCTGGAGTTGTAAGTAAATATTCTACCCAAAATCAAAGAAGAAACTCACTTTTCAAACCCTCTTTTATAAAGGAATCTTCGATTTTGTCCATAGCGGCGAATAAGACCTCTACGTGTATGATAAATTTACCAGCCATTCTAACTGCAATAATATATGCACCGGTTGAAACATGTCTTAACATTTCAGAAATGCAAGCAGCAGAAGATTCTTCAAATGCGGAGAGGACTGTCCAAATGCGGAAAACGTGTTCTTCCATTCTCTTTTGCTTATCGAGCAAAGCTAGAGGGGTTTCAAGACTTTCTTCTTCTGATGACGACAGTAGCTTTGAGTTCGGACGCGCAAGTTTTACGTTCCAGAACTTGTTGATCATGTAACACTCAGGGTGCCAATGCTCGTTGAGGTTATTTCTATTAATTTCTACGAATTGTTTAAGGATCGCGACTTTGCAACCGCAACATTTTACGGCGAAGCGAGTTGAGTAGTGGAAGTGACAAAAAACTTGTTGATCGTGCTCATAATAACTATCCTTTGGACCAAAGATGAGGTGACAAATGGAGCAGGTGAAATGATTGGTGTGATACTTTTTGCCGCATGCGGTTATATAAGAACCGCGTAAAGCCATGTTGCAGTTGTAGCAAATTAAATCGAGTCGTTTAAAGTAGTGAGTCTCGCATAAAGGGAAAGAAGTTGAGCTGTCCTTTGACTGTATCGGAAAGAATTTATTAGCGACGACTTTACCGCAATCGTGGCATTTGAAGCAATCCAAGTGGTAGATGTTGCCCAAGGCCCGGACGAACTGGCCGGACATTGGTAGACTGCATTCAAAACATAATTCAGAGGGAGCGGGTGATGACATTTTATTGCCAACGCTAGTCTCTATTTCGAGAAAATAAGTCCAAGGTGATGGTCGTGAGTAAGAAAGGCGTGTTAATTTATCAAAGAGAGGATGTGTTGGTTAACAAAATAATTTTTTAAATTTTCCTTGTTAATGAATGCAGCGCCTTTAATAAATCCCAGACAGTTGTCTTTCTTGCAGTGACAGTCAAATGCCTGGTCCATCGACCATTCTGTGGAAGGGTAAAAGAATTCTAGCGGGGTATCCTTCTTGATATCGACTAAGGCTTTTAAAAACCAGTTCTTTTTGTCTTGTCCGTTGATAACGAATGCAACGTTAGGCTCGCAGGAGTGGTTGATGTAGACGAGATCGCAGTTGAGCTCGATGTGCTTATCGCTGTCGACTTGTACGCTTGTGTAGGCGCGCTCTGAATAGCTAGCGCTGTCGAGGTAGCTTATTATCTCATCCTTCTTGAAGTCCTAGACGAGTTAGAGTGAGTGTCGACGCTGAGATAACACACCTTGTCTGCTAGAGCGTAGGACATATAATCGCCTGGGCATTTTACAACTCTAATTAAACCGCTGTGAGTCGATGACATATCTTCTATTAACTAACGCTAGAGAGAGAAGATTGTTAATTAATAGCTAAATAAATAAATTAATTAAAAAATTTAAATTTTAAATATTCTTATAATAATGTTATATATTAGTTTCTGCCTAACGATCATCACCATCTCAGATACTAAGAATGGCCGCAATATCTCCTATGGGATTCAACTTTGGTAATACAAAAACATCTACAAAACTCTTGAAATCTTCTAAATCTTCAAAGAAGAGGGAGTTCGTCAACGAGGACGACACCAAGATGTCCATCCCAGATGACGAACACGAGAATAGACCGGTTAGATCACTCAAAAAAGTTAAATCAACGATAAACAACCACACGCCGGATGAGCCCGACTTGGGCGTCTTGCTCGCTTCTCTCCCCCATCAGTCCCTCCTCAGCATAATGAATAACATCATCAATCAAGAGCCATCAGTGAAATCTCTGATCCTCTCGAAAATACCCCAGCCATCTCTATCCACCTATTTACACGCCCTCAATGATTCCACCAACCGCATCATACATTCTATCCCTCTCGGCAACACTAGAGCTATTTACACACTCTCGAGACTAAAAATTCCGTTGACTGATTGGTCAAAAGTCATCTCAACCTATTTGCCCTTCTTCACCTCAAGCAATCTCCATCCAGCGGACAGATTTATCGCTATCCAGCCAACGACTTTGCAGTTCATCAGACTCTTGAGTCACCTTCCAACTATCACCGATGATCAATTACCGACTTCATTAGACTATATATGGCAAAAGATAAGACAGTCCTGGTCAGATTGGTTTAATCAAATTGATGACAACGTAAATAACCAAGGTGCGATGTTTAGCGCATCCATCTTACAAACCTGGGCTAAAGGTCTCGACGAAATCTGCCAGTCGGACAAAACTCCAGAGGGTTTCCACGCTAGCTGTCAAATAGACTTGATAAACCTCCGTCAGAACTGGGAGTCAAACCTCGGCTGGTTGATCGCTAGAGATATCACAGCAAGGCCAAGCTGGGCAGTCTAGTCTAGTAGAACGATAACAACGATAACATTTTTTATTTATACTTACGGTTGTAATGTCTTTTATTTATATTTATTTTACATCGACGCTTGGACAGGATCTACCATGACTTCCGCGAATGACGAGCAAACTTTGAATAGAGTTTTTAGTTTGGATAAACCATACACGCCTACAACACCTTCATTCTCAACAACACCGAGAATAAGCTCAAGACAGATGCTCAACAACGCTTTATCTTTGGCAAATACAGCAGTAAATCTAGATAAAGATAACGATTTCCCGAAAGCTTTGCACGCATACAAAGACGCTATGGATTTGTTAGAGAACGTTATGCGTAGAGTAGAGGCAGAGAATAGCACAAATAGCAGCCAACAAAAACCAACTTCTAGGAGGTTAGAAGAGGCGAGGAGGTTGAAAATAATAGTGAGTCTACTACTCTCTTACTACCCACCTCTTACTCTCTTCTAGCACGAAACATATAAAGATAGAATTAGACTCTTAGAAGTACTTTTAGACACGAATGAAGTCCAAAAAGCTCTAGTAAACTCACCAATCGACGAGAAATCTGAATTGGAAAACAAACCACCCCAGAATCAATCGTCTCCTACGAGCTCTGTCTCTTCACCTCATAAGACAGCCTCAAGCGATTCACATCTGAATTCAAAATCCATGCATACACCCTCGATCGAGTTCACACAGGTATCACCACAGCAACCCAAAACAAGACATGTAACTACACCTTCTATATCCATACAGCCGGGTTCACCTCTCGAACCACCTGTGTCTACAGAGAGGAGCGACTCAAATCAGACGCTCACTGATTCCCCTCGAAGACCACCAATGAACAGATCGAGATCATCTTCTACGAATTCATCATACAAGTTACCAACAAGAACTTCTTCAATGGCTTCTCTCAGTGAAAAGCATCAGATAGTTCCTCTAATAAATTCCTCCGTTGGTGAAGGCTCACTATTACAACGTAGGCAAGCGAATAAATCGAATGAGACTGAATTGTTTGAAACTGAAACGACAAAAGCTTTCAAATTGGATACATTAGATAGCCAGCGACCGCAAAACAACACGGCAGGTAGACTCAGAGCTATATCACAACCCAATACTAGAACTTCAGTATCTTTATCAAGGAATCAAAGTATACCACCGTCTTTACCTTTAAATACAATAAATGACAATAGAAATATCAATTTAACGCAAAATATTGACAGGATCAATTTATTTAAAACACTATCAAATAATTTATATGCCACTTCTGAACCAATTATACCTGATCCACCAAGCAGAGGCAAACCATCATTTGATTGGTACCACAGTGATCCAACGAGGAGACCATTCCAGTTGATGAAATTACTAGCTAAATCTATTAGAGAAGGCGCCTATATTTCACCTAGACTTTACGTTTCACCCCAAATATGGCTTGATAGTAGAAATGTCGTAAAACTCAACCACATTGAAGTTAAAGTTAAATCATTAGAAACTATCCTTGAGGGCTTATTTGAAGTCTACACAATTGGAAAAAATTTCGTACAATCGCAGGTCGAAGATGAAATTTTTCTGAACGCTCTTTGGGGTTTTAATAAGACACTCGATGAGGTGCAAAATCAACTCGAAAAGAAATTAGATTTGAGTAGCTATTCCAACAACAATTTCTCGCCAACACAATCATCGACTAACAATAAATCATCAAATTGGACTACGAAGCTTTCAAGAAGTCTGGGTGTCTCGAATGGTCGCAAAACTGAAGAGGGCTGGCTATATGCTTATATTGACTTATTGAATAAGGTTTTTGTTAACGCCCAAGTTTTAGACGTACACTTTGGATATTTGCAAAATGACGTATACGAATTATACAAAGATTCAACGATCGAGATAAGACATTCGATTGCAAAAAGTCTGCAACAGTCTTCAATTATATTCTCAAGGTCAATTTGTAAATTCGTCTTGACAGATCTCGACGTTTTAATCGGCAAATGGACAAAGAGATCACATGGAGTGGACAATTGAATAGTCTAGAAATTAGATAACAATATTTTGTAGAAATACTATGTATTTGTAAAAAATTTTTGCACCTGATGACAGATTCCGCATTTTAATTAGATCGGCATGCTGAGTCTAAGAATGTGATGAAAGTGTGAATTAGTGTGTATAAAAAACGCTATAGATATTGTAAAAAAATCGGCTTTTTAAACCGTAATTGCGTAATAGTTGATTCATTTATGCACCTCGCTATCAAAGTTGATCTTTCTGCGTATGGAGTAGTAAAAGTGAAAAGACAAGACAAAGGGGTGTAGCCAATAGAGATGATTTAATTACTTAACTGTTAGTTTAAACATTCGATTATATTTTTTATAACGTTTCTTCGACTGTCTTGTTCCTGCATATATTATTGGGGGTCTGAAAATTAGACTTACTTTAAAAGGATATTAAGGGGAGTCCTTATAAGACACTTTAACTTCCTTTACGCTTACTACTACACAACTTATTAAGTTGTCTTGGAGCTGCGTAACTTGAAATTTGTAAATCACCGCCTCGCCTCGTGATCATCAAGTATAACTGTTCCCTTAGAATTACACTTAGAGAAAACAGCGATGGACGTCTACAAGCTGAACCCGATGGACAGCCTATTCAGCCCACTTTCAGAATATAACAACCAGCTTCACTCTCCGCCTAGCTTTGCAAACGCACACCCCGAAATATTCTACAACGAGGTTCAAACGGAGCCAGACCAGTTAGTTAATCAGCTGGCTATCATACAAGCACACCAGCAACAAATTCATTCAAATCAGCTCCTTCTCAATCGTCAATTCCAGCAGCAGCAGCAAGTTGACGACGGCCCACCTGGCCCATCAATTAACAACAGAAAGCTAGGACTCTATAAGACGGAACTTTGCAGATCCTGGGAGGAGAAGGGCACCTGTAGGTATGGATGTAAATGCCAATTTGCACACGGCCAAGATGAGCTTAGGGATGTTCCTAGACATCCAAAAGTGCGTCTTCTCTTTTTTGTTGCGAGCTGCTTTACTAATTGCTAATCAGTTCAAAACTCAACTTTGCGCTACCTACTGGCATTCTGGGTCTTGTCCATATGGCAAGCGTTGTTGCTTCATCCACTCCACTTTCCCTCATGGCGCAAACGCAAACGGGGCACCACCTTTGCCTTTGAGTGAAGAAGAACCAACTATGACAGTCTCACCAAGACAATCATTCACTCAAACACCTACTATGCACAGTCTCTCACTCACACCAAACACATCAACCGATTCGCCCCCAAAAAATGGTCAGGCGGAGCAATACACCCCTTCATTGTTATCTAGAATTGGAGAGAGACAAAGAGCAGGTTCAACACCTTCGTTGTCTACATCGCTTGACAGCAATTTGAGCTCTCCACCTCCAATGTCCAAGACAAACTCACTCAACTCTTTCCAATTCGGAGAGGCACCAATCTATGGATTAGGTTTGGGCTTCACTAACAATAAATTCGATGAATTCAGTCTTGGTTTCAAGAACTCGCTTTAGAAACTCTTTTCACTCTTATCTCTCTTTCATATTTAGACAAGCGCTTAAGCGCTCAAGCGTTCAAGTAAGAGCATACCCTCGTTTACGACAAACTATTTAGCTCTCGGATCAGACTCCCGATTTTTTATTTTTTTAACTTATATAAGATGTTTCGCACATGTATTGCCTTGTACTATCCAATCTATTTGGAATATAAAGATGCTGCTGCCCGTAGACCTTCACCTATTGAATAGTTACTTTCTTGTCTCGGTAGTGTTTGAGTAAAGGTGAATGACGTCGATGGTGGTAGTACCTCATCCTCTAGATCTTCATCATCGAGTTGAGCGGGTTCAACGAGAGCTTTCTGACCATCTGCGATCATGGCTGAGAGACGTGCTGACATGCTATCCAGTCTGTTATTTGAGTCATCCGCTTTGTCTTTGTCTTCGTCTTTGTCTTTTGGCTGTTTTCGCGGCTTGCTTTTTGGCGATTGCACGCTCCTAAACCTGCTATTGACCCTGTAAATCTTTTTCTTTGGCGTCCGCGTCGGTGTACTCGTGGGGGAGAAAACTGGTTTGTCAATGTCGACATAGTCGTCCTCCTTCTCAGCTTCACGGTAGTTAAAGGAACCTGGTATACTCTGATCAGGTGAGTAGGAGGTTGATGGTATATCATAGGGCTGCTTCTCCTGACTCCCGTCGCCTTTCCAGTAGCGATAAGCAGCAGCACCAATTCCACCAGCGACAATAACAGTGTTGTAGACTGCTTCACCTACACGTTCACCAATAGTGCGCGTTCTCTTAGTTGGTCTCTCTATGGGATGTCAGATGGAAAGTTTGATATGTTATCTCGCACCTTCATACGCGTTTTCTGAAGCTGTTTCACGCTGCCGCGTACCTAAATTAGAATGGCTATCAATCTGACTGACGCTATTTGACATTCTCCGCTGTGCTGCCAATAACTCGATCTTTGCGGGTGAAATCGCACGGTTGCGCTGTGTATTGGGCAAACCACGTATATTTCTATGAGGATATTCTTCTGTAGTTGATGGTGAACGCGGTATATTAAAAATCATCATCGACGTTTGATTTCAAACTCAGTCTCTTTCACAACGACCGCCACAAAATGGCAGAACGTCAGGAGTTAACGAGTTGTCAGTCAGCGTTTTAAATATAAGCCAACTACTAACACCTCAATAGACACAGCTCCAAAGGAAATTTTGGAGGAATTCAATCAGCAAATTGAGGAAGAAGATCACAATCCATTTGCGTGGGTATCCCTTAATCCTACAAGCGAACTACTAACAGTCACTAGCGATACTATAAAGAAGAAGCAGATCGCTGAGAGGTTCGTCGATCTACCACGACTACACTCTTTACTCACACATTACAGGCAATCAGACTACCATAATAGACGTTTCAACCGTGGTGAAGGTGACCTCAGCAATGATAACTTCTCAGGAGAGGGCGTTGAAGGATCCTCATACGCCGACAGAATGCGTCAGAATGAGCTCGACAAGGAGGAAGCACGCGTGCGCAAGATTATCGAGGAGCGCAGAGAACAGCAGGAGGCAGAAAATGATGGCAAGCAAGTACAGCCACTCGATGGCGATAAAACTCCCCCACGAGAAGCCTTCAAAGTAGAGAATGACGCCACACCACCGAAAGAAGCCATACGTGAGAGGAAACGGCGCTGGGATGTTGCACCAGAGCAGGTAGATCAAGTAAAGCAGGAAGAACCCCCAAAAAAGCGCAGATCGAGATGGGATGAAGCTCCAGCAGAAGCCACACCCTCTGAAACCAAACCTCGTCGTTCACGTTGGGATCAAACACCCTCAACAAATCCTGTACATGACAAGACAGTCGCCGATGTCGCTGCTATGCTTCCACCTGCTCTCATGGGTTTACCAGCCGTTCCTCTAGGTTTGGACCCCTTCTCAGCCCAAAACTCTAGCGCACGGAATCGTTACATCACCGACGAGGAGCTTGACATTCTTCTCCCCTCTGAGGGATATGCTATTGTCCCTATTCCAGAAGGTTACCAGCCACTTCGCTCATCAGCACACAAAATGATGTCAGCTATCCCAATGGACACTGGTTTTAATATCGCTGAAAAGGGTGTCTCCGCCGAGACTCTTGGAATCTCAACCGGTGATTTACCAACTGAAATTGAAGGTATTGGAAGTTTGGCATATTTGAAACCAGAAGATGCCCAATATTTCGGTAAAGTATTACAAGGTGAAGATGTAGAACCTGGTTTATCAATGGAAGAATTGAAAGATCGTAAGATCATGCGTCTTTTACTTAAGATCAAGAATGGTACTCCACAAATACGCAAATCTGCTTTGAGACAGATTACTGAGAAAGCTAGAGAATTGGGCGCTGGTCCACTCTTTGATAGAATCCTTCCATTGCTAATGGAACGTACTTTAGAAGATCAAGAGCGTCACTTGCTCGTCAAAGTCATTGATAGAGTTCTTTACAAACTGGATGACTTAGTTAGACCATATGTTCACAAAATTCTCGTAGTTATCGAACCACTCCTGATTGATGAGGACTATTTCGCAAGAGTTGAAGGGCGTGAAATCATCTCCAACCTCGCCAAAGCAGCTGGATTGGCTCATATGATTTCAACAATGAGACCAGATATTGATCACATGGATGAGTATGTTCGTAACACCACAGCTAGAGCATTCTCAGTAGTTGCATCAGCTTTGGGTATACCTGCATTATTGCCCTTCTTGAAGGCGGTTTGTCGTTCTAAGAAATCCTGGCAAGCACGTCACACTGGTATTAGGATCGTTCAGCAAATTGCCATTATGATGGGTTGCGCTATCCTTCCACATTTGCGTCATCTCGTCAGTGCAATCGCACATAGTTTGGAAGACGAACAGCAAAAGGTCCGTACAATGGGTGCGTTGGCTATTGCAGCCCTCGCAGAAGCTGCAACACCTTACGGTATTGAGAGCTTTGATGCTGTTCTTAAGCCACTTTGGCTTGGTATTCGCAAACATCGTGGTAAAGCCTTAGCTGCATTCCTCAAGGCTATTGGATTTATCATTCCTCTCATGGATTCTGAATATGCAAGTTATTATACTAAGGAAGTTATGGTCATTCTTATACGTGAATTCCAATCATCCGATGAGGAAATGAAGAAAATCGTTTTGAAGGTCGTTAAACAATGTGCAGGTACCGATGGTGTCGAGCCTGGTTACTTGAAAGAGGAGGTATTGCCTGACTTTTTCAGAAATTTCTGGGTTAGAAGAATGGCACTCGATCGTAGAAATTATCGTCAAGTCGTCGAAACGACAGTCGAACTAGCTAATAAATGTGGTGTTATGGAAATCGTTGGTAGAATAGTCAATAACTTGAAAGATGAGAGCGAACCTATGCGTAAAATGGTTATGGAAACTATCACGAAGGTCGTCGAAAATCTCGGTGCTGCTGATATAGATGAGAGATTAGAGATTCAATTGATTGATGGTATGATTTACTCCTTCCAAGAACAGACACTTGAAGATGCAGTCATGCTTGATGGATTTGGCACTATTGTCAACGCTTTAGGATCACGTATCCAGCCATACTTACTCCAAATTGTCTCAACTATTCTTTGGAGATTAAACAACAAGGGTGCGAAAGTGCGTATGCAAGCTGCTGATTTAACAGCTCGTTTGGCTGTCGTCATCAAAACCTGTAACGAAGAGCAATACCTTCATAAACTTGGTGTCGTCCTTTTCGAAGGTTTAGGTGAGGAGTATCCAGATACTCTTGGTAGTTTCATTGCTGCTGAGGCTGCCATTGCAAATGTCGTTGGTATGAATGAAATGCAACCACCGGTTAGAGATTTACGTGAGTGAGATCCCTGAAATAATGATTCAATAACTAATCCAAATACAGTTCCTCGTATGACACCAATTCTTCGTAATAGACACGAGAAAGTACAGGAAGCGACAATCAATTTGATAGGTCGTATTGCTGATAGAGGTTCAGAGTACGTACCTGCAAGAGAATGGATGCGTATTTGTTTCGAACTGCTCGATTTACTCAAAGCGAACAAGAAGGCGATCAGAAGAGCAGCCGTCAACTCATTCGGTTATATCGCCAAAGCGATTGGTCCACAAGATGTTCTCTCGGTCTTGTTGACTAACTTACGTGTCCAGGAGCGTCAATCACGTGTTTGTAGTACAGTTGCTATTGCGATTGTCGCAGAGACTTGTGGTCCATTCACCTGCATTCCTGCTATCCTCAACGAGTACAGAACTCCAGATCTTAACGTCCGCAACGGTTGCTTGAAAGCATTGGCATGGGTCTGTGAGTACATTGGTGAACTTGCGAAAGATTATGTCTACGCACTTGTTGGATGTATTGAAGACTCTATCACCGATCGTGACCACGTCCATCGTCAGACTTCGGCTGCAATCATTAAGCATCTCACACTCGGTGTCGCGGGATTCGGCAAAGAAGATGCACTCCTACACATGCTCAATCTCGTCTGGCCTAACATCTACGAAGTTTCTCCTCATGTTATTGGTGCAGTCATGGAAGCTATCGAATCGATGAGAGTTGGTTTAGGACCAGGTTTATTACTGAATTACACCCTTCAAGGTTTGTTCCACCCTGCACGACGTGTACGTGAACCATACTGGCGTATTTACAATACAGTATACGTCGGTTCACAGGATGCCTTAGTACCATACTACCCAAACATGGAAGAAGTTGGAAATGAACGCAATAATTTTAAAAGAACACCATTGTATATGCATATTTAAAATGAAATCTACATATATTGTATTATTTTAGTTATTTTTTAAATTTTACTTTCACGACGCGTCTTCTTTTGTTATCGTCACAACCCTATCGTCAGTATGAGCACGAAAGAAAACATACGCATTGACGATATGTCGTTAGTTTAGCTTATTATACGACTAATATAACTCACAAATATCTCAGTAATCCAATAAATAAGAAGAGGAAGATCACAGACGATACAAAATCAATCAAGCAGGCTTCACAGGGCGATAAGAAGCAGAGTACTTTTGCTGACATCCTAGAGAGTTTACAAGATGAAGCGGAGAAGAGTGCGCTATATCGCGTTTGTCGTATAAACTAACGATTTCCCAGATTCGACAGAAAGTAGCCAGGTTTGGGGTAGACCGTCTGTGCCAAAGTTTGAGTCCATGGTTGAGCCAATAAGTGCGTTCTGTTCTTAGTATTACACTCAGCTTATCGCCAAAAGTATTCCAACAAATCGACCTCGAAGAAGCCTCAATACCGGGTGCAGAACCATTCATTCGCATGCACGGTGTCACTCAGGTATACAGAACGTCTACTATAGCTTATACATCTAACCAGCTCACAGGATGGCTACTCTGTCATGGCAAACGTCACCGGTTTCCTCCCATATCTCTATATAGCTGCACCTCGCGGATTCACGAAGGAAGAATGCGAGGGCTTTTCAGGATACCTCAATGTATGTCTATTCTACTCATGATTTCCTCTCACAATGTCATAGGCAACTTTTGGAAACAACGGGAAGAGAATAGTCGCAGATATGGAAATGCACACTAAGCGGAGTCTATGGGGATACAAGGGCGATGAGAAGTCACCATTTATCAAGATCACATTCGTTGATCAGAGGAGTATGACACGCGTTCGAGATAAGTGCACCCTTTTGGACTTTTCTACGACTAACAAACCCTACGATGCTTCGAAAGAGGTGAAATTCACTTCAGAGAGTTCTTTGATGATGCTATCCAGACCTACGAGTCTAACATCTCCTATGATCTTCGCTTCATGATCGACAAGAAGGTATGCTCGTCTCTCATAATATAAATGTCACTCTAATACCACTCCAGGTTGTGGGAATGTCATGGATTGAGTGTCCTGGAGGTGCTTACAACCTTAAAGCGTCTACTAGCAAGGTATCCAAAGCTCAGCTCGAGTTTGACATTCAGTGTGTCTTGGTATTACGTATCTATGCTATTACTAACACGTTTCAGCCACAAGGATATTATAGCCCACCCTGCGGAAGGCGAGTGGCAGAAGATGGCGCCATTGCGTATACTGTCTTTCGATATTGAGTGTGCTGGTCGTCAAGGTATATTCCCAGAAGCCCAGATTGATCCGGTTATCCAAATCGCCAATATGGTCACTCGCCAGGGTATGTTTATATCACTTTAATATAATAAACTAACAAACCTTCAGGTGAAAGCAAGCCATTCATCAGAAATGTCTTTACTCTCAAATCTTGTGCCCATATCGCAGGTAGTCAAGTTTTAAGTTTCGAAGATGAGAGCAAAATGCTTAATGCATGGAGAGATTTCGTAGAGGAGGCTGATCCAGATGTCGTCATCGGTTATAACACCTCGAATTTCGATATTCCATACCTCATGGACAGAGCAAAGGCTTTGAAAGCGACAAAATTCTGTTACTTGGGTAGAATGAAGAACGTGAAGAGTGAAGTTGGCACATCCCACTTCTCATCAAAGGCGTATGGTACCAGAGATTCAAAAACGACAAATATGGAAGGCCGTCTACAACTAGACTTGCTACAGCTCATACAAAGAGAACACAAGCTAAGATCTTACTCTTTGAATAGCGTCTGTGCAGAATTCCTTGGAGAACAGAAGGAAGATGTACACCACTCTATTATTACTGAATTGCAGAATGGTACACCAGAATCAAGACGAAGATTGGCTGTATACTGTCTAAAGGATGCTTATCTACCACAAAGATTGCTTGACAGACTGATGAGTTTGGTTAATCAGACTGAAATGGCAAGGGTCACTGGTGTACCTTTCAACTACCTCCTTGCTAAAGGTCAATCAATTAAGGTTATGAGTCAGATATGTAGACAAGCTCAAGTTCATGGTTACTTAGTTCCAGCTTTGAGAGTTGAAGGTTCTGACGAACAGTACGAAGGTGCTACTGTTATTGAACCCCGCAGAGGTTATTACGATGTACCAATTACGACCCTCGATTTCAGTTCTCTGTATCCATCTATTATGATGGCTCACAATCTCTGCTATACCACCCTCTTAGATCCACAAACAGTAGAACGTCTCAAATTGAAAGAAGGTGAGGACTACATCAAGACGCCAAACAATGATATGTTTGTCACTCCAGTCAAACGTAAAGGTCTCCTGCCTGTAGTTTTGCAAGATCTTATTTCTGCACGTAAACGCGCCAGAGCAGACATCAAGAGTGAGAAAGATCCATTTAGAAGGGCTGTTCTTGATGGTCGTCAATTAGCTTTGAAGGTTTCTGCGAACTCTGTATACGGTTTCACTGGTGCGACGATCGGTAAATTACCTTGCCTACCTATCTCATCTTCAACGACTGCTTATGGTCGTCGCATGATTGAACGTACGAAGGAAGAGGTTGAATCACATTATAAGGTTTCAAATAACTACTCTCATGATGCTGAGGTCGTGTATGGTGATACGGATTCTGTCATGATTAAGTTCGGTTGCAGAGATCTAGAGACTGCTATGAAACTTGGCGCCGAAGCCGCTGGTGTTATCTCATCGAAGTTCCCAAATCCTATTAAGTTAGAGTTCGAGAAGGTTTACTATCCATATCTACTCATTAATAAGAAGAGATATGCTGGATTATACTGGACTGGTTTGGAAAAGTATGATAAAATGGATACGAAGGGTATAGAAACTGTCCGTCGTGACAATTGCAGACTTGTTGGTACGGTAATTACTACCTGCTTGCACAAAATGTTGATAGACAGAGATGTGAAAGCAGCAGAAGAGTGAGTTATGCTTTTTATCGATTTTTTACTCTTTCTTACTGTCTATTAGCTACACAAAGCATGTTATCTCAGAGCTTTTGCAAAATAAGATCGATATGAGTCAACTAGTCATCACAAAGGCTCTGACCAAGACAGAGTACGATGCCAAACAGGCTCACGTATGTCTCGCTGAGCGTATGCGCAAGCGTGATGCTGGATCGGCACCGGCACTCGGTGATCGTGTCGCATATGTTATTGTGAAAGGTAGTAAAGGAGCAGCAGCATATGAAAGATCTGAAGATCCACTCTTCGTTCTCGAGAACAATGTCCCTATAGATACCAAGTATTACCTCGAGAATCAACTATCGAAGCCTTTGTTAAGAATTTTCGAACCAATTCTAGGAGAAAAGTCTCAGTCATTGTTGACAGGTGATCATACCCGTACTATAACCGTCGCAACTCCAAGTATAGGAGGACTGATGAAGTTTGCGGTTAAAACAGTAACATGTTTGGGATGTAAAGCGCCAATTAGGGGTAGTGATGCTGCTGTATGCAAGAATTGTAAAGGCAAAGCAGGAGAATTATACCAAAAGCAAGTTGCTTCTGTATCCGCATTACAAGTCCAGTTCGCTAGATTGTGGACACAGTGTCAGAGATGTCAAGGTAGTTTACACCAAGATGTCATTTGCACGAATAAGGATTGCAACATTTTCTATATGAGACAACGGTCTAAGTTTGAAGTAGCAAGTGCAGTCAACACTTTGGAGAGATTCAACGACGATAATTCATGGTAAAGCATTATTATGTAATTAAATTATACTATTATGAACAGTCAGCTTATACAATCTATGTTGCCCTTCTTGAGAGTTTTGTCTGTGCTTTAATGTGTATTGCATCTGAGGACGTCCTCCATTCATGTCGCAAGTTTGTTCAGAAGAAAATCCTAATGGTAAGCGAACGAACCCAGATAGAAGATTACAAGATTTATTTTTAATTTCTATCCTTTGTTTTTTCCTAGATGGAAATTTTTAGTGAAATGTTAATGAAGATAAGTTTTGTCGTACTCTAGAAAAATACACCGATTGTCGAAAACGCCTGTAACAAAGATAGGCCTTAATGCGTGAAAATAAAGAGTGATATTCTAGACAATCTTTTGATCTGTTACTTAAATACAAACTACTATGTGAGCGCTGAAGCGAAGGTTTCAAATTCAATACCGAGACTACTTTTACGTGTAGACATTTACAGATTGGGACATTAGAAGAATCGACGAGTACGCTCTGTAAGTTGGGTTTTTGTATAGTTTGACCAACTTTTTTGCGCATCTTTTCTGCGGTTGCAATGTGCTATGTGATGGAGAATTTTTTCGCTACATAGTTTGAACTGAACATGGAATAAACATATTTTGCAATACTATATAAAAGCACAAGATTAAGCTAAACCCTCCATGTTTGCTTCTTTAAGCTACTTTACAATACCCTACACTTCAAGCTGAACATGTTTTACATACAGAACGAACCAGTTAGCATTTATTTTATGAAGAACACTTATCAAGCGTCTAAAAAACTATAGCAACTCTGTATGTTTCCGTATAGATATACAAATATCGCCCATTCTGCACTTATCAAAACAAAACACAAGTACGCGAAGTAAATTCTATAATTTCTAGTTCCCAGGACTAAAATTTAGTCGATACCTTTATGCATCTATTTATACAATTCAAATATGACGGGCTAGCGACTTCTTGTTACAAATTCTATCACTTGCTTTGATATTAGCATACTACACTCGACAAACAACACCAATTTTGAGGAGCACCCTACAGATAGTTATGTTGTGTATAAATTACATTGTTTCTATTATCTTGCGTTTCTAATTGGCTTCAATGGGGTATTTTATATCTAGGCTTGAATTGCAGGTGAAGTAACGCTGACGAGAATTTCCCAAATGTAAATAAATCCTACGGATTGTTAGCTGAATTCTAACGTAACTGCATAGCTGCACATACCGAAGAGAACGAATAAAGCGGAGCCACCGAATGTGACTGTAACAATCGTTAATAAGGTGTTGAAAAGTAAGACAGGACGTACCTGTTTTAATCGATATTTTCGAAGCGACTATGCGTCCACCGAGAACGGCGAGCGCTGTACACATACCGTGGCCAAGAGATGTGCCGAATGCGACGGTTTTCCAGCCCTGATGTCATTAGAAAACAGCTAGCTAGTTAGTATAGAAGACATACATGGGCAGCCGCTAATGCGATTGTAGAAATTTGACTCCGGTCACCCCATTCACCGAGGAAAGTGAGTATAAATGCCTGGACAAACGCCGGACTGAGGAGGGCAGCGAGCGTGGTCTTGATTGATCTCTTCTGTCTCTGTGAGCTGGGCTTTGGGAGATCATCACCGTCATGCTCTATTTCTTGTATTGCTTCCTGCATTTCCTCCTCTACTTCCTTCCTGCCACCCTCCATTCCTTTAGCGTCATTGAACATTTTTACACCGAATACAATGAAGAGCATTGCAGCCAAGATCTGTGTGTAGCTTTTCGGGAGGAGTGCTGGTAGAATCTGACCCAGGAGTGCGGACAATACTGACATAGCAGAGAGGGCACCAAAAGAGCCGGAGAAGACAACCAACTGTGGATTCCTCATTGCTAATATCGCAGCTGCAGTCTGTTAGCATTCGCTGGTAGTGTCTAATAACAGCTCACCAATTAAGAACGTCTTATCACCAAGTTCTGAGACGACAATCATAGCAATTGACTAGAGAATAAGGTTTATAAAATAACGAGCATGTCTGGTAACCCACCTGCCAGAGTACACTCATATCTGAGCTTCCTTCCGCTGCGTTGGTCATCGTCGCAGCTCTAGAGAAGACAAACACAAAACAAAATTCATTAAAATAAACATTTCGGGTGTAATTATCATTTAGCAATTAGCGGATATATGACTTCTAAGTCTATGTCCTCCCGGACTGCAAACCATTCTTAGCGTGGGTCTTTTATTTCATAATGGATGAATATCTACTACCGGGTTAGAACAGTCATCAGCTTACCATCAAGACTCACATCATCTACGTTCTTGAACTTTCGAGACTCATCGCCGTCGAGGCGTGACTTACCAACTACTTCTCTTTCTGTCCAGTAATCGATCTGGTTCTGGCCATTTTCAGCTTTAGTTGTAGTTGGCATCCAAACTCTTTCGCCCGTATCAGGGTCTTTGACAGCATTGAACCATCTTGGTTTGTGAGGCGGTAACTTGCCCGTCTCCCTTTCCTTGCGTGTAGCTCTTTGCTTCTCCTCGTTCTGTATCTTGAGGTCATTCGCGAGATCATAAAGACCAATTTCGAATGCACGCTGATCTGGTCTTAATCTACAGTCGGTATTTGGTAACCACTTTTTCAAGTCTGCTCGCTCTTGAGGCGTCAACGTAGCCAACTGGTCCCCAGGGAGGTCATTAAGGGTGATCGCAAATGGCGACAAATTGAAAGGCAATTTTGGCTTCTCCGAGTTCTTCCAGAGGAGAAGGTATTCTGCACTGTTGTCAATCTGTTCATCTGCGCCGATATCCTCAGTACCATGCTCAATTTTCTTCGCAACGAGCTGGGTGATCCATCTACCTGCAATAACCCATTTATGTTGCTTTTGAGCGTTCTCGACGAAACCCTTAATCTCTTGTCCTTTGCCTCTCCATGGACGAGCCTTGAATGTCAAAGTGCATGACTCGCCTGTACGGTGATTTACGACGACCATATCACCAAAGTGATCAATTACCGGCGAACCAGTTATGAATCCTGTAACTGCGGTCGTGACCTTCTTCCAACTGTAGTGTTCAATTATGAGCTCTTCACCAGTAACTTTGCATTTCTCTCTAGGGTAGGTTACGCCTTCTTTTGCCCAAGTGGCTGGAAGCTTGAGCTCGATATGCGCAATACCAGTAGGTCTAATTTCAAATGAAGTTCCCATGAACTTGTTCTTTGCATCCACTTCACCTTTGTATATCCATCTTGGGTTCTCACCCCAACAGGCAGACATTGGTGGATGGTGGCTAACCTGTTCACTAAAGTAGCGATATTGTTTGTCGAATCTACAGTATTCGAATGTCTCACCCAACATTGGATTGAATGGTTTGGCGATTCTGCCCATCGTCGAACTGTAATTCGATGCAGCGAACGCAGCTACATATGCTACTCTCTTGAATGGATCTGGGTTTTTAGCCGCAGCATCTAAACACTCTGTGAACTCCATATCTTCTGCCATTCTCTGCAACATGGATGTTGGTTCATTGAACATGACGGGGAAACTAATTTTCGTGAGATCCTTTCCAATCGAGTTTTTGAGAACGCTCCAGAGACTGATTGGTGGTCGCTTATCATCCGATATTGGCATTTCACTTCTAAGCTCTCTGTAGGGTTCATATGGGACGAGATCCTCAACTGGTGGGTCGTCTTTCTCAGCTTGAACGATATCTTGGTTAATTGGTAGGGTACCCTCTTCAACAGCGTCAAAGAAATCATCGTCGTCATCATCCTCTTCTGAAGATACTCTAGCCATTGGAGATGGACGTTGTGCATCCTTTATTGGAGCATGTTGAGCAGCTTGTGGAGGAGCACTCACACCGCTTTGGTCATCTTGCTGACCGGCATAGATATTGCCGTCGGATCTAGTTGGAGCAGTTTCACCTGAATCGATAACTGCAGCTTTGCTTGGTGGAGACAAGCTTGATGTACCAAGAGCAGCATCATGGAGGTCACTTTTCTTTTGTTTAAGTGCTTTGCGACGCTCTTCTTGTGACTTGTGGATGTTCTCAAGCTCGCCCTCAACCTTGGCAGTCTCTACGGCGATTGTTGCAATATTCTCCTCCCAAAGTCTAGCAGTTTCGCGTTCATGTTGAAGAACTTTCTTGTAGTAAACCTCTCTGTCATTAACCATTGCTTGCCAGTCGTTCACAAGGCCGTGGAGGGTCTCAATGGAGCCCTTCAGCGCCTGTTTACGTTCGTTGTGAGACTCTTTGTCACCTTCGGCATCATCCTTAAGGAATGTATTCATGAGCTGTGGTAGGTGAGCTTAAGAAATCACACTTTTTTCTCACCTACACTTTCAGTTGCTTCGATATGCGCTGATAGCTTCTGTCCCTCGAGCTCAAATTTATCAGCGTGTGGTATAGAGTTAACGTCGTAGCTCTCGATAGTTTCGTCAATTGAATAAGTCGGCGAAGCGCCTCTTACGCTCTGGAAATCTGTGAGGGAAGACTTAGATCCATGGCGGCTATGTGAGTGACTATGAGCATATAAAGAACGACCACCAGAGATCGATGGTGATCTCTGTACATCGATCGAATTTCTATCTCCACTTTTAATATCCTGGATAGTCAAATTAATAGCTTGTTTCCAAGATGCTGCGTCGGTCGGATGATCAGCTCTGACTAAGAACTTGTTGTTCGGAGAGTGGATTTCGAATTTCCTGTTATCACCACTCTTGTCTTCTTTCAAGCGACCATACTCAAGATTAATAGAGCCTCTCGAAAGTTGTTTAGCTTCATCATCTGGTGATAAGTAATAGTTAAGCAAACCATCCTGTAAAACAAAGTGACGATTCTGCCAACCAGATGCCATGTTGACATACTTTTTAAGGATACCTTTCTTGTTTCTGGTCTGCACGTTCTGTGCATTCGGTTTTTGTCTTTCTTGGAGCTTAATGAAAGACTTGATTTGGTCATCCTTACACGAGCTCAAAAGTGTTTTCTGGCGTGAGTCGATAATTGTAGAGCTAGCGGCTGCGTTCTCGAATGCAACCTTAATGAGCTGAAAGTCCTTCTTAGCTGCCGCGCTGTGTAACAGCGTGGACCCCGATTGAGTGTCTATGTAACTGAGGTCGATAACGGGTGACCTCGGCAACTTGAGAAGTTGAATAAGTTCTTCACCTGCTCTACTATCTGGTGAAGATGGACGTATATATTCTGACACTAGATCGCGGTATTTCTCGTTCAACTTGATCTGACTATCGTGGATAATTGAGGCGCAGCTCTCGGATTTGCAGATTTCGAATGCGGTGCGGGCATTATTATTGCGTACTGAGTCGTTTATAGCATCATTTTGTAAGAGAAGCTCGACGACATCTGCTCTGTTTATTGATGCTGCGATGTGGAGCGCTGTATTGCCATCCTGGTCGACTTCATTAGGGTCTATAGAGTCTAAAGAGAGTAGATAAGATATAGTGGGTGCTGATAAATAGTTAGATAATAAAGAAGTGAATAAAGGACTGACGATTAGCCGCTTTGACTGCGAGAAGGAGTACGCCAGCAGCGTTCTGACTGTCTACAACGTCTTTTATTGCTGCCGTATCATTCGCTTGAAAATACTTTAGTAAATTGAACGTTATTATTGCACCATCGTCTTCTGCCATTGCTGACCAGATGGTTGTGATAGAGAGAGATGCACAATCTGTGAATCGGAGATATAGAACATATGATATTTAGCTCTGATATAGCTATAGAATCTACCGACCAGCAAGTTGTACTCTTACTATGACGACGATAATCAATCTCGTCCTCACAATTAAGCTGATATATGACATATTTAGACTGATATATCCGTCAATAAACTATCAGATACTAACATACACGCCTAAATCATCTACAATATTCAGATCCTACTCTCCGAAAGAGCTATACGAGTTCAACGGCAAAGACGAAAGCAAACCGATATACATCGCCATTGGTGGATTAGTATTTGACGTAACAAAAGGGAAATCATTCTACGGTCCAGGTGAGAGCATCGCTTATCTCTAACTCATCTAATAACGATAGATGGTCCATACGGCAACTTTGCAGGAAGAGATGCCTCCAGGGGGATGGCACTCCATTCGTTTGACGAAGATATCCTCACGCCTATCGATGAGCCGAAAGACAGTCTGAGCGATCTCACTAGAGAGCAGAGGTAAGTGAGAGCTAGCCGATAAACTGAACTAAAAACGATACACGCAGATCAGCTATGGATGAGTGGATGTCAGTATTTTGTCTCTCCCGTCTATCCACACCGCTAACAGCTTTGTAGCGACCATTTCAAGCGGAAGTACACCGTCGTTGGTAGCTTTTGAACATATATATTAATACCACCTGTAAATAGTATCTCGGTGCAAATTTATTCTTTTATTTCCCTCTGCCGCGTCCCTTCGTAACTGACAGCCATCATCCGAGGAGCAAGTCCCCAGGAGATCTCTATACAATCAACTCGGATTAATTCAAATGGCTCCCATATGGAGTAATCTCTCACGATCATCATCTAGAACTGATGTACCCTCACTTAGCAGCTCTCTACCCTCGAACGTACCTACACCAACTAGGAGACCATCCGCAGACGCACAAGGTCCCTCCAAGATAGAAATAGAACCCGAGCATGAAACTGTCGTATTACGAGGTTTACCAGGTGATAGCACTCCTTTCGTACTCCGTGGTGCCGTCAAATTACACCTTAGCCACTCTACGGAGTTCAAAGATATCACTATCCAAATATCAGGAAAATGTAGAACTAATTTACAAGATAGACACCGTACTTCCACCGTCAACGACACTCATATCCTCATCGATGAAAAGAAATCCGTCATGACGAAAGCTGGAAAGCACCACCAAACACTCGGTGCAGGTAGACACACCTTCCAATTTGAATTCGATTTACATTCTGAATTACCAGCATCCTTCCAATTAGTTAGCGGGGCCGCTTCTATCAAGTATAAACTTAAAGCTCACGCATATAGACCACAAATTATCCACAAAGACTTATATAACTCTCTGCCGATCACTCTTTTGCATGGTTTACCTTCAGAGGCCCTCGAGTTTTCGCAAACACTCGATATCGAGAACACATGGCCAAAGAAGATCATGTATGCGATCACTTTACCTCACAAGGTTTTCGCTGCTGGTGAATCGATTCCCATCTCAATAAAGTTTACACCGTTGACAAAAGGCGTCAAAGTCACCCAATTGACTACAATCGTCAAGGAATACGCTGAAACCCAGGGCAAATTTAACAAACAAGAAGATAACAGGATGGTCACAACAGCTAGACACCAGTTTTCACCTGATGGTGAGCCTATACCTGTAGAGATGCCTTTATTCAGCAAAAGAACTGATACGAATGCCATGTCGTCTCCTGGAACTAGATCTGTACCTACAAGTCCTGCAGCAAGACCACAGTCAAATTCAAACCTTGAATCTGTTCGTTCGTTGGATTTATCAAATCCTTCCTCAACTGGAGAAAGTAATGAAAACCCAAGCTGGCGCAGACCACTTAGGAGGGCCATGGTTGGTTGGTCGGATAACGATCCGAGATTAGCTGAAGGACCAGAAGACTTAACTGAACTCAATGATGGTGAAGTCGACAGTGTGATCAACGTTGACATCCCAGCTACTGCTGTGCCAACTCATCAATTTTGTGGGTGTTTCTAAATATCTTTGTTTCATCTCTAATCATTCAAAAGGGCCAGTACAGGTGTACCATAAAATTAAATGGTCGTGCATGATCCAGAACCGCGATGGTCACCAATCAGAATTGAGGTGTGCCTTACCAATCCATATTCTATCAAACAGACTATTGCAGGAGAACGTCATAGCAACAGCAAACGCGAGACGGGCGCTATTTGGACAGTCAGCTGGAGCAGCCAATCCGCAAACGGCAGATGAAGCAGCTACAGCAGCTGCTACCGCTGATTTACCATCCTACTCTAACCACATTTACGATAGAGTTCCAAACGCCAACGTCGTTACTAGTGGTACAATCCCGTCTGGTTATGGCAATCACACATACTCGCCATTGGGAGGATCGCCTGCTCCAATGTCGCCATCGGACTCTCGACCAACCACACCAGGTGTGCCAATACAAGGCTCAAATCGAGGCAGCTCTGGAATAGCAACTCCACCTGATCAGCTTATTGGTTCTTCGCCAAGCTCACCTACAAATGGACGAACACTCCCAACGAGACCGCAAATGAGCTGGGCAGATAGTGAATTTTACATGAGTTTGGGTGAAATAGCCAGAGCTCAGTCGAGGAATGCCAGTAACCAGCAACAACAAGCAGCAAACACCAGATCACCAGGAAGCTCACGTAATAACTCTCGCATGGGATCGCGTCAGCACTCCCGCGCTTCATCCCGTGCAGGATCACCAGAGAGAGGGTTCCGGAATGGTGATCTCCTACCGCAAAGGCGTGGATCTGACAGGGATAGAAGAAGCAGCGAGCAGGATATTAGTCAGGCAATAAGTTTGAATGATGATGACGACGTACAACCACCTCCTCCATCTGAAGCTAAGGAGAAGCCAACCAGGCCGTCATTCAGCTCATCCCACTCACTCAATAACCTTTTCTCGGGACACTCCTCGCATAAACTTTCTAAAAGTGTACCGAAAGCGCTTAAACCATTGACAAGCTTCAAATCACATGGACATTCGGCTTCATCTAGCAAGATTCACCAGCAATCACCATTAGCAAATACATCTCCCGACAATGGTAATGAGGATGATGATGATGACGTTAGCGCTCTGAATAGAGTTCCTTCTTATGACGTAGCCAGTAGAGGTTTCCTTGGTGGTGGTGTCGTGCCTTTACCGTGAGTATATATTCATCTATGAAGCTTATCTGACAGTGAATCAGTGAGGGATTGCCAACGTATGATGAGTCACAGACAAACATGCAGAGATCATCTACACTTGACGCAGGATCAATGCGAAAGCTGCGACAAGCCGCAGCGAACGAGAATATAGTTTCTGGCAATACCCAGAATCAGTCATTGACCGAAAGTCTGAGCCATATGAATCTAGGTCAACAAGGCAACAGCGCTGGCTCGGAAGGTATGGTATCTAGGCGTCCAAGCCGCGCATCCGCCACTTCAAGTAGTAGTCGTCGTCCACAAGTCAAATTTACACTTGAGCACGATAGTGAAGACGAAGAAGGTGGAAGCTAGAAAATCATCCACACTTTGCGATAATTTCCTTTATTCTCTTCAACCCAACAAATGGACTGTATCCAATCTATCATCACGTATTATTTCTTAAGCAAGTTTGTTATGTTCACTTTATTCGCTTAATCGTTTGTAGTCAAGAACCGAAAATATACATATATTCATTAAAATGAGTTTTTAAGAAACGACGTACATAGTGTCGAGGAATCCTTTGGCGAGGTAGTCGACGAGATCATGTCCGATCGCAGTTGAACTACCTACACCATAAAGCGCAACCATTGAGCCTTCATCTTTCTTGTCTATTTTACGTGATTTTGCCTCTTCAACTGCCCACTTGAGCGTTGCTTTGATGTCATCTACTGCAGTCAGTGTTGGACGAGTACAGGCGATGTGTAAAGCTGGAGGGTTAGCAATAGCATTAAATGAATAACCTTTTTCGTGCATAAGATCACCGACTGTGTAGATGTTTAGTGATGGGTTAACAGATTTGAAAGCCACGACTGAGGATATTGGATTTCCCATGATGGCGAGATCTGAACTGAGCTCCTGCTCTATATATTCTTGTATCGATATCCGGGCGGTGACAATGTCACGGCATGATTGGACGTAACCCTCTTGACCCATATGTGACATGACGGCCCATGTTCCTGCGATAAGTGCACCTGGACTGTGTGGCGATTAAGATAAACAAATAAGCTTGCACAGGACACTCACCGTGATCCAGCGAGCGTTGGGGATGCATATACACCACCTGTCCAATCTGGTTGACTATAATACTGATATGATCTCCATGTCTTGTTTCTATACATGATCACGGATGATCCCTGGATCATTTAATACTATTGTGACATATGCGATAAGTCACTCACCTTCGGAGCGAAACCATACTTGTGGGTGTCGCATGAGATCGATGTGACGCCGTCAACGCTAAAGTCGAATGGGGTAGTTACCAATCTCGCATCCTTGAGGAAAGGCATTATGAAACTACCAAGACAACAGTCGACTTCACTCAAAGTCAGATAATGGTTGCATCATACAATATTTGACTTACCGTGCAATCCAACACCATACTTCTTTGCCAATTTAGCGAGCTCTACAATGTCATCCACATTTCCATCCTTGGAATTTCATTAATTAACGAACGATAGAAGATTAGAACTTACGGGAAAATTAGGTGCTGAGCCGACAACCATACATGTGCTGCGATTGAGTGCTCTTCGTACGTGCTTGATGCTTACTTTGCGAGTTTCTGGGTCTACAGGGACATGTCTGAGTGTGATTCCGAAATAGTATGATGCCTGCACTGTGAGAAAGCATTCTCAGATTAGAGAGAGCCTACCTTGTTGAATGCCGCGTGTGCCGTGACAGGTACAATCCTTGATTTTCGTTAAATAGGTTTTGATAATGGTAGAAACCCACATTTCTGGATTACTTATGCCACGCGCCTCCTTAGCCCAGTTCCTATAGGCAAGACAAGCAAGCAGGATAGATTCGGTACCACCAGACTGATTGGGTTATAAATGATCCTTATGATTATCGTCACTCACTGTGGTTGTGCCTGCACCGTCTGGGCCAGCATTGTACATTTGAAGGACCATTGAGACAACCTGCGCTTCCATAGTTCTGATACCAGGGAATACATCTAGGGTATTTTAGCATAAACTACTAATCACAGCTATCCTACCTGGATGGAGCGGGTTCGAGACAGTGAAACGTCTGAAAGCATCGACGATAATACTGAGAAATCAACTATTGTTATGAAAGGAAACAAAACATACTCATTAACGTCTCCTTTATCGCCATAATATACTGCACCAGAAACGCGCCCTTATCATCGTTTAATTGGGTGTTTTGGATGGATAAACAACACACCTTCTTCCCATTTCGAGTGCTCTAAGCCACCTAAGGCAACCAAATGGTTCTCCACGGCGTCCTTGCTTAGTCCCTTGTCAGGTAATTGCTTGTGTAGCGGAAGAGACGGATCTCTGACGACCATTTTCTTATCTAAGTCACTCAGTGCTTGGTTAAGCTCATCATCGATCTGCTTTCTAGCAGATGGGAGCTGGGTGAGTAGCAATAAAGCTCTCTGGAAACGTTAGACTGTTTATTTACTCCAAATTGACGCACTCTTGATAGCGATTTGTAGATATGGCTGATCGACGGTCCTATCCCGTAAATATATATATATCTACCAACTTTAGTGACGTATTTGAGGGCTATAACACCCAATATGATATCCTTCCAGCGCTTTCCTATTAGCTCGCTCGAATACATAACTTGATCGTTGCGAATGAACGGCCAAGTTGGCGCAACGAATTCATTTGAAAGGACGCCGAATCAGATGAGAAATATTCGCTTGAGTGAGTCTACAGTTATTCCCTGGCATTCCTAATAGCATTCCTTAGGAAGGAGTGCGTCGACGTCTATGACGGAATCTAAGAGGAATGCAATTCAGGACGCCCTGGGCAACGCCTTATCAGACGACACAAACAATCGACCGACTTTGGTAGAAAGCACACAAACACTCAGCCAGAAAGAGCCGTACAGTCCTTGGAAATTGATGAATGGCCTAGCAGCTTCCACCCTACCAAGCACAAGCGTCAGTTTAGACAGCAGCAGTAGCTATCCACGCGGGCGGGCGCAATCAGACGCCAAAACCCAACTTAGAGACCTCGAGAAGACGTCAAGCTGGTCAGATAGCTGGCGGGATTGGTTAACGGGGAATACGAAAGAGCAAGACAGATATCTGAATAAGGCGGACCGCAGTATCGAACACGATAAAGGTGACCTCAAATCTAAGTGTTAGTGATCGACTTCCTTTGTCAATCTTTCTGATGACATACAGATGAAATACCCAAAAACCCGCTTGTTTTCTGCCATGGTTTACTTGGTTTTGATTTGATAGGACCTACGAATATACCCGCTCTTCAGATATCTCATTGGCGGGGCATAAGCGAAGTCCTGGAGGAGAATGGTGTAGAGGTGCTCATCACGCGTGTGCCAGCCACATCATCAGTCGAGGATAGGGCAAAGGTACTTGATGAGCAGATTGCGAAGTATCTTCCTGGTCGAGACATTAACCTTGTTGCACATTCAATGGGTGGTTTAGATTGTCGGCATTTGGCTACTCATATGAACCCAATTCGCTACAATATTGTGTCAATTACAACAATCAGCACTCCTCATCAGGGTTCCAGCTTTGCGGATTATATGATTGACGATGTAATTGGTAGACACCGTCTACCGGGCTTGCTGTCGAATCTTCCAAATAGAGTGGTACCTCTTTTTAGCGGCGACGGCAAGGCTTTCGAAGGTCTCACTACGAAATCCATGACAAGGTTCAATGAACAGACCCCTGATCTTCCGACCATCAAATATTTCAGTTATGCTGCTAGGCATGACCCTGGTATGTTTGATACCTGGCGATATCCATGGAGTATCATAGGTATGTTTATCTGTACAGTTTTGATACAATCTGACGTGACAAAGTCGAACGTGAAGGCGAAAATGATGGACTTGTCTCAGTCAAAAGTGCGCGCTGGGGTACTTTCATGGGTACTATCGAGTGGGTAGTTGTTCTAATAACATATTTTTTCTACTTACACATACCTCAGTGGGGCAAATCACCTCGATCTTGTAGGATGGGTCAACCACGCTCGCTTCGCATGGGCAGAGTTCACTGGTAGGGCAATCAAAGTGGGTACACGCTTAGCTATATTACCCTTTTAATCATTCTTTAGTATAAACCAGCAACATTTTACATGGAAATCGCTGACAATCTCGCCAAGAATGGACTGTAGTTACTACCCGCGGATCTAAATTATAAAAAATACCACACTGGCATCACTATCACTACTTTTGTATTATCAAACATGATTTATGTAGTATCGAATATTAGTGTACAATGTGTGGAATGTGCGTGTGTATATATTATGTTGGGAAATGCAAAATGCTAGTGACTTATTTAAGCTGTACGGCTGGCTCGAGCGGTGAGTCTTGTGTGTCTTGTGTTCGGCTAGAAGCAGATTGTGTGTCAGACTCTGCAATCGTGCTTAGTTCCGAAGGGCTAAAATCAGATATGGTGGGCAACATAACTGGCGTTGGGTTTGGAGAGCTGGCCAAAACTTCTATAAACACCGAGTGTACATTCTCAATCTCGCTCAGTTCATTCTGGAGACTGAGAGCAACCTGTTGAGATTCATAGATAGGCGTTGTCTGATCCATGATGATCCCCAAACGCACGTTGACGTCCTGTCCACAATGATAGACGTAACAGGATGATATTTGTAATATGCTCGCGTCGAGGTTAATGGCCTTGTAGAGTACTTTCTTTCGCGTCCGCTCGACCGCGGTTATACCAGCTAGACACTTAAATTGACGGACGAGTGTTAGTACCCAGACGGTGATAACACCAATTGATATCAAGATTGATCCTGCAGGGTCTTTGAGACATGTCAGCCCGTTTCAATGAAGATGAGACACCCACCTATCCACCATTTGAGTACTGTACCACCGGCACTAGTAAGTATACCAAATCCATTGACTGGTAAATCGTTACGGTGGTCTATGAAAAGAATTTCAATCTGACTGCTGAGATGTTTGGTCATCCCGCAATAGATACAGAGTACGATCTTGACGAGGAATGCAAAGCCTACTGCAGCAATAGAGGGGACGTGTATACCATTTATTTCGCCTGATGGGTTGTTCGATTCCGTGCTCGACTCACCCTCAATGAGAGATCGTATTGACTCAACTATAAGAATAGCATTCACAGCTATCATGAGAAAACTGTAACAACAATTAGCCACCGATGTTAGCCTCGATCCACCATCCGGCCATTTATTCTTGTCCAACTTTTGAGATCTCACATAGACCCAATTGAGAAATACGTTCGATATAGGGTCGAATATGGTATTTATCAGCGTCGAGAAGAATGAGAGACTGAGACTGCTTATCGCAGCGTAGAGTTGCAATCCGGCAAGTAGCATTGAAGATGTCATGGAGCCGTAAATCGCTATCTTGGCCTAATCTCGTTAGTCAACCTAATGATTTAGTTCCTACACACTCTTATCGTATCGTCTCGCGTATAATTACTTGGGTCTTTCCTGCTCTGTATACAATCAGTATTGTCTCATATGGTTGGATGCTGCTCACGCCGTTATCTGATTTGAGGTATGACTCTATCAGCTGCGAAGTGATATCAGTGACTTATATATACGACTTGTTGGTATCCTACTCACCGCATTCTGTGATCTATAGAACTTGCGCTCTGCTCTAGACATCCTCTCATCCTCGACGAGCTTCTCTCTAAGATTTACCGGTTTGAGCGTCTCCTCGAAGGATTTTTCGTTTTCGATAGACATTTTACAACGTTATGCTTAAAGCCTGTCGACAGACTTTTGCCTTGGTTGTCAAGCATTCTCTAAATATGTCGAGTCTTGGGTATCTATTTACGGAAACAAGGTTTATTTTTAAAAACTATTTTTATTCGGATGTTGTCCATTGTACAAGCACTTTAGATGTTCCCAGTAGACCGCGGAGTGCTCTCGTCCACTCCTCGTCTGCCGTCTTGTCGCCGGTGAATTGTCCTGGAAGCCGAATACTGTTATCGCCAATTCGCTCTTTCGTGATCTTATAAGGCCACTTCACGGTCATATCTCGGGCGCTTATCCAGTCTAGCAGCTGCTTTAGCATGTCAAGGAACGTTATCATCGCCTGATCGAATCTACGTGTATGCAGCATCGATAATGCGCTTCCGGGGTGGTATCTATTAATAGTCAGATTGGCTTTATAAATATAGTAGACATACAATTCGAGAGTCTCCCATTTCAGCACATTCTGCGTCAATGTTGCTTTCTCAATCTTCGAAAATGATCCTAATGGTATAATACGCGCACTTCTGTGTGTTAGTAAAGTAGAAGAAGCATGTTTCACTCACTTCATGAACTCAAAGTTAAGTTTATTGGCGACAGAGTAGAGTAGGAGGGCTAGATGTCCCCAGGCAGCGTTTATTTCGCTCCATTCAACATTCTGGTTGATCCTTCCAAGACGTAGACCTGCAATTGTGCCAATCCCACTATCTGAGGATATTGTGAAGACGTCGGCCCAGACGTTGGTCCGCTCCAGTCTAGCAAGCTCTGCCTGGGCTTCATTGAGACTGTGTTGCTCAGATATCTGGTCTTGTATGCTCTCCTGGTCGTCGAGCAAGCGTGTCGAACGCTGCCGCAGATAAGCCGTTTCCTCACCCTGAAGTTCTTCTTCCTCCGCATCAAGCTCACGCATTTCACGCTCGAGGTTCAATTTCTCCTTCTCGAGCTCATCTAACTTGCTCTTCTTCTCTGTTGTTTCTTTTTCAAGCTGTGTTTTGTGAGCGATATGTAAACAAAATCTAACAGCATAACATACCCTCTCTATCAATCTAATCGTCTCGTCATCATCTGCTTGACTCTCAAATTGATCTTTGATAGACGTTGCTACGCTATCAAAAGAAATATACGCATCGCGCTCTCGCTTAAGATCGTCAAACTCATCAGTTAACAAATCCAATGCTGTATTAGCGCAGTCGATACAAAGTGGATGACTGATGTCAGATTTTGTGGTCAATATTGCAAATAGTTTCATCCGTATAACAGCTGGTGATTCGCTTTCATGCATATCATCCTCCTTTATATCTATATAGCTATCACCCAAATTCGTTGGCTTTCTAATGACCCTTCTGCTATTTGGTGTTCCAGTACCAGAGTTATTCTGCGTGATATCTGGTATATTGACCCTATTACTATTGAGCGAACTCTGTAGTATGTTAACGCTCGTACTCCCGACTGCTTTCAAGCTATCGTCAAACTTTATCGGGTGTTTGCATCTTTGGCACGATGAAGTCATGGACGTTCGATGTTGAGTGATAAGAGAAGTGTAACGAGAAAAATAAGAAAATATTTATATTTAGCTTTACAGTTGCTTATGTATGTATAGTACCATGATAGCTGGTGCCATTCTCAGCTTTAAGGTGATCTGGCAGATGGCGTTCTTCTAGACCAAGTGAAGTACAGAATACATTTGCTTCGTCTGTCGATCCACCAGTGTGTATTTCCACCCTGGCTATCTCATCTTCAGATAGCTCAGATAAGAGTTTCCTAATCAGCGTTGTAGCTATACCCTGACGTCTGTATTTTTCTGATACAGAGAGTGTGAGAACATGTACGATTCCCTCGACACATCTGCCAGTGATGAACGAAAGTATTTCACCTGCATCGTTCTTCCCCACTAGACAAAGACAATCAGAGACGAGTTGCATAGTGAGGTAGAATCCAGAGTCTGGTGGAACACCTGTGAGTGTCTGTTTCTGTTATGTATTTAAATAAGAGCCTATAGAAAGTATGTGAATACCCACATGTAAGAGCTGAAGAGCCTCGATGTCTTCCTTCTTAAGATGTGTATAAGTAATATCTGACATGACTGTATAGATTGAAGGTCTATAGAATTATTATCGGTCGCTTATTTTATAGAACATCAACTGATTGCCGAGTCGACCCGAAGATCGGAATAGAAAATAAAACACGTAAATTGCGATAATTTGACGGATGAACGTCTAATACAATAACAAAGATGATAATAATATATGCTATATTTGGCGTGTTGAGGCGCTTTTCTATGCAACTTTCTAATCCTAGATAACATCCCATAGGTCTTCTAGCGTGGTACAAAATTTACCACAGGCGACCGAAGCTGAGAGTGAGTAATTCGAGATGGAAACCTTCTCATCAACGATAGCGTCAGCAAAGTTATCCTGTCTGCGTACTGTTAGATGTAACTTTAGATTTTAGAAGAGACTGACCCATGTGCCATTGCACCAACAAAGACACAAATAGACTTGTCTTTTGGTATTGTAGGCAAATAGTCGGTAATCTTCGTAGTAGGAGCGTCACCAGAGAGAGTAATTTTATGGCAATTAATTGGTAAATGATCCGTGATTGGATTCTTGATAACTTTGAGAAGAACTTCTGAGCCGTTCATTTGGATGATCTTGAGCTTATGGAGGAGTTGCACCATTAAACCGGAGAAACGTTTGAAAGTTCTTGGAATCCTGACTTGAGGATTTACTTCAATGAGGACACCCTGTGAGGTGTGTATGAAGACCTGCATGAGGCCAGCTTTGTTGAGCGGAGAGTCTAGCAAAGTGAGTAAACACTGGTGGGTGATGTCTGGTCTAGCGTCTGAGATGTCCCTCTTCATTTTGGCTAGGATACCTTGATGTTCATCGCAATTGAGGAGTGCGTATTTTGCTTCACCATTTTTGGTGGACGAACCGGAGCTGAGCTTGTAAGTTTCCAAGCAAGCGTTCTCTAGTACTACAATAAGCCTTCTAGTATTCTCCTTCTCGAGCTTAGTCTTTGGAATTCGTGGCTGCTGTGGATCTAGATCCATAGTCTTTGGCTTAGTTTTTGGTATAAACTCACTGGACATTGGGTTCAGCTTCTTTGATTGCTTCTCTAAGTCGTCATCTGGATTAGCACGCTTCATCGTATTCATCACCGTTTGAACCAAACTATCATCATGCCAGAAGTGACGATAAAAACTTTACAGCAAAAAGTATTCAAAGTTGTTGTAGAGGATAGCGATACAGTTAGTAGTAATAGACATATATACGCCCCTTTCTAACGCCCCTTAGATAGCCACCCTCAAGCAAAAGATAGAAGCTGACCAAGGATTCGCCGTCAACACACAGAAGCTGATCTTCTCTGGTAAGATTTTGGCGGATGACAGGACGATAGAGAGCCTCCAAATAAAGGAGAAAGATTTCCTCGTCGTCATGGTCTCAAAACCAAAACCCCAGCCAGCGACACCGAAAAAGGATGAAGCCAAGGTTGAGCAGCCAGCCCAGAAATCAGAACAGCCAGAACAGCCAGAACAACCACAGCAAACTCAGCAACCAGCCAGCTCGTCAACTCCTTCTCAACCAGGCAACAACCTTGCCATGGGCTCTGAATTGGAGACAGCTGTTAGTAATATGGTAGAAATGGGCTTCGATAGAGCACAAGTAATGAAAGCTATGAGAGCATCCTTCAACAATCCTGAAAGAGCAGTTGAATACCTCATGACTGGAATTCCACAGCATTTACAACAGCCAGAGCAATCTGAGCAGCCTCAACAACAATCTGAACAGCAACCAAACCAACCAACAGGTGCACCATTGAACCTCTTTGACGCTGCTCGCCAGCAGAGCTCTCCAGCAGCAGGTCAGGCTGCTCCAGGTGGCGATGGCCAGCAAGCACAACTCGCTGAACTCGTACAAGCTGCACAAGAGAACCCAGCATTGTTACAATCGCTCATACAAGAAATTGCACAATCCAATCCAACTTTAGCCCAACTTCTCGCACAAAACCCTCAAGCATTGCTCGATTTACTCAGCGGTGAAGGTGCAGAAGGTGACTTCCAAGACGAGGATGGTCCTGGACAGGTTATCCACCTCACAGAAGAGCAAGCTGAGGCTGTCGCTAGATTAGAAGCACTTGGTTTCTCAAGAGAAATGTCAGCCCAGGCGTTATTGGCTTGCGAGGGCAACGAAGAACTCGCTGCAAACTACCTATTCGAGCAACAGGAGGATCTATAAATTGTAAATTATGATTAATTATTTTCTTGCCTTCCTACTATGACAATGACGCCAGTTGACTATCAAAAAGAGCAGCTTGATAAGCTCTTAGAGGACCCTACAAAGCCTGTATATATACCAGATGCACCAAAAAAGAAAGAAATTGCGCCTGCAAAGGAGATGTTTGCACATGTACAAGGATCCTCAGCTGGTGCCGGTAGTGGTGAATTCCATGTTTATAAGCAATCGAGAAGGAGAGAATACGATCGTGTACAGCTCATGGAAGAGGAGAGAAGAGAAGTGCGTCATATTGCGACAGGTTGACTGATAGTTCTCTAACAGCGATTAGGAAGCCAGAGCAGCTGAATTTGAACAACGGCGACGTGAGAGAGAGGCGGTAGCAGAAGCTAAAACGAGTAAGAATCGGAATAGGAGGAATAAGCGTAAGCAAGGTAAGCAAGACGCAAAAACCAAGGAGAGCAACAAAGAAGACGATACGGAGTTCAAGAAGAGGAAGATAGTAGGTGGTACGCTGCCAATTTCTGAAGAAAACAGCGAGAAAGCACCAGCTGTTCCGGTTGTAGAAAAGACAGAAACGCCAACCGTGGCGACGGAAAACCCTATTACCGTTGTAGAAGACAGCAGCTGGTGAGCTGTATCATCTACTTCTCCTAATAAATATATATATTATGCATTTTTTCGCTTATGCGCTTCTCCGATAGTCGTACGACGAGCCGAAACTATCCAGTAGAGTGTGCCGTATTAGTAAACAATTATGTCTGATAAAGACATAACCACCTTCGATAAAGATACAGAGAAGAATAGTGAGCTATTTCTCGTGGACAGCCTAGAGGGCGATAGTCCTAAACTCTGGCCAGCTTGGAAGAGATGGTCGCTCACAGTCTTTGTTGGTATTATCGCTATAGCATCAGCGATGGCTAGTGCAGGCACTACTGGTGTTGCTGAGGATATAATGGCCGAGTTCGACTTTACAGACGAAATTGAAGCTACACTTTGTTTGAGTGTATACATGCTTGGGTAGGTGTATATCTACGTATATACTTCAATATCTGACATAGCTATTAGCTATGTCCTTGGCCCTATCTGGGGACCCGCTAGTGAAGCATTCGGTCGGAAGTATACCCTGATTTTCTGCCTTTGGGTGCTCACACTCTTTAACATCGCAGACGCAGTCTCTAGTACGCCAGAAGCTCTATATGTTTGTAGGTTCTTTGCCGGTTTCTTCGGTGGTTGTATGATTATTGTCGTCGGCCCCTGTATTGGAGACATGTTCACGGCAAAGGACAAACAAGTTGCACTCGCAATATACGCATGCTGCCCCTACCTCGGTCCTAGCATTGCTCCCATAGTTAGTGGATTTATACACGATAGCGGCACAAGTTGGAGGTGGATGTTTGGCGTACTCGCTATATTCAGCGGGAGCTGCGCGATATTGGCTCTATTTATTCTCCCAGAGACATATGAACCCGTTTTGCTTGTCTGGAAAGCAAAGAAATTGCGCAAGGAAACCCAAGACAAACGGTACGTCGCACCAAAAGAACTCCAGACAAAGGGTATGTCTGGAGTCATGAACGACATTTTCACAAAACCATTTGTTATGCTCGCATACGAACCTATGCTTGCTGCACTCAGCTTCTATAGTGCTTTCGTTTATGGTGTTCAATACCTCCTTTTTGAGGCCTTTCAATTCGTTTATTCGGCAGAGAAGGGTGGTCATGATATGAGCAATGGCGTACGTGGTCTCTGTTTTATACCACTCTCGCTCGGTAGTGTCATCGCTGCAATGGTTACTGCTCTTTTCTTCAATAGACGCTATATTAAGCGAATGAATGAGACAGGTGAGAAGCCACCTCCAGAAATAAGATTAGAAGGTGCCTGTTTGGGTGGTATATTCGGTATTATCTTCTTCTTTTGGTAAGTTGATACGATAATTATAGACATCAACTAATAATATGACAAGGTTCGGATGGACAAGCTACCCATGGATCAGCCCGTGGTCGCCTATAATAGCCAGTACGCTGTGGGGAGCGTGAGTGATACTAACTCTATAAGGGACGCCCACTGACAGAAACTCAGAGCACAGTGTATGGTTTATCTCGCTCAAGTGAGTTATATCAACGACTGCTATACTATTAGTGCAGCAAGTGCGCTCAGTGGTCTCGTCATGTGTAGGAGTTTGTTTGCTTTCGCATTTCCGCTCTTCGCAAATAAGATGTACGAGGGGATTGGGCCACGTTGGGCATGTACGATACTTGGTATAGTCCAGATTGTCCTTGCTATTGTTCCCTGGGTTTTGATATACAAAGGACCAGCATTCAGGGCTCGTTCTAAGTTTGGAGAATGATTACATTGACTCGGATATTCAATTTAGACTATTTGCATACTTTTACATAATCATTGCATTTTTCACGTGTATATTAATTATCGGATGAATATATTTTTCTAGCTTTAGCTTTTTCTCGCAGAAATAAACAATGCTACAGTTAGCATACTGCAATTTTACGCCTCTATAATTATTTGAGCTTCTGTAGGCTAAATTTGGATGGGGATACTTCCGAACATCAGTTTATGTATGCTGTAATAAAAGAAAACCTCAACTGATACCGTTCTTTTCTTGGAAAGAAATTTTTCCAGAGGATAAGAGATCAAAAAGCCACTAACTCACTCTTATGTATACTGAGAGGAGATTTTAAATTGGTTAGGTTAGGCACTGACGATGGTTACTGTGAATGATGTAAAACATGCATTTACAGATATTGAATGATTAGATTTTAAAAGGGGGAAGGTAACATTTACAACTTACGAATATATATTTTCCTAAAACTAGCGCAAAATTAACATGGTATGTCAAGTTTATAAGCCTGGGTGTATTGAAGATCATCCAAATAAGCAGAATTTTTCATATAGTCACTTATAGCAGATCAGAAATCGCAGAAGACTTTGAGGATGTATCAACTTGATATTAATATACAAAAATAAGGATCAAAATTTAAAGCTGATCGCGCTATTTTTAAGTTAATGCTTAAATTACATAAATGTCTTCCGTTAGCTTTTTTGTTATATATATTTTGTTATTAGAAGCGACATGTGTTTTCGAACAAAACCCCGGACAACTATGCCAACATTATATTCAGTATCATCTCTGTAACTAGTATTCATATCACTTTTGTATATCTGGTCATAGAGCTCAAGGTAAAATCAGACCGGTCAAACACTCAGGAATGATTCAGAGATCAATATAGCGCCACGTATATTCGATATCGCATTGCCTGCGCAAATGAGTATTAGTAAAGGTAGCTAAATAACTAGCAACTAATACTTGAACGATGTAATGGTTTTGAAAATTATAAAAATTATCACTTATGGCAGTGTTTTCATGATGATGGTGATTAAGATAGTAGTCAAGTCCGGCGTATCTGATGAGATGAGTTTTACAGCTAACCACATTAAACTGTAACTGTATAGAAAAGTTCGCTTTTTACCTACTCAAATGTTGTAAGGATTTGGAATACTAATATATTTTTGCTAATATTGTATCACCTATTTGTTTATTAGAAAGGATAGTAATGTATATAATTATAGACTTTAGAGAATGCCAAATATCAACCATACTGTACTTCCTATAAGTTGAGTATTAACTCGTACAATCATGGATTTGCGTTCTTTGGACCAGAGGTGTGTAGCATTTTAATCCTGTTGTTAGACTCTCAGGGCTTTGTACGTTTGTTATATTGTACGTTGAAGGATTTTAAATGCATCATTTCAACAGTAATGACATCATTCGTAGAGGTTACTATTGATAGTGCAGCTAACTGTCCAATACATCCACATCTGTTGGGCATGTCCAAGAACTGAATAAAAGCTATGACTACCTTACAGTATCCATGTGATCTTATGTGATTGGCAACGTGTCAAATGCGCGGATTACATAACCAGGTACGCGTTTCGGTAGGCACTGTCATCCATGGAAAGACTACAGTTTGCTCACTTGCACGCTGGTTATTTAGAGTCTATTATAGCACATGAAAGGAAATTTTCATTAAGAAAAGAACGCGATTTATGAATCATATAAATTGATATCTTTGAATCTCGATATCATTGAGAGAAATTGATAACCTTGCTTCTTCAATTTTTAATGTTCAAAGACCATATCCGATTCACTGAGCTGTACTGCCTTTTCCTAATTTTGTACAACAAGCAGTAATTGCTCCTTGATCAACCGAATTTCCACCGACGATACCTGTTCTACAATCACCATACTTTTCACTATAATGGCCATGTACATTATAAATTCCAGATTGTTCACCACAACAAGCTTCAGTGGCATAAGAATCATATGGCCCAGTACCATCTTTGTTCTCTGTACAAGCTGCAATGTGGGCTGCTTGAGCGGTTCCAAGTATGACTGCTACTATAATTGCTCTAGTCAGAGTGAAATTCATTGTATTGATGAAGGAGGAAGAGAAATATTTGAAATGTGTTTTATATGTTTCTAGGAACACACAGCTTCGGAAGTAGTTGCTTTGACTCCGCGGCATATTAAAACAGGAACTATCCAGTCCCGTTCGCCGCGGAGTACCGTGGAACGGTCATCAAATAGTGAACGTTCACAGTCATAATGAACGTTAATCCCATGAGACTTCATTAATCGAGCAGCCAGAGTTTAGATAACTTGTGCTTATATCGTACATGCTTGCGGTGGATGTAGGAACAAATTTCGATCGAGCAATAGCAATTTAAAACTTTGGGAGTGGAAGATGAATATTACACAGATGAAAAGGCGCAGATCTTCAACAGACTTCAAATTGTTGTCCAGTGGACTTTGTGTAGTAGTTATACATAAATCCAGATAGAGAGATACGAATTAGATTAATTTAGGAAGTCTAACTGTGAGATGAACTCCGATAGTGTTGGTATGTTTATACAGCTTTTTTGCGAGGTTGTTGTGCACATGTACCCATTACATCTTACTCCACATTATGCGGTTCAGTAAACGCGTAGTTCTTTCAACTGTAAGATATTGAAGTTCAAGCAATCAATGGTGAAAAAGAATCAATTCATATTGCATGTACATATATTACATCAAAGATCTAACTACCTTTTCCTTAACTTCGCATTATAAAAGATTATTGATTAGCTGATTTGACTTTGACGTATCTTGAGATTTTAAATGGCCTCATAAGTTTACTGAGCCGTACTGCCTTTGCCCAAGTCTGTACAGCATGCAGTAATGTATCCTTGATTTACTTTGTTGCCTCCGGTAATTCCCGTTCTACAATCGCCATAGTCAGAGTCGTAGTAACCATTGATATTAGCATTTCCAGCTTGGTTTTCACAGCAAGCCTTTGTTGCATCAGCTGCGTATGGCCCAGTACCATCTTTGTTCTCCGTACAAGCTGCAATGTGGGCTGCTTGAGCGGTTCCAAGTATGACTGCTACTATAATTGCTCTAGTCAGAGTGAAATTCATTGTATTGATGAAGGAGGAAGAGAAATATTTGAAATGTGTTTTATATGTTTCCAGGAACACACAGCTCCGGAAGTAATTACTTTGACTCCGCGGCATATTAAAACAGGAACTATCCAGTCCTGTTCGCCGCGGAGTACCGTGGAACGTTCAGTCATAATGAACGTTTAATCTTATGAGACTTCAGTCGTCGAGCAGCCATAATTCAGGTTGACAGCGCTATACAAATTGTACGTGAAATTACTTCGGGCGATCATACGAAAGTTTAAGGCACTCATTGCTATTATTCGAAGGTCATTCATCTAATGGTGTATCTCGATAGTGGAGTAGTTATAATAATACAATGTATCACAATATCATGCTTTACGAGGTACTAGAAAGAATAACGAATGTATGTGTTAAGATCATCGTCATTCACATTGTGTACCTTACCAATATTTTGTGATATTTAGAGCACATTTACTAGTCACGACCATTTAAATCTGACACATATAATTATATGCTTTACAGAACTGTTAATTTTATCATTATGAAGATTTTCGTTTGTGATGTTTAGATCTTTCAGTATTCATCCAAAAATCACAGAGCTTATTGTGCCGTGCTACCAAGGCCATTTTTGCTACAACATTCGGTCATTTTTCCTTGATCTATACCGTTGCCATTTGTGATGTGTGTTCTACAATCATGATATTTTTCATCGTATTTGCCTTGAGCAAGTGTACCAGCCATATTTTGCTCTTGACAGCAAATCCTGGTATATGTTTGATCATAAGGGCCTGTACCATCTTTGTTCGCAGTACATGCTGCTATACCTGCTGCTTGAGTGGTTCCAACTACGATTGCTAAGGTAAGTGCGGTAATTAATGTGAATTTCATTGTTTCTGATGAAGAGAAACAGACATTCTACGGTTATTTATATGCTACTAGGAACGTATAGCTTCGGAAGAGTTTATGAGTAGACACCAACGTATATTAAACTCAGGAACCATCTAAGTCCGTCTAACCGAGGTGTACCCTCTAAGATATGAAACGTTTTGCCCGGTGATAGAACATTCCTTAATGTCACTTTCACGTCTTTAAACCTTGTGTATAAGTATATGGCTAGATTATGTTATCGACCATTTCATTTGAGAGATCTTAGCTAAGTTAGATTTGAAATTGGAACCGTCAAATTCACAGGTTTCGATAGCACACTACATGACTATCACACTCTAGAAATCTTTTAACTTTCTTATAAAATGTTCATATATGGTCATCCTTATTATTTCATATAATTACAGGATTATAAGGAGATATGACGATAAATATCCAAGATATATATAAGAAAATGAGAAACCATTAATGATATAATCTATGAATGAAATAATGACAAGTTAATGACGATTACAAAGGAAATATATGATGTCATGCGTGAATTTATCTTGTAAATGTCTTATTATACATTTAGCAACGATTAATCATATTAGACTTATTAGTCGGTATATAAAACCTAAATGTCAACTTTGCAGAATTTGATATCTAGAATTCCTTCATTTTGAATAAAATTTTCCTTACCTGACCTCATCTTGGTTGGTACTTTATTTTCCTAAGTAAAATTATCAATTATATTTTAAAGCAATTCAGCAAATATAATATAATATAGTTCACCGTATGAATTAGGATTATTTTACATTAGTCCTTGTTTTTTTTTTTTAGATACAATCTCAATATAGTTTAGGTGAAATTCAGATGAATAAAAGTTAGAGCAATTCAATATTTATCAAAATTGGAGACTTAGGCTGATCACTCGTGATTTTTCTTGTTAAAACCGTTCCTACCATAATAAAGATTTTGCTAAACATTCAATCGTGGATCAACAAAATCAGTATATGCATCATCATCAACATACTCCTATATAATTGGTAGACTTTCGCCAATACATCAGAATAATTGGAAGATTAGCAAAGTATGACATTGAATGAAAGCTTAGCAGATACATTAATTTCATTCAAGACTCAATAACAAAATTATCGAGTTTTGATTTGGAAAGCCTCAAATAACTCCATAAATATCTTTAAACGTTCTTAGAATAGACCTCACTCGGAAGGAAGGCTGTCTGAGATAGCTATACCAGGGCAATATCTATTCACCACTCGAAGCGCTTCTCTCTTAGTTTTACTAGTCACCCTGACGAACCTGACTTTTTCTGTAAGGGTAGACTTTCAGGATACGAAATTAAGATATGAACTTGCATTTCGAAGCTTTTTCCAGAAATAACTGCAGCTATTGTTCCAGCTAATCTCACAGTAGCAAATATTATACCTGGAGCGGTAAGACACGAGATAAAGCAGCTATTATACCTACAGCATAGAAACCGTTGGTATAAGTACTTTACATGCTGAGTATACAAAGACTATGCTGTACAAGTGGCGCCTAATACTAGGGCTAGACTCCAATAACAGTCGTAAACTTGGCTAAATACGTTAGTTCACGTTTTGCTAAGTCGTCCTGTACTGTTCTATATACATCTAAAGACTTAGATACAATTATTTCTCTTCCATACATTCTATTACATTAGACACCAGAAAAGACGCGGCCAGAGTTATTGTTAATCTAGGAATGAGTGGTTTTGATCTATTGCTAATATAGTTATAAGCGGTTTTATGTATATCTAACAAGAAACGTAATAATAATATCTAGCTAATCTAGAAACAGATGTTGAGAGAGAAAACCGGTTATAGATGATATATTTATTAACGCGGTCAATCGTATCTACTTAAGATTGTTGATATGCACTTTTGAAGGTATTTCATTTGAATAAATATAAATCTTTATAGAATATATTGTGTCCATGTTCTGTTTATTTATTTCCTATTTTTTATATTCTGCATCACATTTATCTTTATCAAATACGACGACCGCGTCGACGCGACGATGATAAAATTCAATCTTATAGAGACGCTCAACAACTACAAAGATGACCTTGTAGTCGACGATGATGATGATCTCAGCGAGGAGCTCTTGCTTGAGCAGATTCTCAACAATTCGATCACTCAGGACGAGAGACTACTCACGAACACGCTGGGATACATACAGCGACTGAACAATGGAGTAGCCAAGCAATCACTCAAGCTTCTCGACGCTATGGTACAGTCTCTCACCCAATCGAGCGAAGATAAACTCAGTTTAGAAGTGCTCGCCTATTTAATACACGCATTTCTTATCAAATTCGGGAAATTACAAGGATTAAATAAGAATGACTTTACTAGTTGGCTCAATGTTTTGTCTTCCTCCTACGGAAGCGTGTACAAACTATTGAACGAGACTTCTATCTTGAAACTGTGGGGGAATAGTGTAGAGAAGGACACGTTTGTTAGGTATGTACTGATATAACGCGTTTTTATACTCCATCTGACATCTTTAAGTTGTTTTACGAAACCAATTTGGTTGCTTTTCGAGTCGGAACAATACACAAAATCAGCAGAAATCAAGTCAATCTTTTTCAACATTATCGCTATATCAGTAATATCCCATGGACAATCTTTCAGCTCCCAAACATCTATCATACAGAATCTTGAGTATTATGAACATCTTGGTGAGCCAATGGCCGAGCTTTTGAGTCACCTCGATCATCAGTTCAATGAGACAGACTTAACGCACAACTGTTTAGTGGATGTTTCCAACCGTACGTTCTCGGGAGCTGATTTGAAAGCCCCACGGTCATTTTCCAGGTTTATTATCAAATTGACTCAACTGTCGCCTGCACTGGTACTCAAACATGTCGTTCTCCTACAATCGCATATTGATAGTGACGCATATACAATGCGTAATGCTATCATTGAGTGTTTTGGTATACTTATCACTCACTTGTCGACACTTAACGACGAATCCACTGATACGGAATCACAACAAACGCAGATCCAGTCTTTCTTTGCTGTTCTCACAGACCGTTTCCTTGACAATAACAGCTACGTACGGTCAAAAGTAATACAGACATACTTGAAATTAGTTGAGCTACCTACGAAATTCCCGAAGCAACGAATCGAGCTGCTCGAAAGTACGATCAGACATCTGAGCGATAAGAGCTCAACTGTGAGGAAGAATGCGACGTCACTCATCATAAAGCTCATTCTAACCCATCCATATGGTATGCTCCATGGCGGACGCCTCAATCAGAAGGAGTGGATGGAGAGACTACAGTCAGTAGATACCCAATTGGCCACCATAGCTCCAAAACTAGATGATGAAAAGCAGCAGGACGAGAATGAAATGGATGAAGATGAAGGCAGCGAGAATCGTCGTAAATCAAAAAAGTTCGCTCGTAAATCCCAAGCGGCTGCTGAAAATATGGCACAGCACGACTCCGACCAAATTGCGCGTCTGCGTTTGACGAGATCCTACTACGCCGACGCTTTAGAGTTCATACAATTGATCGAGAAGGCTACACCAACAATCGCAACCTTACTCTCATCAACTAACAAATCAGAAGTACTCGAAGCGATTGAGTTCTTCAGAGTTGGTTATGAATATGGCATTCAATCGTCAGAAATTGGTGTAAGGAGGATGATTCACCTTATCTGGGCAAAGGATAATACCGTCATTGAAGACGGAAAGGAAGTCAAAGGTGTAAGGGCCCGTGTAATTGACACTTACAAATCACTTTACCTTGATCCTATCTCTGACCCTAACATGACTCCTCAGCAGCAAGTATCACGGATATGCAAAAACCTCATCCAACTGACATTTAACGCAACCCTCGCGGAGCTCACCTCCCTTGAGGCACTCATCAGTACCGTTATGTCCACCGATGGTATACATACCGACGTCATCAATAAACTCTGGCAGGTCTACTCAGTACAGAAGGATATACCGAAGGCACAGCGTCGAGGTGCGATCATCATAATAGGTATGATGGCTGTTGCCAAATCGGATATTGTACACGATGGAATAGACACACTTATCAAGATAGGTCTCGGTCCACTCGGAAAGGCCGACCTTGCATTGGCGAGATACACCTGCATAGCCTTACAGAGAATTTCAGGATCAGTAAAGAAAGTGAAGGGATCACTCCAGGATGCCTCCATTCGTCTACCAATGTCTGAACCAATTTTCAGACGGTTGCAGGAAGCACTTGAGCATCCAACAACTTCCCAGGCGTGGTTTGGTATGGCAGAGCAGGCAATAAACGCGATTTATGTCCTTGGAGAACAGCCTGACATCCTATGTAATGTTATGATCAAGCATATGGCTCAGAAAGCCTTCACTGCAGAAACTCAAGGTGATGCTATGCAAACTGATGAAGAGAGTGACAAAGTAATAGGAAATGCCTTCCTTTTAAGTCAGCTTGTCTTCACAGTTGGCCATGTTGCAATCAGACACATCGTGTATCTCGAGCTCGTCGAGAGGGAACTCAAACGACGCAAAGCTGACGCAGATGCCGAGAAGGGTGAGTAAATACATCCAAAAATACATGGCTAACATCATCAGATTCGAAAAAAGGCATGAAGCAGAAGCAAGCGGAGGGTATCGACGAAGTTGCAGGTAATGCAGAAGATGATATCGGTGATGGTATTGCGGCTGTCAAGGAACGTGAATTGCTTTATGGGGAAAACAGTCTCTTGGCTATATTTGGACCAATTCTCGCTCACATTTGCTACAATCCTCGCCAATACTCTTTCCCGATGTTGAGGGCAGCTGCTACGCTCTCACTTTCGAAATTTATGTGTGTCAGTTCGAAATTTTGCGAAGAACACCTCCTTCTACTCTTCAAAATACTCGAGACAGCCCAAGACCCGACAATTCGTTGCAACGTTGTCATTGCATTGGGTGATATCGCGATCTGTTTCTCTAACTTGATAGTTGAGAACAGTGATAAACTCTACGCTGGGCTGGGCGATAAGGAGATAGTCGTCAAGAAAAATACCTTTATGGTACTCACACACTTGATTCTCAATGGAATGGTTAAAGTGAAGGGTCAGCTAGGTGAAATGGCTAAATGTCTCGATGATACTGAATCTCGTATATCTGATCTCGCTAAGTTGTTCTTCACGGAATTGTCGACAAAAGACAATGCAGTGTACAACAATTTACCGGATATTATTTCCCATCTCTCTGTTGGCGTACACGCTGTAGACGAGGAGACATTCAAGAGCACGATGAAGTTTATCTTCAAGTTCATTGAGAAGGTTCGTTGGGTTTTACTTTCTCGCGAAACACAACTAACAACATATAGGAAAAGCAAGCGGAGAATATCATCGACAAACTCTGTCAGAGGTTTAGACTCGCAAATGAGGAGAAACAATGGCGTGATGTTGCATTCTGTCTTTCACTCTTGCCGTTTAAGAGCGAGAGGTCATTCAAGCGTTTGATAGAAGGGTTGCCGTACTACCAGGATAAACTACACGAGCCAATCGTCTATAAGCGCTTTACTGAGATACTTGCAAAAGCACGCTCGAATAAGGCTACAAAATCTGACAACGAGATTAAAGAATTCGAGGGTGTTCTCGAGAAAGCCAAAGCGAAGAGTGAAGAAGAAGCGCGTTTGGCTGGACGTGCAGCTGGAGATAAACGCTATGAAAGACGCAAATCGAAGAGGCTCTCAGTGCACATATCCAAAAACTCGCTCAAATCAGACGACGAGGAAGAAAAGGAGAATGTTGGAAACGGAGAGCATGAACATGCGAGCGAGGTTGAACAACAAGAAGCTCCATCTAGCAAGTCAAATAAGCCGATATCCCGTGAAAACACGATGAAAATGTCTGACGAAGAAGAAGAAATCAAGCCAAAAGCAAAAGCACCACGTGGAAGAGCTAAGAAATCAGCACCACCTCCACGCACGACGCGCAGAACACGTCGTCAAGTCGCTATATCAGATGAAGATGAGTGAAAAATAACATGTAAAAATAACAATATCAAATCTACCAGAATTCCTTTCTCTTTTGTCTTTCTGCACGTGAAAGCTTCTTGTTAAATCCCCATGCGTCTTTTTGAGCTTGTTGTGCCAATTTTTGAGATTGTCTCTCTGATTTTGTTGCTGGGGCTACCATAGCGACAAAGGCAGAACTACAGTTGAACCGCTTTGCTAGACTGCTACCTGAATGACCCTCCGAGCGAAGGTTTCTAATTTCGTTGATTTCTGCCTCCGATAAGTTAAAATTCAATGTCTTCTTGCGTGAATGGAGACTAGGTGCGTTCGATGCATCCACTCTAGGAGTGTTGTTATTTAATAATGGTGAAACTACGCTATTAGCGTCTACGTATGCTTCTGCGCTGCTTGGTGGTGGCCTCACGATGAATTCTGAACCATCTTCTAAAGTGAATTTGCTCGCATTTTTTAGTGGATCTGGTCTGGATATAGGGCGTGTGACAGCTCTTGTAGATGTACTACTGAATAATCGTCTAGTAAATTGGTTCATCATTGTTAGAATCAAAGGTGCATCTTAGAAAAGAACGTCGATGTCGCTCAGAGCTGGAAATATAAGGAAAGACGGGAGGACGCCTAATGAAGTCCGTGAGATAAATTGCACACGTGAGAGTAATGCACGAGTGGATGGTGCTGTACGATTTAGCTTTGGGGATGTAGAAGTACTAGGATCTGCAACTGGACCAGTTGAAGCTAACCTAAGGGATGAGATAGTCGATAGATGTACTATAGATGTAAATTTCCGCTCAATAAATAACGTAACAGGTGTACAATACAAAGAATTAGCTGATCAGATTGAAGGAGCACTCTCTAGCGTCGTAGTAGGAGAACAGCTGCCACGAAGTCTAGTGAGATTTGTCGTGCAGACGCTCTCATCACCCCAAACACCAACTTACATGGTCAAAGAAGCCGTCTCTGCACCACCATTTAGAATACCGATAAGCGAGAAAGCTGCTGCAATCAATGGAGCGATCATGGCCTCACTTGCAGCGAATATTCCACTATCAGGTGTTCTACTGTGTGTTTCCTTGGCCGTCATAGATGATGTTATCGTCTTAGATCCATCAAGCTACGAGGAAGCCGATGCAACGTCTGTACACCTCCTAGGCTTTACCTTTAGTAGTACGACCAACAAGGCGCTCTCTATATCTGAGAGTCTGGGTAATTTCAACCAAGAGACTGTGAGTAGACGGGTCTTCTCTTTATGATGATGTCGCTAACAAGTCTTGACAGTACATAGAAATAATAAAGGAAGGATCTAAAAATGCAGAAATAATGTATAATTATATAAAAACATTGACGATTTGAAGATTTTTTTAGATTTTTTTGAAAGCTGTCGGAGCTATCTTTCTTATAAACAGTAATGCCAAAAAATAAAGGAAAGGTGAGTACAAAGTGTGAACTAAGGAGCCTCGCGTCCTAATAAATAACAGGGCGGTAAGAACCGCAGACGTGGAAAGAACGACAACGAGAACGACAAAAGAGAGCTGCTCTTTAAGGAGGAAGGACAAGAATACGCCCAAGTTAGTAGAATGTTAGGAAATGGACGTCTAGAAGCCAGCTGCTTCGACGGCGTCAAGAGACTGGGCCACATTAGAGGTAAAATGAGGAAGAAGGTCTGGGTCGGTGCAGGCGATATCGTCCTACTCAGTTTGCGTGAGTTCGAAGACGAGAAGGCAGATATTATCCACAAGTACTCCCCAGACGAAGCTAGAGCACTGAAGCAATACGGTGAACTCCCAAGTGAAGCTCGCATCAACGAGAACGAAGCATTCGGCGATGACGACCTCGAGGGTGAGATTGAGTTCGGTGAGCAGGAGGAAGAAGGTGAAGATGACGACAGTGAGGAGTCAGATGTAGATATAAACGATTTATAAGCTAGCAATTTATCATTTTTACCTTTAAATATTAGTACATTATTCTTGCGTGAACGGATTAGCGATCTCTTCTGAGCCATCTGAAGGGTTTATCACCGTAATAGCAGGTCCCCTGAGTACGACCAAGCCGAGGGTGCGACTAGAGCCGTCCTGGAGTATCTCAACAACGTCATCCATCACTAGATTCATCAGCTGGTCGTATCCCTTGAGAATACCAGTAGCTTCTCTACCGCCTTGGAACTTCAACCTCAGCGACTGGTCTACAAAGCGTGACAGGTCCAAGATTGCTTCTTTCTTTGGCTTTTTGTTGCTCGGATCTGAGCGCTGGGTTATTTGTAAGCGATCTGAGAGTGTAGCAAGCTATAGCCTACTTTATCCGCCATGGTAGCTAACTAAGAGACAAGATAAAGAAAAGAATAATAAATTACAATCTACAGCTTCTATTATTTATTAAGCATATCCTTTACAGCGCTTAGATTCATCTGCTTTGTCACGTACTTCTCGTGTTCTTCAGTCTCGAGGTTTGTTTTGTAGGAGGCTTCTATTTCGTTGAACATACTCTCGAGATCATCCAATCCCTTATACAAGGCATCAATAGCACTCAGATTGTCTAAACATCTCTCAGATATGTCTTCTTCCTTCAAGTCTTCACTTACCGTACATCTGTATTCTTAGGTGAACTTTCGGTTCAGATGGGTGCGGGATACTGTTACCTATTAGATTCTTAACGAAATACTCTGTTGTACTCACCTGTAACCACAGAATTCAACGTTTCCACTGCAACGAGATTAGAGCTACAGCCAGTAAAGAGCAGGACTAACTTTTTCATAAGTATATACCTCAATGCATTTCCAATAGTGTGATCCTCGTTAAACAAGCAGAATGTAGCTGTACTCAAATCGTCTGCATATCCAGGCAGCTGATACTCTTTTAGCTCACTAACTAAACTAATTCTCTACCCACTAATTGGATTTTTTCTTCAAATTGATGTACATCCGTATCAATTCTTTCGTGGTTGATCAATGCCATGATGAAGGTTCTTTCACAACATCCATGATAACAAATTTCAGGTTTTTATCAAAACAGCTACATACCAGTAGATCTATATACAAGACACTCGCACAATCACCCTACTACAATCTTATCCTCGGTGATATCGCTCTCAATCATAACTATGATATAAACACTCTCCAACTCAAGAAGCATTTCCTCAACAAGCAGAAGCTTTACCATCCAGATGCACAGACTGGCAAGTCAGACGAAGAAGCCGCTCACGCATTGCAGACATCCTCACTCGTCAACAAAGCCTACGAGACACTCCTTCATCCTCTCAGCCGGGCTGTATACATCCTCGAACTCAATGGCATCGAAATCGGAGAAGCCGATTCTGTAGAAGATCCAGACCTGCTCATGGAAATTCTCGACCTCCGCGAGCAGCTGGAAGAGGCTACCAGCGAGGATCAAGTCCAATCACTCAGGGAGACTAACAAGGAAGCTATCAACTCGACTATCAACGACGTTTCAGCTGCTTTCCAGAATGAAAACTATGAAGACGCCAAGAACCTCACTATCAAGCTGAGATATCTAACTAATTTGGATACTGCAGCAAAAGATTGGCAGCCGGGAGCACCTGTAATACTCCAACATTGATGTTTTAATGATAAGTTAATGTATTCTTGTATATTTTGGGAATTAGTTGATTATATTGATATTAGACCTTCTCATCGGCATTTTCGTGATTTTTGTTATTATCATTGTCCTCTTTATCTTGAGAACCTGCATCTTCTTCAGTGTTATCTTTACTTTCTTCCTTGGTGTCCTTAGTATCTTCTTTATCCTTCTCATCACTGTCTTCCTTCTCATCGCTCTTTTCACTCTCCTTACTGGTTTCCTCTTTGGAAGCAGGCAGGTTCGCCAAAATAGTCTCATAAGCCTCCTTTGCGAGCTTTCCATTACTAAACTACACAATCTGAGCTTTCTAGATCTTCAAAAATTAAAAACCCACCTTAACAGTATAATGCTCAAGCTTGTTTGACTCATTGTGTGCGCTAAATCTAACGAACTTCTCTTGTGGATGCTCGACCGGCATTTTCGCAAAAAGTGCAGCATTCAAGATTACTCGAAGGACACCATCAGCTCTCATAACGAGTCTAGATCTACCACTTTTATCTTTGTTCAATTTGAAAAGTCCAACACCCCTTTCCTTCCAGTTACCGTTGCTCGTACCTGGTTCATCCTGTAGTAGATACAATTTCGATCTAATTTGAAGTAAATTCTCTTCATTCTCCTCACCAGTTGTTATCTGAGCTGGCTTAAGGTCCAACTTGTTATCTGAGTTGATGCTCTCGCCTTGTGTGGATGCCAATTTATCATTGAATGAGGATATATCTGATGACTCAACTTGTGGTTTTGGTGTCGAGCCAGCAAATGCTGAGAAAGCATTCGACGAACTGACTGTTGGTTTGTTGCTTAGAGAGTTTGATGCATTTGACGGCGCGCTCGCGAATGGCGAAGCGGTGCTAGCGAAAGCGGCAAAAGATGATTGCTTGTGAATTATATTAGCATTTGATAATAACTAAATGGAAGATATTCACCTTCTTTGGTGCCGTAGTTTCGACAACTTTAGGAGGTTCCTCATTGTCTGATTTCTTATCAGTTTCTTTATTGTGCCAGCTTATATCCTCTACTTTATCCCTAATTTGATTTACTTTCTCATCATTTGCAGTTCTACCACGTTTAGTGGCTGAATCTTGAGATTTCTGCCTAGGATTAGATAAATAGACATGTGTTATAAGATAGAGACGTACGATATCAGCCTTTGGTTCTACTGATGTCTCTCTATCTCTCTTTCTCGTCTGCTTGTCGTCCTCTGGGGATTATTAGAGATAAAAGCTAGGAGGATATAATACTGACCAATTTTGTTATACTGCTGTTGTTCATCTTCTGACATTTTTGATGTATAGTCCTCGTCGTCTCTGTTCAAGAGATATCTCTCGTTTAAACGTTCATGTCACAACTCACGATACTACGGGGATATAGAGATCCTACAAAGAACGACTTATTAGCTGATTATTTTAGGCTTCCTATATCTTCTGAACCGTTATCAGAACTCGCTGCGACGTTCGGCGTTCACGGTACGGGCCAGGTATTCAGCGGGAATCTCTATCTTTTTAAGAGCTTTCTATGCTTTCAGTCTTACGATAAGAGAAGCTGCGTTACAAATATACCTTTGTATTCTATTAGGAGAGTTGAGAGACTTTCAACTATCAACCAACCGGGGACACTCGCATTATCGCTCATACTCTGGCATGGACTTAAACTTGTAGTGCAACTAAACACTCTAAAACCAACTTCAGATGAGTTCTGCAATCATCTGAAGCATAGCTTGCGCGAACAGCTTAGCCAAATGAAGCACGTTAAGGCCTTCGCCAAGGGTTGTTACTCTGAGCGACTCGTCGGCGAGGAAATAAACGATAACGATAATGACGACCTTGACCATAAAGATAACGATAATGATAACGATAACGACAAGACATATCACCACGGTTTGGGTGTACAAGTGGGTCCTTACCTATGACATATTACCCCTCTTAGACATTTCAGTTTAAATATCCAGGCGATCCAAAGAAACTCAGAGAAAAGACAAAGTTACGTCTCTGGAAGGAGTATTTTAGATGTGCGTCTTGTCTTCCTTCATTTAATATATCCTCCTAACCTCACAAAAGTGCATGGTCGCAACATCACTCTCGTCAGATACCCTCAATTCATCAGACTCGTACAAGTCGGTCTGCCTTCAAGACTCCGTGGTGAAATGTGGGAAATCCTTTCTGGTTCGATATACGACCGATTTGCGAATCCAGGCGAATACCAACGCATTCTTGAGTTACACGATGGACAATCGAGGTATGTTTACACGTGCGTTCTTTAAACACACACTCACACTCCCCAGCATGGCAACTGACGAGATCGAGAAGGACCTTAACAGGAGTCTCCCTGAATACGGCGCATACCAAGACCCAGCAGGTATTGCCGCTCTGAGGAGGGTTTTAACTGCTTATAGCTGGCGTAATCAGGAGCTCGGATACTGTCAGGCAATGAACATCCTCGTCGCGGCCCTACTCATGTGAGTAAGATGTCTTTTATGGAAATGATTCTCATACTCTTAAGATATATGTCAGAAGAGCAGGCATTTTGGTTTTTGGATAAAATATGCACGCGTATATTACCCGGATACTACAGTGCATCGATGTACGGTACACTACTCGACCAAAAGGTTTTCGAACACCTCGTCCAAAGAACCATGCCATCTTTGCATGAACACTTCGTTGAATCTGATATCCAACTTTCCGTTTCATCACTTCCATGGTTTTTGAGTCTTTACATCAATTCTATGCCACTCGTCTTTGCATTTAGGATTATCGATTGCTTTGTGGCATTCGGACCAAGAGTTCTTTTCCAAGTCGGTCTCGCAGCCCTTAAAGTCAACTACGCTAAGCTTATCGATGCGACTGACGATGGAATGGTCTTGAAGTGGGTATAAACCTTCGAATTTTCTAAATTCTAACATTATGATAGTATATTCAGAGATTACTTCGCTAGTCTTGAAGAACCAGTACAGCCAAACTCAACCGATCCAAAGGTACTCAACATTACGAACTTTTCAGAACTCCTAGTCGTTGCATTCAGAGAGGTGAGTTGTGATAATTACTGTTGTGAAATGGTCTTTAAACGTAATCACAGTTCAGTGTTATCACCGATGACACTATCATTGAAGAGAGGAGAAGATTCAGGGCTGGTATTGTGAAATCCATCGAGTTGTTCTCAAAGCGCTCAGCTATACGTAACCTGAAAGACCAGGCCAGGTTCGGACCTGATGGAGTGAATAAAATCTTTGATCACTTCTTCTATGCTTTATGTAAAACACCAACGCCTTTGGCAGCATTACCACCATCAACCCCATCGAAATTACGCGAAAATGAAGAACTTTCAGATAGAACTGAAACAGTAATTGATTTGGCTACTTTTAGGGTTTTCTTATCTGATATTGCGACATGGGCTCGTGATGAAAAAATCATCAACAACGGCTTCCAAGAGCGTATTGTACGTTCAGTTCCTGAAAATGAAATATACAGGAAGTTATTCAAGAGCTGGGACTACACTGGACGTGATGCACTCGGTTTACAGGATCTCGTGAGGGGGTTAGACAGCGTTATGTTCAATGGATTGCTCGATAACATTGAATGGTTTTTCAATCTACATGATTCAGATAATGACGGTTACCTCACTAAAGATGAGCTAGTACAGCTCTCTGAGAGTCTCTTAGTGAGTGTCTCATTCCTGAAGTTTTTACTCTAACGCAATACAGTTTATATTCCGTGCTGAACCTGGCGACGCTTACCTCGGAGCAGTCAGTAAATTCATGACGAATGCTTTCGAATATGCCGATAGCCTCATTGAACAACCACAAGCAGTTAAAGAAACGAACAAAAACGATGAACCAAGTCAAAAAGATCCTCTAAGCGCGACAGAGGTATCTGACAACTGTGTGCCTGGATCACCTCAGGTTAGCAACCATGAGTGGGTAGAACGTCTGTGAGGATAATCCTTTCTAATGACCTTACAGTCCATACATTAATTTGGCCACATTCAGAATGGTCTGTCTGGCAGATGAACTCCTCGAAGCCTTCTTCGATACAGATCTCAGACAGAGTTTCAAATTCGAAGACGTACCTCAATCTGCTATTGACCAACCACTTATCGACTTGTCAACATTAGACGACATTGGCATTGGCAGTACGGGTTTGGTAGGTAACATCCTTGGTGGGATATTTAGCAAGGATAATAAGGAAATATTGAATGGTATAGCGGACGAAATTGGTAAATCTATTGGTAAACATCAAGTAATCTACAGACCATCATTCGGTAGAGTCAATAGCGAGGTTGAGATTGAGGAAAAGAGGAGACCAGCACCTGAAGAGAAGGACAGTAGTATTGTCAGTGGAGTGGCAAATCTCTTGTCATCGACACCATCATGGTTCAGCAGGTCGAGATCCGATATCGGACAAGCGGAAGAACAAGAAATGGAAGAGAAGACAAGGAAGCCAGAAGAGACATCCCTACTTAGTCAGGGCGATCAGAACAATGGTGAATCACACCTCGCATCTATCAAAGCAGCACAAGAGGCACTCGCCAATCGTCAAGCATTCGCAATTGACCAACGCGAAGATGATGATGAAGACTTCGATGAATCCCTTAATGATGATGAAGAAGCAGGTGGTGAATTCGCAATTGGTAGTGATGAAGATGATGACATGATCGACGAAGTTGATGCTATTGAGCTTGATGATCAGCATGCAATAGTTGCAGAGGAAGCTGAGAAGATTTTGAATGCACCAGTAGACAAAGACCAAAGAATTTAAAAAAATGATAATAATATCTTGTACATGACTGCTTTGTAATGATGGACTATAATTACATATATTTACTTTTTTCATCTTCCTAGACCTTTTGGACATTTCTTGGGTGCGTTGGTGGATGCTGAGGAGGTATTACCATCCCACTTCTTGTCATTGACCTGCTCCCATTCTGCAAGAAGTAGTGCGTTGTGTGCCTTCTCCTGCTTATCCATTATTCTCGCCTCCTGTGGCATCTCATCAGGGAAGTACTCCTGGTGTACAGGATGATCATATGCTGGATTATAGAGGTAGTCCTTCCCATAGTTGAGATCTTTCATTAGCCTCGTTGGAGCATTACGGAGGTGCAAGGGAACAGGATATTGTGGGAACATTTTGACAGCCGCGACTGCCTTGTTGTATGCCTCATAACTCCTGGTCGATTTTGGTGCTTCAGCGAGATATACACAACAATGTGCGAGGTTAATTCTACATTCAGGCATGCCTATAACTTGACAAGCTTGGTATGTTGCCGTCGCAAGCGTCAGCGCATAGCTATCAGCCATGCCAATATCCTCTGAAGCCACTACAACCATTCTGCGACAAACGTAGAGGGGGTCTTCACCAGCCTCAAGCATCCTCGCCAACCAATAAACAGAAGCATTAACATCGGATCCTCTGAGTGATTTGTGAAATGCGCTTATAGAATCGTAATGGAAATCGCCATCACGGTCATACTTTAAAACTATAGATCTTTTGAGACTGCCCATGAGGTCCTGCTTCGTTAGGGGTTTTGCAGAAGATGACGCACGACGAATTTCGACTGAGCGTAGAACCATCTCAAGACTATTCAAAGCGACGCGTCCATCACCATCACTTATACTTGCCAAATACCTTACAAAATCGTCATCAACGAGCGCGTTTATGTCATAACCCTCGTTGGCGACTTTCCAATGTGTGAGAGCATTGCTGAGCATCCGCGTGAGCGCTTCCATTGTCAGTTTCTCAAGTTTGTAAATTTGACATCGTGATAAGAGCGCATTGTTGATTTTGAAAGAGGGATTCTCGGTTGTCGCACCAATTAAGACACACGCTCCGCTTTCAATATGCGGTCTACGTGGACTGTAAGCAAGACCTATGATTAAAGATACTGACCCACAGAAAAATATCCTGTTGTAGTTTCGAATAGCGATGTAATTCATCGACAAAGATAATAGTACGCGTTCCAGAAACCTGCAGCGTCGCTTTCGCCTGGTCAAGTATTTGTTTTGCTTCATTAACGCCCGTGTTCGTCGCGGAAATCTCTTTCAACTTCGCTCTACTGGTTTTTGCAATAATACGTGCGAGTGTTGTTTTACCAGACCCAGGTGGACCCCATAATAATGAACTCGATATTGTATCATTCACTATCATATCACGAAGTATACCATTCTCGCCCATCAAGTCGTCCTGTCCGACGTAGCCATCGAGTGTATTCGGTCGCACTTTCTCAGCGAGAGGCTGGGCTTTCTGAAGGTTTCCTTGACTATTCGATTGACTTTGTTGGAATATTGGTGCGGGTGGAATGTCTTTCTTTTTAACCTTCTTGTTTTGTGAAGTTGATATTATATCCAGATCGCTGTCATCAGATGCTGGAGATGCGAATGCAGTCTTGCTAGTTGACGCTGTTGTAGTAGACTTACGTTTCTTGTTCGCTTTACTCGATGGCGTCTGGTTATTGTTCATGAAACCCCAAGCGTTGTTATGCGATTTGTTGACTTTCTGAGGAGATTTACAGCCTCTATCTAAATGCTGGTTTATATCTCCGCTACTCATCTTCTTAGAGCAGGCTGGACATTCAACTGACGCATCTCTCGACATCATCGTCATAGAACGAGATAGACGCAAATAAATAGATATAATTATAAAAATGCATACAATATTCATTTTATACGGAAGAATGTCATACCAGATTTGGCTATTTCTGCCTCGTGCAATAGTCTTTCGTCATCTTCACGAGTGTAGATTTTGTCTTTGTCTATTTTGCTAACATCTGTGTTTGCTGCTTTGTAGAGATCCTGGAAAGCGAGTCGACGCTGGTTGAGTTCAAGCGACGGACGCGGATCTGAATGTGGGCTTATTATCACAAGTGCCGTGTTCGGTTTGAGGGCGTCATGTAACCTTTTTATCCGCTCATTGAGCGCTTGGTAGGCAGAATCAAGTGGCGCACTCTGGATAGTGTTGTCTGAATCTCCGCGCGTTGTCTCTTTGTCATTAGATGTGTTGCTCCATCCGAGCGCTATTTGTAATTCAGTAAGACGACCGTACACAAGATCATGATCTTGAGCTGTTTTTATTATCCCATCTATCACCTCGTCGTCATTCTTGCATGAAATACTCGTCTTAGCTTTCATACCATGGAACTGGGCGGGATTACCATAGTCTACGCAAGCACCCACTTTGTGATCCTCATTTGTGTCTGCTAGATGTGACTGCTTCACCCGTGCAATCCTTGCGAATATAGACTCCATGTCGTTCGGTAAACTACCGAAATTCCGACCGTATTGGATCTTCTTCCTCAGTAATTCGAGACAACTCTTGGCGTCTTCTTCTGGATCGTGTCCATCATTTCCACTTTGGATGTCTTTGTCGCACCATTTCTTCATCAACCATTTCAAAGAAGGTTTGAATGGCATCCTACGAGGGTGCTCATACACCAACGCGGTATCGATAACCCAGGGATGACGAAGTTTTATAGCCTTAAAGTCAGACTCAAGTGAATGACCGAGTAGGATTGTCGATGGTGTAATAAAATCTGCGAATTTCCTCTGTGCTTCCTCATGATTCAATACTGCACCGTCTAAGATTTCGCGAGTAATACCAGAGTATTTTGAAAGATAGTCAACTACATTCCCAGCTGGCTTGACCAATTCATCGAGGACCTTTTGGGATGTTGCATAATCTATAAGAGTGACCCTAGCTAATTCCGAGCCTTGGTCTGTCATAACCATCTCACAATCTAAACCATATACTTGTGGATTGTTTGAACGTGGATATATATCCAATTTTGGAGTTTCGAGCCAACCATCTTCTTGTATAGTAGTGCGATGTTCAACTGGGAGATTATCTAACGGTTGTGGGTCTTCGATCCCATCATTTAAAGGTAAAGGATAATCTGGGAGTGCTCGCACGTCGTCGCCCAGCCAAGATGGCATAGGATAGGCATTTTCACGCATCTGATCAATATCGATGAGGAATACTGGCGGAGACAGCTTCCCTGGGTTGGAGAGGTTGACACCAGCCTTCTCTTGTGCTACTTTCTGCTGTCTGAGCTTCTCAGGTGGTGGAATTGGTGAATTGAGGATATGTTGAGCAGGAGAATAGAGACGTTGACTATCACCTGGAGCTCTGACAGGAAGACCATGTGAGTATAACTGATTGATAATTGGAAGTTTGTTGGCCTCTGCATCCTCTGCTGATAAGGAGAACGGATGAGTAGCATTTATCGCAGGCTTATTGATACCTAGACTTTCGCTCGTGATTCCAGATACCATGAGTACCACGGTGTGCTGTATGTTGGAGTGATGGATGACGTTCATCCAGTTCTTCTTCTGGCCATCTGCAGCTAAATGCAATACCAAGTCACGTATATCCTATGATAGTGTGAGAAATGAGAGTGTATGAATGAGCAATTACTAACATGTATACCATATCTATTGTTGCGCTTACTTATTTGGTTCAAGTCGAAAGACATGGTCGGTTTGTTAGTACTGAGTGCAGCTGCATGAGATTTCTTCTGCTTCTTCTGCTGTCTTTTCGTCTGTTTGAAATCTGTAGAATCCTCTTTTTCAGACAAATCAAGCTCTCTTTTATGAGCGTTATTGCTCATATGGCTGTAGAAGTAGAACGTCCAACTGTTATCAGCTCAAATGAGCGACGACGCCAGAAAATCTTTAAATTTGGCATTGAGCTATTACGATAAAGGTAATTTACAATCTGCACTCAAATTCGCCAAGAAGTCTATACGTATTGAGCGTATACAGCAAGCTATTGATTTGATTGACGATATCGAGAAGAAACTCGCGAATGGAGAGACCGGTACATCTACAGCCTCATCTGCTCAGCCTAACAAGGATAACTTACGCAATAGACAAGAAAAACCACAGCCAAAAGAGGAACCCAGCAAGGGTTGGACACCAGCTCAGCAGACACTAGTCAAGCGTGTAAGGAGCTGCAAGCCAACTGCTTATTATGAAATATTAGCACTAGAGAAGACTTGTTCTGATAACGATATCAAGAAAGCCTACAGGAAACTCGCACTTCAACTACATCCAGACAAGAATTCGGCCCCAGGTGCAGACGAAGCTTTCAAGTTAGTTAGTAAAGCATTCCAGGTTCTCTCAGATGAAGACAAGCGTGCTTCTTATGACAAATTCGGTTCAGATCCTGATGCCAGATTCGGATCTGGTGGTGGAGGCGGAGACCCATTCGCAGGTATGAGAACGCGTAGTGCAGCTGGTCCTCAATTCGAGTCCGAGGTCAGTCCTGAAGATTTATTCAATATGTTCTTTGGCGGTGGAATGGGTGGAATGGGTGGTGGTCCATTTGGTGGAAATGCCTTTGGAGGTGGTCCATTTGGTGGAAATGCCTTTGGAGGTGGTCCATTTGCTAGTTCATTTGGTGGACCAGGTGTGTTTTATTTCACCAAGCTGAAATCTACTAACACACAAAGGCTTCTCTATGAGATTCGGTGGACCAGGAATGAATAGTTTCCCTAATACCCGTAGATATCCTAGACAACAGCAAGCACAACCTCAAAGTATGATGCAACAATTACTTCCAATATTGATCCTCATAGGTTTCACAATGATAAGTTACCTACCATCTCTTCTAGGCTCTTTGTTCAGCGTACCACCTCCAGCATTCTCACTTGACAAAACTGTATTCTACTCACTGGAAAAGACAACGGGATCACCACACAATGTAAAGTACTTTGTTAACCCATCTCAGTGGAGGGACCACCCCTACTCGCAGAACAAAGAAGTGCCTCAGACATTTAGCAAGGAAGTTGAAAAGCTGTTAGCCCAGAGGCTAGGCAGGAAGTGCAAATACTGGCTACAAGATAGAGATAGGAGAATAGAAAGATACTCTGGTTTCTTCGGAATTGGAAAAGATGATGAAAAACTAGAAAAAGTCTATAAAGAGACGAATGAAAATTGTAACAGGTTGAGAGAACTTGGATACTCTGTCAACTTGTACTAATTTGCTATTATTCTATGTCAAACATTTTTCATCAGTATATGACGATGTGTGACGGGCTTTCCTTATTAGAAAAATAGAGATGAAACAAGAACCGCATATGTCCTCAAAGCGTGTGATAAGAATGCATTGACAGTCTCAAATTTAGATGCACCCCACCGAAAAGTGCATCTTCCCACAATACGACCATCTCCACATGGAGGAGAAATACTCAATAACGAGAGTAAATATACTCGGAAGTGATTCTATACACTGTGGTTTCCACTTGTCAGAGTACATCGCTCATAAGATCTCTACATCTCTCAAATCATCCGCCTATGTCTTTATCACAGATACAAACATCGAGAAGTTACACCTCAAAAACCTTAAAAATGACTTGAAAAAATCGTTAGATAGCACTCAAAACGCTGCAAAGATCCTGAGCTACGTCGTACCCCCAGGAGAGTCCTCGAAATCCCGAGCTGTAAAGGAGCAAATTGAGGACTGGATGTTCAGCCACAGGTTGACAAGAGACACCGTAGTAATAGCCCTTGGTGGTGGTGTTGTCGGTATGTGCTTTACCTTCTGTATGACTCACTTCTCATGCTTCGACAGGTGATCTCACTGGCTTCTTAGCAGCAACATATATGCGCGGTGTCCCATTCGTGCAAATTCCTACGACTTTGTTAGCCATGGTCGATAGCTCTGTTGGTGGAAAGACTGCAATCGACGTTCCAGCAGGAAAAAACCTCGTTGGTGCTTTCTGGCAGCCAAAATTCATCTTTATCGATGTAGCAATGCTTGAGACTCTCCCACAAAGAGAAGTCAGCAATGGTATGGCCGAAGTTATCAAGACAGCCGCTATCTGGAACGCCGAGGAGTTTACGGATTTAGAAAATAATGCAGCGGCTATACTTTCAGCTGTCTCAAAACCTTCATCAACAGCTCAGCAAAAGCACGTCGGCAGACACATCTCAAATCGTTCAGCTGAACAATCACTCATCTTGAAGGTTATCAGTGGTTCAATCGGCGTTAAAGCACATGTAGTTACCGTCGATGAACGTGAAACAGGATTGAGAAATCTCGTCAACTTTGGTCACTCAATTGGTCATGCTATCGAAGCAATCGTTGCACCTGAAGTCCTTCATGGTGAATGTGTCTCTGTAGGAATGGTCTTGGAAGCAGAAGTTTCTAGAGCTTTGGGTCATCTTTCTCAAGTTGCAGTTGGCAGAATCTCACGCTGTCTTAAAGCCTACAATTTGCCTACCAGCACATCAGAAGCCCTCTTCACTCGTTTGCCAAAATCAGCAAACATTACTGTTGATCGCTTGATTGAAATCATGGCAGTCGATAAGAAGAACGCTGGAAGCAACAAGAAGATCGTCTTGCTCGGAAGCGTTGGAAGCACAGTCGAACAGAAAGCTTCCATTGTAAAGGATGACCTTATTAGACGTGTTTTGTCGTCTGCAGTTCGCGTCGAGGCTGGAAAGCCACCAAATCATTTCACACTCTCCACTCCTGGTTCAAAGAGTATTAGTAACAGAGTCATGGTTCTCGCTGCTCTTGGAAAAGGTACCGTTAAAATTCGCAACCTTTTACACTCCGATGATACCAAAGTAATGATGTCCGCATTGAACGACCTTCAAGGTGCCAAATTCGCATTCGAGGATGGTGGTGATACACTCGTCATTACTGGTGGTGAAGGAAAGCTCAGTCCACCAGATGATGGCAAGCAAGTATATCTCCAGAATGCAGGTACAGCAGCCAGATTCTTAACCACTGTTTGCACACTCGTAAAGCCATCCTCGAAGCAGCAATCAACGATCATTACTGGTAACGCACGTATGAAGCAACGTCCAATCGGTCCGTTGGTCGATGCCCTTCGTAGCAACGGCTCCCAAATTGAATATCTTGAGAGTGAGGGCGCATTACCATTACATATCGCTAGCAAGGACAGCGGTTTGGCAGGAGGTCACATCAGACTTGCTGCAAGCGTTTCATCACAATATGTCTCATCTATCTTGTTGTGTGCTCCATATGCCAGTGAAGCCATCACTCTTGAGTTGGTCGGTGGACAGGTCATCTCACAGCCATATATCGACATGACGATCGCTATGATGAAAGACTTTGGCGTAAATGTAGAACGTGTCAAGGATGAAAGCGGAAAACTACTTGACATGTACAAAATCCCAAAGACTAGCTACACTAATCCAGCTGAGTACAACGTCGAAAGTGATGCATCAAGTGCGACATACCCAGCTGCTATCGCCGCACTCACAGGAACGACTGTTACAATTAAGAACATTGGTAGTGAAAGTTTACAAGGTGACGCTGGATTCGCCAAGAACGTTCTCGAGCCAATGGGTTGCAAGGTTATCCAAGATAAATCAGAGACAACAGTCACTGGTCCAACTGATCAGCCACTTAGAGCCCTCGGTGATATCGATATGGAAACGATGACAGATGCTTTCCTTACCGCTTGCTGTGTTCTTGCTGTTGCAACTGGCGAACCTCTCTCTGGGAAGAAGAGAACAGGAAATGGAACGCGTATTTACGGTATTGCTAACCAACGTCAAAAGGTATGTGTTAAATTTATTACCTGCTAAGCTGATTAACAAATTCGAAGGAATGTGAACGTATTCAAGCCATGGCTGATGAACTTGCCAAATTCGGTATCAAGACCGAGCAAGATCCAGACTCTATTACAGTTTTCCCAAGGCCGGCTGATGAACTTAACACTGAAGTTGTCGTACATTGCTATGATGACCACCGTGTTGCTCTTGCTTTCTCTTGTCTCGCCCAGAGAGTTGCAGGTACAGTCTTGGATGAGAAACGCTGTGTTGAAAAGACCTGGCCAAATTGGTGGGATGACTTGCAAAATAAGGTGAGTGAAGCATCTGTCATTAAATTTCGCTCAAAATTTTCAGATTGGCATCCCTGTCAGCGGTGTCGATGCCCATCCGGTTGCTGGTCCACCATCCCCTAAACTGGCGCCAGTTCCTGCGGCTGCTCCTTCTGGTGCTTATATTCCAGATGCTTCCATCTTTATTGTTGGTATGCGCGGTAGCGGTAAGACAACAGTCGGTAAATTAGCAGCTGGCACTCTCGGTAGAAATTTCTTGGATGCAGATGCCCTTCTTGAAGAGGAGACTAAGGTTACCGTCTACAACTACGTTCAGCAATTCGGCTGGGAGGAATTCAGAAAGGCTGAACTCAAAGTTTTGAAGAAGCTCATTGAGAAGCATGCTCAGGGCTACATTATATCGCTCGGCGGTGGTGTTGTTGAGACTGAAGAAGCCAGAGAATTGCTCAAGGCTTACGCTAATGACAAAGAAGGTGGACCGGTAGTCTATGTTGAGAGAAGTGAGGATGAGATAGTCAACTACTTGCAACTTGAAAAAGATAGACCAGCTTATGCTACTGGTGACGAAGTCAAAGACGTCATTAAGCGTCGTAAACCATGGTTTTCAGAATGCGCAACACACAGATTCATTAACCATCTCAATTTACAAGCTCAAGTAAATGAATTACTTTCAGGTAAACAAGTTGACCTATCCTCTAAATTATTACGCTCCGAAGTTCGTGAAATTAAGCGTTTCTTCAACTTCATATCGGGTGAAGATCTTAATCAAATTGACGTCGATGCAAGAAGAACCTACTTCCTCTCCCTCACTTACCCGGACATTCTTGAGGCTTTACCAATTATGGACCAGCTTAGCGCTGGTATTGATGCCCTCGAGGTGCGTGTTGACCTACTCTCAGAGGATGGTAAGGCACCTACAGTACCTAGCGTCCCATCAGCAGATTACGTATCAGCTCAATTGTCAGCACTCAGACAATGTACTTCATTGCCAATTATCTACACCGTCAGAACCCATTCACAAGGCGGTATGATACCAGATGAGAAATTTGAAGATATCGCAGCTCTCATTGAATTAGGTATAGCTTTAGGCTCTGAATTCATAGACGTGGAGCTGAATCTCCCTGACTCACTCATCGACGATGTCGTTAAACGTAAGGGTAACTCAAAGATCATTGCTTCTATGCATGACTTCCCTGGTAACTACAAATGGGATTCTACTGAGATGAGCCAGAAGTACAGCCAAGGCGCAAAATATGGGGACGTTGTTAAATTAGTAGGTCGTGCCAACAGCCTCGAAGATAATTTTGAAACCTCCAAATTTTTGAGCAAATTGCCTGCATCACCTCCAGTATTGGCATTTAACGTTGGAGTAATTGGACAGCTTAGCAGAATTCAGAACTATGTTCTTACACCTGTAACTCATGAGTTACTGCCGTCCAAAGCTGCCCCTGGTCAGCTTTCTTTCAAGGAGATACAACAAGCGCTCAACCTTACTGGACAATTAGACAGCAAAAAGTTCTACTTATTCGGATGTCCTATTCAACAATCTCAATCGCCTACACTTCACAACACTGGCTTCCAACAGCTTGGTTTGCCGTATGTCTACTCCCTCCACGAAAGAGAACAACTTGATGGCTCAGTTGATCAAATACTCGAGAGTCCAGACTTCGGTGGTGCCTCTGTCACTATCCCTCACAAAGTTGGCATCTTGAACAAAATCCATACTTTGTCAATGCCAGCAAAGGCAATCGGTGCAGTCAACACAATCGTAGTCAGAGAAGATGTAAATGGAAAGAGAGAGCTTTTCGGAGATAACACCGATTGGCAAGCCATTAAATCCTGTGCTCAATCTTCTGTTGACGGAAGTGATCCAATTACGAAGGAATCAGCAGGTTTGGTAATCGGAGCAGGTGGTACGTGTCGCGCTGCACTTTATGCTTTGCATGCACTTGGATGTGGCACTATTTATTTATATAATCGCACAAAAGAGAATGCAGAAAACGTAACGAAAGATTTCCCTACTTTCAACATTCAAGTACTTGACAACCTGAACAACGTGGTAGAGAAGCCACAAATAATTGTCTCATGTATTCCAGCATCCGCCACTACAATTGAAGAAGGTAGCGGCGATGGAATATACCTCCCAAAGACAATATTCGGACGTCAATCGGGAGTCGTGATTGATATGTCATACAAACCGCTTAAGACACCACTTTTGAGGCTCAGTGAGGAAGCCAATGGATGGGTGGGTGTACCAGGTGCTACTATCCTCCTTGAGCAAGGTTTCGCACAATTCAAATTATGGACTGGCAGACAACCAGGTAGGAAAGGCGTTGAAAAGGTGAATAGATAGTTAATTACTTAACAATAATACTTATTCATATTATAGGCTGTCTGGCAAAGATACTTGGAGACTGCATAAACGCACTTTATTTCTTTTGAACTTAAGAATTTTGATTTGTTTGAATTAAGAAGTAATTAATTATTAAAGAGTGTTATATAACAAAACTAAAAATCTCATTGTTGTCATCCCCAGATCGAAAGCTGCTTCATCGTCGACAGCCATCTGAATGTCTGGAGAGAGTGAGATTCTCGGTAAAAAAGAGTGATATAGCTTATATTTTATAGTAGATTACAAAGAAATAGAAGAGGATAAACGATCTGTGAGTATCCTTTTCGGCTTTACTGAGAAATCTAACAAAGATGATAACAGAATGGATCTAGTGACGCAGAGGGTGAATCAGATACGCAAGTAAATCAATTTAAAGATGATGAATTCATTGAAGATGATCCGTCTCTATCCTCAAAGCTAGAGAACGAGAAAATAGACTTGAGCTACGTTGATCCTGATTTATACGGTCTAAGAAGATCGGGAAGATCATCTAAAACTCAATCGGTTGATCCAACTTACCTTGATGAATTTATTGACGATGATGAGGATGATTACTCTGACGCACCGAAAAGGAAGTCAAGAAAGCCTACGAGAAGACAGCCGAGGAAAGGTACACCGTCACTCTTTTATACTCTACAACTACTAATGCCCCTTTAGAAGCTCCTCCACCACGTTTTGACGAAAGCTCTGAAGATGAGTATTTCACCTCGGCTACTTCCAAGAAACGACAAAGAAACCAACGGCGCGCACAATCCAGCGATGAAGAAGAAGAAGAAAGCTTTGATGAGGACGATGACCCTGGCGCTTTTAGAGCTTCCTCAAGGGGCAATGGCGTGACAAATTACAATGAAGAACTCATGGCTGGTTTTGAGACAGACGAGAGTGAACGCATGGAGGCTGAAATCGTGCCAGCCGTAGAGCCAAAAGTTGGTGAAAGACCACCTGAGTTCGAAATTGAAACTGTTTTCGGTCATTCAAGGGACGCAACTAATGCACCGGACGTTGATGATGATCCATTTGAAAATATACGCTTCCATATTAAATGGAGAGGCTTCTCACATCACCATAACACCGATGAAACTTATGAATTCTTGAAACGTTGCAAGGGTATCAAGAGAGTTGACAATTACATTAAGAATATTTACAACTATCAACATGATATTACTGTCAACCGTGACCATAATAAAGAAGACTATGAAATTGTAGAGATGGAAAAGGAAAGGCTGAAGGATTTGGTTGAAATGTACAGAAAAGTAGAACGTATACTCGATCAAAGGGATAGTGGTACTACTACTGAATATTTCTGCAAATGGACTGGTTTGCAATATTCTGAATGTACTTGGGAGAAACATGACGATGTTAGTCAATATGCACCTGAACAAATAGACGCCTATCTACTTAGAACTGCATCAACTACCGTACCAAACAGATCTGCAAATTACAACAGATCAAGACCAGCTTTCAGAACTCTAATGGAGTCACCTGATTATATTCAAGTAACTGGTGGTGAATTACTCGATTATCAAATGACAGGTTTGAATTGGTTAGCATATCTCTGGTCAAGAATGGAATCTGGTATTCTAGCAGATGAGATGGGTCTTGGTAAAACCGTTCAATCTATCGCATGGATTTCATGGCTCTTCCATGAAAGACAACAATATGGTCCTTTCTTGGTAGTCGTACCTTTGTCAACAATACCAGCTTGGCAAGCTCAATTCATGAAGTGGGCTCCAGATATTAATGTTGTTTGTTACAATGGTTCTGGTAAATCTCGTGAAGTTATTAGAGAATACGAATTTGGTGATTACAAGAAACTCAAATTTAATGTCTTACTTACTACTTACGAATTCTGCTTAAAAGATCGTGCCGAGTTAGGTCAAATGAGATGGCAAGCTTTGTTAGTTGATGAAGCTCATCGTTTGAAAAATTCCGAATCACAGCTATATGAAACACTTTTCAGCTTTGTTACGAACTCCAAGTTGTTGATCACTGGTACACCACTACAAAACAATGTCAAGGAACTTTCAGCATTAATGCATTTCTTAATGCCTGAAAGATATTCAATCACTGGTGATTTTGAATTGACTGATGAAGATCGTGAGGAGAAGATTGGACAGCTGCATGATCAATTGAAGAACATTATGTTGAGAAGATTAAAGAGGGATGTAATCAAATCTTTACCAACGAAATCTGAACGTATCTTACGTGTTGAATTGTCTAGTTTGCAAACACATTACTATCGTAACATTCTTACGAAGAATTTCACAGCATTGAAGAGCTCAGAAGGTGGCGGACCTGCAATGTCAATGATGAATATTGCAAATGATTTGAGAAAAGCTTCAAACCACCCATATCTCTTTGATGGTGCCGAAGGTTCAATAAATGCTAAAGATGAAGTACTCAGAGGTATAGTCATGAACTCTGGTAAAATGGTTCTTCTCGATAAATTGCTTGCAAGACTCAAAGCTGATGGTCATCGTGTATTGATTTTCTCTCAAATGGTCCGCATGCTTGATATCATTTCGGATTATCTTTCATTACGTGGCTACATGCATCAAAGATTAGATGGTACAATTCCATCAGAACAACGTAGGAAAGCTATCAATCACTTCAACGCTGAGAATTCACCTGACTTTGCGTTCATTTTATCAACAAGAGCTGGTGGTTTAGGTATTGACTTGCAAACAGCCAACACCGTCATTATTTTCGACAGTGATTGGAACCCACAAAACGATCTCCAAGCTATGGCTAGAGCTCATAGAATTGGTCAGAAATCACATGTCAGTATTTATAGATTTGTCAGTAAAGATACTATGGAGGAGGATATTCTTGAACGTGCAAAGAGGAAGATGGTTTTGGAATATGCTATTATTAATCAGGTTGACACCTCAGGTAAAAACATCGGTCAACCGAAATCAGCTAAACAGCAACCTGATAATTTCTCAAGAGAAGAACTCTCTGCTATTTTGAAATTCGGTGCACAGAATATGTTTAAGACTGACGACAAAGAGCAAAATAAGAAACTTGCTGAACTTAATCTTGACGACCTGCTTGCTCGTGCTGAAGACCTAGAGAGTGACAAAGCTGTTGGTGGTTCATCACTTGGTGGTCAGGACTTCTTGCAACAATTCCAAGTTCAAGATGTCAAAAATGACACTAGTTGTGAGTGATATGAGCTGATAATTGTCTATTACTAACAATCACCCCAGGGGAGGATATCATTCCTGCTGAAGAACGTGACAAGCTCGACGATGAACAGAAGGAAGAACTCAAAAAGCAAACCGAGGCGGAATTACAAGAACAATTCGGTAAAAGAGCTGCATCTAAAGTACAACCGGGTACCTACAAAACTGGTGATGCACCATCGCCGAAAAAGAAAGAAGCACCAGTCGTACAAAAGAAAACAACAGCTCAACGTGCCATTGAACTCAAGGAACGCGATTTACGTAATCTCATTCGTGGTATAACCAGATTTGGTGATATTAGAGTTCGTATGGATGATATCGTCAAGGATAGCAAGCTTGAAGGAAAGAACAGAACGGTACTTATCAAAACGTCTGATGAACTTCTTCATAAGTGCAAAGAGGCTATTAATGAGCATAACGCTGAGTTAAGAGCGCGTGCAAGTGCTGGTGAAAGTATCACCCAGAATGATAGACAGAAGGCTGTCCTTATCGACTTCAAGAATATTAGTGGTGTCAACTCCTACACAACTTACACTCGCTATAAAGAGTTAAGCTTCCTCCATGATGTTCTCAGCGGCGTTGGTAATTCTTTGAATTGGCGTCTGCCTATAGACAAATTAAAATCTGTCATTGGTTGGGCTTGCGAGTAAGTGAATTGATTTAAGTAGTACAATTACTAACAATATGTCAGTTGGAGTGCCAAAGATGATGCTATGCTTTTAATTGGATGCTGGCGTCACGGTTTAGGTGAGTATGGCGTGTCTTTGACATGAAAATATTGAGACATACATAGGCAACTGGGACACCATCTCTAATGATGAAGATTTGGGTTTGCAAGGAAAATTATTCTTAGAGGAAGGTAGAGGAAAGACCAAAAAAGAAGACAAGAAGATACCAAATGCCGTACATCTTGTTCGTAGAAGTGATTACTTATTGGGTGAATTAAAGAAAGCACTCGAGAAGGAATACAATGCAAAGGAACACTCTCACCCATCTGGAACACCTCAAAATACATATGCGCATGGCCATGGCAGCAAACCAGTCAAGTCATCTCGTACTTCACCATCGCACAACAAGAAAAAGGAAGACCAACGTGAGTAACTTAGTTGTATGTTGGTATTAACTAACGTATGTTTTCTTTAGACGGAGACAGTGACGATGGTACCGAATCGATGGATGAAGGTATAATGAAGGAACACATGAGACCAGTGAGGAAACAACTGAAATCACTAAAGTATGAAGTAGATACATTAAAGGGACAAGAGAAGTTAAAATTACTGAAAGAATGCCTTCATGCTATTGGTACACGTATTCAAGACTTGATATTAGAATCTAATGATAAGGAGAAAACACGCAAGCACGCGTGGATATTCACGACGCTATTCTGGCCAAAAGAGGTCAAATATACACAATTAATTGAAATCTATCAAAAAATGGTAGGGCAATCAGCGACGACGTCAACTGGCGTGAAGAGACAACATTCGTATGAAAATTCAGAACAGAAAGAACAAGAAATAAAGAAGCCAAGAATGTAATAATATATTTTAGTTTTTTATAATATTTATTCAGATTTTCCTCATAAAATAACGAAAGCTCAAGCGACGCTTTGACTCTACGCTCAAGTCAAGCGAATAGCGATAGAATGGGATCAAACCTCAGTAAGGCATTGAGCAGCCTATGGAAGACAAAAGAATTGCGCTTGTTAATGCTCGGTTTGGATGCCGCAGGAAAGACGACTATTCTTTACAAGTTGAAACTGAATCAGTCAGTGACGACGATACCAACCGTTGGTTTCAATGTAGAAACGGTCACATACAAAAATGTTAAGTTTAATGTTTGGGTGTGTCTACTCTTTCTTGCTATTACTCTTCTAACTTTGTTAGGACGTCGGTGGACAAGACAAGATCAGACCATTATGGAGACATTACTACACCGGTACACAAGGTTTGGTTTTCGTTATCGACTCACAAGACCGCGATAGAATCGATGAGGCTAGACAAGAACTCCATAGAATTCTTGGTGATCGCGAAATGAGGGACTGTCTTCTTCTCGTCTTCGCTAACAAGCAGGATTTACCAGGAGGTGGGTCTACATATAGCTAATACTACCATCATCTCATACAACAAATAGCTATGAGCCCTGCTGAAGTAACGGAGAAATTGGGCTTGCACAAGATGCGTGAGCGTAGCTGGTACGTACATCCATCCTGCGCTACCACGGGTGAGGGTCTATTTGAAGGTGAGCTTTCTATTAACTTCCTGTCACTTGTCTCACGCGTTATAGGTCTCTCTTGGTTATCCACCAACGTCAAAAAGCGTGCACAATAAGCCATCGTTAATACCGTAGATCTAATACTTGCTAATACTTAATTCCTACGTCCGACAAATCTCAAGGATACCCAGCTCACTTAATAACTCTCTCTAAAATATATACGTGGAATACATTATGATTTTGTTAATAATTGTTAGTACCTTCTCGGTAGCATTAATATTGGTGATAATAAAGTAAATTTTAGCAAACATTATATTTCATTTTCACACTCAAAACTGTTATCGTCAATGTAAATGTGTATAAATGCATCGTAATGAAATTTTTGAGGATATATATAATAAAACTATCAACCAAAACGCATAGATTCACCACATCCGCAGGTTTCTGTAACATTTGGGTTATTGAATACGAATTTAGATCTATATAGATGGTCAGCTGGCGCCTAAATCCGACGAATCGCAAAACTTACGACAGCCGGTCATCAACCCAATCCATAGTGCTGCCTATTATCGAAAAGAGAGCTTTTGAATCAACTAACACTTTTACTCCATCTTGTTCGACAACTTCGTCAAATCTCGCAGGTTTATCTACATATTCCAAATGATATGACATTCCTGAGCATCCTTTGTTCTTTACACCAACGCGCAATAATTCTCCCGTTGATGAGCTCAAAAAGCGGAGTTGTTCGACTGCAGCGGGTGACTATGACGTCGGTTAAAATTAGGAGTTGTTAATTAAATTAACCTACGAGTTTGAGTGCAGCTGCTCTAGCTCTCAATCTAGATTTTGGTTTGCTTGGTGAAGGTTCTGGCTCTGGTTTGCTTGTACTGGCTGTACTGCTCTGTTCTGTATCTCTTTCCTTTCCTTTTGAAGAAAGTTGACTAGAAGGAGTTGTATGCCAGCTGTGTCCCTTTGGGGCATCCCATCCGACTTCTGTCGTTGGTTTAGATTGCTTAGTTTCCATCCTTGAAGGTGGCGGAGGTTGATTAGCGTTCAAATGTCCTGGATTTGCTTGGGCGAGTCTTGAATAACATCTGGCAGACCTCAAAGTCATTGTAAGTGGATTATTTGCTTTTATTATTCTGTTCATCTTGACTGTAGCTGTTCAACTTGTGAATCCATGTAAAGCGGAATGAAATCAGAGGTGCAAAAATCATCTGATCGTTTAAATAAAAATATATGCAATTTATTACTATCCATACGAGTTTATTTTAATATCTATCTCTACCAAATATTTCCGTGATTGCGAGATCAGCCAATCAGAAACCAGCTATATCAATTCGAGAGATCTCAGCACCGGATAGTGTACGTGGTGTATTATACGTCACTTTATACTCACGTAAGTCATCTTTGCTGAGTAATTATTGTAGATAATTTTCACTCTCTCGGATTTAATGATATGGGTACCTCCTATCTATAGCGAGGACTTATAGTTACATTTAATCTACACAGCTCAAGACAGCTCTTCGGAAGGCTTTGGAACAGAAATCATAAAAATTTCCCTTCACATACATCTTACATCAGAGTGGCGTAAGACTTAAGCGAGGATACATATTTCAGTCGTTTCTCCCAGAGTATACCTTCATCTGTACTAGAACGTTCAAGGATGACGTGACTTACCTTACAAAGCATCTGCTTATAAATCAAGTCTATTTAATGAAGCATCCGAATGCTTCCTTCTTGAAACAAAACAACTATGACAGCCAAATACCAAGCATTATTCAAGCCAAAGAACTTAGGACAATTGCAATTGCAGCATAGAATAGCCCTTGCTCCACTCACTAGATTAAGAACAAAAGGTGATGGTGTAATTGAAGACTACGTACCAGAGTACTACCAGCAGAGATCAACGAAAGGTGGTTTCTTGATCTCAGAAGCAACCCTCATCGCTAAGGAAGCTGGTTCTGCGTATGGAAAACTCGAACCAGGTTTATGGTCAAACGAACAACTCGAGCAATGGAAGAAGGTCACAAAATCAGTGCATGACAAGGGAGCCTACATTTACTCACAATTATGGGCACTCGGAAGAATTGCCAACCCAGAATTATCAGAAAGGCTTGTTGGACCATCAGCTGGCACTTACCAAGGCAATAAGGTCGAGGAATTGTCAGTTGAAGACATAAAAAGATACGTTAACCACTACAAGCAAGCTGCTATCAACGCAGTAGAGACTGCAGGATTCGATGGTGTTGAGATCCATGCCGCGTATGTTACTACTTTATTTACATTGCACTCTCTAACAACATCTTTAGTAACGGATATCTTATCGATCAATTCACACAAAAATTAACAAACCGTCGTACAGATGAATACTCAGCTGAGAGCTTGAAATTCCCATCAGAAGTACTCGAAGTTGTCGTCAACGCAGTCGGTCAAGAGAGAACTGGTATCAGACTGTCACCATTCAGCACATTCCAAGAAATGCGCGATGAAAACCCATTAGCAACATTCACATCATGGGTTGAGAAAATAGTTAAGACATATCCAAAATTGGCATACATTCACTTTGTCGATGGTACTACACCAGAAGACCAACGTGATGGTAACAAACTCAAGGATATAATCAGGGATGCAGGTATCGCTGTTATCTCGAACAACACCTATAATCTCGATGAAGCTTCAAAGAGAGCTGAAGAGAGAGATGAAATTATTGCATTCGGTAAATATTTCATTGCAAACCCTGATCTTCCAGACAGAGCTGCCAAGGATCTCCCAATCGTTAAAGCCGATGTAAACACCTTCTACGGTGGTGGCAGAAATGGTTACACGGACTACCCATTCTATAAATAACCTTATTGTATTCGTATAGATTTTCTTTTGCTTCTAATTTATGAATGAACTTATAATGTTCATCGTTAGTACACTTCCCTTTCATTACTGTGCTGACGTCATAACTGTGAAGGTAAACAATCACGATAACGGGTGCAGTACATGCTAGCGTGATCGGAGATGACATTCTTTCTTCGCAGCTTAACAGCAGTTGCTATTAAAGAGAAACATAAAAATGGTCAATCAAAAGATCGAAGCTGTCAAAACCGAAGTGAACGATGTGATAGTCATAGGAGCAGGACCACATAGTTTGGCAATCTGCAGTAGAATGCTTGAGAAGAACCCTAGTGCAATTTACACAGATCTCGAGCATGCTCGCCTGAGCTGGCTTAACAAGTACAAGAGATTAAATTACAAACCGAAAGGCTTCAAGAGAAAGCTCGTAAACAATCCTAATGATATGGATGGTCTCTCCGTGCGAGTGTTCGACAAACACGTCAATCAAGGCTGGATGCCACATTGGTATTGCATGTTTGAAAATTTGGAGATACGTTCACTGCGTTCGCCAATGTTCTTTCACAGTTCTCCAAGGGATGTAGACGCATTGTTAGCATACGCATATAGCAATGGCAGACAGAATGAGCTCCAGGATATTCCAGGTGTGGTCGGGAAAGAACTCTCGAAACATGCCAAAAAGCGCCTTGTGAAAACAGGAAAAAGACCAAGTTATGAGGATCCGGTCAATGAAAGGTATGTGTTTATTAAATTTTGCTTGCATCTTGCCAACCACTCTATACAGAAATCGCCAAGATTTTCGTACACCAGGCTCCAAATGTTTCTTTGATTTCTGCCGTGAAGATATACAACAATATTATGGCATAGATAGTCTTGTTCAACAAGCTGACATTGTTAACCTCGAGTACGACTACTTTGATGAGAACATCCCCGACAAAATTTTCAGACTTACTGGTAAAGATGGCCGTCAGACTCTCAGCAAAACTGTAGTGATGGCCATCGGGAACAATACAATAGTTAATCTGCCATCATATCTCGCCGACAAGGTCAAGCCAACGACTGAACATGGTGTTGAAGGCGATGGATGGTGTCACACTTCTTCATTCGCCAGACCTGGCTACGATTTTCCCAACAAGCATTTACGTGCTAAAAGTGACGCACGCCTATTAGTCGTAGGAGGAGGGTGAGTTATGTTTCTAAGATACATCCTTTTTCTGACAACTTCAGTCTAACATCTGCCCAAATTATCGACAAAGCGTACAGAAATGGTATAACTAATATCACATTAATTTGCAGATCACACCTTAAAATGAAACCATTCGATTTCGACACTGAATGGGTGGATAAATTCCAAAATCTTTCCAAAATGATCTTCTGGCGTGAAGATTGCAGACAAATGCGTCACTCTATGATAAGTAAAGCACGCAATGGCGGTAGCGTTAATGCACCATACTACAAGCTCCTCAAAGATCTTGAGAACAAGGGCGTTCTGAAAATCTTAACTTGCACTGAAATAACCGAGGCGAAATACAATGATAGTAGATGGGATGTGAAGGCTACTACTAAAACAGCTATGAGGAGTAGACGCACTAGCAAAGATTCCTCATTTGGTGATATGAAGATGGAAAACCATCAACTCATGTTTGATTATATTGTCAGCGCAACCGGATCAAAAATAGATATCAATGAAGTCGACTTTTTAAAGAAATTCATGAAAGAGAACCCTATTGAAACGACAAACGGACTACCTCACATAACTGAAGACCTCCAGTGGACGTCTGACATACCCCTCTTCGTTATGGGTGGTTTTGCAAGCTTAGAATTAGGGCCATCGTCTTTCAACCTTGGTGGAAGCCGAGATGGTGCGGAAAGGATAGCCAATCGTATGAACGAGATACTAGTGAAACACAACAAAGAATACGAAATACGTCAATCTAAACATAGCGAATACAATGACGATGACCTTCGTTATAAATGGATGGAACGTCTGGCATTAAACAATGGCGGATACTTCGACCTCCTTACAGAAAGTGACGAATAAAATCTCCTCTATCCCTTATTTCATCATGCTATTTTATTACGCTTTATGTATAAAAAATTTCATTCATCTTACAAATAATTGTATGTTTTTGATTTTTAAAAAGACGTAAAAAAGAAATTGTCATAAAGGTTTGTTAAATTCATTCTGGTTTATACCCCTACCTAACGCTGCTGTTGGGAATGCTGCCTTTGGTATCTTGGATCATAGTATGCGTTATTAGAATTAGAAAAACTTCTCACCAGGTTGTTAGGTGGTGCGGCCGCAGCCGGAGGTGGTATCATGTAAGCGGAGTTTGGTGATTGGAAGTTCTTTGAAGGTGTTGGTGGTTGTGATTGATATGCATTCATAGTTGATTGAGGTGGTACTAACGGCACGTAGAGAGTACCCATTCCATCATTGCTACCATATGCATCTATTGGCGTGCCAGCATTGTAGTTATATTGTTGCCTTTGCAAATTAGTATTTGGATCTATAACAACGTTGAGGTTTGAAGATGCTGGCGGCGGAGGTGCTGCTTGTTGTGGGATATACCCTCTAGCTTGGTTCATATATGACTGTGATGCGGCTCGTTCAGCTTGTTCTTGCAAAAACTCCAACTGTGGGTATTGCTGCCAGCTGTTACGCTTTTGATGTCCACCGCCGCTCATCATTGCGCTTCCACCACTTGTATTACGTCTTTCCCATTCCCTCATTGCTTCATCCCTGTTTATGATTGGAGTCATAGAACTGCCACGCCCTAAATTCTCATGTGAAGACATTGCTGCAATCTTTGCCAATTGCGGAGGTATTATATCCATTCCTGAATTACCCCATTGTTTAGTCTGAGGCGGTGGCGGTGGTGGTGGCATAGTAGTTTGGTAGTTGACTAGAAGTAGTTAGTAACATTATTTGATCATGTTATTAAAACCCACCTGGATAGACGTTCTGTTTTTGGTATCTTGGTGACGAATAGGCAGCTGCACCGCCCGGCAATGGCGGTTGTGCTTTGTTAGTGGCAGGTGGTGGTGGTGGCGGGAAAGGATTTCTGTAGGCATTCGCAGCTGCAATCTGAGCAGAAGCTTGTTGACCAAGATAGTTACTCTGTTGAGCCAATTGTTGATTATATGCTTGTGCATTCTGGTATGGACGTGAAGGGGATTTTGATGAGGCTTGTAATCCACCATACGGCCTGACTTGGTCTGTAGGTGTTGGTGGCACACTCGCAGGTGCAACAGCAGGCGGTGCAGTTGGAGTACCTGTCGCGAAATGTTGTATTTGTGATGATGATGGTGACATAGGATTGTTCGAACTTGCATGCAATGTTGAACCTGATGGTGATCCTGATTTGTTTCCTGATGGAAGATTTGGTGGAGTCCAGCTACCTGTAAATTGTTCACCTGTGATGAACGGATGTAATCTTGCTTGCTGAGGTGACCAGCGCTGGGAAACGTTAGTAAGTATACGTAGTTTTCGACATCATAACTCACCTCTATTGGATTCATGTTTAACAAACCCTGTACGAAGTGAATAAAGCTCAATCTATTAGCTTGTTCTTTCTTTAAGTCACTTTCTGATTTAGCCTTTGATGAGCTAACTGGGTATTGTTTGATAATCTCAGGTAAAGTTGAAGCAGAGAAATACTTTTTAGACGGTTGCTCTTGTGTGTTATGCTCTTGTGAATATTTTTCTAATGATTTCAATCTAAATTGACTTTTTCCGAATTCATCGAGATAAGTTTCAAAAAATTCATGCGACTGTTTTCCTGACTGCAACATAAACGACGGAGGTAACCCAAGCATATCAACAATACGAGTTATTTGGTTGTATTCTGAGGTACCTGGAAACAAGGGTAAACCCAAAAATAACTCGACAGCTATACAACCTAATGACCACATATCGATGGCTGAAGAGTAAGGCATACCTAACAAAACTTCAGGCGACCGATAAAAGCGGGACTGGATGTAAGTATAGACTGTTTGCCTCTCATGGCAAGCTGAACCGAAATCAATGATCTTAATTTGAGGAGATTGAAGCGATTTGAGTAGGATATTTTCAGGTTTCAAATCACAGTGTATAAGCCTGGCTTGGTTGAGAATAACAAGTGCGTCTAGCAGTTGAGAAGTAAATACCTTTACCAAGCTGGTGCTGAGACCTCTGAAGCTATTCTGCTTGATAAGCTCGTATAAATTGCTAGAGAGTAATTCAAATACTAAGCAAAGATGCTTGCAGTGTATAAACTGATCCATTAGCCTCAAAATGTGATGATTATCCTGATTATCGAACTGATTATTGAGCAATTCCAATATAGTTACTTCCATCATAGACTGATTAAAATAAGCTGGTTTATTTTTGATAACTTTAATTGCGACTATCTCGCCCGTCGCAACATTCTGACATTTAGCAACTTGACCGAAAGTACCCTGACCGAGGATATCTATAATGAGATAATTGTTTGTGCCGCTACTGCCTCCCCCTAACCAGTCGTTTACGTATAAAATATAGTCGTTATCTTGGTTGTCATAACCCTGATTGTGTACGGGTTTCGATGGTTTAGTGAGCACTCTCCTAGGATTATTTGAAGGCTTATAAGAATACAAGTTATTGCATTTGTTATAGAGCTGACTAAGTTCGAGCGTCAATGATGTAGTTGGATTTGTGTAGGACGGGGGGAGAGATACGCCATCTGGGGGAGCCCTAGTAAAAGACTGCTGGCGCATATTAACATATGGGGAGAGATAAACACTCTCCGGTGATTTATTCATTTCTTTATTATGTTCTTCGAATTGACTCTAGTCACCGTAGCGGGTCTAATAAGTTTACTCAGCTACAGAATGTTTAATAACAAAAAAATTAATTTTAGTTTCAAAGGTAGCATTATCTCTATTAACTATAGCAGCTCTACAGAACGCCTGTCTAGTTTAGTCGCACAGCTCGCCAGCAGATTGACGCTTCGTGAAAATCAACTGAAGCTGATCTATAAAGGATTGGTTATAAGGGATTTCAATAGAACGCTCGATGACTTGAAGATTACAAGTAATGCGACTATTATGGTCTTGGTCACTCAGAAGCTCAACATCGACACCCAGCAGCAATTCATTGCAGATATAGAGAGCATTCTCAACACTCAAGTACTTCCACTAGAACCACAGCTCAAGGAATATGAAGTCACACCTACGGAACAGTCCAAACTCGTCTTACAGGAACTCCTTCTTCAGTCAATCCTCAAACTAGACTCCATGACTCTCCCTTCAGAATTTACAGACGCTAGAAACATCAGAAAGCACTCCATCAAGGCTACACAGTCATTTTTAGATAGACTAGACAGTGCCACAAGCAAAAATTAAATATATTTAGCATTACATCATCATGAATGGTTTCTCTTCTCATTTCCTTTGAGTACTTCACGTAACAACATTGTAGCATATGTACTGCTACCTAGATTGAACGCCATCGAAACTGCGGTGTGTTTTCTTTCACCCTCTACAGTCTCGAGATCTAATCCTAGGAGTTCTTCCTCTGCTGACTTCAACAACTGCTCATCGTCTGACGCATACTGGATGACAGACCACGTAACATCTTTAGGAAGATGTACGATTTTTCGATATCCACCCTCCATTGAGAATTCCTTCTGTGGTCTCCATAACTTCTGATAATCCAGGTGATCCATTTCAAGCATCTCCTTATACTTTTCACCGAGTTTACCAGTAGGGTACAAAACACCATGTCCTGGTAAAGGCATCAAGACATCATATATGCTGTATTTGTCTTCTTCACCTTCTTCTACTCTCTTGACATCTTCACCTGCAGAAACTACATCTCCTGCAACAACTTTGAGTCCGAATGTTCTCATTCTTTCACTGACAACAGAATTCCAGATGTATGATTGATATGCGTGTACGTACATAGTACGCAAATTACGAGGTATTCTGGACAATGCACCAAGGAAATCACGGTTTGATTTGTGGAGGTGTTCGATAATCGCTCTCTCAGCAACCATCTTCCTTGGTAACAACTTGAGTGCTTCCTTGCCATTCTTGTCGTCCAACCACGCCTTTCTTCCTTTCACGCAATCATCATCTTCATTAGGTCTAAGACGTAAAATGCTATCACATGCGCCTTCCCAGTCTGAGTTGAGGAGTAGCCATCCAATATAATGTGTAGGAATCACTGATGTACCGAATCTTTGCATACCTACGTGTTCCGTTAGATAGAACTAGCAAATGAGACAAAACTCACCAAAGTAATTGATGAATCCTCTTTCTGCAAGGACTTTCAATGATGCATTGATCGTATCTTCACCGTCACTTTCGACATCTCTCAAAATAATACCAAATCTGTTACCGTTGAGGTCTCCAAGTGCGAAATTTTCAGACTCGTAGGTTAAATTTCCAATTCTGCAGCCTCTTTCACCTCTCTCTTGGAGTGCCTCCTGGATGGTTCTTCTAACCTTTTTCTTTTCCTTTTGGTTTTCGGTACCTGCGTTATTAACTCTCTTCCAGACATCTTGTAATGTCATATTGCCCCTTTTAATACATAACCTCTGAGTGGTGATACCACGCTTGTCTTTAGTACCTGCTACGTTCATAAGCTTGTCTTTGACTTTTATCATTCTGGATAAGTGATTCACTGCATCTGACGAATCTCTGTTTGATTTTTGCAAAACAAAGTGAATATATGGCTTTTCTTTATCGTAAGGATGTTGCTCTCTACGTGGTCTACCACCTCTACACCACTTAATACTTATTTCTGATGATTGAGTTGAAGACGTTTCAAAACGACCACCTAAAACGGCTCTCAGCAGGTCATGAACTTCCTTTCTAGCTTCTTTGTCATCACCAAGTGGATTTGTCATAACTATTTCATCGGAAGGACCCTTCAAGGTGAGCTCCTTAATCTTTTCTGTTACGGTAGGACCAAGTTTCGGCGTGAGCCTTTCAGTAGCATCTTCTGGCCATGACTATAGATTATATAAGTGAATGGTTTGATATAAAAGCTTACGATTACCTTTACATCCAATTTCTCAGCCTCTAAACGTGCTTTTTCACGTGATTCGACGAGTTCATCCTCTGGGAGGCCAATATCAGTCAATCTGACGACGTTATCCTTCTTGTCAATCTCATTAACAAAGAAATCGGTGAAACGGTGCTTGATGATACCGGATACAGCTGAAACATTTTTGTCCATATATTCGAGTATACCAGCATCTGCTTCTTGAAGGAAAAGTGTCTTTTGTGGTACACCGTAATCATTTCTCAATATTTGTGTAGATGGTGGCAGATTTTGGTCTAATTTGTACTCCTCATAGATCTTCTCTACTTCAGTTTCTGGGAGCTGTGTGTGATCAACCCGTGGCTTCTTTTGTGACTGACTATCATCCAAGTTGCCGTCATTTTCTCTCTTCAAAATTTTGGACATCTTGGTTGTTGACGATCTAGCAGCAATCTTGATTAAGAACCTCGATGGCCAACCAGAGAGAGACAAAAGATTTCGGTTCGTTCGACAGTGAGTTTAGACTTCAATTTACAAGCTTTTCATTAAAAAATCCCTAGTCACCTCTCAATTTAGCTTCCCAGCTGAAGTGAGTAAATTGAGAAGACAATCATTTCGCTGACAAATTCTAGGAGAGGAAAGTACTCGAATACTGGCAAGATATAGACGCTTTCAAAACTCAACTTAAGCACTCAGAAGGCAACCCTACTTTCTCCTTCTACGATGGTCCTCCATTTGCTACCGGTTTGCCGCACTATGGACACTTGTTAGCTGGTACAGTAAAGGATATCGTCACTCGTCACGCTAGCTCGTCTGGCTTCCACGTTCCACGTAGATTCGGTTGGGACTGTCACGGTTTACCTGTCGAGCACGAAATCGACAAAAAGTTAGGTATCACCGGCAGAGAAGACGTCCTCAACATGGGTATAGATAAGTACAACGAGGAATGCAGAGCTATCGTTATGCGTTACTCTTCCGAATGGAGATCCACCGTAGAAAGAATGGGTAGATGGATTGATTTCGAAAATGATTACAAGACCTTAAATACATCATTCATGGAATCAGTTTGGTGGGCATTCGGTGAACTTTTTAAGAAGGACTTGGTATATAGAGGTTTGCGTGTCATGCCTTACTCTACCGCTTGTACCACACCACTCTCAAACTTCGAAGCTGGTCAAGCTTACAAAGATGTCTCAGATCCTGCAGTAGTTGTTTCATTCCCACTGCTAGACGATCCAAAGACTTCTTTCCTCGCATGGACTACCACGCCATGGACCTTGCCAAGCAACCTTGCACTTTGTGTTAACCCAACCCACACTTACCTTAAGATCCATGACGAAGAAAAGGATGCAAACTTCATTATCCATGAGAAACTTCTCACTACTCTCTACAAGGATCCAAAGAAGGCAAAGTTCACCAAACTTGATCAATTCAAGGGTGAACAAATGAAGGGATGGAAGTACGAGCCGTTATTCGACTACTTCGTTGAAGAATACAAAGACAAAGCTTTCAAGATTCTCACAGATGGCTACGTTTCTGCTGATGCTGGTACTGGTATTGTCCACCAAGCACCTGCATTTGGTGATGACGATCACCGTATCGCAATTGCCAATGGCATTATTACCCCTGATCAAATGCCTCCTTGCCCTGTGGATGATAGCGGAAAATACACTGAACGTGTTAGAGACTACGTCGGAGTTCACGTCAAGGAAGCCGACAAGGATATCCAAAAGCATCTCAAGGCTAAAGGTAGACTCATCGTCCAATCAACACTCAAGCACTCTTATCCATTCTGTTGGAGATCTGGTACACCCCTTATTTACAAGGCTATCCCAGTATGGTTCGTTAAGGTTTCGCAAATTACTGACGACCTCATCAAAAACAACGAAGAAACAAGATGGGTACCTGCCAACATCGGTGAAAACAGATTTGGTAATTGGTTACAAAATGCAAGGGACTGGAACGTTTCTAGAAACAGGTATTGGGGTACTCCAATGCCTTTATGGGTTTCTGACGACTACCAAGAAGTAAGTAATTATCTGATAATTCTGAAATGACTAACAATCCTAGGTTGTTGCTATCAGCTCTATTCAACAACTTGAGGAATTGTCAGGTGTCTCCAACATTACTGACATCCACAGGGATAAGATTGATCAAATCACTATCCCATCTAAGCAAGGCAAGGGTGTGCTTAGACGTGTAGATGAAGTCTTCGATTGTTGGTTCGAGAGTGGTTCTATGCCTTACGCCCAAGCTCACTATCCATTTGAAAACAAAGAGCAATTCGAGAAGTCCTTCCCTGCAGACTTCGTTTCAGAAGGTAAGTGATAGTCTTTTCAACAAAAAAACCTTTGCTAAAATTCCCAATAGGTCTCGATCAAACTCGTGGTTGGTTCTATACCTTGCTTGTTCTCGGTACCCACATTCTCGGAAAGGCACCATGGAAGAACCTTATTGTCACAGGTTTAGTTTTGGCTGCCGACGGAAAGAAGATGTCTAAGAGTTTGAAGAACTATCCAGATCCTAACCACATCATCGAGAAGTTCGGTGCAGATGCAGTTAGGTAAGCTGTTCTCAAAACTCACTGTGATATTTTACTAACGATTTTTTAGAATGTTCCTTGTCAACTCTCCAATTGTCAGAGGTGATAACCTTAGATTCAGAGAAGAGGGTGTCAAAGAAGTCGTCTCCAGAGTTTTACTTCCATGGCTCAACTCATTCCGTTTCTTCTTAGGTCAAGCTGCGCTCGCCAAGAAGGAGCAAGGTATTGATTTCAAGTACGACCCATCAGCACCACGTTCAGAGAATTTGATGGACAGATGGGTCTTGGCTAGATGTCAATCACTCATTAAACTCGTTAAAGAAGAAATGGGTGCTTATAGATTATACACTGTCATACCAAGATTGCTCTCACTCATTGATGAACTCACAAACTGGTACATTAGATTCAACAGAAGAAGACTGAAAGGTGAAAATGGAAAGGAAGACACTGTTGCTGCTTTGCGCACGCTCTTTGAAGCATTATTTACTTTGTGTCGTACAATGAGCTCATTCACACCATTCATCACTGAGAACTTGTACCAGGGTTTACGTCCATACTTACCTGAGACAATTCAAGGTGCTAAGGATATCAGATCAGTTCACTTCTTGCCATTCCCAGAAGTACGTGAGGATTACTTTGACACCGTCATCGAGAGACGTGTGTCAAGAATGCAAAACGTGATTGAATTGGGTAGAGTTGTCAGAGAAAAGAAGAGAATCGCTGTTAAGACGCCACTCAAAACCCTCATAGTGTTCCATCACGATAAGGGATATCTTGATGATGTTTGTCAATTGGATGGTTACATCAAGGAAGAACTTAATGTTAGAGAGTTAATTGTCACTAGCCATGAAGAATACGTTGGCATCAAGTATAAGGTTTCTGCTGATTGGCCAGTTCTCGGTAGAAAGCTTCGTAAAGATATGCCACGTGTAAAGAACAACCTTCCAAAGGTAACAAATGATGAAGCTAAAGCATACATCGCAACTGGAAAAATGACTATTGATGGTATTGATTTACAAGCCGGCGACCTTACAGTCTCTCACTATGTTGATTTACCAGCCTCAATGGAAGGCTTTGAAGCAGTTTCAGATCCAAACGTTACAATTGTATTGGATCACAGACTCCACCCTGAGCTTGAATCAGAAGGTTTGGCTAGAGAATTCATCAACAGAATCCAAAGATTGCGTAAGAAGGCTAACCTCATCCAAATCCAGGATGTCGACGTCGTCGTTAAATTTGAAAGTGAAGGTGAAGATGTTGCCACTCTTCAAGGTGCAATTGAGCAACACAAAGAAGCTATCATAAAGTCAACCAAGAGTAATCCACTCAGCAGCAAGGAAAACCCACAAGTTATTCTCTCTGATGATCAAGAGATCGGTGCTGTGAAGTTCAACTTGACTTTAGTAGGTGCTTAATTCGAATTCTAAAAACTTGTTATACATTTCTTATCGTTGTATATTGTTGGCGGTTTGCAGGTTAAGCTGTGTATAGGTAATTCTTCCTGATACCCTTATTTACTGAATTGGGACCGTATGACAAGACACATGCTAACCCCGCAAAAAGAGAAGAACCAATGACTTCATTTTTCATTGCTGTGGTCGGCAGATTCTTCCCCCTCATCCTTAATATATCCGAATGATCGTTACTGTGCCCTAAACAAATCTGCTTGTAGACATGGAAGTAACTCATTAAAGGATTGTAATTAATACATTTACTGAAGTGAATTCTGCTATGGATATTGGGAATTTATATAAGAATCTCCACATGCTATGCTAAGCCTCTGTTCACGCGAAAGGTACAGTTACAACTAAATTAACCCCGCATTTATTATGAAACTGACTTTAAAGGATTAATTACCAAAAAATATTGTAAGCCCGATGCTTCTCTCTTGTCAGTGTAGTCCTCTTGCGGAAATCCTAAATCACTTATGTATTGAGTTGTTCCTGACGACGAGGCTGTTCGGGTGGATCTTTTTAAACACTAAACCCCGCATAAGTTACCTATGACCATAATGATCCCCACAAACGACCTTGCATATATTAAAAAGCTATACACTAATTTACAGGTACGACGGAGTCTCCAGAGTATAAATATCTGCTTGTTTTTGTACTCCTTCTTCATACTAAACAACCACAATCGAATATGTTCAAGTCAATCATCGCTTTAGCTCTTCTCGCAACCGCTACTACTGTCTCTGCAGGAGGTATGCAAGTCTGCACTGGTAAAGGAGGCTGTATCGAAAAACAAATCACCAAGGATTGTTGCGCTGCTGTCGGCGACCAAAATGGTAGGTTATCCACTATCAACTTATAACAGTATTGACACACTGGAATAGCTTGGTTTGATGAATCAAACCAGTTAGTATAGCTTCAATTAAATTTATCAATTTCTAACGCTATAACAGCCAATGTACTCCATACTCTAGCGGTGGTATCAACACTGGTGGTATGGTCGACTGCTGTGCCAGCAGAGGTGCTGGAAGCCAGGAAGACCATGAGTTGACCTTAAAAACATGTTAAATCGACCCTTAAGATATGACAGACCAATGGGAAATTGGAATTTGTATATTGACAAATCTATAATTGATCAGCCAATTACATAAATCATGACTGAGATTGTGAGACATTGTGATTTTGAATATGAACTTGTACAATGTTAAATCGATAACCGAACGGCAAGAGTTGCAAAAATAGCTAGTGGTGAAATGTAATGATTACCTAGTGTTATTACGAAGCCACTTGTTACGTTGAAGATGGTTTGTTGTTAGGATGAACGAAGTGGAAATTACTGATACTGTTGAAACTTAAACCAACCAATAAACAAATAAAACAACACCAAGTGATATTTGTTCTACTATAATGTCAATGAAAGTGGTTAGACTCTACTCACCATCTGTTGTTACTTATTACTGATCAGGATACAAAAGAGACGTCATTGAATTTCCTTGATAGCAATAAGGAAACAACGCAAAAATATGTAAGTTTTAGATCTTCTAAGCTAATTTTGTTTGTCCAAATATCGAAGCAAATGTGGCTTGCTGAATATCTGCATACTACGACCAAGACAGACTCAATATCGCAAGATAACGTTTCAAGTGATATCGTTAGCTGATGGTTTTCAGTTCACACAGTAATTGTTACGCTCGTTCAGTAGTTTTACTTGATGTTTTTGTATGTAATCATCATTGGTCACCAAATAATAAACTTATTCTGCGTTGGATGAGCAAATCATGGTTGGCCTTGCACGCTTTTGAAATAAATTGCGTCAATCTTTATGCATTGAAATACCGATCACGTGATTCGGAGAGGACTATATCTCAATACTGATCACAACATTTGGGAGCGTATACTATTACCTAGCCCATACTCTCTGACTAGATTGGTTTACTTTTCTGGCTTCTTTAACAGTTATTGGGATATCTAGCGATATATAAAGATGCAATCCTAATAAATATAAATGACTGATTTATAGATGAATTAAAGTGACCAATACACTCTCGATGTGTAATTTGCCATCGTACCGAAGTGGAGATGTATATAATTATATATATTCAGATTAAATGGTCAACCAAGCAATAGTACATTATATCACACCGATAATTGGGCTCTTTTCTGCTACTCTCGATAAGGAAAATGTTTCCCCAATGTCATAATAGTGTGAACGAGAAATTTAAAGGTTATTACTGAGATATAATTTCCATATCAGAATCTATATCACTGGTGTATAAATTATTTGAATAGACTGCAGTCATTATATATAAATTATTACGATGTTTGAAGTTGATGTTAAAGTAATAGTACAAGAATATATTGAAAAAATGAGCTAACATATGCAGCGGCGAAAAAAGACATCAAGCGTTGTCTGTGGCACCGTAGGCAGGTGGCGGCTGATGTGGCTCTGTCGTGAGACCATCTATACTCTCATATTTTCCGCTTCCGAGGTATCTAAATCCTTTGTAACTGAGTGGTATTTGAGTGAACAGTCAAAAAGGATATATCACACCTACCCATATTTCTCCTCTGCAGCCATACGCTTGAATATCAGCCAGAATGCGTGGATGCTGTTGATTTATGAGTCGTGGGTGAGAGATAATAAGGAAGCTTACTGTCCAGGGAGATATCCAAGAAGAGATAAACCAACATTTATTAGCTGTTTACTTTTAGTTTTCTCTATTTGGGATAATTTATTCCACGCACCAAATCACAGGAGCAGCCAGATATGAAAGCGACAGCGGCTGGCGGGAAAAGTATAGTAACCTATAATATTATAAGATACTAATATTATAACATTATTTGTCACGTACAACCATAAGCAAGATGTCTGTGGACTTGACCATTTTGATGATGAGAGTGATGGAAATACAATGAATTGATGTACAAAATATAGAAATACATTTATTGGTTAACGATAGAATGTCCGTCGACTGGTATCCGTACTAACTTCTCTGTCGGACTGTCGCTGTCCTGTTCTGCTGTATCATCTGCACCGTTCTCTGGATTCTGTTCTGATTGTTGGTTCGTAATAGCTGTATGCACGCGTCAGAATTAGCAGACGCGTCGAAAGATCCCGCTCACATCCCATCAATCTAATTACGGAAAACAACTCCTCCCAAACGCCTAGAACTTTTCCAACAGCTTCACCACCCTCTGCTAGCGTGTGTGCTTCCTCAGCGAGACCTTCTACACGCTCTAAAAGTTGCGATGTAGCACCTTTCACTTGCTCAAGCCCATGCAATTCAAGCGCTTTAGCTGGAAGAATAGAAGAAATTGGTGGACCTGCTACAGAAGGTCTACTAACTGATGGGTGTATACTTGATCTTTTTTGCATTGAGTGTTGTGGAAGAAGAAGTCCTCTCCTTTCATTCTTACTATCAACTAATGCTTAGGCGGGTTTTTGTAGGCGCATCCAAACGACCTTTATCGAGATGTATAAGCAGTACTAGCTTATTAAAGCAGCAAACTAGCTACGTACCAAGGAATGCACCTGTCGCACCACTCAACCCACAACTCAAACCAACGAACAGCTATTATTACACAGGCAGACCACTTTTCGAATCCTCAATAGCTAATTTGGAAAATTTAAAGAGGGATTCTCAGAGGTCCATATCTCTCGCACTCGCTCTACCAACGAAGAAGCTTCATTTGTTACGCTCACAAAACGACACTGGTGTTATTTTCAAGTGGCTCAGTCAAGAAGCAGTAGAAAAAAAGTTAGAAACTCATTTGAAAGTATCTGAATATCGTCGCTTAGTCGATCTCCTTAATTCTATCACAAAGTTACTCCCAGCAGCAAGATCTGGCGGTTCACAAACTGCCCAAATTGTCAACGATATTGAAGTAGCTGTAAGAGAATTTGAACCTCCAGGTGGTAGAGAAGTTCAAGTAGGACAACGTAAACCAGTTGAAATCGATGAACTCGGTAGAAGTTACACTGTTGGTAGACGCAAAGAGAGCTCTGCTAGAGTGTGGTTAGTACCAACATCACCTGAAAAAGAGGTCCGTAATACCGAGATTCTCGTCAACAACTTACCAATTTACGAGTTTTTCCCTCGTATACACGATAGAGAATCTATAACTTTACCATTCAGAGTAACCGGTCAATTGGGAAATTTCAATGTATTTGGATTAGTTAGAGGCGGTGGTACCTCTGGACAAGCTGCCGCTCTCGCACATGGCATTGCTAAAGGATTGCTCGGTCAAATCGACCAACGGTTGGGTTTGGAATCTGATGACGACCGCAGCGTAAAGAGAACACTCAAGAAGGGTAAGTGAGACTTAATTATAAAGCAGTCTACTAAAACGCTCGCAGCTGGTGTTCTTCTCCGCGATCCTAGACAAGTTGAAAGAAAGAAGACTAACCTTGTCAAAGCCCGTAAGCAAAGAACCTGGGTCAAGAGGTAGATTTATAGAGGACGTTTTCAATATCTCATGCATTTCATTTCTACAGTAAAATATTAAAATTAATATGACCTTTAATGTGCCGTACTATCAATTGCTTGATATAATTATGTGCCATTTTACTCAAGTCCTGATTGGTATCTGTTCAATGACCTCAACCGGTGTGATCTCTTAAACATCCTAACCATCATGATGGCCTCTGAAATAGCAAGTAGAAATGCGCAGATTTTTTATATAGTAAAGGTATATTAGAAGAGAAAAAAAAAGTGCTGTCTCTCGTAATCTGATTCTGCTTATCAACGCAACGTATTAGTTGTCAGTGGTAGCTCGTTCAGATTGATTGATAAAGTATCCAGTTAGCTGTAATTCTTATTCAAATTACTAAAATTCATTTAAAGCCTTTTGCTTCAACTATACTGCAACACGAGACACTCCAATTTAGCAATCAATCAATCCTTGATATTCTGATGAGGTCATATAACGCTTTATTTCTAATATATATATATATATATATATATATATATACCTCTCTATCTATATATCCGTTTTACCTGCGTTATCATTATCTACAATGTACGACCGTTATCTCAAGGTGTACCTTGTTCGAGATAACAAACGGATTTCCGGCTTGGTCGATAACACAATATATTGCTTTCAGTAATTCAGACATTCTTCTCTACAGTATGAGTAATCAAGAAACCACCGGAAAGCTCAAATTGGAGGTGAACAATGTCAACTATAGCCAATTAGACGAACTTAGAACAGATGAGATAGATATAGCTCTAGATGCCTCCAACAATTTACAAGAATTGAACAAGCGTGTACTGTGGAAGACAGATTTACATATTCTGCCACTGATCACTCTGGCATATCTTTTTAATTACTTGTATTAATTTTTGATACAAAATTTGATTCTTTTACGTTGTTGGAAATGTGAGACAAATATAAGATCACGCAAAATTGAAGCAAGTCGTAAAATAGTGACTTAAATCAACATTTATGTATATTTAGTGGATTTGTTAAATGCTTCACCCTTCTACTGTATGTTTGTTTTAGTGCTCCCTGATTTTTTCTTTTTTACTGGGAATGTCAGCTGAGACCAGCACGTGTAAAATTTGCAAAACAGGCATCTGCGACAAGCATGCTTCTTATAAATCTATTAAAAGATTTATTGTTAATTGAATATTATGAATACATGCGCTTTATATTAGCTGCAAATATATACCAGTTAATCTCCGCAAAACCGCTAAGTACCAGTGGGTGGAGATAGATTGAAAGTAATCATGTCCAAACATAATAACGACGCCAAATCCATACCTAATTCAACGCCTTTGGTTGGTAAAACGTTGCGTTTTGCTAGGAAAACCAGCACCGCCACACAAAGTTCGAGGAAATTGTCTCCAATCATAAGAATTCTCAAAGTTTCGCAAGCGAAGGGAATAAGCTTAACGGTGTCAGAGTATATATCCTCACCGAAAGAGGCAGTGAACAACGGTATTATGTTCAGGCAAGTGCAATATTCAGACGATGAATAATTTAGATGTGACTATCTATAGTAATACTACACCCTCCAAAGCGATTCAGAGCTAAAACATGCTGTATAAGACTCATAGACTGGCCTCTCCTGGTGAATGAATATGGTGGCTAAGAGTAACATTTGTACCACTACCTGCTCTTGAATTCTCATGAAGACCGCGTTTTATAACATACGCAACACACTTTAGTTTTCAAAGGAGCTAATAGAAACAAGTACTAATTTCCTAACATTCTTTTTTTTCTTGAAACCAAGAATAATATTTAGGGATCTGTTCACCATACAGATTTATGAATTGTCGTTGGTAACTATGACATCTGCGGTGGACAAATCATCTACATGTAAAGAGAATCAACAAATTCGGTACTACAATACAATATACTGATCAGATTTTATGATATCAGCTTCGTACTCGGAACGTCATATCATATGTGTTCGTCTTACATTTGATAAATAATATTACCTTAAGACTCAGGCAGACCTTTATTTAGTAAGCATTTTGTATAGCCAGGAATAAGGCATAGTTTTCAAGGTTGAACTGTAACATGGTATTTATGAGTTGGACATTAACAATGAACATCTCGGCAGGAGAAAAACTAGCAAATATACTAGAAAGTCATGGATTGAGGAAAGTGAATATACCTGGTGATGGACATTGCCTTTTTAAGTAAGTCTAAGATTTAACATACGACTGAAACTATAATAATCCACAGATCTCTGAGCCATCAACTGTACAACAGCCAATTCGAGCATGATATTGTCAGGGAGAGAGTAAAGATAGTTTAAATTTAGAGTTAGCTGAAATTCCATATAGATCTTAAGATGGTTATCTCTCAACAGTGAAGTAGAAGAAGTGCGTATACTAGTAGATAGTCAGAACTACATTTCAGTTGATGACCATGTCCACCAACTGAGTTTAGATAGTAAGTTAATCTCTCATATTCACGAAGATATCGCTCATATACTGTAGGGTCTATCTGGGGTGACCATCTTGATGTCAAGGGTTGCGCGTCTGCTTATGACTGCAATATTAATGTTTTCACTCCTTATGGGAAAGAAATCGTTTCACCGCTTAATTGTCCAACAAACAACGATCTGAACATCGTATTTGATGGCCGTAGTCATTTTGATTCAACCACAAAGTACGAAGGAGCGACAAATATGGTACGTAATCTAGAAAAGATAGTTGATTGGCTACAAATACAATAACTCAAATTGACTTGATTCATAAGTTAAACACTAGTGAAGCTACAGATGAAATTCCACATTACCTCCATTTAAATAAAGACAACTTCTTGTCTCTTACAAATCAACGAGACTTCCTCTTAAATCATATCCAAGATGCGAGAACCGTGAGCATAGATACTGAAATTTCTTTTGATCATAACAATGATATTTCTTAGAAACTATCAAGTTCAAGGAATAACAACGAGGTATTATCAGAAAAATTATTGGACTCTTTGAATGGGAGCTACCATCAGCTGAAATTAGTCTATGATAATCTTTTAGACATCGTTCCATTACCTAATGATATAACCACGACTCAAGCATCTCTGGAATATTCTGCCCTAGTTGTTCAATCCGAGCAATTACCTCTCGATACACATAGCTGTCATAACCAAAGCCAGGTCGTCGAACAAGGTCAACCTGGCTCTTTACATGAAAGAACGGGATCGGGAGTACCCTTCACTCCGGAAGGTCCAAGGCAGAACCTTGTTTCTTATGTATCATTATCAGAACTTTCTGCATTACAGGCTATCAAAGTTATTTCAAAATATAATTCGACCTTCGCTGCTAAACTTAACAAAGAAGAAGTTAGAAAGCTCTCACTTTACAAGGAACGCGGTAAAAGCCTCGTCAGAAGTTGGCAGTCTCTCGTACAACGCATTTCTGTCGAAAGTAAAAATAAAAATAGCTGCATATTTGCTACCACCACTAATTTAGGTGCTTCAAGTAATCCAACATCTATTTCAATCGATGTTACAAAGGTTAGATCTCCAGAAAATACTATAATCAGAGAAAGGTATTCTGAAGAGCTGGAAGACCAGGAGGAAGTATCCATTATGTTGCAAGATTCTGCCGTTTCCAGCGCTCCTAATAGCTTGCCTATGCTAGAAGCATCTCCCTGTAGCGGATCCGAAGCAGCTGGCCCTATGGAAACGGAAGAAACGTCTTCATCACCTCAAAGTTTGATGAATAGTTTGTCTACTTGTTCGTCAATAGATGTACTTGAAGCTCAACCAGTAATACAAACAAGAAGAAGCGAACGGGTTAAGTTACTACCAAAGAGGAAATACACAGATTGGTACTACATCGAAGGGGATGAAGTTTACGATAGGACTAGAGGTAGATCATCGAGGCGTACACTCTAGACCTTAAATGCACAGCTTATTACCAATGCATACACATCCTAGGTGTTAGTTATTATGTGACTATATAATTACACTCCTGACTACACTTAGCGACTCCTAACTAGATGTGGTATACCCAAAGCACATAGTTAGTTTCACGCTTGACGAGAACAACACAATCTCAGTTGAAGTAATTGCTCTCATATCTATAGGGTTTCTGGAAAACTCCTTATTATTAACTTCTGATAGGAAAAAAGCAGATTCTGAAAGTTCAAATCCCATTGTCTCATTTTATTAAGATGCTGAAAGCATTATAACCATATATTTTCAAAATCATCATTCAATTATCGAATAAATTGTGTTTATTCTTATTAATAAAAAAGTACTGTATAAAATGAATTTTTCGGCTACCCTCGAAAGTATTAAATTTAGCTTTGTGAATATGCAGACTATTGAGAGCTTAATTGAAAATAGAATAAATAGTATGATAGGTCTCTTGATCGTATTTTGGACTAATTGTGCTTGCAAGCAGATAGGACCGGCCTAAAAAACTGTTATCTGCTCTATTAAACGTACAATTTTCAAAAAAAAAAGGTTTTATATATGTTATCCGTTAGTTCGTATTGGCTTAATCGTTTCATCTGAGACAATTGCACAATGTGAGCACAGCAAGTACTTGTCAAACATTCCCTAATACACACAAAATAGTGGCGGTTATATTTCAAAATTTTACGAAATTTGATTACTAGTTATAGAGAAAGACGTTATGCAAATCAATTGTAACTACTAGAATTAGTTTGAACTTCTTTTTGAAGAAAAAATTTTCAATAGTAGAAAATCGGCATGAAAGCCAATTCGATGGAGATTGAGAAGCACTTCAGAATAATATTACAGTAAATCCGGTTCTTCCTTAGTTTCCAGAAAGTTTTGTTCTATCGGCTCTAGTTTTCAACGACAGTTGTATAACGATAATGCTCACATTGTTACCTATTGTTGCACAAGACACGGACGTTTCGGCGCAGGTGACAATACCCGCAAAAAATTAAGTACATATCCAAAATAGAGGAACTTCAGACATGTCCAAAACAACCTCTTTCAAGTCGTAAAGGCACCAGCGAGTGAATGATCGATTGAATTATGTGAGATGCGGACCATTTAGCAAAAGAAGTCATCGTTATTCATTGTTACAACCGCCAAGAATGGTCAACCCGACTTATTGATGGAAGCCAATCAAATGTCCATCATTTACCCCAACACGCTAGCGATATATCTTCTTAAGGTTTCAACTGTTTCGAATAATACTTCAGCAACGCACGAAAGACATAAGTCTAAGAGACTTAAAGAACAATGAGGACATATATAATATGGTCTAACGGATGTATGCGGAAGGTTATCGATCTAGTTGTGGAAGGTAATTTAGATTTTAGTTATGGATCAGCTTAGTATCTGTCTTGCTGTCGGTGCTTCAAGTCTACTGCTTTCATGGATTATATATATATATATATATATATACATATCCATTATTGATGGATGCGAAACAGCATCAAGCTTACTTATATGCCGTCGATCATAATACAATATCATAAAAACATTGAAGCAGATGTTAGTCCAATTTGCTGGATTCTCGGAACTCTCGTGATTAAGCTCTTACACTTAGTGGTTCCTATTGTCTTGGCTAACAGAGAAGAAAAATGATGTTATAAAATTACGTTGTATCAGCAAGTTTATAATAGTGAAACTGTAACCTAACCTAAGCGTAGCAAATGCAGAGCATAATTATTGACATCGATAACTTATAGAGTAATTCATGGTTTACCAATTATCTGTAAATATGACCTTGACACAAATGACGTCAGGTCATTACTTTTATTCAATGTTTTGTTTCTTTTTGAAATGGTAATCACCAAGTTATCTAAAGCTTTTCAGGTTTCTATTTTAGTAGGGCGATTGCATTTGCAAATTTTTTTCATAATTAGTCCTTTTCCTTAACGTGTGAATGTTTTCACACACTTTTTAATTTAAGACGACGAACAACAATAATATAACCATCGCCTGAGTTTATAATTACTTAGCAAGAAGTTATTAAATATATAATAAATATTTATTATATTAGTGTCAATATTTTATTCCCACCTATCCTGCATTTCCAACATATATCTGTTTTTATATATACCCCCTCACTATATATACCTCCAGAAACGCCACCGAACATATTCCCGATTAAGTAGTCAATAAATCATAAGCGGTAAAGAAAGCAACACCTCAATCAAATAAAACTAGGGCGTCAATAATAAAATGTAAGCGCACCTCATAAAAATACACATCTACTAATACAAATTAGGGGCAGTGATTTGCATTTATTTCTGGAAAAGCTTAGGCAAAGTTCTAATGCCTGGTCTTTGTTTGCTTGTACAGGGGACGGGAATATCAAGTCAGTAGACGAGGGTGAGAATAATGTCAGAGATTGTTTCCGTTATCTGGATCCCACTAGTACCCAATTCGCTATCATAAAACTCACACGATTTACCGTAAGATCAAGATTGTAATTAGAATTGTCTCACAATAAACAGATGGAAGATATTCTACTCGTTCGTTTATATGGTGAAAATACCAATAATATACAAAGAAGTGGTTTCGATGACGTTCTAAATAATAATTCTAATTACATAACGTCAACAGAAGATATACGAGTGACCAGTCCACGGGAATTACAAGAATTCGTCGAATCTCACCTCCCATATAGCACAAATGAACTGTGCGTTGACAATGCACTTCGAAAGCTTTCCAGTCTGCATATGTGAGTAGTCCGGTTTTATGAAGTAATTATTGAATCACAGCAGGAACGATATTCCTCACATTGATTTAGTGAATGGCATGGTTGCGCTTACTAAGAACAATGAAATCGTTTATCGGGAGCCACAAGACGTCCAAGTGGGGGACAGAATCTTATCTCATAGGCCCCAAGATAATTGCTGCTATTGGCAGAAAGTGTTTGCTTTTGAACATATACACTTGCAAGCCGAAGACCTAATCCATGTAGCTAATTTAGAAGCAGGCGAAAGCGACATGTCAAAAGATTATGGTATCACATTCACAACCCCGAGATATGAGAGAGTTCCTTGTGTTACCGAAACGAATGATAAGTATTTCAAATCATATACCATGGAGACGTTAGAAGACATAGTTGTAGACAAGTGTATATTTCAGTACAGGTCGCCCGGCGGAATATCAAGTACTAATGATATTCCAGAAGATCTGAGTAACTACCTTGGTCTTAAGACCTTTGAAAAGAAAATCGCATTTTTGGAGTTGGTCGGAATGTTTATCGGTGATGGCCATATTAACCTGAGCTTATCCTACATCAACTTCAAACACTATAAAGCAGAAGATACTGTATACTTAACAAATATCGGAAAATGTCTAGGTTTACACTATACAACTACATCTGACTTATCTGAGACTTTCCCTCCGAACACTTTCTGCAAATTAAGATCATTTCGCATATATACACCACAATACGTCAGCTATTTCCAACACCAATTTAACAGGCCTCGTGATGGTCGTCCTAGTAGAAGTGAAGTCATTAAAGACATACCTACTTACTTAATCAATACAAATAGAACATACTGTCAAGCACTACTTAAGGGACTTCACCAAGCAGATGGACAGGTATACCAAAATAAGATTTATGGCAGTGAAAAAGTACCTTTCAAGGTCTACGTTACAGCTATCTTGGCTGGATTCAGTCCAAGGAACGTATTGCAGTCTGAAGAAGGACCGACAGAAGTGATGGGTTTGCCAGGTACTGCAACTCGAGACCTTTATGGTACTTCTTGGCTCGATAAAAAAGTCGTCTACACATACAGGAGTCAATTTGTAGAAGACAAAATGGTTTCGGAAAGTACACTAGGACTGAGAGGGATTCGTCTATATCTGAATCAACCGAACGTTTATGTGTCTACCTTAAATAGGGTGATCGGTTCAAACTCAGTCGAAAAAGTATCAACCATAGAAAGACCAGTTCTGCTAGGATGCGATACTAAAAATCTTCATGATGAAGAAAGTCAAGGTTATGTCATAGACATGAAAAAAAGCGTTGACATGCTTCAATTCGGCTATAATGCTACTGCACCGATGAGACATAAACAACACGTTACTGCTCTCTCCTTAGCAAAGAATGATGATGCCCAACTAAGTTTAGAGGAATTATTTAATCCTTCAAGATTAGTTTTACCAGATGAATTTGCAGATTTAGAAGGTTTGGAAGGTTTCTGTGATAATGATGAACAAAGTGCATTCCTAGTTAAATGTAAATCTTTTATTAGTAAGGAAATAAGAATATTATTAGCCAAAGCAGATATCAAGCCCTTGGGTAGCAATCAGGAAGAATTCAAAAGATTAAGAAGATCTTTCACGCGAGATTTTACTTATCAGTGTGGCCGTTATGGTTGTACTGTTACCGGCTGGCCAAGGTCACTCGACAAACTGACAGTCGTTGCATATTCTACGTCACAATGTTATCAAATGGCGCGACATCTACTTTTCAGGAGATTGGAAATACGTAGAATCACTCCTTTTGATTCCAAAAGCTTAATAAGACCATATATTTCTTTACATACGAACAAAAAAACTGATGCACTTGAAGGAGAAGATTTAGACGATGGAATTGGTGTCGATGATGATGGTGTACCATGCTTCAAGACCTCAGACATACGAAACGAAGAGCTGATTAATGTGGAAGCACGACAATGTAACTTGTGTCTTAAAACCTTCCCAAGTGAGGCTGCTTTGCAAACTCACTATTACTTTTCCACAACCGGTCCAATCCCTTGCGATCAATGCAATCACAAATTCCACACAAAAAAACACTTAGAATCCCATAAAGGACACATACATGGCATCATGCGAGTTTCCATATGTGAACAATGCGGGCTAACGTTTTTGGAATTGGACCAGCTATTAGACCATTATTGTTCAGTCAGTATTGGAAATCTAGCATGTACTGTCAATAATTGCCAGCACAGGTTTAAATCGATTGAAGATTTGCAAATTCACATTAAGATATGCCACAAGAAGCGTCAGAAGCGATTCTTATGCACGTGTGGCTATGAAGTAGATTCTTTATATACATTTGAGAATCACTTCAGAAGGTTTGCAGAAAATAATCACAAGCTTAAATGCCCATTTTGCCCACATAATTTCCCAAGTCATGGAGCTAGAGGCAGTCACATTACTACTATCCATAGCAAGGATGCCCAAAGCGTTTATTACGATGTTAGGAAAAACGAGTACATCAGTGTAGGCGATACTGGATCCACAGAAACACAGCTCTTAAGGAATGGAAATCCGTGTACGTGTCTTGCTTGGCGCTCCAGATTATAGTTTGAACCATCACAGGTTATCAAGTTTTGAAGTCATGTGAGAGCTGTGAATTTACAGGTACAGATACAGAACTGCAAGAACATTATGCGATCGTTGGTGATCCTAAAAATTTGGAAATTTGTGCTATTTGTCAACACCGGTTTCCTGATGCAATGTGGGTAAAAATGCATCGTGATATAGATCATCATAATGGTCAGTATTACCTATTTGATTTCTTCGTTCTAATGTGGGTTTAAAGTGGTAGAGAACACACCGCAAGACTTAGAGATTTCGGCACCAGTTGACCCACCAAGGGAGGAGGCCCCTTATGCTATACCAACATCAAATGGCTCTTTCAGGTGCTCTATTTGTAGATATGAAGATGGAGAAGATAAAGTAAACCATCACATAAATATAAGTTCGATAACGGTTGGAAAGAAATTACATTTGTGTAAGCTTTGTACACACACCTTTAGACTTCCAGGGACCTACGCACGACATGTAATTAGGGATCATGAGAAGGAGTGGTCAGCACTACCGCACAAAGGTGAAATGATCGCTACTGGCACTCGCACATACAAGGAAAACTTGCAAATTTTCTACTGCTCCGAATGCGGGTGCAGTGGTATCAAAAGTAGCATTCAAGTGCACCTTGTCGTATCAAATGCTATCGGTACACCTGTCTTTCGGTGTCCTTTCTGTAGACACTCCTTCAACTCTTCGGTATCACAGTCTCTCCATATCACTAAGTTTCATAGAGATCAATATAACGCAAGTCAGAACTTGGTACTGATCGAAAAGTATGGCTGTGGAATTGAATTAACCACTAAAGGCCCTTTTAAGTGTCAGAAATGTAAGAGAGTCGATGGTTTACGTCAAGCGATTGTAGTGCATATAGCAGAAACTGCCCGTCCAGATAATCTTCAAGATAGGAAGTCGGGATTTAAATGTCAATATGATTCTCATTGGTTTAAAAACAAAGCACAATTTACAAAGCATATCAGAAACTTTTGTTATAAAGGTGAGATTCTAGTTTACTTACTCTTAAATTTAGATTGAGTTATCATAGGGACAAGAGAAGGACCAAATGAGACGATACAACGTAAGCAATGTCCAGTTCTTTTTAGGGAAGAAACTAGAGGTAAGTAAACAATTGTTGTTATCATGTTTCAAAAGTAACAGGCTATTTCATCAAAGACGATGACTTAAAAGTTTGCAGCGTCTGTGCTTTTAAAGGTGATAATGAGTCGTTCCAACTTCATCTTGAACTAACCCAGGTAACATCACGTGATAAAGACACAAGGCATGGTTGTGGCTACTGCAGTCATACGTTCAAATGCGAAAATGATCGGTTTTGGCACGAGGTCTCAATTCATCCTTATGATGTAATGTAAAAAAATAAAGATGCATATAAAATCGCCAATTTCACGAATTTTGGCCCGTTACAACCAGGAATTCCGAACCAAGCTTGTATTTATGCAAGCTGATATGACTGCAATTGGACTGGACGTGATTGCTCATATTGTAGGCTCACTCCTGACCATAACTATAGAGATATTGGTTGTTTAAAGAGCTGGTGCTATGATGGAGGTGGTCACGTAATGGCACACAATTTTGACTATTCTGATGGTAATTAATGTTACGCTCGAGGTTGTAATGACACCACAAGTGGCCTGGGAATATTTTCAATACACTTCTCTGAAATAACGTTTTTGATAAAACAAAGTAAACACGACCAACCCTTCCATGAAGAAGAGGTGTTTCAAAATTAGTGTCTTGTCTTGATCAGCGATTTTCGCAAAAACTTATTAAGAAGGTCTTATCTAAGCTATTACTTAACCGTATGAACATTTACTAAATGTAACCAGAGCTAGTCAGAGATCCTTCAGAAGGCCAAGTAAAAAGTTGCGAAGCTGTGTGTAAAAAGGTACCGTACACACTTTTAATAAGCGTGATTAGAGATCCCTCACAAGGTCAACCAAAATTTTACCAAGCTGTGTAGAAAGATACCGTATAAAATCCGGTGTCAGGCAGCTATTTTAGGTTACGGTTATGGATAGGTTGGTTAGGTTTTAGGTTACAAAATACTAACAAATGGTCTTAACTAAAGAGGTGGTGTGTGTGTTAGCATGTTACAGTGGGTAACAGTTTGAGCTGGAACATTTTCAATATGAAAAGGTTATATCAATTTTATTCACGAGACTTTGAATTATTAACCTGGTGTTAGATACAAATAGTAGGCGATCAAAAATTTCATACCGAGTCATTATCTTCATTATTTATGTAAATATGTACTTTGACTCGACATAAACCTCATCTACTTCATATTTACTTATTTTTTCTAAAGTATGAGAGCTTCACCATAAGGACAAGTCTAAGAAGGAATTATCTCTTCTTTGGAAGTTAACATAGTCCTTCTTTTGAGAAAATAAATTAAAAGTGAAACAGTGGTGAAAAATCAAGCAATCTGAAACAAAGAAGTGAATGATCGGAAATGTTGTAAATCATACTTAAGAAAGCGATCTCAAAGACATGGTGCGATCAAGGACTATTTTGAAAAGTTCTTATTGCTGAAGGATGTAAAATCGTTATAAATGTGCTATTTAAAGGCCGGAATAACAAGCGTATGACTTATGACTTTAAATGTCAGTTGAGGTAATAAGTATATCGTGTTGACTATGCACAGATTCACTTTCTGCTCTGCACCTACTTTTACAACCAACAATGTAGGAACTTGCGGAGAAGGGCGTACCTAACTTATTCGTATCGGTTTGAATCACCAAGCCCACAAGGAGATGCTCAAGTATCAATATAATGTTTCAGTCACGTTTGTTACTATAATCCTCTGTGGACCATGCTCTTAGCACTCACACTGTGGATCACTTCAGACTGGGATCAATTGCACGTCTAATCTCGTTTACGTTTATCGAGAAGAGAGTCACCGGCTTCTGTTTAATTTAAAAGACATAGTTATGTCGTTTTGACAAAGATGTTCAAGTTTTATACGTAATAATCTTGCTTAGCATTTGGTACAAAATCTTATACAGTTATATTGATTCTCTCTCATTAACTTGATACTCAGTTTGATAAACTATAATACACTCAATAAAACATTATGTATCGAAATCTGACAGAAGTATATTATATACGTTATTTAAGACGTCGATTAAAACAATTCAGTAACTATATTTACTAGTGATCTCTGGTAGAAGGTTTCCTTCTTCGTCATAGAGTCCTATTTTGGTCAGATCAGTCCAGTTATCTCTGTCGTCCTTCACGAATATTTGTAAAATATGATCAGCAAATGTAAAGTTACGCATAGAAACTCCATTTTGACGACATTTGGTAATGAAGACTTGAAGATAGTACTCGTAATGCTCGTGCTTTTGTTGGATTGGCGGCATCGTTTCAACTTCACTCGTTCTATTAGAGATGTTAGTAACTAGAACAGACATAACGTATAAAGGGGCAAATTATTTGAAGTTATATGGGCGAATTGGAGCTGACGTAATTTGCTGAATGTTGTTGGATCTTTTTAGAAAAATTTTAGTGTGAACTGTCCGCTCAATAAGTTCCTGGTCGCCCACTCACAGTAGTACGAAACTTTTATTATCGTCTCAACAAATTTGCTGCTTTGAAAAGTATAGCTATGACAAGACATCAATCGGCATATGTCTGGTTACCTCTATGATCATTCTAGCTGGAATCCTTAGACCAAATCGATGCTGGTCAATGACACCAATAACAATTTGACATGAGAGGCGTTTAAAACATTGTAGCAGGTATAACATAACACAAGGTAAAGCACAAATAATTGAACTGCTCTCTGAGTTGACGATATCATCCACCAAATTCGACATCGACACACGTGATTTTTAGCATTAAACGTTGATTAACGTCAATCGTTCTAATTACTGATAACGGGTAGCATTGTTCTTGAGCTTCAAAATTCAATGAACACCAAAATAGTCCAGAAAATCTGTTAGAAAAGCTTTGAAGATTGCACGAAGCTGAATCTGAGAGGCATCAGGGCGCTCTTTAAGAACTGATGTAGTTTTATCTGTTAATACAATAGCGTGATATATAAATAAAAGCTGCAAACAGCTGACAGTTCGAATTCAAAGACTCGAAATTGAGGCACGCCAAAAAGTGGTTTATGGTGTATCTTACACGATTTTAAGATATAAGGTTGTCATCTTTACATGTACATATTTCGGATCCCAGAAGTATGCAGGTTCAACTGCTGAAAGTTACATTGACCACTTTTACTTTGGTAGCGCACTTTTATCTAAACAACTTTCAATATAAAGACCACACTGTCCTATTCAAAATTGCTAATATTGATAGATGTATTCATCTATAGAAATGCAGGTCAATTCACAAACTAAAACGCCGTGACACATGTAGCCTCATCCGCCCAATACCATCTACCGTCCCACTAATTGTTACTTAACGAATCCCATTTTGATTCCTCTCTCCGAATATTATTACCAGAAGCGAAAGCAGAGAAATAATCTTCACTAACGATGTCAGGTGCCATGTACGGCTCAAATCCTTGCTCACCGCTTGTCAAATTCAGTCCGTAATAACGAGGTTGACTAAAGGAAAATTTTTGTTGTTCTCTTCAGATAAGCTTCTTGCTCACTTGCCCCTAGCACCACATAGTATTTTTTATGGTAAAGAATCCAGCAGTGATCTGAGTTTGATATCTTCTAAAAGTAGCAGCAGAGTGATCGATAAGAGAATCGGAAGCCACCCGCATCTGTACGGCTAAGTCCGACACAAGACGATTTAGGTCACCCCAATTAATCGGACCGTTCCAGGATTGGAGTTCGTATTTTATTTTATGCACTTGAGAGCCTTCGGGATCAGGGACTGCTTTTCCACTTACTCCATCTAGAAATTCTTGGCTGCCGGGGATGAGTGCTTCAGCTAAGTCAAATGATTCGACTTTACCGGTACCTAACATATAACCGACAGAAGAAGCTAAGACGAGCCACGAATAAACTCAGGTCCACTACCATCGTTTTCGCTAGTATGATCTGGATAACCGTAATTGTCATCCTCTCTGTCACAGCGGCAAGAATGACATACAACACGAGAGTTCCTCCCCCACATATTTATTCCTTGAAATTTTTTTTACCTGTCCAATAACGTCCACCTTCGGGATAAGTATAGAGCAAACGAGTGCATTCATAACGATCGCAACATTCTCCTTTATTCATAACCTCACACTAGATATCCCTAGCAGATAATTGATCAGGAAATTCATTAACTGTATTTGCTAGCGCTTCCTGGTATAAATTTGCAATAATGATGACCATAAAAACAAGTTTTGTAAGAGAAGACCCGTTATTGTTTGACATATTGCTTACCAATGAATATGATCTATTGCGAGGTAATCTCAGTAATGATTCTCTTTACCTAACATAAGATGAGCAAGAAAACGTTTTCTCTAAGAAAGTATGACCTCAGGTGTAGTGTCTATTCACTAGTATATATAACACACTTAAGATAGATGCGGGTTTAATCGAATATATTCAGCGAAACAATTTTAAATATTAAGGCAGACATATACTGTCCGCAAAGCCGTCTGATAAAAGATATATATTACGATATGACGCCTTTGACATTTTTTTTTGAAAATCCATAAGTAACTGGTACTCTGGAAAGAGTATATTGAAATAACCAAAGCTTGAGATAAGTGTTGATGAAATTATGATGTCATTACTCATCATAACGCAGAACGGTGCGCTCCAACTAGCGCACTTCAAAAATGGAATTTCCTCTCAACTTCTGGCAGAAGGTGGCCCTCTCGATCATAGATATCGGGGTCAGAAAGAGCTACCCAATCTGGTCTCTTATCGTCCACATATATCTGTACTGTTTCATCAAGAAACATTATATCTCGTATAATAACTTTATTGAGTCTGCATTTGGCTATAAAAGCTTGGATGTAATGAAGATAATGCTCAACGTCAATTGAAAGGTAATGTTTCTCTTTCGCTCGTTCTTCTAGAAACGTTGCACACGTTGATTTACATAATAATTTAAAATACGAGAGAGTTGAGAGAAGCAATATCAATAACCGTCTTCACATGATATTTTTGTTCATTTGTAACTCCTGCTCGCAACCTCTGTCATCTGCAAATCCAAGAAAGTACGGACGTAATGATCTATTTACTTGCTCTTGTTGTCTTTTCTGATAGTGCAGGTATTCAATTTTGATGGTCTGTTGATCATAACCAAGTCTCAGGTACTTGCTGGCTTGATAGAAATATATCTGCAAAAGTAAGACAGCGCTATAAATTCAAAACAAATTCTCTCTACCTACCATAAAGACAGCTGAACCGTACCGACATCGTATTCATGTAATTTGACATTAAGTACTTTTTTCATTCGTGTTTTATATCTGACTAGAGAGAGAAAATGAATAAATAGTCAGAAATCCAGGAGAAAGCTCACGTAAATTGAGAAGTCTGCATGCAATTTAAAGATCAGTTTAGTTGCCTAAGTTCCTATATAATGCATCTGTAGAGAACAAGCATTTTTTGCAATCCAGCAAAGAAGTTACATCTGTTTATTTAATTTTAACATGGATTGTAGAAATACTGTGATAACAACTGTTATCGGAACCAATTCGACCTCTGACGAGAACGCCAAGAGTGTATTATCCACCAAGGAACATCTTGTACAAATCAAAGATTGTTCATGGTGCAGAAATTAGAAAGTACAGAAAACACCAGAATGTGTAGTACAATATTATATAATAAATCAGTTTATTATTGTAACTATCGTACCTGATTCTAGCTATCCTAGAAATTGCGGACAATTATCCTGAGCTTGTGGAGTTCAGGAAGTACAGATAAGTATCGAAGCGACATTGTTATGTTTGTCATCATTTTATAAATTTTGCTTTTTCTTTTTTTTTAAAAAAATTACTTATAAAAGTCATGTCGGAATCAACTATACAGATCGTCCTGGACTTCGGAATATAACTCAAGCAATGTCGCTTATTATATTGAAAGAGTAGAAAAGTTTGTAAACAACTTCCCTAAGGAATTTAGTGGGTGTTATTTACTTTAAATACAGGATGATACAGATAACTTGAACGGTACACACATCAACATAACCAACAGTGAAAGCTCACTAAACTGTGAATGGGGATGTTCTACTGTAGACTATGGAGTACACGTTGTGGTACAAAATGACAAGGCAAGCAAGTTGTAATCAAATCATGCGTAGGACGCACTAGTGCTAACATTTTGTTAACTCCCGAATAGAGTTGATCTGGTACGGAATTTTTGTCTAATGGAGCACTGGGACTGGCATTTCTCTCAGTGTTGACAGTCTCATACTTATTGTTGTATCATTTAGAGCTTATATATAAATCTACAAGTGTGCAAGTCACTGGTATCTCTAATAGTAATGTGTTCGGTTGATACAGTCAGCGCAAGTTCAACGACCTCTCCATAGCTTTTGACTAGATAACTTTATTATGAGTTGTTCTTTAGAGAATATTCCAACTTGCTTGTTTGAAGTGATAATAACATCTACCTCAAGATGATACACATTTCTGACTTCCGTATTACAAAGAACTACAATTACTTTCGTGATCAAATCATATCATTTGATGTCAGGTAAATGATCGGTAATAAGACATCCACATATATTTGTTTGTTTTATGTTGCTGGAAAACAACGGAATTCTGGCTGTGATATACAGATGAGCGCAGATATGAACAAAGTATTAGTGTATTAGCAAGGACGGTAACATTTGAAGGCTTGCGTAGGGACGAGTACTGAAATCTCACCTACATATATGAAAATCTGTCGAGCTTTTTGCTCTCACTATGACTGAAAGAACGAAGTAGCTATATTACAGTACATCAAAGGTATAATTATGGTTAAAACAAGAGTTCTTACGCATGAAATTATCATAAAGTGAAGTGTACGCTTAACAGTTACTGATTCATGTATAGTAAGTTTAAAAGTTATGAAGTTATAGTAGCAATAAAAATCGATTCTCCAATACCGCGATTCCATCGCCACTTTGGTTTGGATCTCAGCATTACAGCACCTTATTCATTTTTCATTCACATGGATTAGAAAGTAAGTGACGAACTTTCGGCTGATTCAGCAAATTGTGTTTAGAACCTTCTAGTCATTATTTGTATGTATCTTGATATAATAAGGCATTTTCTAAGCTACTGAAACATTCCCAACTCGCAACACACAATGCCCCGTGCCTTTACATGGAGAATAGCTTGTAATTAATTGTAGAAATGCAGTCAACGCTAAGCGTTCAAGTGAAAATAGCAAGATGTTATTACGTATATAGCACCGGGAACGTACAACAGATGGTACCTGACTTCGGCAATTCCCATTTTCCCAAATTTCTCTTTGAAAATTTGTCTAGAAAGATATAGATAAACGCCAATCCACCTTTTCAACCAATATGGTTTTGACTGTCATACCTTTTAATTAATGCATGACGCGAGGTACCAAATAAAGTCCCTAAAATAATTCAAAATTTCAGTATAGCCTCTCTCAAAGCTTTTAACTTCCTCTCTCTCTCGGAGGATTCAAATTATCTAGACTCCCTAATGCCGAGATTTTCAGAAAAAGGGCCTTACGCACCTATGTCCGCCGAAAAAACTCATTTTTTTTTGTCCTTAAAAGGCGTTTAATCGATATGTTCATTCCTTCAAAAAATACTTATATAATGGATTCAAATAACGATATCATTCAGCAACCTGATACCTCTAACCCTGACCCTCAGACGTATAAGAATCAAGTCTATAAAATGGAAGATATGAAAAGTCCAGGTGACTATGTTTTGAAGCCGGGGTTAAGAGGTTTAGGTATGGTTAGAGTAGCTAAAAACATTTCCCAGAAGACAACAGTAGATAGGATCAGAGAAAGCGGAAAACCATACAGGAAGCTACCTAATATAGGTTCGAATGTTAGGGGAGCATCTTTAATCATAACCCTTATTGGGGTGGTTTTCTCGTGTTTTGTCTCAATAGTCAGTGCTACGGACAACACTTCACCTTTTCCGGTGAAGGTGTTGGGAAATTCTAAGAATTACTTTCAAGCTCAAGATACAAGCAGTTCACACTATGGAGCTAAAAGCTTCAGTGATCCTTGGTTTCTCGAAGAGAATCCTGAAAGGTTAGATCTCTCCAAGACATTGACAGGTTTAGTTAAGTTTACTAGGAACCAAACTACTGATAAGAGGCAAGTGCAAGAGCCGGCAACAGAGATAGACGGCTACGTGTGGCCACCTGAAAGTGGTTATATTGATCCCCAAGATAGTGAAGCCATGTTGAATAGGATTTGGGGCAATGATAGAGTGTGGGTTGACCCTAGTGCTAAATGGTCATGGACATGGGGTACAGTTACGTTTACCATAGAAAACACAAATATGGATACTGATGGGTGCGACGGTGGTTTAGTCATAACAGGAACACAGTTGTGGGACTACCTCTGGCGTTTACACACTGGAGGAGCTACCCAAGGTTTAAACTGTGCTGTGAGTTATATCCATCCCAACATAGGAACGACGTTGAGAGCATCTGGAACTACATTGCCATCCTATAGTGAAGCTTGTGATGGTATGGATATAGAACTAGAGGGGCCCCCTCAAGTAGAGACTCCGCCATTATACGGATGGATTAATCATCCGCCAGGAAGTTGGGGTTATCATGATGAACTTTAGTTTTGTTTAAAAGCTTAAAGGTGGGAGTGTATCGCCTTCCTCGACATCCTTCTTAATTTGGAATCATACACTTTTACATGGGAATCTTTGACGCTGGCAAAACGACATCGAAAGTGCAATGTGTTTATTGAGGGCACAGAAACAACCTGTGTTGATATAAGAGTCATGTCTGCCGTAGTTGCTGAGATATGGAAATGTCTGTCTATGACGTCATGAAAAGGCACACCTGAAATAGCTCAATATAGGACTGCTGGACGTCTGACGGGCACCAGCTGGTTTGTTGATGGTCAATGTATTGCTAGGTGGCTTTATTTGCTACACTTCGTTCTCAGATGTGAGAGAAAATTCATTGTCCGATCCTGTTATCCCAGAGGTTAGGTTAGGTTAGGTTAGGTTAGGTTAGGTTAGGTTAGGTTAGGTTAGGTTAGGTTAGGTT